CCCACCCCAACCCCAACCCCAACCCCAACCCCAACCCCAACCCCAACCCCAACCCCAACCCCAACCCCAACCCCAACCCCAACCCCAACCCCAACCCCAACCCCAACCCCAACCCCAACCCCAACCCCAACCCCAACCCCAACCCCAACCCCAACCCCAACCCCAACCCCAACCCCAACCCCAACCCCAACCCCCAACCCCAACCCCAACCCCAACCCCAACCCCAACCCCAACCCCAACCCCAACCCCAACCCCAACCCCAACCCCAACCCCAACCCCAACCCCAACCCCAACCCCAACCCCAACCCCAACCCCAACCCCAACCCCAACCCCAACCCCAACCCCAACCCCAACCCCAACCCCAACCCCAACCCCAACCCCAACCCCAACCCCAACCCCAACCCCAATTTTTTTATTTAAAAATTTTGTTAAGAATAAGATAAATTTGTAAATTTGAATGAGAATGAGAATGTTTAATTGTGGATATAATAATTTGATTTTATAACAAATTGATGGTTATCTTTGAATTAAATTTTTTTGATTAACAACATTTAGTCTATTAAAATTAATACAAATATTTGATACATTAAAGGGTAATAATATAATCAGTTTAATAAATTAGTAATATAAAACACACTAACTAAAAGTTAGTTAATTAGCAAGTAAATCTATGAATAATATGAGTTTGCAAGGGATTTATAGCGCTTACTGCAGTAATGTAATGCAAGGAGTTTAGACAATTTTACCATAATAAAATAATATATAAAATTCTTTAAATACAATTTAAGGACCTTTGTGCTAATACTACAATTCATCTTTAAAAAAATATCGCAATAACAGCCATATAATTCAATAAACATAGGGGTTAATATCTGAATAGAAAAAAAATTTTAGAGAAGCTTAAAATGTGAAATTATAAAAGTATCTAAATTAGTAAATTCAAGGTTAGCAATATCCTTACCTGTAATAGCAAACAAACAATTTGCAGATGCTAATTTTGAAAGATTTATACTCAAATTTTTTTTAAGATATTATGAGAGAATATAAATTTTATCAGTAAGTAATGACAGATATTGATCTGCAATATCCTATTCAAAATAAAATCAAAAAGAGTTCTAACAATAATAAAGAATGGTTTGAATAAAATTATATTAACATCTTAAAAAGTTAAATTACAAAGAATAGTTAAATTAAACAGACAATAATGCAATTTAGGAATACTAACATACCAAAAAAAGTGCAAAAAATAATTTCAAAATAATAAAGTTTTCACAAAAATAGAATTTTAATTGAAATTGACTAAGAAGAAGTTAACGATGTTAGCGGGATAAAAAAATAATTTTAAATACAGCAATAAGGGTTATTTCAATCAGTATCGCCTTTGAATAAAATAGGTAAAAATGAAGTAAAATTTAAAATAACCAGTAGAAACTAGATTATAAATTCATCGAATTCAGTTACTCGAACTGAAAATAATTGGAGAGTACAAAAAAAAGAAGAGTCTAATAGTAAAAATTCGTAGATATTTCAAAAGAGGGTTCCGTTAAAAGATAAAAAAGAAAATTAGTATTTAGCAGAAGGGGAAGCTAAGCGATATAATTCTGTTACTAAAAGATATATTAATTATGATAGCAATACCACAAATACCAGTTATAATGCTTTCAACAAAGTTTAAAATTAAAACTTTAAAAAATACGATAGTAAAACTGAAAATGACTAGTAACTAAGTGATGAAGAAGAATTTACTTATATGGCAGGAGGTGTTAAAATTAGAGTAAATACACTTTCTGGAAATACTAGATGTGAGAGAAGTTAGTCATTAATTAAAGAATTACCAAATAAACTTTCAGATATAAATTTAAACAAAGTAAATTTTTCTGGTTAAAAAAATAACAACCATTAGATTATTAATTAAAGAAAAATTCTAACTGACCAATTGATTTCTATCTCACCAAAGCATAACTATTAAGTGTACATGGATAGTAAATATTTTGGAAATAATGATGGAAATCAATAATAACCAAAATATAAAACTGAACAAAATATAATAGATCATTATTCTTTAAATTGGGAAAAAAATTAGAATATTGAAGAAAAATCTTAAATTTTAAACTTTTTAAAGAATCAGAAATAAAATAGCAAATAAAATTTAAATATTTAACAAGTTTCAAGTGTGTTAATTGTAAATTAAAATCAACCCTAAATTAACTCTTCAGTTTTAAAATAGTAAAATATGTAATTACTTAAAATAGAAAACTTACACACAAGTCCCACTTCGAGGTCAAAATAGAACTCATTTAGTAATAGTACAAATTCTAATTCTTATTTAGACTAAAGCTAAGCTCGATATAGATTATAAATTAATCCTAACTGCACTCAACTTCCTAATATGAGAATTCCCTCTTCAAATAGAGTGCAAGGCAGTTCTTAAACAAGAGGGACAGAATAAAGTTCTTTAGGAGTGATGCCATAATAATAATCTAATTAATTATCATTTTAAAATCAACCTCTGAATCCATAAATATATACAAATTTAAATGAATATTTTTGCTAAACTCCATCTCAAAAGTAAAGGGAAATAAATAATTAAACTTCTAGATAGAATAAACATGAGGTAAAAGGCTCTAATATAGTACAATTAACTCCTTTACAAAGTAAATCAAACAGTAATCTAGAAAATAAGGAAGAAATCTCAAAATCTAAAAATCAAAAAAGAGACAAAAACACTTTAAAAGATTTAATTTGTTCATATTATGAAACCCCAAAAAACATTACTGGCAATGCTTAATCAGTTTTATCATAGTATTCCCCCATAAATAATAGGCAAGATGCATTAAAAAAACAAATAAATTTAGAAATTGAATAAAAAAATAGTATCAACCAACAAGCATAGTGCTAAAACAATCTACCATTAAATGAATTAGAATTAAAATAATTAGATTAAAATTTTCTTAAAGAAGGTAACTAGGCAAAATCACCATATAAAAATGGGTTTATGAGGGAATTTAAGGATATAAATAAATAATAATAAGAAATCAAAGAATTGGATAGCAATATTTAATTGAATATACCAAACTTACTTGCAAAAAAAGAATCACATTTACTTAATAATACTTTTAATCTTTAAATTGCAAACTAAGATGAAGAAAAGTAAAGTTAATTATAGTAAATATAAAACACCATTTGGTTTTCAAATAACTAAATATTTGGATTAATTTAAGATAATCAAAATAATACAATTAACGATTATAAACAGGATGAGTAAAATATTAATACTATCCAAGCCAAGTTGGATGAACAATAAAAATATGCAAATTACAGTTAGATTAATATCTAAAACACTTATGATGATAAATATAAGATTGATATTAATAGAAGCTTTTAAAGAAGAGAAAATTCAATTGAAAAAGATAAAAAAAATGATTACAAAAAAAATTAAATTTTATCCTCTGAGTTTTTAAATAAAGCAGTGAATAATCAAGATGAATATATAAAGTAAAATTAAGAAAAAAGTTATCTTTTAACAGATAACTCTGCTATATTTTAAAAATTGTAAAATAATATAAGATCAAGTCCAAGCACACCTTTTAGAAAAGTGAATAATTCGAGACAAAGAATCTATTAGAATCAAAGATAAATTTTAACAGAAATTTAAAAAGGGAACCCTGTTTTGAGCTATATTTAAACTTAATACAACTAAACATTATTAAAGGATAACAAAATGCCATAAGGTGTTTCTAACGATAAAGTTTCTTAATTAAGAAAGATTTCTTTACTACCTAAAGAGAAAATTGAAAGATAAATTGATTCTTTAAATAATTTGAAAGCTTCTAGCTCAGAAAGGTCTCAGGAGAGATAGTAATATAAAAATAATAATAATAATCCTTACCTTCAAAAGAGTGATTTTTTGAAATAGGTAAAAAAGAAATAAGATAAGAATAAAATAATTGGATAACTTTTAAATTTAAGTGAATATTCTAATCTAGAAGGTTATTCATAACTTAATACTTTTAAAGAAAATTCCTGCCAATAAAATTCAATTGAATCAACAAAAAGAAAAAATAAAAATTAATGTGAAAATGATTAGAAAGAAGGAATTTCAGAGCTTTAGTATAAAACAAATAAATAAAATTGTGCTTAACAAGAAATTACAAAACCAAATATTAATTGCAATTTAAATAAATATGAGATATAGCAAAAATTTTAATTAGAAGCAATTATGAATAATTAGCCTAATGTAGTTAGAATCTGAATATATATATATTAATTAAAAATTAATTTGTTGATTTATAAATAATTAAAAAATATAAATTTGTATTTTAATATATATTAAATTAATTAATGCCAATTTGTCATTCATTATCTTTAAAAATAATAATAATAATTTTTATCTTTTTTAGATATTTGCTCATAATATTGATTTGAAAAAATGAAACCAATAGTTTAAACTCTAACTTAAATAAATATTAAGATTAATAAATTTTATGTTTATTTAGAAATAGATTTTGAGTTACACTGTAAGAATTAGTATCTAATTTATATTATCTATATAAATATTTTAAAGTATTTGGTAGGAATATTATCAATTAATATTGAAAGTGTTTATTGTAAATTTAGTAACACTCGAATGATAGTTTTACAAATTAAATTAATATAAGTAATCTAAAATTAGAGAGGAAAAAAACACTATTTTGCATAAATGAATTACGCATTAAGTAAATCATGTCACACATTATAATACAAATAAATATTCGGATTTTAAAAATTTGATAGCTTTTTTTTGGATGACAGGCACTAATAAAATATTATAACCAGTTAAAGAAATAAAAGTAGTTATTAAATTAAGATAAAAGATTCTTAATTTTATTATTATGAGTGATTAATATGTTCTATCTAATTGATCCTACTTAGTTTTTGATACAAATAGTTAAAAATATCTTTGATTTATTCATATTTATAAATGCATATTAGTAAAAGTTATTAATACAAATATAGTGGTTTATCTAATAATTATCTTCTATTAATTTTTAATTTTTTAGCAAATAAATTAATAAACAATCGATTTTGATAATCTCATAAATTCAATTAATTTTTAATTTTCTTTTACTTTTTTTCAATTAAGTTAAAGCAGTAATAGTAGTAGTAGTTAGTGTAAGGCACATATAATTGTTAAATAGCTTTTAGTTTCTAAGTATTTTATTAAAAGCGCAGCATATTTAGGTAAAAGCCACACTAAATTAAAGATAAATTGAAAAATACATATATTTACAATGGAGAGATACCTTAAATATGGAGATTATGTTATGCTTTATTCTGCAGAGGATCCTGTCAAATTTATGACAGCAAGGTCATCTTAAGAGGGAGAAGTATTTTTTATTGAGAGCTAGTCACCTATTCTTAGGGAGGATATTAGTAGTTATCCAAATACTAGTGAGCTAGTCTTTGCTATCTATCCAAAATAATATTATGAGGCTTCTAAATAGTTTGAAAAGTTCAAGATGAGAAAAGGTACAGACTTTGATGATGTTATGTCAATTTAAAAGGGAGAAATTTTAAAGCGTCGTATGGAAGCAGAAAAAGATTTAAATGAAAAAAAAATTTAGAGTTTACATGGATAACCAATAACAATAGGTTCAGAGGTTTAGCTATTTCATATTTATTCAAGAAGTTTCGTTAAAGCAACCCGTGAAAAGAATTTCTTTGATTTGAGTATAAACCATGGTCAAAATGACTAACTTGTTACTTAATAAAGCACTGTAATCAATAAAAGGCCAGAGTTAAGCTAAAAAATTTAGTCACAATAAATTAATCCATATACTCCTCCAAGTAATGATGTGAAGCACTCACGCTCAGCGAGCACTTTATCTACTCAACTTTTTACTTTTGCAATAGGTCCTACTGTAGAATCACATAAAGATATGTTTTCTTTAAGACTTTCTCGCCAAATTAGCTCTTCCACACATTTTGAAATTAGGATAAATCCTTATCTTAACTTCAAAAAAGAAGGAGAAAAAATTTAATATGATGAATGCGTTTATTTTTATAATCCTAAGCACAATTCTATTATATAAAACTAAGGCTTATGTGAAGTTGAGAATACATCTGAAGGAGTTGGTTTACAAGATAATGGAAATAACAAAAAAAAGAGTTTGTTTTAAAATTAATATGCTCATCTCACTAAAAATTTGCGTATTCCTTTCACTATTGAAAAATCTAAAATATATAAGCACTATTATGCTGCTCATAAAAAGAATAACATTCATCTTTTTGGAATCATCTTCTTAAAAAGTAGCAAATATATCACTCTACCATCTAATTATTTGACTAAAGATATTGCTATTATAGTTCCTATGAAAGAATAATCATAGCAGACTTTTAATCCCAATAGTCTCTCAAAAGAAAATAACACAAAAGATAATGCAAATGGAGCTAATCGTGAATTCCACAATAAAAAGCAATTTCTTTAACTTCTATTTAAATAAGCTTAAATTATGCGTGAATAAGAAGGAGGAGGGAACATAAATTAGATAACCAAAGGTGTTTTAGATAATGTCAATTTATAAAATATGTCTCCAGAAGAAAAAATTATGGTTTAAGATTAATTTTTGCAGTAGTAAAATGACCTCAGCTCATAAAGTGTTTCAAGATAAAATTAATACAATAAAAATAATAATATGGAAAGAATATACTATGGAGATTATGTCAGGATAAAACACATCAAACGTAATGATAAATCTACAACTCAGTTGATTTCTGAGTCAAACCTTTGTGGCTTTTGCCCAAATTTACTACTTATCAACGATAAACCTCATATTTACCACGAGTAGTATCCTTCTTCAGGAATTTTTTAAATTGTTCCTATTGATGAATCATTCTTCGGTTAGCCTGTTGAATTTGACAAACAATATTATGGAAGTGCGAGTTTTAGACTGAGACATGTTAACACATCAAGATATCTTAAATTTAATAGATTAGATAATAATGTAACTCTTTCTGAAACATTAGAAAAATATAATTCGTTGTTTAAAAACCAACCCTAAGTTCCCTTGACGAAAAATTAAAGCTTCAATCGCTCAAAAAACTCACCTAGATGGTTAAATAAACTTTTAGGAAATTCTGGTAATGGAAATAACTCACCTTCAATTCGACGTTCAGTAATAATTATATTTATATTTGATTTAATACATTTAAGTTAATATTTAATTCAATGTAATTAATTTATAAATAAATGATTTTAAAGCAAATATTTTTAAAAATTTGTTGTGGTTAAACTTTTATTTTTAATTATCAGAGCATAAGAGTGAAGTAATTAGTAGAGGGATTGAATGTAAATAAGAAAGATTTTACTTTCACTACATAGGAAGCAGTGGCTATGTAAGATGATTTATAGGATTGGTATTCTGAAAATGCTGACCTACTCATAGAGAGTGGAAGTAGGGAAGAAAAGTATTTATTGGAGCACAATTCTTTCTGTATTAAAGATGAAAAGCTAAAAAGTTTTATTAAAGTAAATTTAAATGACAATGAAGCTACTGAAATAGTTTAGGGTAATATGATTGAAGATGATGATTACATTAAATTAATGTTTAACAACTTAAATCCCCTGGAGCGTAAATACTATCCTCTTGAGATATCATCCTAAAATGGAGACTTTTTTTATTTCACGTTGTGTAAGCCTAATGAAATTTCTGATTTGATGATATTGAATTGCCATCTGGACTAGTTCATGAATATATTAGAAAATCCATAAAAGTGTCTTTACAGCCAAAAATTCATAGAAAAGGCTGAAAACAATCTTCTTAATTTACTGATGTGGCTTTGCAACATTCATCCATCAGATAGAGTATGTCTAATTATATAAATAAAAGTTATTTGATTTATAAATTAAAAAAATTAGTAAAAGCCATCCCTCTAAGACTTGAGTTAACCTCCAGTCCATCAAAAGTAGAATATTTTTAGAGAAAATGGGTTAATTGAACTACTGATAAACATAATACACTTAATACACCAAGAAAAACTTTTAAATAACAGCAATATGGAATAGAATCCTCACATCTTTCCTTTTGTTTAAACTATTCTAAAGTTATTGCAAAATATTTGCTATAAGGTAAATTTATTTTGCTCAAGAAAATGAAATTATAATGTTTTATGTAATAAATATATATAGAATTATGCTAATTCAATTTATGCTTTACAATGGTATTTCCTTTTTAGAGAAATTATTCTTGATGAAAATGTTATTTTAGACATAAGATTTGATCTTTTTATTAATGATTTATTCAAAATCACTGATTTAAATGTATCATATCAAGCAGATTTTGAAAGCATTTCTTCTAAAATTTAATATGAGGATTTTAATATAAACGCACTCAACTTGATTTTATCTTTTTGCTAGTATAACGAATATCGTTAAAAAGACCAAGAAGAGGAGATGGTCAAGACTATTTTTAATACTAAAGAAAATATCTTTAGAAGATTAGTTTTAAAGCCAAACAAAAATGTAATTAATAATTTAGAAAGAAAATTATTTAATTTATTTTTTAAACCCAGGTTTGCATAGAAATAGATACACAAGGATTTGAATATGTTATAGATCCTTTACTTGAAGCAAATGAAAGAGAGGTATGGGATTATTCTATTGCTGTAGTGAATTTAATGGTAGAGTTATGTAAAGCTAATGTCTCATTAGTTATAGATTAAGTTGAATACTTCTATCCTTTTAATGCTATTACACAAATTATACAGAATTAATCACTATCTTGCTCCTATAGAGTAATTTTATTTGCTTTTAATTACTTTAAAAAATATATTTATTCAAATTAAGTCAACCATTTTGACATTGATTAAAGAAAGTTATATGCGATTTGACTTTAGAGACAGCATTGCTTCCAAATTCCCTGATTATATAAAATTTAGACAGAAAAATTTAGAAATAAAAGACTAAAGAAAGATTTCACAAATAGTTTAGAGCAGATATTTTTCTTTATCTGACGTAGATTTTAACTTAAAGAATTTTATCTAGGAAGAAATAAGATTGATGAACAAATTGATTAAATCTCCTATTCAAGATAAAGAATTATTTGAATTATATAAGCTAGGAAAAATTATTCTGCAAATGCAACTATTTTTAGTTGAAAGATAAATTTATGATTTGAAAGAACTAGAAGAAATAAAGACAGATATACAGAATCTTTTGGAAACTCTCATTAATGTATATGAAAATGAGTTTAAAAAAGCCAAAAAAGATGATAGAGAAAAAATTGGTGGTCTGTTTGTAAGAAAAGGATATACTATTTAATCAGCAGAATAGACTGAATGGATAATAAGTGCATTACAAAGCCTTTAGCAAATAGAATATAGAAAGCAGAATGAGCTACTTGAAGTAAATTTCAAAAAAATCTTAACTTTCAAATAAACATTTTATTAAAATTTATTGAAAAAGCTACTTTATTAAAGTCCATAAACTAGTGGCTACTTTGATTCAGCAAATAATTAATTACATTCAACAGAGGCATTGGAAGCACTTTAAGAGTTTGCAAGAAGCTAAATTGAAATAGAAAAGTGTGAAAACTTGGCTAAAAACCTAACAAAACTTCTCCTCTTTAATGATATTCAAATTAAAGCCCTCGCTGTTTAAAATATTTATACAATTTACTCAAGAAATTTAAATTTTTATACTAGTGTGAACATCATTTAGCCTATTGATGGGAAAAACTTTGGACTTTACTAAAAATTTTAGCAAATTCATGACTAAATTCACCACTATGTTATTAATCTTAAATACGTTTTAAGTAATGAAGATGAAAAAAAGAATTTTTATTTAGAATAATTGTAAAAAGTTTTTGATGAATTGTGTGATGAGCTTTTTATTTCTTAACACTAAATCGACAGTTAGTAACATAATAAAAATTCTAAATGTAATATATTCGATAAAGAGAAAGCCAACATTGAGTCAAATAATGAAGTTGATCCAATTATTTCATAGGACTAGGCTAAATTAATAAAAAATTCAGGAAGTAAATTAAAAGGAATGACAAAATCTGGCTTCAAGGAATAAAAATAAGAAATCGTAAATTATTCTATTATTGTAAATTGATTTAAATATTAATTAATTTTTATAATAGCAAACTGAATAATAGCCTTAATATTATCATGTTTGGGGGAATTATTATGTGGATTTAAATTAAATTTAAAAATATTAAACTTTAATGGCAAATATGAATTACCATAAAAAATTACTAGACTTGATAGATTTTTTTTACAGTCAAGTTCCCATGATGAAAGGTAAAGAACATGTAAAGCTGTAAATTAGCCAACACTGTGTGGCTATTTTGATACATTTTATTATTAAAAACCAATCAAACTAAGATTTACTTCTTAGTGATAGCAGATTGAGTGGAATAAGTTAAGAGCAGGAAGAAAGTGTTAAGAGTATTGCTTATAGAATTATATAAAATGATAGTGCTATTTAACAGTTATTCTTTGTTTTACTCTATTAAATATATAAAAATAATTATGCAGAACTAATGAATTTCACTTCATCTAAATCAACTATGAAATCAATATTATTGGAAGTGATGAAATCGATTAAAGATAAAATTCCAGACGATAAGACATATTCAATTTATTTTTTTGATATCCTCAAATACTTCTTTTCAATTAATGGAAAGAACATTACTCAAAATATACTACTTATTATTTAAGAGATATCTGAAAAAATACCAGCATTTTCTTATGTTATTAAGACAATTTGCGATTCTGTAAGTCATCTTCCCACTAGAAACGTAAAATTTTTAACACTACTATAAATTAGTGAGTAAATTAGCACATATTTAATTTTAAAAAATAGTTTGAAGATGATATTCAAGAAGAAATATAAAACAAAGATGAGAGTGATGATGAAAATAATGAACTAAAAGAGAAAGAGGATAGTAAAAATTAGGAAAAATAAGAAAAAAAAATTAGAATAAAATGTGAAGAAAATGCCTGTATTTTAATAACTTTTCTTCGTACTTTGAAAGAAATGGTAAAAAAGTCATCATCTTAGATTTATACTTTTGTAAGAGGAATATTTTCAATCAAGTAAATAAAAGAATATTTATCCAAGACATAGTATTTATATCCTCTCAAGTTAGAGTATTTGAAATTTCTTATGGAAACATATATAAATTCTAAATAAATGGAAGCATAAGAATACATAGAAGTTAGTGAAATTGTCAACTTACTAGCTCATGAACTTTTTAATTATTTAGAAATGACATAAAAGAAAGAACTATATGGAAAGCTTTAGTTATATTCAAGATTTAGGAGTATCTTCGAAGAGAAATATGGATATTCTACCCATTAATTAGTCTAAGTTACATTATTAGAATCATTCGAAGTTTACATTATTCAAGGTATCATTCCTACAATCAAAGGGTTTGTAGACAAGGTAATTTAATCATAATAGATATTGATAATTTAATTTTTGTTAAATATTTTTTTTAGTATTAAAATTTATATAATTTAAAAATTTTAATAGATTTCTTCTACTCCCTCTGATAATGACGCGAAGTTAGTTGATATGTATTTTATTAAATTCTTTTTTAAGTTAAAATGAATATAAACAAATTAAATTAATTAATTAGTTTGTTAGAAGGTTTAAAGAGAATTCATGAATATTGGGATAATACAGATGTATATTGGACTTAAGCTAATAAAGAAGAATTCAATGAACTAAAAAAGTAGATAGGAATAAATGCTAAATAGTTCACTACTCCTTCTAGACCAAGAGTAAAATTGTTTATTAAAAAAATATATTTATCAAAAGGTAATTTTTCTAAATAGGGTTCAAGAGAAAAAACTCGCAAAAACTCAGGAAAGAAGAGAACATTTATTGGAGGCTTATTCGGATCTTCCAACAAGGAAAAAGAAAAAGATCCAAAATCAATGCAACTCGACTTTAACTTTGCTGATAAATAAGATATCATAACTAAAAAACTAAAAAATATTAAAGAGCTATAAGATGAACTCTCTTATTTAATTTAAGAGAAAGGCTAAGTGTTTAGTCAAAAGGCTAATAAATCTACAAACAAATCCTAATAAAATAAAATGAAAAATCAAAAGAAGCAACAAATTTTTAATCCTAAAATCATATCAAGATATCATGACCTTGAAATCGATAACTTAGTATCAATCTACATATAAATGAAGAAAGAAAAACCAGAAGAAGTACTTATTTAATAAATAAACGAACATATTTTATTTTACATTTTATAATAGTTCAGAAAGATTCTTTAAAGTCTGATAGATGTTCTTACAAAATACACAGGTAAAAAAGAAGAAGCTATGGGCATAAGGCTTAATGCGATGAAAATGTTAAGAAAGATTTCAAATTATAAAAAAGATTAAAAAATTAGTGATAGTATACAGAGGGATTTGAATGCTATGGGTTTTTTAAATTTTTTGTGTGATGTTATTGTAGAAGAGGATGATTCTAAGATGAAATTAGAGTATATTCTAGGTTTAAATAACTTTATGGAAAAAGCAAATTTAGAAATACAAATGTCGTTTTACAAATATTTGTAAGACGATTCTTCTAACAAATTTATAAGGACTCTTTAAAACTTTTTAAAGAGCAATTTTAGTTAATTCAAAAATTACATGAAAAATAATATTGGATCACAAAACAGCTAGGGTGAAGAATAGAAAAATTTTAGCCAGGTAATAAATACCTTAAAATTTTCAATTAATTTTTGTTATATTAAACTTTTAATATTAGATAATGGATAGTATTTAAGAAAATTGCATTTAAACTATGGAACTGATTAGATTGTCTTGTGAGAACCACTTTTCTAAAATGCAGGACTTCTTGAGAGTTTAGATTGACAGTCATAATGAAATTAAAACTAACTCAATAAATGTTGTAACATTACTTGCAGATATTTTTGAAAAATATTGCAAAGTTTTGAATGAAAGTAATCTTTAGTTTGGTCTCTAAATTCTTAATACATTAATTGAGCTAATTCAAGGTCCCTGCATTGAAAATCAAAATATCCTTTGTCATACCAAATTACTTGAGAATCTCGAAGATTTAATAGCTGATTTAAATATTAAAAGTAAGAAATTTATAGGATCTATTAAAAACACTAGAATATTCACAAGATTCTCCAGAAAGATATTCTTGCTACTCAGAGGATTATTCGATGCGAATGAAGATCCAATAATTATATCAAAAATTAGCAATTATGTAGATCCCCAAATGCTAATTTAAAAAATGAATTTTACTTATAAGTAATATTTGATGATTACTTCAAAAATATGTAAATTTAATTTAAAACTACAAAATTTAAATCAATAATTACTCAAAATATAGCAAGTAAGCATTAAGGCCTTATCTAATTCTTAAGTATAATGAAAGATGAGACCAAGAAGCAATAACTTCTTTTAAAATAAGACAAAGCAGAAGAGGATGAAGAAGGAGATGATTCTTCTGTTTAAAAAAATGATAAACTTCTTACATAGAAATTAACTAAAAAAAATGATATGAATGGTTACAATTTAAGCAATTAATATAATGCCAGTAATATACCTCATAAAAAGAAATAAACTATCAAGCAATAACAATATTCATCTGATGTCATTACTTATATGAGAGGAGATGAACTTATTAATGAAGGATTTGATGCCTACATTTTATTAAAAAATTTATGCTTCCTTGACCCTTCTTTCAACAAGAGATACAATTATTATCTATAGAATATAGTAAATTTTTTAAATATTTTTTTAATAAGTTTTATTTTATTAAAAAATATAAAAGGAAATTTAAGAAGACAAATATAAAGAGATTCGTTAGACTCTAAATTTTTATAAATTAAATACTTGTTCTATTGAAATTGTTAATTCAAAAGGAAATATTTAAAAAATTATTTTCCGTATCCCTAAACTTATGAAATACTTTTCTACTACATCCTAAGAATATTTCATGGATAATTGTGAAAGAGGTAGTGCTCAGGAAAAAGTATCATCACTGCTGGATAATTTAAATGATTTCCATGAAGAAATGAAACATTTCCTATACTTAAATTCTAAAAATCTATTTTTCAATTTGACCTATCTCTCTTATTTCAGGAATCTTAATCTTTTTGTCATCTTAATTATTAACCTGTAAAATAAATAAATTATATTAATTATTTAAGCTTTTAACTATTTATTTTTTTAAAATTTAGATTTATTTTATATGAGTGGGATTAGAAAAAAGATATTTCAGATGATTAAACCGAGGAAATTACACTTGAGGTTAATTAAGATGCTAAAAACTTTAAAACTTTTATTCAAATCATGTAGCTAATAATGAGTTGTTTAATATATGTCATTTGGCTCATATTTTAATTTCCTCTTGAGCTTAAAAAATCAATCTCAAATTTCAATGAATATGAAGAAAAAACTTTTAAATATAAGGCAAACAACTAAAATGATATTCGTCAACAATCAGATGCATAGAGAAAAATTACTAAGGTACTTTTTTCATTTTTATTTAAAGAATAATTAAGGTAATAAATAAATCTTATATTAAAAGCTAAATAGGGCGTTTAGGAGATTTATATATATAGCAAATCACTTGGTTCTTGAAAGTCACTTTATATATCTGTTGATAGCTATTATTTTTAGTATTTTAGGTATAACTTCAAACCCTGTCTTTTTCTGTCTTCTTTTGCTCGATATAATTGATCGTTCTGTATAATTACTTTAAACTTTTAAATATAGCTAAATTTTATTGTTAATTAGGTTGTGCTAAGAAATGTTATTAAGTCAATTACTTTAAATGCTCTTTCATTGATCATGACAGCTATTTTAGGTATTATCATTGTTTACATATATACTATGATAGGATTCTATACTCCAAGTTTGAAGAATGAATTTAAATTTGCAGGAAATAATGATAAAATGGAAGTTTGCACAGATTAGATAGACTGCTTTTTATTCTTTTTAAATTTCGGCCTGCGTAATGGTGGAGGTATTGGTGACTCATTTGTCTCACTTAAAGATGATAATCCTTCCTATACAGATTTATTTTTCTTTGAAGTTTCTTTCTTTGTTGTTATTATTATCATGATTTTAAACGTTGTCTTTGGTATTATCATAGATACATTTGCTGAATTAAGAGATATGAAAAATTTTAAAGGTAATATTAACTTTATTTTTTAATCTATTTGATATTTTTAATTTTCAAGTTAAATTAAATGAATATAGATATAATATTCAATCCAATTTACTAGTTTATATTTTTAACAAATAAAAAAATGCTGTAAAAAATTGCTTTTTATAATATATTTTTGTTAAAACGAATAGATAATGATTAAAAAAATAACTGTTTCATATGTAACATTCAAAGAAGCTCATTTGAAAATGAGAGAATTAATTTTAAAAAGCATTCTTAAAAAGAACATAATTGCTGGAATTATTTAGCCTACATAATAATGCTTGATTATAAAGATTCTAATGAATATGATGGAATAGAGTATTATGTAAGCGAAAAAATTTAAAAATAAGATATGTCATGGTTCCCAATAGGTAAATCTCTCACACTTTAAGCGGAAAGGCAAAAAAAGAATTAATAAGGTATTGATTAAATAAGTTTACTTAAGTCTAATAAATAATAAGATAACTTATTTAAATGATATTGAAATTCTCTAAATGAGAAATAAAATATTTATATTAATTATATAGTTTAAAATTATAAAATAAATTAAGCTACCAACTATACATACATATATAAGCAATTAAATTTTCAATAATTGTAAATATATTTAGATATATTTAACAATGTTACTTAATTATTATATTAATTTATAATATGTGATGCAATATTTATAATTTTTGAATTATAATTTTATTTATAACTAATTTTCTTTAAATATATTCTTTTAAATTATTAAAATTACTATTCATCAAAAAATGAATGCTAATAGAAAATGTCAATTTAAGATTATCAGATTAAAATGATCGAGAGTATAGTAAATTAATTGTCATTTGTAATCTAATAATTGATAGGATTTTTATCAAAACTGTAAATTAAAGAGCTCGAATACAATCAAATTTTAGGTAAAATAGATTGATATCTATCTTGTAATTGTATGGTAATTATACTTAAATATTTGTTTATCACTCATATTTCTTTGATAGATATAATAATTCAATTGCTAGAATAAAATATTTAAAATATTAGCTTACTTTTAAATAATATAACAAAATTAAAATTAAATATTTGGATTATCTGGCATTACTACTGCCATATTAAGAATGTTTTTACTAAAAAATAAAATAATTCAGTTTAATTTTTAATGAAATAAATTTTCAAAAAAATTTGAACTAAAACATTCCAAAATTTTTTTTTATTTTGGGTAAAAGTAAATACAAATTATAGATTTGGCAAAATTTATAATCAATTAAATTCTATTTAATTGAATCAGAGATTTTAACCAATATTATTTTTTATTAAATCTATTGCGCATCATTCATCAATATAAAATGAAGTAGGATAGAAAACAAAAGTGTAAAGATGGGTTGAAAATTAAATTTCTTTTGATAATTTTTATCCTTGAGTTCATTTTTATTTCATATAGAAATCTACAAAAAGATTTCATTAATAAATAAGCAAAATATGAAAGATAGATTTTTAGTATATTTGTAGATATAGTAAAACTTTAATTATAGTTATAAATTTATAGCACTAAAATTTACTATTTATTCTTATCTACAACTAAAAGTTATTCTCATAATTTATAGGCTTATAGCAAAAATTATTTGTTTTTTTTATCAATTAGTGTTATCGATAAAAATATTATCAAATTAAAATCAAAAAGTATTTCTTTTTAGGAAGAACAATAGCAAGAATATACTATAAACTATCAACAATAATAAAAGGGACATTCTTAAATACTTAAGATTTCTTAATATATGTAGAATAGTCACAAGGCTAATTTAAAAAAATAAATAGAGATAGGAAAAGAATAAATCTATTATAATTATCAGCGAGAAAAATATCTTAGATATGGAGATTACATCATACTGAAAAGTAGTGAAGTACCTTATTAGTATTTAAGCAGTAGAAGCATTATAGAAGAAAATATTTATTACCTGGAGTAGCATATACAGGTAGAGATAGATGACTATAGTATTATTGATTATCCAAATTTTAGTGAATTAATATTCGCAATTTACCCGAATCACTACTATGAGGCTTCAAAAGCTTATGATAAATTTTAATTGAATTAAATGAGTAATAATCAAAAGAATTTAGCTCTCCAATATTTAGATCCAGATTTTAACTAAGAAAGAATAAATTTAGAAAATATGTCAGGAAAGGAAATTAATAAATATGACACTCTTAGGAGACGTATGGAGGCAGAAATAGAAATTAACAATAAGCGTGTTAGCCAATTCAAAGGCTAATATGTGACTATAGGATAAGAAATAATGTTATACCACGTCTATAGCAATAGTTTTATTAAAGCAACTCGTGAGAAAAGTGATGAAGACTAGAATTTATTCCATATTAAATTAACTCAAACCCCATCCAGTTCTACTCATTTTATTATACGTATTAATCCCTATCTCAACTTTAAAAAAGATGGTGAAAAAATAGCATATGATGAGTTATTTTATTTTGAGAACACTAAATATCATACTGTATTTTCTATATAGAGCTCAAAGGATACTCAAATTGTTGTAGGATCAGCAACTAATTTGGAAAAATAAAAACTCCCATAAATTTGTAAAGTTCCAATGCTTACTCTCAATGGTGAAATATCTAAAAAATAAATGTAAGCAGAAGAGACTAGTGTCTAAGCATATAAAAAGCAAACTGAGTTGATCTATACTCCTACTCTTGAATAAATGGTATATTTTACCAATTATGGGGCAGGACATAGAAAGGTATAGAAGGATAGGATTGATACATTTTAAGCTGTGTTTATTAAAAAAGCTCCTATTCAAAACGCGTCTTTATTATAAACAGCAAATAGTAATATAAATTAAGCTAGCATAAACAATAAAGTACAAAAAAAGAATTAAACTTAATAATCTCATATTTTGTAGGGAGATTATGTAAGGTTAAAGCACATATTAAGATCAAGCAAAAAAACAACAGTTATTCATACAGAATCGAATGTTTGTGGTTATGCTCCTAAAGTATTTGCCGTAGTTAAAGATGATACTAATTTATATGATAAAGAATCTCTATGTGATATTTTTTAAATAATACCAGAAAAAGAAAGCGATCTTGGAGTACCAATAGAATTTGATAATCTTGATTATGGCGAAACAACAATACGTTTAAGGTATTTAAAATTATATGCTTAACTTATCAAATAAACCACTTTTTCTCTTTGTTTTAAACATTTTTTTTTTTAAATAAGACACCTCCTTACTGGTAAGTATCTTATGCTCAGCTAAAAGAAAATGGAATTATCAAATTCAATGGATGATGTATTTATTTACTTAATTTTAAACATATTTGATTTAAATGTATGCAATTTTAAATAGCAATTAATGGAAGGAAGAAAAAATCTTGTTGAAAATAGGAGAAAAAAGAAAAATAAAGAGAAGAAAACAGATTCTTAAGGCTTTGGAGAAAATGGTGATATAAGATTATAAACAAAAGAATCTTCTGTAGGAAGTGGCACTGGTAAAGAAGAAATGCAAGAATATATTGATTAATTCAAAGAAACAACAGAGTTTGTCTTATAAAATGCTGGAAGAGATGAACCCTACTTATTGACAACAACTACATTTTAAATAAAAAATTCAGATTAAAATTATGCTAAAATAAGCGAATATGATGTACCATCTTAAGAATTGGTAATAACCTAGTAAGATCAAGAGTAGAAAAATGTTTAAAAAAATAAACAAAAAAGTAGATAGCATAATACATATCAAAGCTTACCAGGAGAAATATGCAGTGAAGATTATTTCTAATCCTGGTTTATTTAGATGGATACTCTCAAAAGAAAATACTATCCTCTTTATTCAGATGATCAAGAAGGAGATTTTTTTTATTTTGAATTAGTTAATGAATAAATCATATCTGATTTCAACACATTAAATTGTCATCTGGATCCTATTATACAATTATGTGAAGACACACCTAAGAATATATTTTAAAAAGAAGTAATTTTGTAGGCTAAAGAAAACATAACAATATTAGGTCTTTGGTTATGTGATATAAAACTAGATAATCTTAAAGAAAAGCCAAAACTTGATTAAATCAACTCCATTCCTATAGCCAGAAAGTAGAACATTTTTAGAGATATTGGAATCATCGATATGTTAATAAAAATAATTCTACATACATACAGATTCGAATACCTTTGTATGGATAACATTTAAAACAATGTAAATTTATTAAATTTGAAATTAAACATAAAGATGTTTCTTTTTGTAATATAAATAGGTTGAAATATATTAATTTGTTTAAACTGCTATAGATTTTCTGATAAAAATAAGCTATAAGAATTTTGTTAATTCGATGTATATAATCTCTTGGTACAGTCTGTTTAAGAAAATTATTTTAGATAGTGAAGTAATTATGGAGTTCAAATTCGATAAACTAGTTAATTAATTATTCAAGGAAACTAATATCAATGTGTCTTTTTAGGATGATTTGAGATAAATAGCAAACGAAATATCTTATGAAGATATCAACTTAAATGCTCTTAATCTTCTATTGAGCTTTTGCTAATATAATCCATACAGAAAAAAGCAAGAGCATGAAGAAATCATATAATTTTTATTTGAAAATGAAAAAACAAGAAAAAACATATTCAGAGCATTTAAATTAGATGAACAAGGAAATGTATGTTGATATTAATAACAATTGAATTTAGTTAAAATAATTATTATTGTAAAAATAGGTATATTTAGAACTTGAAAATGAAAATAATAGTAACAATAATTAGCTTGTTAAGCATATCATAGACAAAGATTTTTAGTTCATTTCTAAAGATCTCTATCTTTATAGTATGCAAGTCGTTAATTTGACTTCTGAGCTTTGTAAAGGGGGACCTTCTTTGATTATTGATTATATAAAAAAATATTATGATTTTAAAGTTTGCATGAATGTTATTGGCAATGATGAAATCGCTTCTGCCTTCCGTGCTATATTTTTGAATTTATTTAAAGAAAGCTACTTAGTAAATGACTTCAAGTATACACTTGTAGAAGATCTTCCTTCTTTAATAAAAATCAAAAGTAGTATTGGATTCTAAGGAACGTTGCTTGAAGGAATGTTTATGAAATTTAGAGATAGAATTAATTTAAAATATTTTTATTAGCAAGGAGAAGATGATGAAAATAACAGCATTTATGATTAAAATATGAATGAAAACAAATCTATCTTTCAAGATAAATCTCATATTAATCTCAAAGTAAAAATTATTTTTTAGTATTTATTATATTTTTATTTGATTTATTTTTCTTTTTTAATAAGAATATTTTTTTCTTCTTAGTATTTTTGCATTTTTAAGTTCATTTATTTTGTAGCATTTTTAAGTTCATTTATTTTGTAGCATTTTTAAGTTCATTTATTTTGTAGCATTTTTAATTTCATTTATTTTAAAGTTAATAATAGATAAATTTTTATAGAGCTTCACAACATTATATTTCAAAGAGCAAAATGAGAGTGTAAGGATTTTTAACAAATTTATTGTTTTTCTTAAAAAAATAATTTATTTTTAGAAGGATTTTAAATACGAAGTAAACGAGTTGGCTTCTTCAATTCTATCATTATGCCATTTTATAATACAAAGAGGATTCTATACAAACACTGAAATTATTTAATTAGAAAAAACTATTTATGAAATATTTTAATAGGCTTACATATTCAGAAAAGTAAATAAATTTCTTTTTTTATAAAATAAATTCATTCTTAATAAAACTAATTAATTTTTTGTTATTTTTTAAATTGATAAATTATATTTTTTAGATTAAAGTTAATTACAAAGGCGCTCTTAAAAATAAAAAAGTTGGGGGACTACTTGTGACAAAAAACATTCATATACCAATAGTATTTTTTTACATTAATATTATTAAATTAAAAAAAAATAATTTTTTAGGAAATGGTAAGTTGGATGTCTATAGCTATAAATATTCTTCATTTCATAGAAGATCTCAGCTTGGAAGAGTTAGTATAAAGACTTTTTTAAGATAATAAATTTAATAAATACTTTGGTGAGGATGAAGAAAAAGTTGCTTTAAATAATAATAAAGATGGAACTAAAAACTAATAATTTCTTTAAGAAAAAAAGGACAAGATAGTTGACTTTTTTGATTTAGAGTAAAGTCAAAGAAATATCAAAAATATATTTGTATTATGCGAAATGTTACTGCTTGATAATATTGAGTTAAAAGGTAAAATTGTAGATACAATTTACAAGCAATTTTCATAAAAAAAGAGATATTATGAATGCTTAAATAACTGTATCACTATTGATTTCAATAATGAAAGAATATATTAAACCTTAAATGAACTATATTACATCATTCATTTTTGTATGATTGATATTTAATTTTAAAAATCATAAGAAGTGTACAACAGTTCTTCTAATATTTCTAAAATGTCTGAAGCTTTTACTGATTTAATAAGTTTTCTTTTTGATGAGAATCCTCCAGATGATCTAGTTGAGCTTGCAAGTTTAGATTTAGAGGATGGTGATGTTCAAGCTAATCAAGTAAAGCCTTCAATTGATACTCACTAGAGAGTTCATGGTTTATTTACATTCTAATAACCAAAATCTGGAAGACTGATTGGAACTTAAAAAACAATAAAAGACAATAATTAACTAAACGGAATAGAATTAAACTAAATAAATTTAGATGTTAATCCTACAAGCAAAGATTATGTAGTACTCCCTTCAAGTGTAGCAAGTAACAATCGCATAGATTATGAATCAAATCCCGCTTTAAATAATGCAAACAGTAAATAGAACAAAAGTAATTAAAATAGTCCAAAAATTTAACCATTTTAATCAAATAATCCTACAATTAAGGGTATTTCAAAATCTCCTAACATTAGCATTTAAGAATCGAGAGATAATAAAAGAGATCTCCAAATTAATGAAAAATATTTATTTAGAGGAGATAGTAACGTTATGTATAGCATATTGGACTAGCACTACATAGAAATAGCTTCTTTGTATAATAACTAAAGGCTTTTAAAAAATATGAATTTTCATAAACTATTAATTTAAATAATTACTTTGTTTGGTGATAAACATTTTGATAAAGAACAAGAAAATAGTAAATAAAAAAGTAATATCATTAAGAGTAGCTTAATGGGCTTAATTTATTTTACTCTCCAGAACGAAGAGAATTAAGATTTGATATTGTAGCATCAAGATTATCCAGAAGTTATAAAGACTATTTTTGGATTAAAACATGTAGAAGGCATGCTTGAATTAACCTTTATTTTTATTTCATAAATATACAAAGACAACTACTCTATCCTCTTGAGTTTAAATAGTCATTTTTCTAAGCAAGGAAAGTTTGTTTTAAAATCTTTATTTGTTAACTTTTTTGATACAGCAAATAAGAATGATAAAACCTATTGCATATACTTTATTTAGTTTTTAAAATATTTCTTTACAATAAATGGAAAGAATATTTAACAAAATTAGACTTTGCTTTTTAAAATTTTCTCAGATGAATCTATTTCAAGTAAATAGTAAATTTAATCTATCATAACTAAAGCAATACAACATATTTGCATTGATCATGAAAATCCTATGGTAAAATTTTTAAATTATTTTATTTTTCTAATCTTAAATTTTAAAAAAAGAATAAGCTGGACAATTTAAGTAATAATTAGATACTTAGAGAAGAAGATTATGTTATAAAAGTTCCATAAGAGGCTATTCTAATTTAGTAAATGCTTACTACTTTTAGGGAGCTTGCGAAAGGTTCAGGATTAGCTGTCAATACTTTTGTTAGAATGTTCTTTTCTTTATAAGATATAAGAACCATTTTAAGCTATTGCTCTTGGATCCCTTCCCTTAAAAAAGAAGCCTTAGACTTCTTAGTTGAAGTTTATTTAAATAGTAAGAATATAGAACCTAATGAATTTAGAGAAATTTAAGTTTTGTTGATTGAAAATTTATACCAAGATCTGGTTGATTATTAAAAGTTTACTAGATAAACTAACAGGAATAGGCACAATATTAAATGGAGATGTAAGGGCGATTCTTTAAACCTTTTTGAAAACAGAAATCCCTATGGTTCAATAAGATATCTTATAACTATGAATTATCTCTATGGATATGAATATTATATACTTAATTCTATAATTCCGTGCTTGCAATCTTATTTTAATAAGCTATCAGATATTCCTTCCGATTAATAGTTTTAATTAGCTTCTTAATTTGAGGTAAAATCATTAAAAATATTAAAGCTTTAAATTAAAATTTTTATTTTTATTTTAAATAGAGCATATGCAAGAGGCTAGAAAAATATTGGGATAATGAAGAATAAATTGCAAAAAAAATGTAAGATGGAGAATTTGAAGATTGTGATGGAGGATTGATGGTAAATTACGACATAGATTCTAAAGAGAATAGTAATGCTTAAAATAGGTCTGATGATCAAAAATCAGGCGGTTTGATTTGGAATTTCCCAATTAACCAGTAAAGAAAAAACTCAGACGATAGTCTACCAATTCGTAATAAAAGTCAAACTAGAAAAATGTATAGTAAAAAAGTCTCAGGCACAACAATAGAAAAGAAATAAAAAAAGACTGATATGATTAAAGGAACATTATAAGTCCTATCGAATTTAACCATAACAGAAAAGTATAGAAATATCTAAATGAAATAATAAAATATTCTTACTAATTACAATTATGAGGCTGCTTTTGCTATGGCAAGACAAAATAGACCTGTTCCATTTTTCTAGAAATCATTTATTGAAAATGAACATGAGTTAGAGCTCGAAAATTTGATATCTACACTTATTGAAATAAAAATATAAGATTAATAGAAATTTAGAACACTAATTTAATCGTTTATTGCTGTGCTTAGTTGTGATACTATAGAAACAAATATTCGAATGAACTCTATGAAAATATTGCGTAAAATTTCTAACTACAAGTAAGATTCCAAAGTCAACGAAAGTATCTAGCACGATTTGATATCTATGGGTTTCTTAAATTTCCTATGTGATATTATTATTATTGAATAAGATCCATTGATGAAACTTGAGTATATTAGAGGTTTGATTGATTTCATGGAAGAGTCTAATAGAGATATATAAGATTCTTTTTACTAATATTTGCTTAATGACAAAGATAACAGATTTTTATTAGAAGTTAATTCATTTTTATAGCAAAATTTTCACTCATCAAAAAGCAATCAAGGCTTGTTCGAAGATAAAGGATAACACTAATAGCACTTTAAGCGTATTTTAGTATTAAAGTTTGAAATTTGTATGAGATCTCTTGAGCTCTTGAGACTTTCTACTGAAAATCACTACAGACCTATGCAAGATTTCTTAAGGTAATAAAATAAAAAAATTTTTTTTTTAATAAAAAAACTTTAAAATAATAAGAGAATAAATAAATCCAAATGGCGAAAAGAAATCTAATAGTGTGAATATGATAAATCAACTATCTTAAATGTTTGAAAAATATAGAAAAGTAATGTAAGATGACGACCTATAGTTAGGAATTAAAATTTTAGATACTCTAATTGAGTGGATATAAGGTCCTTGTGAAGAAAATTAATTAGCCTTATGTCATACTAACTTGCTTGAAAATTTAGAAGATATGTAATACGATATAAGCTAAAGAACAAAAAAGAAAGGAGAATACTAAAAATATCGTTCAGAGTTCAACTAAAAAACCATTTTGATTTTAAGATCACTTTTTGAAGGAAATTTCAATCCATATATAACTAAAAAAGTATCTATGTATGTTGACATTAGTCTGATGATTGACACTATTACTCAAAACTATAAACTTTATCAAGAATACATTAAAAAAATTAGTAATGTTCATTAAGGCTTACTTGAGTGTATGAAAAATAAAAATTTTAAATTCTAAGGAGAATTTGATTAATCTTAATACATAAGTTAAGAAACTCATGTCTCTCCTTTATCTGCCGATGAGCTAATTTAAAAATATGAAACTTCTTCTGTACTATCTGCAAGTGTAACTTCATCTTTTATGGAAAGGTCTGCTACAAATGCAATGCTAAATTCTGTTTAAGTAAAAAAAGAGAGAAAATCATCTACCATAGAGAATACTGAATTATATGAAAAAGCAGATAATGTTATCAGCGAAGGTAAACATTCCAAATTTCTTTTAAATGAATCAATCTTTTTTTATTCATTCACATAATTAAATCTTGATGTATTTTGTACATTTAACAACTTATTAATAATATTTACAAAAAAAGATAAATATCTAAAAAATAATATTATTCAATACTTTATTTTATTATTTCTGTTACCAAAATAATTAATTAATTATTGCAATATATTTAATTAGCTTTTGAAAGGTATCTGCTTGTGAAGAATTTGAAATTCTTAGATCCCACATTTAGCAAAAAATACGAGGAAGTATTGGATTTTTAGTTGAATAAGCTTACTAACCCAAATCATGAAGATGTTAGAAAAGCGCTTATTTTTATGGAAGACAATACTTGCTCGATAGAGATCATAAATCAGAAAAACTAAATTTAAAAAGTTTATTTCCGTAATCCTCCTATAACATAGTATCTTAGTACTATATCAAAAGACAGATTTTAGGACAAAGTTTAAAGAGACGGTTCAACAGAAAAAATAACTGGTTTACTCGCTGAAGAACCTATATTCTTGGATGAAATGTAACATTTCTTGAAATTAAATGCTTTAGGAATTTACTTCAATTTAACATACCTTTCATGGGCAAGGAACTTTAATTTGTCACTTGCCTTCCTCATAAATATATTTTTACTCATCGATGTCTTTTCTACAGAAACCAGGGGTAAAACAATAGCGTCTATATTTTAATACTTAAATCTAGCTATAAGTATACTCGTTATTATATTTTGGATTATCTTCGAGATGCCTCTGGAATTAAAACTTATAATGAGTCGATATGAAGAACTTTTAGATGAAATTAAATAAAAATAAAGATCAGTTGGTAAAAAAAAGTTCATCGATTACATAAAATTATCATGGAATAAAATAAAAACCTCATTAAAAAAAGTGTTTTTCATGATCAAATAAGCCTCGTTGAATTCTCACTTTGTTTATTTGCTAATATACTTCTTTTTTTCATTAGGTGGTATATTGTGGAATGACTTATTTTATAGTTTACTTCTGCTTGATATCATTGAGCGTTCTCTCGTCTTATAAAATGTCATTAAAGCTGTCACTTAAAATATAATACAAGTTGTAATGACAGTTGTTTTGGAAATTACACTGATCTATATTTATTCTATGATAGGATATTTTTCACCTACTTTAAAAGAGACATTTTTATATTACGGTCCTGGAACAGATGAGCATTACAATATTTGTAATAATGCAATAACTTGCTTTACTATGTTTTTGAATTAAGGAATACGTGCTGGTGGTGGTATAGCTGATTATCTCTACAATCCTTCACAAGATGACCCAACATCAGAGTATATTTCAAGATTCTTCTTTGACATTTCTTTCAAAATTATTGTCATTATTATCATGCTTAACATTCTCTTTGGTATCATTATTGATACTTTCGGCGAATTGAGAGAAGAAAGAAACGAAAAAAGTAATATTTTATTTGAAATATATCATTCTTATATTGAATTCATATAAATAAAATAATAGTGTAAGATAAAAAGAACAAATGTTTTATTTGTAATATTGAGAGAAGTCAATTTGAAAATAATAGAATCAACTTTTAAAAGCATTTAACCAAGTAACACAATACATGGAACTATTTCTTTTATCTTATTCACTTGCGTTTTAAGAACATAAGTGATTTTGATGGAACAGAGAGCTATGTTTATGAAAAGTATCGAAAACAAGATATAAGCTGGTTCCCCGTTGGTCAGTCTTTAAAATTATAAAAAGCTATGAATGATGATGATTAAGATAAAAATGAAATTTGAATTATTCATATAATCTAATAATTATATGAGTTAATTAGATTTTTTAATTTTTGATAGTTGCTGCTAAATTTTTTCAAAGGCAAATATTAAAAGAGCATCCATTAGTTAATTAATCAATCAATCAATAAATTTTGTATTAAATATTCATTAAATTTCGTGATCATTGAATGCGTTTACATTCATATTATGTATTTCAAAACAAGTATCATTATAATCAATTTTAATATTATGGATTTTTCCTTAATATTCAAAAAAATTACTTTTGATTTTTATGCTAATATTGATAATTTAGTAAATAATACACTTAAATTTAAATGTTGGTAAACTAAAATCAATTCTTTTAAATATATTTTAAATGGCAAATGTTTAATTTTTTTTTCAATTTTTAACAGATAAATTAATTATAATGAGTTTTTAAAAATGAAAAATATTATGCTATTCAAAAAATAAATCATTAGTATTTGAATATTTAATTAATTAGCTATCCATATGATCTACTACATAATCTTTCAAATAAAATATGAGCATAGGTTTGAATTTCAAAATTTTTAGATTAAAAATATAAGAATTAAGATTCTTATACTAATGATTGATTTGATTAATAGTTTGTCATTAATTATATTTTTTCTTTTTGCTTAACTTTGTAAAAAAACAAATAAACAGTAGAAATACTATGATATCTTAATCTTCATTAAAATATATGCATTAAAAGAGTCATAGCAATACAAATGCACAATAGATTTTACAAACAATGGGAGACTCTTAGTCTAATAGACATTCACTTGCCTAAAATACAATATTTAGTGTTAGAAATAACACTAGCAATAATGACTCTTCCTGTTTAATTTCTTCAAGTAGCAATAATAGTAGATTTAATCCATTTAAAAATGTGTAGAATCAACTATAGTAGAGATCAGGAGGATAAGCTTTTGACATCTAATTGAATGCTAGAAATAATTCAAATGGAAATATAATTTAAAGCAGTTACTAGGTTATTTAGAGAAATAGCTCTTAAGATGCAATGCAGTAGGTTAGTTCAAAAAATGAAAGTACTCTACATTAAAACTTTAACCATCACCTATTACTAAAGTAGCAGCAAAATATAGAACATAGCAAAAATAACTTTAGTGAAATAAATGAAAACGTCAATCATTAAAATACTAAGAGCGGAGATAATACAAACACTCTAAATACAAAAGCAAGCTAGCAAAAGAGCTTAAACTAAATTGCTCATCATGGAGGTAGTAAATCTTTAGATCAATCAACTTTTAAAAAAATGGGATCAAATTAAAACAACAATATGATAGGATTATAGCTTAATGCTTAGTTGCATCAAAGTGCCAATCATTCAGGATCTTAAAACCAATTTAGCAAAGGACATTTTTAATAAAGTTAGAATTTGCTCAGTGATAATAATAATTTAAAAATAGGGTAAAGCAGTGTTATAAATAACACTTATAAAAAATTTGCTAGCAATTAAGGGAATTAAATATAGAATGGAGGAGGGTAGCTTAATGTTTAGAGTTATCTAAACTTAAATAAATAATAAAAAGATAACTTAGTTTTCAATGGAAGATCTGCCTCAAATATTAATTAATAAGATTATCAAAGTTCTAAAAACTATGATAGCAAGGTAAATAAGTAATAAAACGATAATATTCCTGTCCAAGCTTATTTTTAAAAATAAATTGAAAACAAGAACTTGATTTTAAGTTAAGAATTAGAGGATGATTCTATTGATAAAAGGATTATAAAAGAGCAATTAATAAAGTCATGCTTTTAAAATCAACTTTTGCAAAAAGACTTTCCTTAGGAGTAAACAAAAGAAAAATCAAATTACTCTAAGCAATAAAGTAAAGCTCATAAAAATGAGAACGAAGTTCATAGCAGTTAATAATTTTAAAATGGTATAAATTAATCATTACAAGTAACAAATAATTATAGTACAACAAATGTAAATTGCGAAACAAATAATAATCAAAATATATAATATGCAAATTATGCTGATTTAAGTATTAATCATTCTATAAATCAAAGAGATATTTCAATAATAAAACCAATAAATATAGATATTTCATGCTTTAGCAGGGACTAAAGCATGTTTTTAGATGGAAATAAAGACATAAGCATTAATGCTAAAGACTAATCTTCCTTTTTTAATGGAGCTTTCCAAAGAAAAAACTATGGATAAAATAACATACCTAGTTCATAAGATTTGCTTCCTAATTAATCTGAAAAATAAAACTTTATAACTTCTGAAAAAGGTGAATATCCAACTTTATCTAATCCGATTTTAAATAATAGTAAATCTTTGATCTTAGATGGCCTAAAAGATATGTCTGTAAACTATTCTAAAGTTGAAGAGATATCACATTTTTTAGAATAGGAAAAAGAAAGAAACGCTAAATTGGAAGAGGAAATAAGAAATAAAGAAATTATTCTAAAGAAGATGCAAGATTTTTAAAATGATCTTTACTCAAACTATGAGCATGCATAAAATGTTATTAAATAGCTCAAGATTGAAAGTAACTAGGAGTCCAAATTATAAGCTAAAATTTAAAGACTGTAAGATGAGAATTAAATTTTAAGAGAGTAATTAGTGAAAGCAGAGGAAATTTATGAACTAAAGCTGAAAGACACAACAAATCAATTGAATTTAATTAAACAAGAAAAAGATGAAATAAGATTAACTCTCTAATAAAAATTAGACTCCGTTGTAAATAATTTAAATTAATATAAAAAACACTGTGAAGAAAAAATTTTAAAACTTTAGTAACAACTTGCTTAATCTGAAAAAGAAAAAAATTTAATGGAAAAATAAAAAAAGAATAAATTGATTGATTAAGATTTATAAAATGAATTTAATTTAGGAATAAATTACAAATAAATAGTTTAATAAATATAACAAGAGTTTGATATATAAAAAGAACACGATATAATAATTAAATTAAAGAATTTAGGAGACAAAGATACAATTAAGTTAACAGATTGCTTAACTGAAATGATGATTTCATTTGCTCCTGATGGCTATTTTGAGAAAAAACCCACTTTAAAGCAAATATGGAAATGGCTAAAAGAAGTTCTTAAAGAATATATGAAAAACACTTCAGATTTAAAAAAGGCTATTAAGTATTTAAATGCAGAAAAATAGCAAGATTTTATGATCAAATTAGAAAAAATAGTATTTGAAAATGATAGTTATTAAAAAATTATTGAATAAATTAAGTAATATTTTAATTTAGACTCACAACAATTTTCTAATTTGTATGAGCTTTAATTATTCTTTGAGAAGAAGAATAGTAATCTCAACAAGTAATAAGGTCAATAAAATAATACTCAGCATGATTACTTGTATACTAACTTAACTACAGAAGCTTCAAAAATTTGATATAAATTTTATTTAAAAAATAATTTTAAAATAAAAATAAATTTAATTTATGTGTTTGTAGAAGGAAAAAAATGTTTTATTTTAAAAGAAAATACTTGTTTGTAGCATAAATTTATAAATTCCTTTAACAAAATGTCTATCCTGTCTCAATAACGATTTTTAAATAATGTTTTTTCAATTATATTTTTATTAGTTTAGTTTATAAGGATGCTTTTTCTTAATTGACTTGGTCTTTTAATCTATTAAGTGTTAGTTAAATTAGAGCTTGGCTTTTTATTTTTAACTGCTTCATACTCTGAATCGCTTGATATTGAAGAAGAGCTTAGAGATCTTTATTTATAAGATAATTAGTATACACTCTTTTGAATTTACTAGCATGGGTTTATTCTTTTTTAGGACTTAGACTATTTTAATTTTATTTCATTTTAAATCTCTATTTCTTTTAAGTCTTAGAAGCTAACCTTCTCACTTTTTTTCTTTAAAACTTGAGGTTTGAGCTTCTGTTTCTTTTACTTATAAAAATCAACTTAATATATTGATTTAAATATATCTGAATCACTATTTTATTGAATCCTAATTAACTTCTGCTTATCATTATGAATAATTTGTTTGGTAGCACTCAAATCTAATTCTTTGTAAGAATGTCTGTTTGTAGTTACAAAATAATTATCCTTATGAATCATTTTTTCATACTAGTTTGTATTCATCTTTTATAGTAGTTCTGAATCAGAAGGTATGCTATTAAATTTATTTAACTTTGAGTAATTTTTTTTTTAGAACAATTGCTGATGAAAAAAATCATTTTTCTGTTAGAGATTCGAAAATCTGTTTTATGCTAACTATGATTATGAAGAAGCAAATTTATTTTATTGTGAATCTTCTTTTTTGCGTTGAATAAACAGTTTTGTCCTGCACAACAACATTTTAGTATTTATATCAATATTTTTAATAGATGAAAGTTTTTTAATAAATAATAGCAAAGATTAAGAATTTGTTGACTGTTTTTAATTTTCAAATAATCAACTTAAAAATTAATAATTTATAAATATGTGAAAATCTGAAATTATAATGCCTATATCATTTTAAAACATCTCCGTTTAGTATTTCATAAATAAAAAGAAAATATTAAAAATAAAATGGAATATGATAAAGATATTTAATTAATATATAAAGGTAATGAGATAATGTATGAAAAATATTTGTTAAAATAAATTGCTTTTCAGATTTACTTTCGCTATTATATAAAAAAGAAAATTTAAATGGATGAGTTAGCTTTTCTACTAAATATTAATTATTTATTGGAAGATTTCTTAAATTTGATTGATTCTACTTATCTTATTGGCGTTTAAATTCGCTATGTTTAATTTTGGCAAATAATCTTTATTGATTCAATCATTTAAAAAAATAAATAAATAGTAATTAAAGTTTTTCAACAAATGAATATTTAAAATATTTTATCATTCAAAATTTATGTTTGTATAAGAAAGTAATTTTTATTGTAAATGTTTGTTATAAATATCTTTCAGATCTAAAATAACAAATAAAATTATTTCTGCTTTTGTTGACTCTCTCTTAATTATTAATGATACTTTTAAAGAATAAATTGTTTTAGTGAATTGTATGCAAAATCTGCAATTATTATCTAATCATAAGATTCTATTTCTACTTTATAAATCCTATAAATGTCTTTCATTTTGCTTTCAAAATATTTATTTTAGTTAGGTATTGGCCCATAAATTTACTTTTAGTTATTTTTGCTTTTAATAAATCTGTATCTTCCTATATGCTAAAATTTATATGTTTAGTATACGGATATTATTAGAAGTTGGAAACAATTCAAAGTCAAGTATATAAGCCTAAATACCTTTTTTTATTAGCAAATAACGGTCTAATAAAGAACGAATCGCACTAAAACTTTTATTTGAAATGCATAGCTTAAGACAATTTATAGTTTTTAACCTATTTTTCTCTCTGATTTGCATTAAATTTTTTAATTTATTAATATTAAGAGAGCTAAATTAAACTAAATGGTTTTATATTTTGAGATGATGTTATGGCTAGTAAGCAAGATTAATAGAATAAGGAATAAAATAGAAAGAAATATAATTTTAAATAAATTAGTAATACTGTAATAGTTAATGAACACGCTATATATACTACTAATTTCAAAATAGGTTATAAGGCTTTTATTTTTTAAATAGTATGTTGTGCTATATATTGTCATATACTATATAAAGTATCTTTCATTATCCTCTCTTCTTGTTGGCAGGAGCGGAAGCGCTAACAAGACCAGGGATGTTTTAGTAACCAAGCTTTTTGAGCATTTCCTTGGTTTCGTTATCAATGGTAACCTTTTCAATATCAATAATAGACTTTTCGGGGACGTAGTCAAGTCTTCTTTCTCTTTCTTCTTCTTAGACCTTGAGAGAAATACCTCTGACGGGACCCTTTTGGATTCTCTTCATCAAGTGAGTAGCGAAACCAGCGATCTTGTTTCTAAGTCTCTTGGAGGGGACTTGAGCGACTTCGGAAAGGATCTTCTTATTGAAGTGGAAATCGTTGGTTAACTTGCTGTAGTAATGTTCAATCAAGCTCTTGGCGGCTCTCTTAACAGTTTTAGTTCTAACTCTACCCATTTTTTACTTTGATAATTTTTTTTTTAATGTTTTTTCTTTACTTAGATTATTTTATTTTTCTTAATTTATATGCCTTTTTTTGACTCTATGCTTTTTTTCTTATGTGTTTAATTTCCTCTTTTTTCTCCCCTTAAAACATTCAAAATCTGTATACCTTTGTATATCCTTTTTTATTTTGTATAATTTCACCCTTTCTCATATAATCCCATTACCATTATTTAATACTATCTAGCCCTAGAAAAGCAATATTTTATTAGTGTTTTTTTACTAATTATTCATATTGTTATTCTAATTAATTTAAAATCAATACTCTTCTAAACATTTTCAGTCATTTTTAGAGAATCTCATTTGCCACTTTCATTAATTTCAATTATGACAAATTAAAATGGATTTAAAATATTTAAACCAAAGTTTTTCTTTGAACTAAAATCAACAGATATTAATTTTGAAATTTAAATTCTACTTTAAATATTTCCTCATATTTTTATAAGTTTTTACAAAATGGTAAAATTAAAAGAAATAATTAGTTTTAAAGTCAAAATAATAAAAATAAAGTTCATAGTTAAAAATTAAGTTTAACAATAAAATTTATATAAAATAAAATGATTATTTTATTTTTAACCAATTGGTATATTTTAAATACTTTTAAATTTTAAAAAATTTATATTTAAAATTATTTTTAAAATAAAATAAGCTCTAAAATCCATAATTTAAAATTATCTTAAAAAAAAAATGTTTCCTTTTTTATTGTGAGTGGTGTTTAAAAAAATAAATATTTTTATTGTTTGTTTTATTTTTAAAATGATTAAAATAACAATTATTGGCTTTTATTTTTTTGAAAAAAAATTATTGAATTTATTCATATTAAAATTTTAATTTAAAGCAAATTCGTTTGTAAATATAAATAAATATAAATTAGTCATTTTTTATTTTTTAAAAAGAATGATTTTAAATTATTTTTTTATTCAGGTTAACTTTTAACTTCTTTTGTTGAAGTTTTTGTACTTTTAATTGTTTGAGCTTTCTTTTCCTCCTCTAATTATTATTTATTTATGTCAGATTTTTTTTGAGTCTCTTTGCTCTATTTACTTTCTTTAATGTTATTTTTTGTTTCTTCATCTTCTTTTTATTATTATTATTGCTGGTCTTCTTATTCTTCTTCATCAATCTCAACTTCATCTATTTCACCTAACACATCATCGTATTTTACATGATGCTCTTCATCTTCACTTTTTTTAGTTTTCTTATCAGGCTTTACATCATCTTTGAATCTTTTGTTGTATGTTTTAGTTAAATTAGTTTTAATTGTTGTAGGAATATCCTTTAATCTTTATTCGAAGTCTGACTTATATGGGACTGTAATAAAATGCTCTTTAAGCAAATCAGGAGTTATATTGTATTCCTCCATTATGCTAATCACATTATCAACTCCCTGCTTTCCATTATTTTCTAACTAGTATAAAATAAGTTCCATTAAAGGATTAATGTAATCAAATTAGACTGCTTAGCGATTACCACTTATGTTTTATGCTAGTTGCATACGAAGTTATCTTATTAATCTAGATGTTTTACGCTGTGAAGAGAATTTTCCTAAATGCTAAGTCATTTGAGGATAAGTATTGCATTTACTACAAACCTATTGTGGAACATACACTGATGTCAAAAAACCAACATTTTGTAGCAAAGACCAATTTCCACCAGATCTAATAGAGTCTTATAGTAAATCACTCTCAGCCATAGCACAGGTTGCATCAGCTATTCTTTCGAGTTCTTGCACACTAGTTCTATTATACTCTTTAGATTAAAAGGTAGATAAGTAATTTTCATGAATTAGCATTGGCACCAATTCATAATCTAAAAAGAATAAATCGACTTTTTAAGATATTTATTTCTTTCTATCAAATTCAACCTTTGTCATCAAAATTTTTGCAGCCTTTTTTTATATTTTAAAATATGTTATTTTAATACATTTCTAATATTTTATTCTAAATTTGAATATTTTACTTCAAAAGCACTCATTGATACTTGATCATCTTTTTTGAAACTACTTAGTCCTTATACTAGACTCTTAAAACTTATATCTTTTGATTTTTTAGACTACATCTAAAGCAAGTTTAAAGCTTGTCTGATATCATTATTCACACTTTCAGCTAAAAATTCTAAATGGTTAAGCTCAGATTTTAAACCTTCTTTTCTGCAAACTTCGAGCAATCTTTTAGCAATTTGTCCTTTGTTTGGCTTATAGAATCTCACATCAAAGCAAATACTTGCTAAAGAACGCAACTTTTGGCTGTATCTATCATTACAAACACAGAAAATAGGATTTTTGGTCTCTTTTATAATTTTCATCAAAGCTTAATTACCACCTATATCGCCTGAAGACATACCATCGACTTCATCCATTAAAATGATAGATCTTTAAGAAGATACTTCATGTTTAAAGTTTAAAACCTACATTTAATTGATAGTTAATTAAATTAAAATTTTAATATATGAACAAAATAATTCATTACTGTATTATCTTTAAGAGGGTTGATGATAGTTTCAATAGCATTCTTATTTCTAACATCTGAAGCATTCCATTCAATTATATTCATGTTGTATTTTTAGGCTAGCAATCTTACTGTAGATGTTTTACCTATACCTGGTGGCCCTGAAATTAAGCAAGCACGAGAACCTGGATTTTCCTTCCAATTTCCTTGAACTTTTTACTTATGAACCACAACATTTTCCCAATTAACTAGCCAGTTTTCTAATTTTTTAATTTAAGCTTCGTTACCTACACAATCATTTAATTCTTATGGAGCATACTTATGAGTCCAAAGGGAATGAATACTGTTTTCTTGATTTTATTTTTTTTTATTGAGTTATGCTTGATGATGATCCATGAAGGGTTTTTAAGTATTTTTGATTTTCTTTACATATTCGACTTCAACTTCCATGCTTTCTTATTTATTTATTTCATTTATAATTTAAGGTTCTTCATCTATTTTACAAATAGCTTTAGTTTAAGGTTTTTTAAGGTCCTTTTTTGTAAAAAATGGTACTGAATTCGACATATTTTGCTTTTCAGAATCAGCTTAATTAGAATCTTTACTATTTTAGTCTTTGTAAGCTTCAGATTTTATCATTTTGTCATTAACATGATATTCATTTTCATTTAAATCTTCAACGATTTCAGGATCTTATTATATAAATGCAGAAGGAGGTAAGAAAGAAGCCAAACCAGATAAACTTGATTAGCTCTCATTTTAAATTTTTTTATTTGCCTTTTCGTCAGTTTTTTAATTTTATTAGTTAACTTTTTAAGAAAAAGCTGCTGTTTATGCTGTTTAGATTTATTGCTTTTACTATTAGTTTATATTTTATATAGGGGTATCTTTTTTTTGTTTTGGCTCCCCATTCTCTTAAATTTATTTATATTTGGTTATGATATTTTCAATTTTCATACCCAATGTTTTTTCTACCAATGAGACAAAATCATCATAATTTTAGTAAGGAAATTATTTTTCTTTAATATTTTTCATATCATTAAAACTAACATTTTTGTTACCTATAACATTATAATGATCTTTTCCTTATTTTTCCTTATTAATGACTTTACCCTCATTATCTTCAATTGCAAGTTTAATTATTTTTATATCAAATTCTTTAAATTATCCTAAAAAGTAAAATGTTTTATTTTTCAAATTTTTTGGAACAAAAGCTTCTTCAGATATTTCTTGAATGCTATTCTCTTATTCTTGTTCTTATTATACAGCTTCTTCAATTTCCATTTAATTTTCATCCTTTTATCTTACTTGATTATTAGTTTTAATTGGAGAATCTGAAATCAAAATAGACTCTTGCTTTAATTTGATAAGTTAATCTAATCTCCTTATTTCTTCCTCATCTTCATTTATTTCATCGTCTTATTTATCCTACTTATCCTACTCATTAATTTTCATATTTTCTAAATCTTATTATAAATCTTATGGTTATAAAAAAGCTAGCAAACTATTTCCTTATTTTTATTCAGGCTCTTCCTTCTTTCCTTTAGATTAGAATTCAATTTTTTTTTAATTATTTTTAAACATTTAATCAACTCGTTTATTTTATTATAAATTATCAACTTAATCATCTACATATTCTACTTCTCCTTACTCACTTTCATCATCTGAATCTTCCTAATCTGAAATCAATATTGGTATTTTTTTGTTTTGTTTCTTTGGATTAGCTTTAACCTTTTCTGAAATTTTCATTAATCTATTTTATTTTTTAATACCTTTCGCTTTTATTTCATCTTTAGGAGAAGTTAATTCTTCTTCTGTTTCTATATCTCTATTATTATTAGTTGATTTGTTTGCATAATTTTCATTTGTTTTGGTTTTTAATTATTGTTTTTTAACATGTTAGGTATTTTATATATCTGTGAATTCTTTATTCTTTTCTACCTCATGATCAGCAGCTTTATTATTCTTTTTTTAGTTTTTGATTGGAGTCGGGCTATTAGATTGTTCTCTACTTTCTATAGGATTACTTGGTTTTCTACCTCTTTTTTAATCTAAAATTTCATCTTTTTAATTCTTTTTCTTACTCATAGTGTTCTTTTCTTCCTCTTACATTTTTTAATTCGGTTTATTTATTATTTTAGCTAAAAGTTTTTATTTTTTAGGATCTACATGTTTAGGAGACACACTTTTATTGTTTTCTTTACCTTTAAATACTTCGAAAAGAGTTTTTTATTATTTTTTAGATCCGCTCATTTTTAAAAAAAATAGTACTATAATTTTTGATTAAAAAAATATTTATAGTGATTGATAATCAAATATTATTAAACTTATATGTAATTTAATTAGTTTTAAATTGAGCGCAATTAATATAATAATAAAAATTAAAAAAATTAATAATTCCGCTATTAAAACTTTCGCGCCTCTTAGTATTGACAAGAAATATTTATAAATTATTTATTCTTATCTTGAAAATCAAATTTTGAATTTAAATATATGATTTTAATAACATAAATACTTATTTTAAAATCTTAATTTCCCCTATAATATTACTTCTTTAATTTAAAAAATAAAGCATTATGTAAATTTATTTTTTAAACTAAAAAATAGCCATTCAAAAAATTTAAAGATAAAAACAAAATTAAAGCAAATTATTGGATAGATAATTTATATTTTTTAAAATACTATTAAAATTCGTATATATTATGATTTATTGTAGCAGAAATAAGGATAGAATGTTTAAAATTTATATTTAAATAATAAAATTAAATGAAAAAAAATTGAATATTAAATTGGATAATTCAATAATAAATTATAATTTTGAAATAATTTAAAGAAAAATTATTAAATAATTAATCTATTAAATATGTCAATATTATCTAGATTTTTTATAGTTTTCTTAAAAAATAATTAATAAATTAATATTTGCTATGATTTATTATTTTTATTAACTTTTACAAATCAATTCAATCAAATTTTAAAATTTTTTCTTCTTTTTTTTAATAAATTAAATTTTGCTTGAAACTCTGTAAAATAAATTTGTTATCAATTAATTTATTTTCTTACCTTTCATTTTATTAATAAATCAAATTAATAAAAATACTATTTGGATAGAAGTATTAACTAATATATTTTGTAAAAATATGAATTAATATGATTTTTTAAATTTATTATTATCAAAAATAAAATTACATTTTATAAATATATTATTTACAAAAATAAAATAAAATTTTATAAATTTATCATTTTTATAATAGCAAATTGTAAATAAGCATGCATAATATTTTACAGTATCTATTTTATTCAGAAATTCATAATTTTTGATTGTTAAGCCATTTCAAATAAAATAATATGTTAAAATAAATGTTAAAAAATTAAATGTTTAATTTTTATTTAATTCAACAAATATGAATAATATGTGAATATTTATTTTAATATAACGAATAAATGTATTTAATATTATGATAGCTAAAATAATATATTAGCATTATATAACTCAAATTAATATTTGTCTAAATAATATAAAATTGTAAAGATAGATTCTATCACATACTTAGTTCCTAATTAGTCATAAAAATATATGAAGACTAATTATGTTATTTCTAATACCTGTTTCATTTAGCAGAATTGCATTACTGAAGAATGAAATCTCTCCATTAATTCTCAGGGATATCTTGAGCCAAGTCCCACATTTGATTGACAAGAACTGTATTAGCTTTATGAGTTTTTGGGAATTCTGATTTTACTTTAAGAGCTAAATCATAAAATTTCTTTTGTTGCTGCTAAGTATTGAAGTTGAGAGAAGTTCTTTAAAGGGATTCCTATTATTAGTTGATTATGATACTGTATTTATCTGAAACAGATTATAGAGGATCATTATGATTAATCTGTGATGGACTCTTAAATATGTTTTAAGTTGAATAATTTTAATTAGTAGATTAAAGATTAACTTATTCTAAAGCAGGCCTAGTATTCTATGGCAAGCTATACTTAGAAACAAGTGATTTTTAATTATTATTTGGAATATATTTCTCAAGTATAGATTCATATTATAGGTTTACTTGTCTTTTTACTCCTACTGAAAGGTTAGGATTATTTTCTCTGTTATTATCAATGACAGAAGAAGGATTTACTGCTACATTAGAAGATAATTGAGATCTTTTAACTTTTTCATCTTCTTTTTTGCTTGCAACTTCAATTTGAGAATAAACAATTGCTTCATTATTTGAAATATCTTTGTTATTTGATAGTGAAATAGACTAAACTTAATTAATTTATTAAACTACTTAACCTTATTGGATTTCTCTTTCTACATCAACAACTTTATACTTGTTTAAGATGTTATCCAAATTGCTAGTATTATTACTAGATTGAACTGCAAAAGAGGCATCATTGAAAATTTTGTTAACTTGAGTACCAGGAGGGGTCATTAAATGGCTTATGGAGTAATTGTTGTTGTTGTTGCTTGGATTGACTACCTTGACGTCAGAGTTTTTATTTGACTCTTGAGCACCACTGAAAGAAGCAATCTTTTAAATTTATATAATTTTTCTTTCTGCCATAGAAGGAGTATTTTAGATGCTATGATTTTCAGTAGCTTATTCAGATTGTTTTATAACAGGAACAGTTTTATTTGGGGAAGTAGTAAATTGAGTCTTAATTAATTTTCTTTAATGTGCAAATTGCTCGTTAAGTAGTACTCCATCAACTTTGTCTTTGTTTGGAGTACTCTTTTTCACATTTTCTTCTTATACAAACATTCTTGCAGGAATTGAAGCGGATCTTTTAAGAGTGTCAAAATCTTACAAAAATTTATTACCTCTAGTCTCGTTTGTCTAAAGAATATTAGGAGAAACACCAATATTAGAAACAGTGTTATTTGAATAGAGTGAGTCAGTAGTAGGATTCAAGTTACTTACAGGAGAACGATAACCTAAAACATTCAAAGATTAGGCACTTTTAGGTCTTTCTAATGATTTAGATTAACTATAAGGAACGTATTCAGGAGGTTAGATTACTCCAAATTATTTAGCATTTATAGACTAAGTTGTCAATTAGGATTCAGCTAATTAACTTTAGAATTATGAGGGTTTTAATCCACTGGATACGACATTTTAATTAAATTAACTATTTTAATTAGGTTAAAAGGAAAAGCGGTTAGGAGCTTAAACAGTTGAACTGGTTACTCCTTACTAAATGGATTATCTCACTTCTTCCTCTAAACGCTTTTACTCTTTCATGGGTACATAAGTTGGCAAGTCGAGTAACATATTATCTCTTAAAAAGAATTAAAAGTTTAATGAAGTTGTTTCAGCACTATTACTTTTTTTGGCATTTTCGATAATAGGCATTATTTGCTTTGGATCATTATTGTCTATTTTTGTATTCATCCAAAAACTGTGGTCAGTTTAGTTTAGCAAACTCATTTCATTAGCCTAAATTGATGTGTTTAAAATACTCTCTCTTTCTTTCAAGTAATTTATTATTTTTTAAAGATAAAGATACAGACTGTATGATGCTGTTTTGTCTTTCAATAAACGAGCTGTATTCTTTTAAATTTTGTTTATGACACGGTGGGAGATATCAATTTCTTTACTCTTAACAGTCTGACGAAGGTTTTCAATTATGTCTAATAGAAGATTCTTAGTCATGACTAGTTCAGTTTACTCTAATGCAGATTCTACCGTTGCTTTCATATTAATAATTTATCTATCAATAACAGTTAAAGTTTAGTAGGCATATTCAGAAACCTATTCATATTTTTCTTCCTCCATTAACTTTTACAAGTCTTTGTTAGTAGTTTCTAATTTGAATTAGTTGGTGTCTTTGAGGAGCTTAGTGAAATCTTGAGCTTACTTAAACTAGTCATAGACATAGTTCTATTATGGGATAGTTGAAACCCTTTGTTGACTCGAAGTATCTGCATAAAGAGGTGTTTAGGAAGTAGGACCTTATGTTTTTAAAGTATTTCCAACAACAGATTAGGCATTTGCTCTTTTGACTTTTTCACTATCTATCTCTTAATTCATAAATTAAATTTAATTAGGAACAATTTATTAATCTTTTCTTTATGTATAGTAAGATCCATTCTATTTTGCTTAGCTATTGAGCACACCTTCACTAAATGTAAATTATTTTTAGAGTGTTTATGAAGGTGTAAATGGGTTTTTGCTATTTGATACAATTTATGATGGAGTATAAGTTACTGTTCTGTAAGATTAGCGCTCAGCTTAGTATCCGCGATCAGTTACTTGTATTAAATCTGGTGAGGTATTCATTCTTTCTTTTTAAGTAGAACCATATTAATGAATATCTTAGTCCTCTTCTCTTTGTCTCTAATTTAAGTTTTCTTACACATCTCTTCCTCTAGCATAAGCATGAACAATAGGAGAATAATAATGGCTATTTTCTTTTTCTTAGACAGGCTTTTCTCTGCTCTCTTCAATTATGGTCTTTAAATTTTCAGTAGACTTTTTAACATTTATGTTTGTAGTTGTAGATATTATTGAATCTCTAGTATTACTACCTTAATTAACCTTAACAAGTTAATCGTTTTAATTAGTAACTGGCAAAAAGCTTTATTAAACGAGCTTTTAAGGAGTAAATTATAAGTATATATCTTCAATAAGAGATATTAAATGATTAATTTCTCTTTCAGTTTAATTAGTACCATTTGCGCGGCGGATTCCTATATCTCCTGAAGAGAGACGAGTTACAATACAAAGGATTGTTGGGTATTCTGAAGACAATTTTCTGCATTAGTTATAAATATTTTCTACTTATAACCTGAAGCTAGTTTTTTAAATGTTAAGCTCTTCAGTTGCCATCTTCCTTTGTTAAATCCTTTATTGATAATTCTAAGTTAAGCTTTAAATTTAATGCTAAAGTTATTGTATGGATGTTAGTAATTTGTTTTACTTTTAATTTAATGTTAAAACTTAAACTTATTATTATTATTATTATTATTATTGTTGTAGTTATTGCTATTATTAAACACTACTTTAAGCAACATACTACTAATAAGTCATTGGAACTGAAGAGACTTGCTAATTTTAAAATTAAATTTATTAAGGAATTGGCTTACGATCGTATGTTTGTACTCCTTAATACATGGTGGAGGTCTTAGAAGTTTGTTAGGAAGGAACAGAGCTAAATTGTTAAGGCGTTTAAGGCTAATAGTACTATGGTTGCGTTTTTTAAGTTATTTAAGAGCTTGGTTAGGATTGTAGACTAGTAGCTGAAGTTGAACTGTATTAAGATCCATTAACTATTTTAAATTATTGTGGTTTTTATTATTATGAGTACTGAGAAAATCGTTAACTGGGGAGATTTTGCTATTGCTATTGGGGGAAGTAAGCCTATTAAGATTATCTGTTCATATTTTAAGCAGATAATGGAGCTGCTTATTGTTATGTAGAGCTTTTTACTTACTACTAAGGTAACACAACAGTGGAAGGCTTTACTTATTAATTCACTGGGATAGGTGGAACATTTTAAAATTATTACTAATTAGATGAAGGATAAACTCTTTGATAATTCATAGGCTATTATTGTTATGGAATTTGTGTTTATCCACTAGTTTTTTAAAATGCCCTATTACTTCCTTAAGCAAACGGTTGATACATTTTTGAATGTTAAAAACAAATTTTTAAATATTAAATGTAATTAGCTTTCCAATCTATTTTTTTATATTTAATTATTTATTTTCTTTGTAAAATAGTTGACTTTATTAATATCTTGCTCTTTCTCTCACTTAAATCTTAGCTAATTTTTTATTTGCTGTTGAACTTTTTTAATTATATAATTTTTTTTGAAAATTTAGTTTTTTGAGTTGTAATGCAAAAATTTGTTATCCTTTCTCTCAATTAAAAATTTAAACAAATAAGGAACGTTTGTATGTTTCTAGTTGTTTGATGTTTAATTATATTTTTTCTTAACAAGCAGTAAATAATAATTGTATTTGCTAGCAAGTAAAGAGTATTTTTTATTATTAATTATTTTCCCATTAAATAAAGTAAATAAGATTAAAAAATATTTAAGTTATCTTCAGTATTCAAGAAACTATATCAATATTTAAATCTAATTAAATTAATAGGGTAATTCTCCTAAATTTTCATAACAAATTGATAGATATAAACAATTCAGCACTCTGAAATTGCTATGCATTTACTGATAATTTTTTAATTTTATTTGTTTATTAAAGAATTTTTGATTGAATTTCATAAATTTTCATAATAAAATCGACGGATTTTTTACCTTAAAAATAAAGTAGTTAAAACTAATAATTTTTAGATTTATTTCAAAATTTACAGAAATTTTTATAAAATATTTTAAAATTGTAGAAGTGTTTATAGTAATTAAATTTATTTAAGCATTTAGCCACAAATAAACTATTATATTTTTATAAATTTAGATTTATGAAAATAAGTGTTCGTTAAAGCTTTAATTTAGTTCTAAAATAAAGATATTTATCAAAAGCTTTCAACAAAAATCTAAAAAATAAATCACTTAATATGACACAGTTAATAACAATTATTGTAGAATTCATTAGAATAATAATCAAAAATTATTTTTTTATTCATTTAACCCTTTTAAATTTTACATTGTTTACTTAGTTGGTGAATTAGCTAAATCAAAAAGCTAGAAAATATTACCAGTGAGAAAAATTGTAAGAAAAATATTTAAAAGGTATACTGTTAAAATTAGTACTTCATACTTCTATAATTCAAAACCTAACAAGTAAAAAACGAATCTAAATTTGGCATTTTTAAATAAAAAGTTAATGCAAAATCAAAAGAGACGTTCATAACATTTCATAATTTAATATCTATTTATTTAAATGAAATTAGTAAATTTATAATTTTGTTTTTTTATTTTTTTGAATTTTTTTCAAATAGATTAATCCAGTAGATCATATTAATTTCATAAACATTCTAAAATAATTCAAAATTTAATTACTTTACTCAAACATTATTATTGATAAATTTCACTTAACAGAATAAAATATAAAAACAGTGTTTTAAACAAATTCAGTTAATTATTTTAAAAGTAATAAATTTTATAATCAATGGTAAAATAAAGAAAAATTCAAATTTACTTTTCAAATAATTCTTGAATTAAAAAATATTTTAATTATTTTTTTAGTTTATTAAAGGATATTAGTAAGTGTTTGTTTTTTGTTTGTTTAATTTTCATTGCATTTTATCTTTCAAAATGGTAATTTATTTTCATTCAATCCCAATAATCTCCCAATACTTCAATTATTTTATTAGTAATAACATTTTTGGTGTTATATTTCATGTTTTTACGAAATTCAGGGTAAGAATATTTGTCGTGATACACACTTAAAAGATTATTTTATTCCATTATTGTTTCTTTTATTTGATCATTTGATACAGTTTCTGCCACATTTATAGCACTAAGCTAAGAGTTTACCAAAGTTTCAATACCAGATTTTGCAGATTGTTATTATTAAAACTTTTACTTTTTTTCTTTTTGAATATTAATAAACCTATTTATTTCTTCAACATTTTATTCTTTAATTGTTTTAACTTAATCCTAAAGGAAGTTAAAATATGGATACATATTAACTTACTTTTTTTTTTATTTGCTTAATCTTACTGGCTCTGTAATAAGATCGCCTTTAGTAGAATAATTATCAGAAATATCAGGTAATTCAAATAATTTCATGACTTATAAATCAGAAATTGAATTAAGTTGTGGGTCACTTTTGCTAATATCAACTAAAGAGCTTGTCTATGAACTCTTAGCTTTTATTGGGACAAAGGTACTTGTTAGTGGGCTATCATCGCTCCTTTTAGAAAAAATTTATGTTTAAACACCTCCTTTTGAGTCGTTTTATATACAAATAAATTTTTCTTGGTCATCAAAAAATGCAATACTCACTCCTCTAATCTTTAATGTATCTGATATTTAAGAGCTAGCCAAAATACTTTTTGGCTAAAAGAGATTCTTAACTTCTTAGCTAAAGCATAATCTTTCTCCTTTATTTTCTCTTCCTAAAATGTGATGCTTTTAGAGATTCTTATTTCCCTCTTCACTGATGCTGTCATTGTTATTATCTTTTATATTAATACCACTGCTTTCTTTATAACTTCCTAAACTTTCATCATTATTTGAGTAAGAGTTGTCATACCCTTTTCTTTCTTTTTAGCTTAAGTATTAGAAGTTAAAATCGCTACCTTTACTTTAGCTAAACATGTATTTATTATTATCATCAGAATATTATGATTTTTCGTCTTTGAAATAATTATTTTTTTATAAATCTCTTTTTTGAGAATTTTTAGGAGTGTAAAGATTTTATTAGTCATATGCCTAGCTTTTCTTTTCATAAAGACTTTCCAGTAATGTACTTCCTTTATTCCATCTCATGTAAGTAATATCACTTTTTTTATATGGAGAGTAACTAACAATAATCTTTTCAGTTCCTCTTTATTTTGAGAGTCTCATTGAACCATCTTACATTAGCAGAGTTTCAACGGCATCATCCTCTTCACTATTATCTTCTAAATTATCATTCTTATTAGGATATATATTTATAATTGTTGGAGGGCATTCATCTGATCCATGCATTACTGAAAATACTGGATAATTTGTGCATCTAATGTCATATATTTTAAAATGTTATGTTGTGCTAACCATGAAATAATTTTCTTCTAAGTTTTTTAAAGCATAAATTCTGTGTAAAGGTACTTTTTTAGTAGGAACTTAATGAATAATTCGAGGGTTATTTTAGCGAAAATCAAACTATCCAATACAATCAGTCATTTATAAATATAAAATGCTTGGATGATAGGATGTGTCGATTGATTCAATATTAGATTTCAAATTTTTCAAATGAAAATGTTAATTAGTTTTTCCTAAATCAGTTGTTTTAAATAAGGAATTTCCTTCTGCTAACACATAAAGTTCTTCTTCGAAAAATGTGCTTTAAGCTGAGTCAAGCAATTCTTTACTATTTCCATCAAAGTCCTAAAAGAAATTGGACTCTACTCCTTTAAAACTTAATTTCTTTTTATCATTCATTTTAAGAAAGTGTAAATTATAGATTGATCTTACTTGTAAATATTCATTTTCATCTTTTTAGTTTTAAAAATTGCAAAAATTAATTGGCAATAACTTCATTAAATTATAAAATATGCAAAATACCTATTAAAATCTTATTTAAACCTAGAATTGCTGAAGATTTCTTTAAAGGATTATACTCTATTTAATTTGTAATATCAATACTGTAGTGATTACTAAGCAAGTTTCTATTCAAATTAAACTAAACTCCTTATAAGCAATTAGTTTAATAATTTGTGTATACATATTCATAAGAATTAGCATCCTTTTGAATTAAGACACTTCCATTTGATCTACGTTTAGTAAGAGGTAGTGATTCTTGCTCTTCTTTAAGGCATTCGGAAATTAGATCAGAACCAAAGTACAAATCTTTATAAGTATTTTCTAATTTTTACACCTTTAAAAAATAAATTAAAATTCTAAAAATTTTATATTATTTTTGATAAATCTATTATCTTTTGCTCAAATATAAATCTAAAACTATTCTAATTCTTTAGAAAAACTTGCATCTAAAAGTTTAAAAATAAAAAAATATACTTACCTAACATTGAATTGTTGGTTGCTTATATTTTTTCTCATTTTCTGGCTAATAATTAAAGGATGAAATAGGCTTTCTAATAAACAAAACTCTATCTTTATTTTCTTCTTGTATAATTTATATTTATTGAGAAAAGTTTCTGACATCTTAATCAGCTTGCTGCTTTATAAGTTCTAATTTGACATAGTCAGAAGCATTTTGCGAATTAGTTAAATTATTGATCAATAAGTCTGACTATTTTTCCTTTAATTCATTTAAAACTTTACCAATTTAATTAATTTTTTATGTAACAATAAAATTTGGATTTATAAATTCTTCATCTTCCATTTTTGTTTGTCAAATTTTATGGTTTATGCTATTATAAACTTCTAAATAAATAAATTGTAAAAAATTTGGTATCTTAACTATATAATTTTTAATCCTATAAATATATATTAGATTGTAATAAATAGGAACATTAATCAATTTCTACTTAATCAAAAAACAAATTAATATTCATTAAGCGCCTATTTCTCAGAGTTAATTTAATTTTTTAAATTTAGATTTTTGAAATTATTCTAAAAACAATTTCCTATCAATAAAATGATATTTGGAAACTTACATAAATTTTGTTTTTTTAAATTTTTAAAAGGAATTTTTTTTATATTTATTTTAACCATTAGCAATCTTCAGATAAATTTTTTTTGAAAATTAATTAATTGGTAAAGAATGCATGAAGATAAATATAAATGAGCTGATCTGAGCTAGATAAATAAATATTTAATTTAAAAATGAATCAAATTTTTTAAGAAATTATTTATATAAATTAATTATAGTTTTGAGAAAAGAATGCAATAAAGTGTATAACAGATAAATTAATTATTAAAATTCTTCTAAATAAGTATGATTTTTCTAAACATATTATTATTCTTCAGACATCTAGCTTTATTTAATTGAAAATTCTAGAGAAATAATTATAGTGTATAATTAAGAAGCAATAATAAATAGCAAATCTGTCCTTAAAAACAAATCGCTACATTTTTAATATATTTTTATTTTATTGCATTTTGTCTTAATAAATTTTGCATATTTATCAATAACAACTATTTCTTTTCTAATTTTTTTAAGTTGTTTATTTAAAATAAATTGCTAATTAATTTCCTATTTAGGTCTTTGTTTAGATATCGCTATTATTATAATTTTATTAAGATGTTTAACTTTTTAATTATATATTTTATTTCAGAGATACTCTCAATTTGTAGGAGGTTTATGTAATAACTCATCTTTCCAAATCTTGCATGTATTATCTTTAGAGCCTATTTATAATTTAATAATTAAATTATTATATTTTTATATTCAACAATCAAACTTTATTTCATTATTTTACCTGTAATAATTATATCTCCTTCATAGTTGAATGAACATGAAAATATTTCATCAGTATGTCCTTCTAAAACTTATAAGCATTCTCCTGTTTCAGTACCCCAAATTCTAGCAGTGCAATCTAAACCTGCAGTAATAATTTTAGTTCCTTAAGGATTAAATGAAACCTTGGAAATTTCACCTTCATGTCCTAAGTTTAATTTTATAAATTTTATTATTAATATTAAAAATTAAAATTATTTTTTACCTGTTAATAGACTCATACATGCTCCATTATGAACATTATAAACTCTAGCAGTACTATCAGCACTTGCAGTAACTAATCTTGTACCAGTTGAATTAAAAGCAATATCTAATACCTTTTTAGAATTAATTAAAAAAATTCAAAAGGTGTTTAAAAAATAATATTAAATATTAATTAATTACTTCATCAACGTGACCCATAAGTGTTTCTATACATTTACCAGTATTGATATCCCAGATTTTGCAAGTTCTAAAAAAGAAAAATATTAAAATAATAGTAATAAATTTTTTTTTTTACTTATCTATAGAACCAGTGGCACAAAGTTCTCCAGTAAACTCAAATTAAGTGCTTGAAATTTCACCAACATGCTCATCTAAAACATGAATACATTCTCCTGATCTAACATCCCAAATCTTTATTTTATTAATATTTAATTAAACAATCTATATCGATTTAAATATTTACCATAGCAGTTCTATCGAAAGAACCGGTTAAAAGTTTATCACCATCAGCATTAAAATTAAGGGAGACAATTTCTCCTGTATGTCCTTTTAATGTAGCAAATTCTTTTCCTGTTTCTACATCCCATAATTTTGCAGTTTGATCCTAAATTAAATTTAAAAAAATAAATAATTTGCTTTTTTTACTGATATAAATACCATAGAACCAGTAGCAACTACTGTAGCTTGGGGATCAAAAGATAAACAAACGATTTCATATTAATGACCATATAAAGTATTTAAGCATTAACCTGTATTTGCGTCCCAAATCTTTTAAATAAACATTATTATAAAGAGCTAGTAATATTAAGAATTAAATATACTTTTGCAGTTTTATCAAATGAACCTGTTACTACCTTATCACTTTATTAAATATTAAAAATAATCAATATTTTGTTTTAATAATCTTTAAATTTGCATTATTTAATCTATAATTAATTTTTAAAATTTGCATACCCAAAGGGATTATTAAAAGCAATACAGTAAACAACATTTTTGTGTCCTTCAAGTGTAAATTTTTCTTCTCCAGTTTCAGTGTCCCAAATTTTGCATGTTCTGTCATATGAACCAGTTATAAATCTTATTTAAGAAAGAAAATATATAAGATTTTACAAAAAATCATTTTTAATTTTTGATTATCAATAAAATAAGTTTTATCTAAATATCTTTACCTATCACCATTTTTATTGAAAGCACAGTTTGTAAGAGGAAGTACGTGAGCCTTTAAAGTTTTATACAACGAAAAATGTTAGTTCTTCTTTGATTCAATTTTATCAATCAACTCTTTTTTTTTTTATAAAATTTAAATAATTGATAAAAGTTTTTTTAATTTTCAAATTAGCAATCAAATTTGTTTTCATCTTTGTAAAATTTAAATTTATTCTATTTTTATGCTTATAATATCTTATTGAAATGCTTATCCTAAAAAATTAATATTTTTTAAATTATTTTATTTTATTTTGAATCAGTTTTATGGCTTTCCTCAAATCATCTTGCTGTAATTGTTATATTAATAATACACTTTGTATAAAAACTGTATGAATATCTTTTTTTAACTTGCTTTTTGTTCTTCTTTTTTATAAATATGGAATGCTCATTTATTTTATTTTCCACTTTTTTTCCATCAAATTTTACTAAGCTATAACTTCTGTATTGCATTTAAGTCAAATTAATTTTTTAGAAAATGAATAATTTCTTACTGCTAATTAACTATTTAATTTAAGGCTTTCTATTTGGAGTGATCATAGGTTCTTCCATAACTATTTCATTTACTAACTAATCTACATCAATGCTATATTTTACAAGATAAATTCAATAAGCGATTTTTAAAAGAAAAAACTATAATTTAATTGAATAAAAAAAAATGAGAAGGAGATTAATAATCAATTGCAAATCGAACTGGTTTTTATGACTTAATTGGCAAGTTTGAACTTGAAAATAATGTAAATTTTATTAAAAAAAACTAATGAGATACTCATTGGAGAGGTTTAAGAGATCAATAGACTTTTACTCCATTTCTCCATTTGATCTAACATACTCCAAAATAATTCCTGGAGGATAGTACCTAAGTAAGAATCTTTTTAGTTTCATTTTTTAAGTGTTGATTATTTTGAATGTGTTATTTGATTTTTTTGCTTAATCTGAAAATTAAATAAAATAATTGATTTTCTTTTCCTTTTTTCTTCTTATTTTGATTTGTAAATTTTTTAATTGATAATAAATTTTTCAATTTTTTAATTTTTTAATTTTTTTATTTTAATTACCATTCTATCTAAGAATTAATTAATTAATGAATCATTTATTTTGAAAAGATTTTTATCTAATAAAACACTATATTTTTTCTTCCTTTTCCTTTTTGGCTTTTTTTCTTGCAAAAACTTTCAAATTCTCCTTTGATGCAAGTTAGTAAAAAATTCAATTAAATGCTTTTATAATAAATACAAAAACATTTTAAACTTAAAAATGAAGACAAATTATGAATTTTAATCTTAATTTAAGAAGTTCCACTTCAACTTATAGACATGATAATAAACAATTCATATATACAAAAATAAATAGAATATTATATGTAATTTGGTTATAATTCAGATGAAATTTTTATATTGATATAATGAGTCCCTTATCTTTTTTATTTATTATTTATTAGCTTGCATTATTTAATTTGTTAATTTTTATAAATTTTATAGTAGGAATTCGCTTAGCATATTTAGTTTATTTACTTTTTATAGAAAATTATTTTATAATCCTTTTAGTTATCTTTTTTTTCATTCATTTGTTATCCAAACAGCTCTTTTCCCATGATCCCAAATTCCTTCTTTTGAATCTCCATCGATTGTAATTGTACCTAATTAAAGAAACAATATAAATGACCATATAGAAGTAAGAATTTATTAATTATCTGTTTATTTTAAATTATTTTGAATGATCTAAATTATTTGCAATTTACTAATATTTGAAAACACTTATTAAAAATAATATTTTAAAATTATTCAATATTTTTGGTTTTTTTTGCTGTAAAATTTATTTTAGTTTTTTTAATGAATATTTCCAGCTTAAATGATAAAAAATTTCAAAATTATCTTCTTTTTTTAAAAATTTACTCAATAACTTTTCAGCATGATTTTTTAATTTTATTTAAGAAAAACAATTTTTATTCATTATTGCAAAAATTAAAAAAAAATATTTTATTTACCTTTTCCATGTTATTTTCCGTGAAGCCATTGCCCCTCATACTTTTTATTATTTCCCCACTCAAATAATCCATATCCATGCTTTTTATCATCTAAATATTAACCTTTATATCTTCTATTATCTGGCCAAACTGTTTCTCCTCTTTTAATTATTAGTTAAGTAGATTAAATAAAATTCATCAATTATCTTATTTTTATATAAAAAATCTGTAATATATTACTGTCCATTCATTTTATTATTTTTCCATTAACCTTTATATATTTTTCCGTCTTTCCAATAATACTCTCCATATCCTGATATTTCATTTTCTTTAAATTCTCCAACATACTTGCTACCATCTGCAAAATATAGAGTTCCTTATCCATTTATTTTACCTTTTAAATAATTACCCTCATAGCGAGCACCATCTGGCCAAGTTTCTACTCCATATCCATTTTATAAATCATTTTTCCAGCTTCCTACATATTTAGCTCCTTCTTTATGGTAGTATGTTCCTTAGCCATTTGCCATATCATTTTACCATTCACCTTCATAAATATCGCCATCTATATGCACAAGCTTTCCATTACCGTTTGCTTTATCTTCTTTCCACTCTCCTTCATAGTAACTCCCATCTGGCCATTAATGCTTTCCTTATCCATCACGCAAGCCATTTCTCCATTCACCTTCATACCAAGCTCCTTATTTCATTTTTATTCTATCTAGCTTTACTCGCTTATCTGTATTTAAAGTTTCTTAAAGTAACTACATATCTTCAGGCTAATTGTCTTCAAGTAATAGCTTTTTCATTGAAGACAATTTCTTATGATTTTCACTTTATTAATCTTTATATGCTCCATTAATTTCATTAAGAGATTTATTGCTTTCCATTTATTAAATATTCTTTTAAGACTCCATATTTCCTTCTTACTCAGTAGTTTTTTTCTCTTTTAAATTTTATTTACTCCCATTATTGCTACTTCTGCCTTGTCCATCATCTTTATTAAAACTTTTTTCGCTAGTCTTTGACTTTTCTTTTAAATCCTATTCATCCTCTGTAGCAGGACTTTCTTTTATATTTTTATGTGAATTAGTTGCCTACATTTCAGCTTTTGTTTCTTCTTCATTTTCTACTGTCTTAGTTTTAGTTTTTAATGCTGATTTTTTTTTTGTTAAGTTTTGTCCTCCTTGCATTTAAACAATATCTAACTCTTACTGCTATCTATTATTCTAATCACAATTACAATTACAATTGCCCATTTATTATATAACTTATAACGCTAATATTTATAAAGCTTATGAAGAGTATCTTTCTTTACTTATTGCTTAGATTAATAAAAGACTTTTATAATTATTTTAATAAATTATTTTTTTTAAGTCTTTAATAGTAAATGGTTTAATCTAAGTTTAATTGACTTTTTTTTGGCTAAATTATTAGTGATTGATTATTGTTTTAGTTGTTTTGATTTTAAATAACAAATTAATGCTAGAATTGCATTAAGGACTATTAGTTTTGAATAAAAAATGTATCAAACATTTATTTATTATAATTAAAAAACTTTAAGGTTAAATTGCCCAATCATTTGATTTTTAACAATAAAAAATTGAAGACAAACTAAAATAATAAAAATAAGTTTATAAATAAAATTGGGTTTTCAATTAACGTCGAAATAAATAAAACTTAATGTTTGTAAAATTAATATGATTCTCCAAGTAAAAAAATAAAAATGTAAACTTTGCATTTAAAATTCACAAAACACTAATTTCACCAAATTTTTTTAACTATTTATTTAATATTTGGAAAAACTAAAAAAGAAGTCTTCTAATACAATTTATATTATTTATTTAAATTTTTTAGCTAATTTAACGTTCTTACAAAGAAAATGAAACAAAATACCTTAATTCTGTTTAATAAATTTTTCTGTTTAATTTATTAAACAATTTTTAAACCTTTTAAATTTGCCAAAATTAATATTTTTTTTGTATCATGAATTTGTCCATTTTTTTAAAGTATCTTATTTAATATTTTATATTTTTTTTACAAGCCAATTAATTTTTTACTTTAACATAAATATGAAAACAATTAAAATTTTTTTGTATAAAATGTATTTAATTTGATTTTCATAAATTAATTTAGTTTTCAGCTATTTCTTTCAAAAAAAAGATTTTATAAGTTTTTTAATTATTTATTATGTTTTAATAAATCATTAAAATTATTTAAAAATAAAAATTTTAAATAAAATATACATTTAATCATAAATATTATATAATTTCCTATTATCATTTAATTTCATTCCAAATCATTTCTATTGGGTTTAATTCTGGGCTCCGACGTAGGATTTAAATCAATATAGTTTATTTATTAAAAAATTCAACAGATTTTTAGAAGTATGTGATGAGGCTCCATCTTAAGCAAACCTTATTATTTTATTTTATTTGGTTATAGATCTATCAATAAATTTTTATGTCTAGTATTTAACATTTTCCCTAAAAATTATTCAATTTAAATAAATAATATAAAATTAAATATAGTAAATTTTGAAAAATGATGAATTTAAAGTAAAAAAGACTCCGACAAATAAATTTGTTTATCAACTTTAAAGATAGTGATTACCCAAAAATCTAAATTCACTATATTGTAAGTTTAAATTAATAATTATAAAAGTAAAAATTTTTATTAAAATTGAAAATATATTATTATTAATATAATTTTGTAATTTTTTTTAACTTTAAAAAATAATAAAATTAAAAAAAGTTATATTTTAACTTGTATAGGTATATAAACATCTTTCTACCTAAGGTTTCATAATGAAATATTTTAAAAATTAATATAAATTAAGAATAAAGTAAATAGTATAAAATACAAAGAGTTATCCAGCTTTTTAACAATATCAATAACAATAATAAGAGATAAATTGAAATAAAATAAATTTATCAAAATAAAAATGATGCATCAATACAATTATATAGACAAAGAAATACAGAAAATGATACATTTCTAAAAGTTAGAATAATTTTTTCAAATATTATTTTCATTTTTATATTACTTTTTGTAATTTTGAGATTATGATTTATATTTTGATGATTGAATTGTTTATTAATAATTACGTAATGATTTTTTATTATTTAAAGCTAAGCATGAACTCAGTCCTTTTTACTAAAAATAAGTGGAACTTAAAATATCTGATTCTTTATTTGATATTAATGGAAATTATTATCTTCTAGTAAATTGTTAAGATAGCTAATATATTGAATCTGGCTTTATTGAGCTATTTACTTTATAAATTTAGTTTATTTTTTGGCTTATGAACTAATTTGATTTCATAAGCATAATTTTATTTAGATTTTTATATACTTTTTTCCATCTTAGGTATGTTTTAAAGCTAGTTCTTTATATTTTAAACGCATTTTCAAATGATTTGGGAAGACATTTTAATGCAAATAATTTTGTAAATTTGTAAAATAAAGAATTTTTATCTTCGAAAAATAATTTTAAAGCCATAACTATTATGTACAATATTACAGCATAATCAACGATATAAGTTACTAGCTCTAAATAAAAGCTGACCAAGTCTATTTATTCAGATAGAGTTATCAATATCAGCTTCCAAATTAAAATTTAAAAGGTTATAATTTCTGCTTTAGAAAAAAAGTTATATTAAAATGGTTTATGAATGGCAATATATTTTATATAAGCTCCAAACAAAGCAACTGTTATAACTCTAGTTGACATCAAATATTCTTATCTTAACAAAGTAAATTAAATAATTGTAATTATTTTTAAATAAATTCTTACAAACTCCCAATAGTATTTTGATTATTAAAATTCTTAATAAAAGTATCCAAAAATATATCTCTATCTACAAAATTGAAGCTTATTTCTAGATTTATATAAAAATAATATGGCAATCAATGGAATCATACACCATAAGGCTAAAATGGTGGCAGATAAAGGATAAATTATTTTTCTAAGCTCATAATCATCACATTTTAAGAGTAAATCAACTGAGTGGTATCTTTAAGATCCTATTTTTCTGCAAGTGACATTCAATATAAAAAATTAGACAATATCTACCATAAAAAAAGTATAAATTGTATATATAAGAGTGTAATAGATATAATATTTAGCTACTCTAGATTTAAATACTATCTATATTATTAAAATCAGTGATAAAATCATTAGAGTAAATGGTGTACACACATTCAAGATGCTATATACCAATCCTTTTCCATGTTATTAAAAAACTTTGATAGGGATCAAGCAGCTTGTACTTAAGACAGCTATTTAATTAGGTGAGCCAAGTAAATCAGGTAAAATGTTAAGTTAAATTGGAAGGAAATTTGGCTAGGATATTAGTAAATTAGAAAATTGTAGGTATGTTAAAATTATTTTGATAAACGAAGTAGATTAAGAAGCCTTCAAATGTTTTGAGATAGGTAAAAAATGCATTTTCCTTAAATAATAACATTATTGAGTATTCTCAAAGTTTAAGCTATAAATTAAAAATAATTAATAAAATATTTAAAATAAAATAAAATAATTAATTACATGAAACTATAGGAATTATAAATGAAATAAAATAGCATGGCTATAATCTAAATAGTAAAAAATATGTACTGATAAGGTATATCACTACATTTACTGCATTTTTTACTGTAAAATGAAGATACATATTTGCTAAAAGCACTAGTACTGTTACTTTTCCAAACTTACTATTTAATATCACATTCTTCACACAATGGGCCTATATATCCTTCTATGCATCCTTAGATACTGCTTTAAGGGTTTTAAGCTTGACAAGAGTTAATGCTAGAGTCACATGTTAAGATTTCATCAGTTGTTTAATCAATTCTCCAATACCCATTTTTAAGGTAAATTTAATTACCTATACATCTATCTGCAGTTGCAGGACATTTTTGACATTGTAAGTTAGTGTTTTATATATCCAATCTTGGATTAGCTAGCGAATAACTTCCTTCTGAGCAGAAATAGCAAATTTAAATTCCAGTAGTGGGAGATAAGGAAATTTCACCTAATAGGCAGTCTCTGAATTACACATCTACCAATATTTAAATTACTTATTATTGGTATTAATTTAGTTGGAATTTAATTAAAAACTATCTTTAAGATAAAGATTATCCAGAGACTGTTAATTAATTTATTAAAAAGCATGATTAGGATGCATCATACATATTATAATTAAGTATAATTTCTCCTGTGAGCTAGAGTTACTTATTTTATCCTAAATCAGTAAAAATACTTATATACTTTAATTCATCTAATATGTCACTTGGATAAATAGATTAACTGATCATCTCTTTTTCGAATGTTAGTTTTCTATTATCTTCATCAAGCAAATATATTTTCAATTATAAATTTCCTCCACTGTTAAATTTACTCAGCTAAATCTAACCATATTATATCTAGTTGTAATATTTAGAAAAATTAAATGAATATTATGTTATTTTATTTGTTATTTCTTCATTTGGATTTAAGTTACTTTCATTATTATCTTCTACTAATATATTCTTCAGGAAAGTACAAGCATTATTACCATAAATACTTGCAGTATTTTTCTAAATTACTGAAATAAAAGGATAGCCATTGGGATATTCAGTTTTTGATAATTTATTTACTATTCTAATACCACCTCCAATAAGAGCTTTATTTCCACTAATTTAGCTTTCATAATCTATTGACCATTCTTAAGAAAAATTATCTTCAAAGTATATACCACCACCACTACTAAATGCTTGATTTTATAAAATTCTTGTTTTTTGTAGAGTAAATTTTTCTAATAAACCATAAATAAATATTGCTCCTCCATTTTAGCTTTAATTTTAAATGAAATCGCATTCGTTAATTTTTAAGCTTAATGCACTTAACAATTTTATATTATTACCGTTTTAAGAAACATTTAAAGAATTCAGAGTAATATAAGAATTTTGTAATTAAACTAAAGGAAAGCTAATAATTATATTTCCGTTTATACTAACATTCGTTAAAATTATTTAATCATTTTTATTAATTATTGTTTAATTTGTCTCCTAATATATATTTGTTGAATTTAGTAAGCATACCTCTATGTTTTTCTAAAATTAAACATTTCTAATATCAGTATATGCACAAGAAAGCATATTGAATACACTATTAAGCTGAAAGATAGAATTATTTTATTCTATTTTAGCTGTGTTTATTAAAATTTAATTTACCAAAGTAAATTTAAAGAAGTTTTGAACATTTTTATTATTTTTAATAATTAGATTTTATAGTTAAAGTTTATTTACCTAATTTACTAAAATCATAGAATAATTTTAATTTAAAGATTAAGAGTTTCCGATTATTGTTATTTAATACAAATTTATTCTTTAAACATTATAGAAGCATAATAAACAATCTTAATTCGTATCAATAATGTTAGAATAAGTATCTAATAAAAATCTATTACTGATATTTTAATTTTAATCAGAATTAAGTTCGATTGTTAAGTTAGATATTGTTACTTAAGTTAGATTTTAAAAAATAATCCTAACCTTTCTTAGATCTTAGATTGAAGATATTGAAATGTCTTACCACATAACTTCATTTGTAGAAGAATCAAAATTTATTTATCTGCAATCTTATGACTATTAACATTCTTATGATAATGATAAAGAAAAATTAATTAACTACCACTAATTTTACTTTATTGAAGAAAAAGTTGATGGAGTTAATAGCAATTAATTTTGAGTAGCTTAATCAGAAGAAAGGATCAAACTACTATTATATTGTGTTTATAGATTTTGAAATAATTAATTTACAAGTGGCAATAAAATGCTTTAAGTTTATAAAAAGATATTTATTTTATATTGTGTAGATGGGAATAAGTCAATATTTGAAATTCCTTACTATTGAATCATTATAGGTTTTACCATCATAGTCTTTAATTCAAGCTCTCTTGGATTTGAAGAATTTACTGAATATGAACAGGATTAGTTTTTACTTTATAAATAAGTATTTGCACTAATATTTATTTCAATTATACCATTACTAGTAAGTACTAAAACTCTAAACATTCCATTTGAATCTAAGTTTTTACTATATTCAATAATCTATGGATTCGCTAAATATTAAATGAAGATAGTTTGAGATGTTTAAACTCCTTTTTATATTAGATATATTTGAATGACTTCTATTGACAATACAGCTAAAAATTGCTCATTTATTACTTTAATATCTTAAATGGTTTATGAAAATATAATAGAATAAATAGAAGATAATAACTTTAAAGGGCCGCTTCTTTGGTATATGTTAATAACACCAGCATTTCTACAAATAATAAAATTAGAACTCAATATTAAGTAATTATTCTAAAAATACCCCGAAGTAATATATCCAGTTTACTTGTTTAAATTTAAACTGAATACATATCCCTTTGAGGATCCATAGAAGTTAAATATTAATCTATTTTATAAATCATCAAAACCAAAAAAATTTAAATTAATATTTGGTAATTTTTATCCAACTAATAATTATTAGATATTGAAAACTTTAAAAATGCTAGAAGTTTGTAAATTTAATTAGAGAATGTCACCCTAGATAGATGAAATCATAATTTCGATTGGACTAATATTCACAAAAAATTTTATTTACTTCTTATAAGTATTTGATGATAACTATCTAATTTAAGAAAGTGTATTTGCTATCTAATTTTGTTTGTTATAAATTAGAATATCTCCATTATAAAATCCTAAAATAGCTAATTTAAAATTAGAATTAATGTAGTAATTTGTAACATAATTAAATTCAGTAAATTAAACTACTTTGATCTCTTTCATACTCGTATAATCATAATGAACCATTTTATAATCATAGGTTATAAAAATATCATCATCAATAAACTCCTTAAATAAGTAACTCTGTGTTTATAAAAGTTTAAATTATTTATAACTCACCTTGCCATATTAATAGTTCTAAATTATTGACAAATAGTTTTTCAAAGCTATAACTAATGTTTAAGTTGTTTATACATATTATATTGAAAGTACTTACTCATCAATAATTAATTCTACAACTAAAGAATAGTCTTAGTATCTTAAAATCATGTTATTATCATTTAATACTAAAAACTGAGATTATTAATCATCATTTTAAATTTGAACAACTGTATAAAGATTCATTTGAGATTAAGATGATACTTCTTCTTTGTCCTCTATCAAAGTATAAGATTATTTATACACTGAATTTTATGAATAAATAAACATAAACCTACCTATATAATCGATACTCATTCCTATAGGGGTTTCTTATCTATCAGTTATTTCAGTTATTCTAGTAAATCCTTATGACTAATAAGACCCAAAAAAATTATTCTGATTTATATTTCCATACTCATCCAAATAAGTTATTCTAGTGTTTCCTATATAAAATGTAAAATCAATTACTGTTCCTACACCATTTTAACCGAATAAACTTGAAATTTTTTATACAGACAAATCTTTGATTCCATAAATAAATATTTATCCAGTAAATGAGCTATCGCAAATAAAAGCAACTTGCTGAAATTATTGAATGTAAACAGCTTTAACAATATTCAAAGCTGAAGGTGATGCATAATGAGATATTAGATTTAATGTCTATCGATCGTAACATAAAAGCACTTTTATATTAAAATAGAATTTAAAATAGATATTTAATTTGAGCTATTAAATATAAAATAACTTGAATTATTGCTAATAAGCTAATTAAGAAGTTTTATTATTATTAATATATAAAATTATTTTAATTTTAAATAACTCAAAAAATTAAAATTTAAGGTTAGGGGTAATATTTGATGACATTTAAATCAAATAATGTGTTTAATATTTCTAATTTAATAAAAATAAACTAAATTTATTACTTGCATTTGAATAGGCTATTACATAGATATCTTCAACTGATAAAGAAATAATCCATTATGTTTAAAAAGTTATTGTTTGAAACAAAGCACCTGAAAATGTAAAAACCTATACATATTATTCTGCTAAAAATACATAATTCTTCTCTTGATCTATTTCCATCAAAATTTAATTACTACTAAAACCTTATATCTAAATCTAATAGTTTATAGATCCAGTTAATTTATTTACATATAAAAGGGTTGGAGTGTTAAGTAGGCATATTAACTAAGTTGATGTATTTAAGCATTTTTTAAACTCATATATATTTTAATTAACTAAAATTTATTTTAAATTTAATTACATATCTAAGCATTTTAAACCACTACCATATATGTAAATACAAGAATCAGATTCACTGTATATCCAATCATTTATCAAATTCATGTCGGTATACTTATAATCCTTATTTCCATTTATCATATCGAAGTATCTTAAAAATATCTCACTTGGTTAGGATATTACTAAAGAGTTGAGACTATCTATATTTTTTGCTTTTATTAAATTAGATGAAGCTTTAAATTATATTTTTTCCTCTAAAATATCTTCAAAAATATCAAAAATCATTAAGCTATAAGACGTTTAAACAAAATATTTATTGATATAGCTAGATTGAAAAACAAATAAAATATTTTCATCTTAGGTTAGGTATTGATCTAAATCTATTCTTACATATCTCATATGAACTAGATCAAATGAAGCTATCTATCCTTGATAATTAGAGTTGTAGAGCAAATTTCTTGAATCTAGAGGTTATTTCTAAAATGAATTAGTTGTTGATGGGCCAAATAAATAAGATTATCCATAATAAAAACTTTATAATTGATCAAAATTATTATTTATTTGAAATATCATTTATACTAAAACATTAATGATATTTAAATACAAATAATTACTAACCAGATAGTAATTTGTTCCATCATAGAACTAAACTTTTATTGCTTCTAATATGCTAAACGATTAAATGATTCCTATTGTATAGCTATTTATTTGTAGCTAATTCCCTCTGTTTATTGCGGTAAGTGAGTATAATTGCTAATTATTTTATTGATAAGGTAACATTAAAAAATATTAGTTATTATCATTAGATACTCTTTTAAAATCAAGGACTTAGGTAATACTATTTAATTAAATTTAGTCTACATTTTAGAAATTGATATTAATTATAGATAGTTTAGAAGTTTAATCAATTATTGCTATTTCATCTACTTAATAAGTATTCTATTAAATTTATCCTATTTAACTTATGATTATAGTTGCAAATAATATTTATGATGCTGATTTGTAAGAGTTTATTTGAGAAAAAGTTTGATTGTTAATATAAATTTAGAAAATATTAACAGAAAAATCTTACACAATTACTATGCTCAAATCAAAATTTAATTTTACTATACTATTAGAGTTGCTGATCAGAGAAGGATCACTCGTCTTAAATACTAGACTAAAATTTTAATTTTCATAAATTTCTATCAAGTTATTATAATATAAGCTTGAATATAATCCATTCACTGAAATCCCAATAAATTTTGTTTAAATTGGATTTAAATTAAATTATTTTAGAGTTTTACCTGTAAATATGTCTATTAGTAATATTTGTTTGTCAAACAAGCCTAATATTTGTGTTTACTAAACATTTTCAATATTTTTACATTATTAATTTTAAAATTGTAATATATTAAAAATTTCTGCTTTAAACCCGCTTGAAATATCAAAAATTCCGATTAATCCTTGCTAATAGCAAACTACAATTAGCTGGTAATAATCAATTACTAATAGTTTTACAGGAGTTCCTAATTACTATGGGAATGGTCGATTATAGTTTGCAATAACTTAAGTTTGGATATTTTGATTATCTTAAGTAATTATTTATAAATTGCTTTATGATTAAACTAAAACCCCATAAGTATTATAACTAGAATTTTAGTTAAAAAATTGTATTGGATAAATTTTAGGTGAAGCGGAATTTATTAAAAGCTCAAATTATTTCTAAATTTATAAGTTTTGATTGCTAAATTGATATATTTTTAGATATTAGTAATTGTCGAGCAGAATCAAATATTAATTTAATTAATCTAAAGAGATAACTTAAAAGTCGCTTGTTGTAGAATTAATATTTATGATTTAAATTTAAGTAAGATATTAGTCAAATACTAATATGCTACCAATTTATTAAACAAGTAAAACAAATTACTAGAGCTATTTAGAGATTTGAATATGCCTAATATTTTGTATTTAACTATTAGTAAGAATCTTTTAGCATGAATTTGTATTTATAGATACAAACTCAAAATACGTATTTTAATTATTTGATTATATAACATAATTATTGTTATTTCCAAAATCATAAAAAATATTCAGATTACTAATTAGTAGTTAAGAACAATTTATTTACTATGAATGCATTAATTAGTTTTATGAAATATAAATTTATTAAATGATTAAAGGCTAGTTATTTTTATTATCAATCAAAATATCATTGTAAATCAATACATCAGTTTTTAACTTAAAACTGATATTGTTTAAAATACTTAAAGAATTATTTTATAAATTATAAATTTGATTCAAAATTGTTTAATTTTATTTTAAATCACTTGTTACTAAGCTCACTATTGTGTTATTTAATAAAATAATTTATTTTATCTTCAAATTTAATTCTACCTAATAGAGTAATTAATAGGAATCCAATAGTAGATCCCATAAATATATTGTATTATCAGTAGTTGCGATAAATACTTATCCTTAAATTACTTGAAAAATTGCAATATTATTATTAAAAGTCATTGTTTTATAAGCATATCCATAATCATTACTTAGTAGTGTTACATAACCATTATAAATAACTGCGATAACATTATCATTTATCTTAAAAGATTGTTAAATATTTGTTTATGGTTATATATTATTAGATATTTGGATAGAACTTGAACACATTACACTCTAATCGCATGTATTCGTTGCAGGGTTAGCTATATAATTGTCTTAACAAACTGCAACACAGGTATTCTGGTTATTTAAATCTGCTTAGAATGGTTAAAAATATAGACCTGAATCACATTATGAGTATATACAACTCTTTGATTACTAATCAAAAACATAATTGTTACTACAACTAAGGCAATTATTTGATTAGTCACACTAAGTACATCCAGTTTGTAAACATTGCTAATGGCTCGGTAAAATATTTAAGATTAAAATTGCTAATGCTAATGCGAATGAAAGATAATTCATTTTTAAATGATTATTTACGTTAAAATAATTAAGAATTAATATTAGTTATTTATTAAAACATTACTTTGCATGTATTTTATATTAGATCTCAAATTTAAAATTTATCTGTATATCATAAAGAACATTTATTTTTGTATATGTTAATTCACAAAAAATCAAATTTTTACAAGGTTTGAATAAATAATTAAGTTAATGAAATAAGACTTTAAGTGGGATAGTTTTTCTATTTAAAAGTGATGTTACCTCTTTTGATTTGAAGGTAAATATTTCTCTTTATAATGATTAAATCAAAAGGATAAAGATGTAAGCTAAATATATTGTATTTATTTATTTTATACATAGGCAAGTTTTATGGTAATAATTTTAGTATTGAAATTCAAGTATATGATCATTAATTTTCTTTTAGTTACAATAACAAAATCTATTTTGTACATAAAATGAATGCTTATAAATTATTTAGATAAATACTATTTTAAATAATTTAAAATAATTCATTTAAAAAAAAAAATAATAATAATATTTTATTCCTAAATTACATCTAAGCAAGCATTATCAAAAAGTAATTAAAACAAAGAAATTAGGTATTTAATGTAATAATAATATTATAAAATTGAATTTCATAAAAAGTTTATATATTGCGCTAAAAGCTATTTTTGAAAATATATTGGGCTAATTATGTTATTTTATGCTATTTTTAATTCAGAATATTTAACAACATGAATTTGTTTCGCTTTTGCTTGAAAAAAAAGTGAGATTATCTATTTAATTACTTATAACAGTGCCTTTCTAATTTTCATCTTAGTCTCTTGCTATTACTTATTAACAAGATACGTAATTTTGCTATTAATTATTCTTTTTGGTTTTGTTGGTAATTAAAATCCAACCATAGTTATTTTTTCCTGTCCAATCATGATTACAAAAATGAAAACCTCCTTTTAGATCTTCAGAAACAGCTGCACCAAGGTATGATAAAACTCTTTTAAATTTATCTTTGACTCCATTAGTTATTGAACTAGAAGTAAATTACTTAAATGCAGGTTTATTTTAAAAGTATATATCAGTATGTCCTCCAAAATGAATATCTCCACAAATAATAGTAACTTCTCGATTAAGATTAGTGTTTTAGAATTTCCAATCGTACAACTTTTTTAAAAGCTTATATTATTCATCTAAATTTTCAACCCATTATTCTTCACTATCTTTGATCTTTTAAGCAATTAAGTGATTTATTGTATGATTTAAAAACACAACAGTACTTTAAGAAACAAAAACAAAATTTTCTACATCTTTAAACTCTTAATTCAAAGCATCATCTAATTTTTGCCATTATTTTTCTTGAAAAACTTTAGTAGTATCAAATTATTAAGTTCTATGCCATGCTCTATCTCCTCTAAGATCTGAAAAAAAGAATCCTATTTTACCCATTTTCAAAGTAAAGTATTCTTCTTTTATACTTTATGTGTTAGATAGATCAAGTGTTTCATCTCTAAGTTATCTTTAATATTCATAGTATACTTGTTAACATACCCTTCCATAATAATAATCAGCAGAATTTGGATCATAATCTTCAGGAAGAAATCCCCAATTATCTCTTATATCATGATCATCGTAGAGCATAATATTAGATACATTAGCCAAAACTTTTGCAGTTGGAGGATAATTCCATACAAATCTGTATTCGTCTTTTATTGCTTCTTTAATTTATTCATAATAATCAGCCCATTAATTCTATGGTACTTTTTAAAAGATTTCTTCTTTAAGTTTATGATAAGTATTGTTAGTATTACCTAACCATTCATCAGAATCCAAATAAACTTAATCTCCAATGTGGCATATTAAATCATATTTTCCATCCAAAACTTCCTATGAAAGATTTATCCATAGATTAAGGTCTTTATAAGCTTAATTTTTTCTACCATCATTACAACTAATCCAGCATATCTTTAAATTTTTAGAGGAAAAATCAAGGGTTTTAAAACTGCTAGTATATTCGTTCGTATAAGGAGAGATATTAACAATATACTTTGTATTAGGATCCAAGTTATTAAAATGAAAAACAGAAGATTTTCTAGCTTCAAATTGTTTTTTCATTTATTTCTTAACTTCACCATTAACAGTTGTTAATTTCACAGTAACTTCACCAGCTTAATCATATTCTAGCAAAATTCTAGCAGTAGTATCAGTTACTTTACCTATAATAGGACCAATTAAAATCTTCATTTTTATTTTTTGCTTAAAATTATTTAAAGTTATTATTAAAATTACTAATATTTAATTACATTTTTCAGATTCTCGTTTTTATACCCAAAAATTATGATAGATATGTTTTACAATATTTTATTTACGTTAGAGAAAAAGCTTAGCAAAATTTACGTTAAGCAGTATTAATTTATTTATTCAGATAAGTAATGTATATTATTATTAATTACATTTTAATGCGTTAGTCTTACATATCATCTTTTGAAAACAAGTTAGAATTTATGTAATCTTTTGGTTGAATTAGTATAAAATTTATAAACTTACAAATATTATTATTTTTTTATATTTTTATATCAATCAAAATAATTTTGTGATAAAATATTATTAAAAATGTTTACCAAATTTCTTAATACCTACCAAAATAATTTAATTTTAATTTATTATTTTTAACAAAAAATATAAACTCCTTCGTTTTGAATAATATTAAATATAGAAAGATTTATTCATAACGGAATTTATTTTAGGTTAAGAATAAAAGCTTGAATTCAAAACGTAATTACTCTAAATAATAGATTATTTTTATATTCAGCTAATATCTCAAGTAAAAAAAAAATACTTTAAATGTTTTAAATATAAATTCTCTAAGGATTTAATATAAATCTTAACTAGAATAATAGCTTAAGTTTTATATTGAATAAAGAGTATAATATAATGTAAGAATTCAATAAAGAATATGACTGTTAAATAAAATACTATATTATCTCACCATTTGATCAATCAAAAGTAAATTATTCAAATCCATCTTTTATTTAATATTTTTTTAAATATATTTATTTTATTAAGTTGGACATAAAATTAGGGAAAAAACTTATAGAAACTTGGTTTGAGGGAGCAGAACTTTATAAATGGTATTAGAAGGAAGATAAATAATTTATATTGTAATTTTAATTTTATATAGATTTCATGTTAGTTTTAATACCACTCTATGAAATGCTCTCCCCAAACAGAAGTTTCTTTTAAATATTAAACTTAAACTTTCTTTTAAAATTAATATTTTAAGTTTTAAAACAATAAAGATAAAAATTTATAACTATAACTTTAAATAATAAAATAAATGATTTTTTTTACAAATATTTGTATAAATATTAAAGTTTAATTTTAATATTAATATATTTTTAATAAAAGAATAATTATTTTAAAGAGATAAAATTTTTATTAAATATTTTTTGAGATTATTAAATTAGTTTAAAAAAAAGCAAGAAGATAAAAAAGAGTATTTAAGAATACAAAAAGAAATTGATATAAAAAGCAAAGGTATTAATTTTTTTGTTCATTATAAAATAGAATCATCTCTACTATTTTTAAAATTTTAATAATGTGAAGACTTTTTAATTTTAGATAACATATTTTATTTACTATGGTAGAATGAATATTATGAGCTGAGATTACTCATTTAAACCTGAATTTTATTTTATTTTTGTTCTTTATATTGTTTGACTTAATTTAATGACGAAAGATATTTTATTTTTTTAATCTTTTTACTGATTTTCTTCCATTAAAGAAGAATTTTAATGCTTTAGTTACTCAATTTTTATTACTCAAGTGTTTCTTTGAATAGGCATTTTCTTACAATCTAAAAAAATTTAAATTAGAATTTCTAACAGAATTAATTTTCTCTTAATACTGGTCTAAGATGGTAGAAGGTAAAAACAAAAATAAAAATTATATCAAAAATATATAGACATAGCTCCAAAAAAATACTTTTGTAGTTATCATTTACTGAAGAGAGTACAATCTTAATTATAATAATCTTATTAGTAAATATTTCAAAAGTTCTAAGCTTAGACTTAATAAAAGGATTATGATATTATACTGCATAATTATAAATGGAAAGAATTGTGACAGCAATAATCCTTCCAAGCAAGGTATTCTTCTATTTAAAAAGTATATAAAACATAATAGTAAAAATTTTAGTATATATCCTAACAAATTCCCAGAAATAAAATTTATCCTTTAATTCTAAATAGTAATACCCATATCTAAGCCTTGTTTAGCAATAAGAAAGTTTAAATCTTCTTTTTCTTAACTGATAAAGGGGATATAGCGGTGTAAGAATCCAGAAAACTATAAATATAGATGAATATGGCTTTATAAATGAAATATATTTTTCATCATCACAGTTAGTAAGTAAATCCACTGTGAGATATCTATAAGAACCTATCTGCCTACATGTTAGTGTCTAAGTAAAATATGATAAAAAATCTAATAGGAAAAATGTATATGTGACTTAAATAGCACTATGGATGTGATATATTATAAATTTATTTGCTTAAATTGTATTTTTTTTATATGTTATAAGTAAAAAAATACTTAATGTAATGAAAAAAATAGGAATTATTTGGTTCATAAAGATAACCAATATTGCTTTTCCATATTTATTAAAAACATTCAAAGGAACTAAACACATTAAGCTGATAGTAATTATCTTGCTTGAAGATCCTAAAATTTAAGGTACTGAATTTATTTCAATGGGAAGAAGTGAAGGCTATGAAATAATAAGAGATGTGTATTATAGATAATTAATTATAATTTTTATATATGAAGTTAACTATGAAGAAGAAGGAGGCTTTGATATTGGTAGAATCTTCATATTTCTTAAATATTGCTAGGTCTAAATTACTAAAGAGTTATCAATAAACTTTAACGAATTATATATCAAATATGCTAAAACTGCACAAATTTATAATAGTAAAAAGATATACTGAAGATAGGAAATACTGCATTAATTGCACTGCTTTGAATATATTGAAGTAACATATCTAACTGATTGATTATTACTATCTTGTGCATAATCCATATCGCATTCTTCACACAAAGGACCTAAATATCCTTATTTACAAATTTTATTACCATTTTGATAATTTTCTGCTATACAAGACCCTATAATTGAATCGCATTGCACAATTTCATCAGTCTAATTATTATTTCTCCAATATCCATTATATAAATCTATCTAATTGCCAATACACTTTTTTGCAGAATCTGGACATTTCTTGCAAATTTCTTGACTCGGATCCATCAAAGAATATGTACCATCAGAACAAAATTGGCAAATTTATATTGATGAGGATTATTACAGAATCACTTCTCCTATTTAGCATGGACGAAATTCAATTTCAACTAGAGTATTTATATTGTTTTAATTATATTTATTTAAATTAGACTATATCTATATATATTTAACAACTTATGGGCTTGAAGATATTATTAATTAAGTTATTTGGAAGCATCTCATTTAATCGTTGTATACGTTATAATTTAATATTGTTTATCCTGCTAGTTATAAATTATTATTCTATGAGAGAATTAATATGTTAAAATATTTTAGCTCTTCTATAATATCTGATGGATATTCATTTTTCAATAATTTATTTTTTGAAAATGTTAAATATCTATTTTATTCATCAACAAGGTAAAAATTAAGTGTAATAGACCCACCACTTTTAAAAGAGCTTATTTTAAGTTTACTGTTATAATATTAATCTTCATAAATTTAATTATACTCTCTATCAAAATTAAATTAATAAACTTCTAAATAATAAAAAGAACCATAACTTGAACTATTGGTATTAAGGCTTTAAGAGTTTTAAATAAAAATATTATTTAAAAATGAACATGTGTTATCACCATAAATTTCAGCTTAATTATCAAAAATATTTGAATAAAACGGATAATTGAAAGGTAGGACAGAGATTGGTAGAGTTATTACTATTCTTGCACCTCCTCCTATCAAAGCTTTGTTTTTATACACTTAGGTATTTTTGTCAAAAGATATATTTTTTGTTATACTATCTTGAATATATATAGCACCTCCGCTACCTAGAGCCTGATTATATTAAAAGGTAGAATTTTTTATCAACATTAAATAAAGTAACCCATAGACTGATATAGCACCGCCATTTTATCCTACATTTTAGCTAAAATAGCACTAATAAATTTCAATTTATTTTAAGTTTTCAAAAAGTATATTTCCTAGATTTTCAGTAAAATTAATATTTAAAACTATTACTTACGAGGATTGTATATTAACAAGTGGTTAGTTATTATTAGTGTTATTCGTCATATTAGTATCATTGATACTTAGAGTATCATTAGAAAGCTATATCACTTGTGAATTAAGCGCATAAGAGTTAGTTGTGAAAAGTATTTAAAAATTTTAGTTTAGTAGGAATGAAATTTAGTTTATATTTACATTTAAGCATGCTTGCATTTAAAGTAAATAATATTGATTTTATAAGTTATTATTGCTTATAACATTGTTTATTATATTAGCCTATTTAAAAGTAATATTTTAAACATATTAAAAAGTAAACATATTTTCAATTTACGAGTTGTTCACTATTTAGCAGTTTTAAATGAACACATTGCTTACATTTTAAAAAAGGAATAAATTTTTGGTTTTTTCTATTGGAAATGTATTTTCTAATATGTTTAAATTATAAATATTGATCTAATTAACATTAGTAAATTAAAATAAATAAGAATCTAAGCTACTATAAGTAAGGTTTGATTTACTATTAGTATTATTTACTATTGTTAGGTTAAAAATGAATATCTAGTTTATGTTTATAAAGTTAAAACTTATCCCAGAGAAATCATCTATATTTTACAATGTCAAATTTTAAAAGTATATATTCTAAATTATTGGGTTGAAACTGATTTCTTATAGCCCAATCTCAAAATTTAAGATCACATCTTTTAAATAAATTTAAGGTGAAGAAAGCTAATAAAAAGTATTTTTGCTAATTTTAAACTATGAAAATATTAAATTTTATGGCGAAAATATAACAATTTATTTTAGACTAGGATCTTTCTCGTTTAAGATATCATTTAAGTATTAAAGATAGCTACTCTCAATATCTATAAAATAATAATTCATTTGATTATAATTAGTAATTAAGTTCATCATTAGCAATGATTGATTTTCCAGATAACTAGGTTAAATTGCTTATATTTATTTGTACAACTAAAGAGCAGTTACATTACTTAGTTAGTAATTACAACTAATTTATATTTGATTTGAATTATTTAGAGTATTTATATTCTCTTCAAACAGCCCATCTAAACTTAGACCTATTATTATAACCTAATATGTTTAAGGATTGAATCTACTATATATAATTTTAGGGTTATTAATACTTTTTTAGACCAATAGTTGATTTTAAAGTGAAGAAATATAATGAACCTCAAAGTAATTAAATGTGCAAATAATTACTAAATTTATATTTAGTTATAATATTTAAGTGATTTAAAAAGATTGAATTTCATAGCGTATTGAAGTTATGAATTTTATTTGACCATTTCTTTAATAGAAATTTATTATAACTTAAGAATATGATATAATATAAGAATCAGTTAAAACTATTTCATTCATTTGATCGTTGGCAGAGCAAACATAGCCGTCTAACTAATTAGTTTACATATTCCAAACATAGCCATACTTATATGTATAAAATTAAAAAATGATTCTATTATTCAAAGGATCAAATATTAAGTTATTAAGAGTGAGCTTTTAACCCTGTAATTCATTAATTAAATTTTGTAATCTATATTGCTTATTAACGGTGGATTTTTCTAAACTTAACTCTAATAATTAGGAATTTATAGTGCAGATAAGTAACGTATTTGATGATTTTTCTATAATGAAATTGATAGAGTTATTAAATACATCATTAATATCTAAAACTAAATCATTTATTTATTTGATGGTTTGAGTTTTTTTGTCGTAGATAAGTATACTTCCATCCAAAAAACCAAGAACTACTAATTAAAAATAATCGTTTGTATATGTAGATGTTACAAGTAGACTTGGAGGTAGGTCTATTTATTTAATTTAAATATTATTGATAAAATCATAATGGATTAATTTTTTATCTAATGTAATGTAAGTGTCTTCATCTATGAATTTACTTAAATAATAGATTTTTGATTTTTAAAATATACTATAGGTCTATTATTATCCATATTAATAATTATTATATATATTAAAATATTCCTAAAAAACTATTACTAGAATTTTGTAATTTTATAGATATTTTATGATAGTTGGTATATCTTCTAAGACTTATTCATAGACTAAAGTCTTATTTTAATACCTGTAAATATAATTTTGATTACCAACCACTAAATATTATTACTCTTAATCGCTTTAAATTTAAGTAAACATTAGAGCATCTGTTTTTGAAATTTAAATGAATTTATCTCCCATTTAATTATAGTTAATTTTATAAATCTATTAAGCACAATAGACAAAGATGTTACCATAAATAAAATCGAATGAATAATTTACTATGGTTTATTACAAATCAACAATTTAAGTAATTTTGACATTTCCTAAAGGCACATACGCATCATATAACCATAATTTTATAAAGTTTCCTAAATTATCAAAATAAGATAGAATTGTACCCGCACTATCATATGTTTAATTAATTACTAATCCTTAACCATCTTAACTAAAATATTCCTATATTCTACTAACTATTTGCAATGATTGCATATCAAGCAAAACTATCTATGCAAATAATGAATTATCACAAAAGTAAGATATTTTATTCAAAAAAGGTATATAGATGAAATCAACAATGGTAAATCCAACAAAAGAATCTACTTTAGCATAAAAACTTAGATCTTTTCTCTTTAAAATTTAAAACACTTTTTTTAAAATAAAATAAGTAAATGTTAATAAAGATTTTAAAAAATTAAAATTACAAGAGTATTGTGAAATTATGATGTAATCGCCTTCAATCACTATCTTTTAAATCTAGTCGCTTTAAAATTAAATAGTCTGTAAAAATTTTCCATTCAGGTTGTAGACTTGTATTAAGCCATCTACTAAAAAAACATAATTATTATCTTAATCGAATAAGATTTAATAATTATTTGATGATGAAAAACCTTAAATTTTCTCTTATTATGTAAGACTAAAATTTTCAAGATTGATGATTAAAAATTCTTATTTATTTGCTATGCAATATAAATTCGTTGTTTATATTTTGCAAATATTTATCTAATATTGCTGAGATAAAATAATTTGTAATAATTTTAAATTGTCATCTAACAATTAGATACCTCCTCCAAAAATCAAAAATTAATTTTTGGCTTCTAAATATTGTACACCTTAAACATATGTTTCAATCTAATAGGATAATTATTATTTTAAAGTGTTAAAGCTGTAAACAATTAGATTGACTTAGTTTATGTTGTAATATAAAATAGAATTTAACTATTCAACAAAAAAAATACTTTAAGATGTAATATTTTGATTTAGAGGAATACTTCCTAAAGAGATATCAGAAAAGATGTTAAAAACAACTATTTAAAATGATGTTAAAACCAAATATTTGTTTAAGAAAGCGGATTATATTATTGTAATTATGATATCTGATTGATTATATAGATATTGCTGTATATTTAGTTATTAGTATCTTTATGTATCAGAAAAAAAATATTATAATTGACCAGACACTTGACCTGCATATTCAACTTAAATTTAACTTCTATTGATATTTTTTTTAGTTTTTATGTATTAGCAGATATTATCGTTTCTAATTATTGTATGTCCAGAAATATAATTCTTAAAACTTTTTACAAAAACTTAAAATTCTTTTTAAACTGATTCAAAAGCTAGGTCCAAATATTATCTAACCTAATAATATTACAAACCCTCTGTTGTAGTTAGCATAATTGGTTCATCAAGGAGTATAGAATATTCAGTCCCAACATTTACTTAGATTATTGAAGGATTATTTTATTTCTTAACTCCTATTACAGTATTTGTATTTTAATTTTTTTAGTTAACTTCATTTTTAAGCATAAAGTAAGCTGAGGAATCATTAATTACTCTTTTCACTGTCGAGAATGGTCCATATCCCGTTAATTAGATAGAAAAATCAGGAATTATTTTTTCGTTAAAGGTATAGAATGTTTCAGGTAATTCTATAATTAAAATTTCATCTAAATCAAAAATAAACTCCTTTTCTTAAGTAGGTTTAGCTAAAAAGTCAAAAAAGTAAATTTAATTATCGAAATTGTATTGATTTATTATTTTATATGTTTAATCTTATTATTATAACTGTATTTACATAATAGTTTAATTTCTTTAAACTATTAACAAATATTAGGGAAAAAGAATTATCTGATTGTTATTTTGTGCTAATTCAACATCACAGTTTTAAAAAAAGATATTAAATTAATTATTTTCTATCAAATATATACAATTATTAAAGTTAAGAGCTGAATATATTCCATTTACTGAAACATTAACTGAGGAAGTGATTAATGGATTAATTTAAATAACTTTTTAAATTTAAAAAATTAAAACATTTATGATAACAATTTTTAGTTAAAACTAAGCTATAATGAAATTCGTATTTAAATCTTAAACACTGATGCATGAGTCTCCTTAGAAAGTAAATGTATATAATAAATCTGGTCTGTAACCACTAGTAGTTTAGTATATTTATATAAAACCTGTAGAGATGCAAGTAATCAGCAATTAGAGCTATTCTATTATAACTGACGAGGCTACTGGACCTGATGCTATTTATTAAGTAATTTAGAATTCACTGATTCTAATACTTTGTGATTAAGATATATTTAGGATGTTTTGTTGATCTTCTAAAAATATTTATAATTCTTGTTTAGAATAAATAACAAATTATTTTGAAAATATTTGTTGGTTATTGTTTGAATATTATTAAATTGGTATTATTGATTTTGCTTAATTGATAATAAAGTATTCTTCTTTTAAAAAACTGATTTTATTTTCAGAATTATAGTTAAAATATAATAAGCTATTTTTGCTAGTGATTATCAAAATCTGTTTTGTGAATGTATTATATTAGATGATTTCTAAAGTCAAAAATATTTCACTTGAATTAGAATTAAAAGCAAAAATACTTTAAAAATTTTGCTAAGTGGTACTAAATATCTATAAACTTGTTTAGTTCATAGCGCACACTAAAAATTGATATTCTGACAATTAAGAGTATTTTATTTGTTAAAATGATTGTAAATTATTAATATTTACTGTTTGGCAGATTTTATCATTAAAATTAGCATAGAATATTGTATTATTTTGGTTTATACTGAAAATATATTCGTCATAACTTCCTTATTTTAATAAGGAGCTAATTTATGTGCTGGATTAAGAGTTATTTACTACACAAGTAAGCTAATTTTCTGTTAAAAAGTAATCATTTTCATTTGTTATTACAGCTTATAAATTTATAAGTGTTAATTAGCTAGATCCTTCAAATATTAAAATAGAATTATTTGAATAAATTAATTTCTTTTCGTTTTAATTTATTATGAGCTGATTTCCTTTAATATTTGTTGCTTGACTTATATCATATAGAGGATAAATAAGATATTGATATTTGGTTGAATCTACTTTGAGATAACAAATAATAAATTAGCTGACGTCAATTAATCTCATTTCTTAATTAATTGAAATATCAATTTCTTAATATATTAAATACTCCTACTTAAGTATTAAATCTAATTAAGCTATCTTATTTGTATTTTTAATGACGAAAATGGTACCTTAAAAGACGTAGTAATTCAAAGAGTTTCTGTCGATAAAATCAGATTTATAAATCAATCCTGTTTGGCTATCTAGCAAAGTGTACTAGTATTAATACATAACAATTATGGTATCCTATGTTATGAAAAATGCTTATTAGATTGTATCGTCAGTTACTAGTTAGTTTTAATTTTGATTATAAATTGAACATTGCTGAATTGGTTCACAAGTATTTGTTTTGGAATTACCTATATGTATGTTATCGCAAATTAAAACACATTAATTGTGCTTAATCCAGTCAACAACAAAAAGGTTTTAAGGACATAAATTATAGATACAAGTATTATCATCTTTGTTTAAGGTAAATCCTTGATCACATTCTTAGCAAATATTAGAACCATTCTAAATTGTTTGGCATTATAGACAACCTTATCCACAAGTAATATTAGAGACAATATCTTAGCTAATAGCTTACTGAGTCAATAATAACAATAATAAGATGAGTTATTATTTATGAATTCTTATTTCAAACATGTCTTTACTTCTTAGAGAGCTTTAAAGTATATTAAATTTTTTACAGTTATTTTATGCTAGTTCAAATAAGTATAAAAGAAATAATAATTTTTAATATATATGCTTGCCAATTTTTTATTTGAAAAAAAAAACAAATAAAATTTTCTAATTTAATATGGATTATTGTAAAGCTTAAATTTACATAAAATTTAGCTCTATTTTTATTTTTTAACTTATTTAAAATACACTATTTTACCAAACATCATTAACTTTTTTGTTTTTTATTGTGATAAATTATATTTTAATTTTTTAAAGTTTCTGTACTTAATAAATTTAAATATTAAAAAAAGTATGAATACATTTCATTTATTAAAAATAATGTTTAAATATTAAAATTAATTTTTATTTATACAATCAAAAAACAAATATTTTTCATTTTATTTTTAACTTATTAATTTAAGAAACCTTAAAAATAGTTTAATAAGTTATTTATCTTAACTTTGAGATCTGTAATTAAGATTAAGTTAAAAATTTAACTTATATTAATTATACCTTTAAATGATTTCTTTTACTTTGCAATATAAAAGGATACTTTCATCTGTTTTCATAAAATTAAAAAATCAATTTATTTAAATATCAGATTAATTTTCACTTTGTAAATTTAAAGTAAAAATTAACTATAATTAAAAAATGTAAATATAATTTCATCAAAAATTTGACTTCTATTTCATTAATAAATTCTAATAAATTTTGTTAACTTACTAAATTTTGTTATCAAATATTTTTAGCAGATCAAAAATAAATTAAAGATATCTTAGGCTTACTTTTAAAAAAGGAGAAAGATAAAAAAAATGACCTGTTTCTGATAAAAGGAAGTGTAATCTATACGAAATATCTAAATAATTTTTGCAAATTAAAAAACCTTTAAAAATTCCAGTAGTTTCTCTTTAAACGCTAAACATTAAATTTGATAATATTTAAAATATATAATAATCTTAAGTGTACTACAAATACAAGAAAATGAAATAGCTTTTTGGAAAATCAAAAACATTAATGTAAATTGCTAAATTAAAATTTGGTAGTTCTCATTAAATAAAATTGATTTAAAAAACATAAATAAACCATGATTGTTATTTATTTAGATTTCAGACAGATAATATTGATAAATCATAATACAAACCAGGGTCTCATTTCGTTATTAAAGGACTGTAAGGTTAAGATGAAAATATGAAGAAAAAATATACTCCTATTGAACCTTTTGGTAATTTAAACTACTTCGATACTCTAATTAAGATATATCGCCCTAATGAAAATTCTAAGTTTCCTTAAGGAGGAGAACTAACTCCAAGATTAGAAAATCTATAATTAGGAGAGAATATTTTAGTAACAGGTCCATTAATTTCTATCTTTTATGAAGGACAAGGAAAATTTAATATTTAAAGATTTAAACAAGAAGTGGATAAAGATAGTACATAAATAATTAAACCTAGTCATATGCTGTTTATCGCTGGTGGAACAGGTATTGCCCCAATTTACTCAATGATATAAGAAATGATAAAAGAAGGCAATACTTCTACAAAAGTAACTTTATTATATGGAAATAAATCTATAGATGATATAATCTTGAAAAAAGAGTTAGATGGCTTTGCATAATAAAATAAAAACTTGTAGATAGTCTATGCAGTAGATTCAATTAAGAAAAATGATTAATGGAATGGAGAAGTTGGAGTTATCAACAAGGAGATGATTTAAAAATATGCAAAAGACTCAAATAATCCAGAAAATTATATAATGATTTGTGGTAACACAGAAATGAATAAAGCCTGTTTAAAAATAGCAAAAGAATTAGGATTTGATCCTTATCACTATTTTAGATTTTGAATTAGTATTTGTATTGAATATAATATGATAGTAAATAAAATGATTAAAAATATATTTTAAATAAGCTAATTAGTTTAACTATGCATCAATCCATACATTTTTGTAGATTGTTTCTAATTTTAATTTCTTAATCATTCCGATATTAATTTAAAATAAATATAACTTACGAAACATTTTATTCAAACTCTTTCAATATAATATTCTATTCTATTTATAGCTAATAATTAATTTACTGTTTCTTTACAAATATTTTCACAAATATTTACTCTATTACATATTCAACCTTTTACATATTTATGATGTATGAAATAGATGAATAATTATTAAGATTTATATTTATAAATTAATTATTTTTGATGAAAAGTACACAAAGACATTTATTTATTCATAATAGAGTTATAGTCTTTTAATACTGTAATTTGCTTTATAACATATAGATAGAAGATTTACCTGAATAATTTATATATAAAAATTTTAATAAAGTTTTCATTAAAAAAAAAGCTAAAGCTTTAAGCTTAAAATATTTATTTAGGGATTAAAGACAGTAAAAGGAGAGTCATCATCTTCAATTATCAAATAATTAAAAGCTTATCTCTTTTATATCTTAGGAAGCATTAAAAGTTATATTAATATGGGAAACGGATCATCTAACTCTTCTGTATAATCACCTTTTCATTTATCATATTTATTAAAATTAACACAACATATTTAACAAAAAAAGAGTTCTTCAAGTAGACATAGATAAAATTAGAGATAGTAAAATCGCTAGCAATAATAGCCTGCACCTTAATAGAATAATAGATAATAATAATAATATTAAAACTAGTATGTTTGAATTCATAACTTTATAAAATTCATTTTCATTTAAAAAAAAGAAATCCCCCTCAACAGTAATAATTCCCTCAACCTCCTCCACCTCAAATGTCTCAATTACCTTAGTATGGGCCACCAGCAGTAATTTATAATTATTATAGATCTAATATCAGTTTATTTTTTATTAAATTTAATATTTAAAATAAATTTTAATTTTTTAGTTTAGATAAGGATTTAGTGGTGCAGGAGGCGTTTAAGTTATTTAGAATGATATAATCTTTAAAAAAAATAGCGCTAAATTTGTAAAATAAGATAATGGTTGGGTGTTTTAATTTGAATTTGATGCTTTGAAACCTGTTACTATATCTGCCTATTTTTTAGTTTAGTAGTCTTTGAGATTTTTTTCTTAGCTTCATGAATCTTATAGTGATGAAAAAGCTAAATTCGAGCTAAGTTTTAATGCATGCCAAAGAAATTAATAGTTTACTTGCTCATTTCCTTTATAATTGGAGACTTTAAATAGCAAATATTTTGAAAACAAAGATAAATTTTGGCCAATTATAGTACAAATGGTAAATTAAAATTATATTTTATAAATTCATATAAAAATATGCTTTTTTTATTAAGAAAAGAGACGATGCTTACTTAGAATAAAAAAATTTATTTTATTACTTTACTATTTAATAAAAATAAAATGAATTCTTACCTTTCTTAAAGAAGTAAGTCCTAGAAGTAAGTTATTTTATTGTGTTCAAATTAAATTTTCTAAGTGCAAAAAAATTTTATTCTTAAAAGTTAAATAATGAGTCATACGAAATTTCAGAAATTTATGGAGTAGAAAATACAGATTTAGTGCATGGAGAAGCTGCAGAGTAAAAATAAGCAAAGTAATTCATAGTTTTACAAAAACTTTACTTTAAGAAATTTTTATTACCCAAAATAGTATGGATGACTGTAATAAAGAGTGTATTATATGTATGACAGATTTGATAGATACTGTCATCATGCCTTGTAAACACATGTGTATATGCGTTGAATGTGCTAAAACATTTCAATAAAAAAAGAGTAATAGACTATGTCCGGTTTGTAGAAAAGGTAATAAATAAATAATTTAAGTATTAATTTATTTATAGTTTTTACTTAAAATATAGAAATAGAGTCATTTTTAAGAATTTCCAAGTAATAATAAAGTCAAGGCTAATAGAAGCCTCAAAAGTGATAGTAATGATTTTATTGAAGATATTTTAAGAAAATATTTTCTAAATGAATTAAAAATGTTTGATTTACTTAAGCAATATTTATTAATATGTAAAAAATATATTTTATTTATTTTGTTTTTTATTTAGAAATGCAAAAATTAGCTAAAAAATAAAAATAAAATAAAAAATTATTTTATTATAATCTGTTTGAATATTAAATTAGTTTTATTTTAATGTGTTTGACTATTAAATTATTTTTATGATAATTTAATTTAAATAAAATATATATACATACATTAATCTTTTTGACTAAATTTATTGTTCTATATTTTTATTTTTCTATAAAATCATTATTTCAATATTTTATTTATTTCTTTATTCTGGATACTTCCAATTTTGAGAGACTCTTAAATCTATTATTTGTATTATTTATTCAATTTACCTTCTAATTAAGATATTCTTGTACATATTATTTAAATAGCTTATTATAAGGATTTATTTTTATTTAAATACTTTGCAAAAGCATATAAGCTCTCACTGCAATCTTTAATATTCATTGAGCTTGCAACTTATATAGTGTTTGATGCCATCTAATTATAAATTTTTTCATCGTATATATATCTTTTAGATAATGAGTATAAAATTTCAGACATAAATCTTGGAGACATTGGATTCTTTTTGAAATTAGTTTTGTTAATTATCATTTTGGCTAAGTCTAAAATAAACTCTTATTCACCTACTTTAAGTCTGCATAAACAAACAATTAGAGTTTTTAAAGTCAAAACATTTTCTTCTTTGAGTTAATCTGCTTTCTTTTAAAGCATTTCACAAAATCCTTCAAATACCTTTAATTATAAAAAAATTAAAAATACCATTTTTAAAACAAAAATTACTTCTTTATTTTTATATTTTATATTTGAAAAGGAATATAAAATTTAAGTGATCATCAACGGAGAAAATTAATCTATTTAATTGCTTATAACATTAAGAGCTGATTTCATAAGATCTTCATCATAAACTCCTAATTTACCAAGACTCCATAAAAACATTGAAAGAGATTATGGTTCAATAATATTTTCTTTTTCTTCAGGTAATTCTAGAGCTTATTCTAAATCTTCAAAATCTAACTCTTCTTCTTTTTTCTAGGAAGTAGGCTTTTTTATTTCATTTTATGTGCAAATTTTAACCGATGGATCATCTAATCTTAAACCTACTTCTAGACACACACTATTTAATTGATTTGTTTATTTATATGAAAATTTAGCCATAACCCATATTAGTATTGAAATTTATTTGAATGTAAGCTATTTAATATTATCTACAGATTCTTTTATAAGTTTTTCTACTATTTCCTCTTACATATTCAGCTTGCATAAGCTCCATACTAATATAATTATTATATATTTAATAATAAGTATTATAATAGTTTAAATATGAGATAAAATTTTAATTTAATATATTACATATCATTGATTTTTCTAAATTTTATAGCATATTTGTATTAGATTGTAAGCTCATTAACAAACTCATAAATCTACGATCTAATTTAGGCAATCTATTACTTTTATTTTATTGCACCAGCTGAGTGTATTTAGTAAGAGTGTGAACTAAATTTTTTGTTGTATATGTAAATTTATGCGCATTATATAATTTAAAAAGACTTTCTCCATTTTTACTTTATCTGATTCTTCTTGTCAATTGAGCTTCATCATAATATCTCACATTTGAAAGATCATCAAAATTTGATTATTTTTCTTTAGATGCATCTTATTTTGCTTTTTAATCGTGTCTTTATTTAGTCTTTTATATAAGCTCATGTCTAGTAACATCTAAATTTTAGTTTTCAATTTATTATTCTACTGTTTTAAATTGCTATTCATATTATTATTTTAATCTTTCTTACTCTACTTCTTTTTAAATAATAAATTTCTTCTAATCTTCTAAGAGTTCTTCCTTGAAATCTTAAACTTCAGCTATTTCTTCTTGAGCTGTTGATTTAGCCTTGCCTGTAAATGATTTTACAGCTTTACCTACACTCCTAGCCCTTAATTGCTGATGATGCTACGCTAAAAAGTTAGTGAATATTCCAGAAAACAAACTTCTCATATATAGATATAAGATAAATTAACAAAGATTTAAATTTATTAATTTTTATAAATATTTTTTTAATATTCAAAAATTTTTATTGGTAAATTTATAGCTACAAATTTAATATTATTTAATTAATTAAATAATATTTATAATAGTGTTAAAAAATGAAATAATAAAACAATTACAAAAAAGGATATTCAACAAAAAAATAATTTATAAATTCATTAAATTTATTACTCTTTCAAAGAATTTAAAATATTTATAACTTTTTAAACCTTTTCAAGATGAATTTATTCAACATTTTATTATGGCGAGACTTAAAATTTTCCTTCTAAAATAAATTAATTTATTTCATTAATTCTATGAATAAGATATTCATTATCTCTGAAAATATTCTTAGCAACTAATGAGGAGCAACTTTTTAAGGATAAACCTTTATTTAGTTTATATACATGAACAATCTTCTGCATAGCATTAATATTCTCCTTTAATTCATTAAGTTTGCAAACATTTTTTCCTTATTATATTAATACTTCCATTTATGCAAATCTAATTATATAGTTTTCTCTCAGTCCACACAAATTAACAAGCTAACTTAAGTGGCTTGCCATCAGAGTGATAGGAATTTTATTGTATTGTTCCATTAAATTAACATTTTAAATGTCTTAATGTATAAACTGAAACTCATTCAAACCTCTCAAATTTTACTATTTTATTTCATCAATATTTTCCACTTAAGAATTATCAGTTTAATATTAATAAAAAATGTTTTAATCATTATCTTCTTATTACAAAGAAGGATGTTATTTTTAAGTTATTTTTTCATTTAAACCTTAGAATGTATCTTCTGTCAAGCACTTAACTAGGGAGTAATTTAAATTTAAACTATCGTTAAGCCTGAAATCTATACAAAATAGAATAAGTTTTAAATACAGTTTATTGATTAAATTACTTTTTCCGAATTCATCTATGAGTATTAAAGTTCTATTAGTAGCTTAGTTTAAAATGTAGTTTATGAATTAAAGTTGCTATGCTGACTCTCCATTGAATTTTAGAACTGAATCATGTTAGCAAGTATTTACAAAAATATTATCTATCATTCCTATTCTGGCAAATCTGCAAGGAATAAAGCTACCAATATGAGCAAGATAGGTAATCATTCCGATCTATTGGATAGTAAATTTTATAAATATGTAAACATTTATTGCAATTATATAACTTATTTATTTGGAACTTAAAATTTATGAATAACTTAATTGTAAAAATTAAAGAATAAATTTCAATTAAAAGTAAAGTGATATTTATTATAAGTTACACTTTTTAAGAAAACACTTTTGCCTGCATAATTAGGACCTGTTATAAATGTAAATCTATTACTAAACTAGGAATCTAAAAAATTATTAGTTTATATTTTTTAGTTCTTCATATATTGAGCAAAATTGTGAACACAAAAACTGTTAGAAATAAATTATTTTTCACCTATTGTTATTTCTGTTAATATATTCCTCATTTCTTAAAAAACTAATGAAGAATCATTTGTAAGTTTAGGTTTTCTTAAATTATATACTTCAGCAGCTTGATACAAACAAAAAAAAAGATCTAGATCGCTTATAAATTCTTAAGCTGCATTTATTTCTTCACTGTATAACAAAATCTTTTATTTTAATTAAGTTTATTTAATCAATCAAAATAAAAGAAAAAAAATTTACTTATTGTTCTATTTCTCTTACTATATCTCTTTATATATCAATTATTCTGCTTTGAATATCTCCATATTTTAAATCTAGTTAGTTACATAAATCGTTTTTAAATAAAAGAGCATCTTATAGTGTGAAACAGTAAGAGTAGTCATTAGTTAAACAGTATTATTATTATAAATTCTAGGAATTTTCTATTCCTTAATTTTTAGAAGAAAGACTATTACTGCTCCTGGTTCTTTTTAAATTTTACTAGCTTTAATTTTATTTTTCTATTATTTTTAATTAATTATAATATGATTGATATATTAATATTTAATTATATTTCAATATACCCTCAACTTCATCGTCATCTAATTATTTCCCATCCTGATAAAAACTTTTATCACTTTTCAAAGCATTCTGTTTTTGTTCTTTTGAATTTTCACAGCAATCTTATTCTAATGAATAATTGTTTTACTTTTTTTAATTTTATAAATTTTAATATAATAAACTTTTAAAAAAATATCTATACCTGATCCTGATAGCTTTTATTTTAAGAGAAGTTAACCTTATCATCGACCTATACTTGATTATTGAATTAATTAGAGTTTTGTATAGTTATGAAAAATCCTAGTTATGGAAAATATTAAATCATCATCTAAGAGTTGAAATTCGAATTATTATTAGTCAGTTTAATTATTTCTTAACTATTATAATAACTTAAAATTTCATCTAAATTATCATATATTTTTAAAAGATCATCTAATTCTTATACTATACCTTCTCTTATCATAATTTCACCATCTTTTGGTGAGAACAATAGATATTTTTCTAAAAAAGAATTCAATTTTTGTAGTTCTTAAAATAAATAATCTGATAGATTCTGAAATACTAAAAGTTTTCGGTTTTTAAGTATTTCATTTTATATTAAAAATAATTACATTATGTTTAATGTGCTTTGCAGCGTAATTTTAAAGCTATACCAATCATTAAAATTCATTTGTACTTATTTCAATTTACTTAGAACTTTTTTAATATTTGAACACTTTTAGAGGTTGAGTTTAATTTTCTTAATGCTTTCTCCAGATTAAGAATAAAAAAAATCTATTGACTGATTTCTTAACTTGATTTTAATTAAAATATAAGTAATAAATTATCATAAATTTAAGTCTAATTCCGAAATAGTATTATGATATTTAAAATGTAAAAATAAAAATTACTTATAGAGTTTTCAAATCAAATGAAGGAGTTAAAAATAGGTGCTTTAATTTAATCAGTCCTAATTTAGTGTATACAAATTTTGAGAATAGTAAAAACAAAGAAAAACCTTCTTTAGCTTAACCTTTACCTTTAATCATTGATGGATGAATGTCTTCTTTAAATATATTCAAATAACTTAGAGTGTATTGATTGTAATGTATTTAATTATTTATGTTTTTAAGAAATACTATGTCAAAAAACGAATAATTCAAATTAATAATCTAATTATTGAACAGGAAGCATAATAACCCACCTAATGATTTTATTAAGTTTTTTTACTCTATGTCTATTTATTAGCAAAGAGTTAGATATTTTTTATTGTTTCGATTTTTGAAGTTCTCATCACATTGTAATGATATTGATTGTTAGTTTTTACTGATTGTCATTTCTTGGCTATTTTAAAGCGATTAATTTAAATCTTTATCAAAATTTAATTACAAGATTTTATTTATGCAACTTTCAAAATTATATTCACAATTTAAGACTCTTTGAATATTCAAATGTCTGTTTTGTGTTAAAAAATATTTTTCTATTACACTTTAAACTAAGTTTTCATTAAAATTTAATGGTATTATTAGAGCATATATATTATCAAACTATAAAAAAAGGTTTTATATATGTTCTTCCTCATTTAGTATATTTATCTAGTAACAGAATATTCTGTTTTATTTAGGATCATAATAACTAACACCTAAACTATTCTATTCTTAAAATATACTTATTTAACACATATTGTACAAAAAGTTTGATATTTTTCAAATAAATATTATTTCTTTCTCATATCTACAAAGTTAGTAATTAGAAGTTAAAAATACTTACTAATTTTTAGTGAAATTATTCTTTCTTTTTATTTACTAAAAAATAGTGTGGATTTTAAATTAAAATTCATGCAGTAATTATGTAATAGCTAAAATAAAAATAGAAAACAGATAACTAGTTATTTAGAAACTTTTGAAAAATAGACTAGCTTTATTTATTTGCCTAGTAATAATTTTTGTTTATATGCATATCAAATATAGCATAAAATAATAATAATAATTTAAAAAAAAATAAATAATCAATCAAATAAAAAAAAAAAATAAACAAAAAGATAAATGAGTTCTCTAGTATCAAATAACATTGCTAAAATATTATTTTAAAGAAGTCACTCATTTGAATAAAATTAACAACAGCCTGAAATCTAATAAAAGGAAAACACCATAAGTAGCCTTTAAAAACATGTTGATCAACCAATATAAAAAATTATGGAAAGGTAATCGAGTAAGATGTTGTAAAAAAAATCAAGCTTTTAGCCTACTGATTGAACCTAAAAACTCTATATACTTAACATGAACTAAAAATGTTTACTTGATAATCAATATATATTAATAATATATTTTTATTAACAATTAATTTAAATGTAAAATCTATATCAAAATTTATATAACTTGTAAATAAAATAAATAATCTTATTTTTAATGATTTGAAAAATATTCATTTAATATTTCTAGCCAGAGTTAATTTAAAAAATTATATTAAGATAAATAAATCCAAATAGTACTTATATTTCTTGAATTTCTATCTTGTAAATTATTATGAAATAATTACTCGATAAATTTGAATTAATATTAAAAAAGGATTATCCTAGACCTATAAAAAGAAAATATATAGTAAAAATGAATGGTTTGTATCCTTTATTTAAAGATCATTTTGCTGATGTAATTGATATAGTATAAAAAGATGTTAAAGATTGGAAATCTCTATTAAATATTTTGAATTAACGCATTTCAAATTAGGATTTTAACTTTTAAATATATGAAAACAACTCAAAATTTTAAGATATACTTACACACATTTTAAAGGTGTTTTTTTGTTTAATGAATGATACAAATTTTATGAAATCAAATTAATATAACTAAGAAATTTTATTGTGGACTGCATTTTTTCATGATTGCGCCAAATTAGCTCCGCCCTTAACTGTATCGCCTGATGGGAGAGATCCAGCTCATCCATTTAGATCTTGCCATAAAACTTTAATATACCTGAATCATTTATAATTGTTAAAATTTTCGAAATCATAACTAAATTAATGGAATTATCTATTTGAGTAAGCTTATAATATAGTAACCATTGAAGAAAAACTTGTTTAAACTCATAATATGAATATTTTACCAAAATTAATATTATTTATAGAGAAAGAAGTCTAATCTCCATTTTTTTAAACTGTTTTAAAACTTATATGCTTGCACTAATGTATTCCTTGTTGTAAATATCCTCCAGTTTCACCAATAGATTTAAGAGAAACTTCTTTGTATTTTAACAAGTAAGAATTAAAATTATTGTAAGTATTTTGGTAAAATGATTCTTATAGTTATTGCTATGATAGTAATGAAATCTTTGAATTTGGAAAAGAAATAGAATAAAAAATAAACGATGCAATAATGCATCTCCACACTTAATGAATTTTATAGAATTAATTTTTTCTTAGAATTTTTAACAGAAAATGTGGCTAAAATTAAGTAATTAATTAATAAGTAACTAATAAGCAATTATATTTTTTTAAAGAATTTTAATAATGATATAAATAAATTAAATAATAAATGTTAAAATATAAAGTATTTATTTACATATTTTATATTAATTACCATTTTACAAATGTTTTTGTAAGAAGTTAAATTTACTTTAACCATATTTTATTTATTTTTATGTTTTATTAAAATTTTTATTAATTAATTAATTATTTATTTATAAATAAGAATGTATGGATTGATTGATGGATATTTGTTTAATTAAGATATTTTTGTCAATTATTCTTGTATTTTTTTATTAATGTAAGGAATTTTTCATGAAGTATTTTTCTATAATTTGCTCTTTCTTTATCGTATATGTTTTTATTTTTACTATAGTTGTTTATTTCTATTTAAGGAATTTCTATTACTAACTCTTGTTCTTCTTTCCATCCAAGAGACTTCAAAAATTTTCTTTCTCTTTCCCAAAAGATCTTTGAGTTATTATCGTTTTGATGATTTGATTCTTAATCTATTTAGCTAGATTTACTCTATTAATCATTTAAATTGTTTTTATTTTAAATTTTATTGTGTTTTATTTATGTATTTTATTATCCTACACCTGCTTAGATTATTTTTTAATTCTGATTAAAGCAAGCTTCTGCTTCTGCTTATTACTAAGTATTGTTTATAATATCTTTTTATGTTCTTTTATTTTAATTTTCAAAATTAATTTTTGTTTAATTTGATTATTATTATTATTATTTTTTTTCTTTTGATTCTAATTAATCATTTGCTGCAGCTTAGCCCTTCATAGTCTACACTTATGATATTCTATTTTTATTGACCTCAATAGGTCCTGCTTGAGCATATTACTCATCTTCTTGATTTATTATATCTTAATCTTCTTCCTTTGCTTAAATATTTTATTAAATTTCATTACCTCTTTTATTTTTCTTCTTCTTCTTCTATTCTTATTATTTGAGCTTTTTTTATTCTTCTTCTATCTGTTTAAGCTATTGCTATAGCTCATCCTGTTTTTTTTTTAACAATTTGGCTTCTTGCTTTTACTTTTACTTTAACTCTTCTTCCTGTTTTTTTTTTAGTTCTTCCTCGATTTGTTTTTTTAACTCCTCTTATTTTTTTTCTTGTTTTTTAAGTTTTTGCTTTTATTTTTTCTTTTAATTCTTTAACTTTTTAGCTTCTTTGGTTTTTTCGTCCTCTTCTAAGTATTCTTCAAGAGAGTTTTTGCAACCATTTCTTTCCATAGCTATTTGTATTTATCCTTAAAGCTATGTCATAAATATTTTATAACACTTGTTTGTTTATTAAAAAAATTTAAAACTTATATTTTGAAAAATAAATTTTACTATATTTAAAAACAGTTATCTAACAATTTCTTCTGATTTTTTGTTTTTCCAAACATTTTACAACCTGTCTTTAAGAGTCTAACCTAAACAAATTAGTAATTCATCTTGAGCAGCTTCTGTTGTATTAGCATGCTTAACAAGAGAAGTATCGACTTAAGCTTTGCTCATTATTTCTTAAATAAAATCAACCTATACAAAAAATTTTATTTTTACGATTGGCTAGTTTAATCAATATTATTTACTTGCATTGGTATTGAAATTTTTCTAGTCTTATGACAATATTTTATATAATTAAGTAAGTCATATTATTCATCATCTAGATCTCCATCATCCTATTATTAATAAAATAATTGAAAAATTAAAAATTAACTATTATTTTACTTCATCTTCATCTTCTTCATCATCTTCCATTTCATCTTCGAATTCTTAATCATCAGCTTCAATTTAGCTATGCTCATAAGTATTATCTTAAGGGTTAGCACAATTTTAATAAAAAACTTCTTTGCTAATATTTAGATAGATTAATAAATAACAGATAGAATTAATCATAAAAAAATACTTTTAATCAGAAGGACTTTCGCTCTTTTGATTATATTAATCCAATTTTTCATGATATTCTGTTTAATTTTACTCTTCCATACAATTTTCTTATATTTATAATTCTTGATGACATTATGAATCACAATTATCACACTAGCTGTAGACTTAATCATTTATTTTATTTTAAAATTCATCATATAAATACTAATCTTCCTCTTAATCTATTTCAATATTTTTTTTTAATTTCTAATACTCACCCAAAATATTTTCTTTGCAAGTTCCACAGAATTTTCTCTTTTTTAAATATTTCTTTAAAAATATTTTCATTAGTTTTAAGTTATTTATCTTGTAATTTTTTAAGTTATACATCTAAATTTGATAGAAAAAGTGATTCCTCTATTTCAATTGCTTCGTCTTTTGAAGAAAAGTCAGGATCAAATAGTTGTTCAAAATTATCTTTCATAAGACCTTTAAATATATTAATTTAAGTTAAAATTGCTTTTTTTTCTAAATAATTTTACAAGGGATTGGTTTTTTTGAGTGTAAATTACATCTATAATTTCTTTAGCAAATTGATTTTTTAAATAAATTAAAATTTCTATTCAAATTTTCAAGCATGCTTTATTTATTTTAGTGGAATTAGAGAAATGAGGCAATGTTGAAATTATTTTCAAGAAAGTTTTCTAAGATTCCTATAAATTTATTAAATTTAAATGAATTTAATAAATAATACAAATTAAATAAATAAATATTTACCGATTTCTCTATTTTTATTGACAAATATCCCATCAAAGCTAATTGTAACTTAATTTATATTTGCTTATTAAATTAAATCATTTAAAAATTAATGTAAGCTTTCTTTACAACCTACGCAATCTATCATATTTTGCATTTCAGCATTAAACTCTTATTCTTTAACCATAGTAGCTCTTTTCTTTTCACTATAATTAAGAACCTCTAATTGCTAATTGTAAAAAAAATAAGTAAATTAAAAAAATTCTCCAATAATATATATAAATAATAATTACATCGAATATATTTTTGACATCAGGAGAAAACTATATTTTCGAACAATTATTTTTATTTTTATAATTATTATTATTATTTTCTGCTTGTGCTTTTTAAATTTTTTGATCTGAAATCTAGGCATTTTAATGATTGACCCTACTTTCATCAATTAAAATATTCTATTAAACTGAATTTTTATTTAAGTTATTATTTTCTGAGTCTTTGATTACATGAGGTAAATGATTAATTTTGCTATTTACAGAGTTTTTTACTCCATAGTTTAAATTTTATTGATTTATATATTATACTTTTTACATGTTTATTTATTTTGATTTCTAAAACTCCAAAGCATCAGCATACAAATTACTTATAGACTCAATTTATTGCTGAATTTATATTTGATGTTATTGAATTCTAATATCTTGTTAACTATTTTTTTTAATTTGCTTTTCTTTTAAAATTTATGAAATGAGAGATCCATCTTTTGCTATCGAAGAAATATTTTAATTGAAAGCATTAATCACAGCATTTTCTTTGGGCATAAAATCATTAGTTGATGTCATTATTTACTTTTAATTATTTAAAATTTTTGAATTTAATATTGAAAAACCATCACTATTATCATCATTTTTTTTTAAAGCTTTGATGTTAACTATAACAGTACTATTTTTTTGGTCTTTATTCATTTCTATTCTTTTTTTTCGTAAACCATCAATATCCATCTAATAACTAAATTAAAATTTTTTATTATTGACTTGGTTTTTCAAATAATTATTTTTTTCTTAATTGTCAATATCTTCTTCTATATCTTCCTCCTCATCATCATCTTCCTCTTCATCGTCATCCTCTTCTTCATCTTCACAATCAAATCCTTCTAACATTTCATCATCCTCATCTTCCTCTATATCTTCTTCAACATCTTCATATTCATCGTCTTAATTGTAATTTGGTAAATTTGAGGAATTCATGCTTTGAAAATTCTGAATATTTATATCATTACATTAAAAATTTATTACATCTATTTATTATCCTTAACTTTAAATTTAATCATTTAGCTTTGCTAGTTTATCTTGTATATATTGATTCATTTTCATTTATAATTACTAATTGCTTTTAAATCCATCTTAATTACAAAAGTTTTGTTGTATTCCCCTTAAGTGTTATTACAAAATATGGTTTTATAATTTATGATTTAAAGAAAAATCGTTTAAATCCTTTGCTTTTAAGCTGCTTTATTCCAAAATATTTCCTTCTGACTAGCTGTTCTCTTTCAATCTAAGTTTATTCTATTAATTAATCTATTACATGTGCTATAATTTGTCTATCTATATTATATTTTTTTAGTTTCTATACAAAGAAGTAGATACAGGCTATGATAACGAGTTACTCGAATCTGTTTAATAAACTGCTTGAGCATTTTTTAAAATACCTTTTCTCTCTACTGTTTAGCTATTACCTATAACTAATTATGGGATAGTATTTAATCCATTACTATTTTACTATTTTATAGGTGCTAATGTAGAATTTTGGTTAGAAACCTATTCATTATATTATTATTATTATAAGTGGCTATATTATGATCCTTCTTACATATATTATAACCCATTTTAAACAATCTAATTTTAACATTTTTACTGTTAATTCTACATATTTGATTGAATTTGAAATTATATTTCATCATTAACATTATTTATATTTTATTTAGATGAAAAAACATGATTTTGCTGAATAGAGAGTTCGCTTGCACTATTTAATTAGAATTATTATAAACTTTATGGGATTTCTTGCTACTCTTAACTATGACTGATAATTTAATTACTATTATCTTTACTTTCAATTATTTAATCCTTATTAACTTTTTATGACATTTTATTTATACTAAGTTAAAGATTTTTGTATATTGAGTAAAAGTTATTAAAATTCACTAAAAACTTTTTGATTAATTTTTTTATAGTAATTCTTTTAAGAAATACTCAAAAAATCTTTAAAATGCTACTTGAATCAATCAGTATTTTTATCTTTTAATTTTATAAATATATAAATTAATATAAAAATGACAATATTTCGCATATTAGTAGGCAAACAAGTATTTAATTTTTATCTTATCCTTTGTAATAAAATTCAATTACTAACTACTCAATTTTAAATAAAAGCTTTAAATTGTTTATCAAAAAATAATCTTACAGAGAAAGGTATTTAAAATAATCTTTCTATGTAAAATAATACATTTTTCTTTACAATATAATTTCATTAAAAAGCAAAATTTTGTGTTAAATATTTATCATCAATTAATTAAATTAATTTTATTTGTAAAAAACTTATTAACATAATTTTTTAAAAAACTGATTAAATTTATTTCCAATAAATTTTTTTGAAATTATTTTTTTCATTTTTAGAAATGATTAAATATATTTTTTTATAAAAAACCTTAAAAAAATATTAATTTAATTACATCTTACTCTCATCTTTATAAAATAATATTTTTTTTTAGCTTTTAAAACTACTTTGAAATTAAAAATAACTCAGGATATATTTATGAAGATAAATAAAAAAAAATATTATTAAATTTTTATGCTAATTATTTTATTTACTTTAATTAATAATTAAAAACAACAAATTATGATAAACATTTTAAATAACTTTTATTCAATTAACATAAAACTAAATTATTTTTCACTATTTTTTAATATTATTCAAAATTATAATTAAATAAAAAAATGATCTTTTGTTTGACATTTTTACTTCAAATAATTCAAATAAGGAGGAGAAAGGAAAAATGAAAAGTAATTCTAAATTTGCTAGATAAATAAAAAGTAAACAAAAATTTATTTTTTAAAAAAATTTTCTTTACTATTTTTAGCATAAAATGAAAACGGATTAAGCATGGTATATGGCGATGCATATTTAGTTTACTATCAGATGCGTTAAACAAATCAATTTGAGTTTAATGAACTATAATTTTAACCAAGCAATTATTATTGAGCTTCAAAAATTTGTAAATTTATTAAGTATTGCTCTGAGATGAATATTTTAAATATTCTCTATTATGTATTTCAAATTTACATAATAATTTAATTGGCCAGTTAGAATTAAATTTATAATAATGGACTATATTGTTTTATGGTAAATTTTTTAATCAGATAACTATGATTTATGATTTATACATTATAAAATTATTTATGAGTATTTAAAATCTAAAATTGCTAAATTGATATAATTAAATTTGTGTTATTTTTGAATTTAATAAAATTTATTATTCATTCATAGAATAAAAACTATTAAATTAATATCATAATAAAAAAGTAAAAATTCGCAATCTAACATAGTTTCTACTTATTATTACTAAATTAAATATAAAGCTAAAACATACATTAATTCAGCTTTTATTACGCATATTTTACACAGCCATTTTACCATGAAATCCGATATAAAACTCAAACCAGATAATAAATAATTACTAGCATCTCTTTTTACACAGTTTTTTAGAGATCATTTGCTGACTCAAACAGAACATCAAAGAGATAAAGATGCGTATGAAAAAAATTTTGACTTATGGTAGAAATTTGTTAAAGTGATTAATTAAGATTTGAAACTAGAAGAAAATGATAACTTCTAAAATAACTAAGATTTAGTATAGTAATTAGTAATCGCAATAGATAATTACAAATAAAGCCATGATATAAATGCTAATTACATTGAAGAAATATCTTAACTCTTAAGCTCTAGTCTCAATAAGAGTAACGATGTCTAAGAGTAGGGCAATTCTTCAAAAAAATTTGAGAAGGCTTCAATCCACAGTCAACGGAGGTAACTATCTATACCTCCAAAACCTAGTTTGATCTTGGGCGATAGTTTAGTTGAAGAGGAAAAACTTACTTAAGAATACAATTATAAGTAAGGATACCCTATTCGAACTCATAAGAAAAATAATACAGCTATACTAAGCTAGAGTAAATCAAAGTAGATAAAGGAAGGGTATTAATTATAAGGATAGAAATCTCCTTTTAACTAAGCACTTGAGGTTTAAAATTTAAATAAAAATAGTAATATATAATCATGTCAAAATATATTTAATGGTATTTAAAATATATAATAAAAATCAACCCAAAGAGCAGATGAAGAAATATAAAATAATTTCTTAGAACTACAATAATTTTTAAAGCAAAAAAATACTAAAAACATTCAAGAAATAACATAAAATTTGATGTAGGAATAAGCATTTAAGTAATCAAAGAATATTTATATCTTAAAGAGTAATAATAGCTGCAATTAAAAGATGAACATAATGAATTAATTTCTTTATGCGGTTAGTATCTAACATTACTAAGACCTCATTTAAAACAGCTCATAAGAATAATGGTAGTAAATCATTTAATTTTTCAAGGACGAAAAAAAAACTTGCTAATATAATTTAGCTTAGGACATTAATAAGTCAAACAAAATGTCTTAGTATTAAAAATCAATTATGAAAGCATTATTTACAGAAATGTCAGAAAATATACAAAGATAAGATAAAACTTAACAGACCGCCTTTTATGATTTTTTGTAAAGGGCTTAAAGCGATGAAATTCTAGCTTAAAGCTTATTAGTGAGTCTCAAAGAAAAGATTGTTAACACGTGCAAGCTGGAAGAATGCGATAGCTTTCGTAATGAGGTGTTTAATAATTGGTTTGTAAAAAATCCTAATACTAACTTAGTAGGAATTGACTCATAGAAATTAAAGCTTTTGTCTTTCTCTCTTTAAAAGAGAATTTCTATCCTAAAAGTTACATAAACAATAAATTGTTAATCATAAATACAATCCAGCTCCTCATTAGAAGTCGTACAGTCTTTTGAACACTCAAGCGATAATGGTATTTGCATTCCTAGTATTAATATCCTTTGGCACAATACTCACTAATATGACCATTTTTATTTAATTTTAAATGATCAATAATAAGCCTTTTATCAAAATAAAAGCAAGTAAAAAATTTAATCAATGTAGCAACCTTTCATTTAAACAAAAGAAATTTCTTTATAGAAATGTATTTCTGAAATGTAATCTTCATCTACACAACCATAAAATTTTTCTTTACTCCAAATTTCTAAATAATAATCTGATTAGCCCAGCCAGCTATTAAAAAATAATAGCAATTCATACATGTCATAAAACAATCTAAATGGCTCTTAAAAGAAACAGAGAGAGGAAGCTCTAATTGAAAAATACTCCAGTTCGACATCCAACTTCTCTCGCAGTTCTATTGTAATTTATTTTTACACCTTTATTTAATCTATTAGCTTAATTATAACGCAAATCCCTTTTTTTAAATAAAAGAATTATTAATCTTAATGAACCAAAATTTAATTTCATTTTATTAACTTTAGGAACCAAAATTCTCAAAAGAAGGACTCTAGAATCTCAAATAAAAAACATAGAAGTTGAAGTTAATGATGATAGATAATTCTTTTACCATAAATAGTATTTAAATGCAGATAGAAAATAACTGGAAGCCTTCTAATTAATATAATTAGCAAAATGTTATAAATATTCCTTCAATTCCATCTAACTAGCTAGAACAATAATTTAAAAAGATTGATTAATTTTAATTAAAGATTAATTCATAATTATCACCTTTTATTAAGCCATTAAATGACATAAACAATCAAAATACAAATCTTAGGTATTAAAGTAATATTCAAATTTAATTACTCAAAAATTAAGATTAAGATATATTGAGAGGTCGTGAAAACTGCTAAAACTAAATCAAGTTGTTAAATTAATGTAGTTTTAGAAGTGCCAGTCAAAATAACTTTTTCAAATAGAAAGAAGAATAGTCTCAACATATAAGTTTAATTCCAAACTTATAGAGCAATTAAAGTTAAATAACATCTAACATTTCACCAACAAAAAAGAATTAGGCATCAAATTAAGCAAGATTGAGAATACAGTCTGGCCATGTAGTATCAGCTCATAAAATAAGCGAAGACAATTAAGATCGCTCAGGTATTACTCTTTTAGGGTAGTCATCTTAAAAAAGCAATATATCTCCATTCATTAATTTGTATAATGAAGAAAATAGCATTAAATGTACTAAAATGGAGGAAAACAAGAAAGAAGATTCCTCTGATAAATATTAATCAAATTATGATTCAAATACTTCATAAATATAAATTTAATTACTGAACAAATAATAAAAGAATATTTTAAATTCAAATTAAGTAGATGAGTCTGATAAAAATATCTTAAAAGCATTAGGATTGACTAGCTCTACTTCTACTAACTCAACTATAGCTTCCAACACTGCATCAAATATAAATACCCCAAATAATTTTATTTAGAATAACTCATGTTCTAGATAAGCCTCTTTTTTCATGAGAAACAGCCCAAATTATATGAATAATAACAACTCTCCTTAGACAGATTCAGGAGTTAAACTAATAAAATCTTTAAGTACTAACCAACACAATATCTAATTTACTAACCCCAAATAAATACCTTCTATTAATGACTTTAGATTTTACTAAGAATTTTTATTACAAAATAAATAAAATACACCTCAATAAAACTGTATAAAAAACTAATAAATAAACCATAAGTATATATCCTTATAATAAAATATAGCAAAAAGTTGAATTTATATAATTTTATAATTTATTTTTAGGTATTAATTGATTATTAGTTTATTATTTACAAATTATTATTCTAATGTTTCCTTTAGAATTTAATTAAAATTCTAAAATATAATTTTATTTATTATCAAATATTTCAGATATTTACAATATTGTTGAATATTTACAAGTAAATATTATTATGATTGCTTTAAAAGTTAATTAAAAATCAAAATACCACTTATCAAAAAATGAATATTTATTTATTAATGGTTGAATATTTACAAAATATTATAATGAATAAATTAAAAATACTATTTAGCATAAATCATATATTACATATATTTATAATTGGTAGAATATTTATTTACAAGGTATTATTTTACAAAAATTGATATTTATTTTATTGAAATTACATTTTAACTAAAGAATAAAAAGATTTTAAACTAAAATTTATACATGTATTTATAAACTTTTTTCTTTATGATAGATTAAATAAAAGCATGAAGTAAAAATTTATAATATTAACTACCAAAAATTATGTTTAAATGAAATAATTAATAATTCATAAATAAGTGATAGCTTACAAAACATTTAAAGGATTCAAATTGATAGCAAAAGAAAGTTATTCATTGATTTATTATTCATTCATTAATTAATTAATTGAATTTATTATTTCTCCTAAAATAACTTTTTGTAAAAAAATTATAAACATAAAGCAATATACAAATATAATATACATTTATCAATAGAAAAACTTCCATTAAATTTAAAAGCAAAAGGAAGATAAACTATTGTAAAGATATGTCAGAACACAATTAAAATACTATTTTGGCTAATATTCCTATTAAAAAATCTAGCAAAGAAACGATGAAAAGCAATAGAAATATTATGATTAATTTTGAAAATCAATTATAGTAGAAAGTAGAGGATATGTTCAAGACTGATGGACTTAAAATTTTAGTGAAAAGAGGCAAAACATTTGGTTTACTTACAACTAGATATTATAAGATAGTTAGAGATTTTCTGTACTACTACAAAAGTAAAGCTATTACAAGCAAGCCAAAAGGAATTCTCAATTTGCGTGACTCGTCTCTTAAAGTTGAGTTAGAATATGGAAAAATAATTAAGGAGAAGCAATTTGGATTGAAAGTGTAAGGTGCTAAAACACATGGAGTATTTTGGCTAGTAAGCTAAAACCAAGCAGAAAACATAACACTTTTTAAATATTTGAAGCTACTGAATGGATAATTTTAAATAAAATAGCTTCCACTTCTTTCTAACAGGAATCTTAGAGGAGGAAATAGTTAGTTGATAAATAATAGTCTATGTAGTCAAGTTGAAGGAGGATTAGGTAAAACAGATAAATAATAAGATTTTCAATTAATCAAAATATTTTATAAATTTAATTAGAAAATATGATCAGTGAGGAAAAAATAAATTAAATAGAGTTTATGGATGCATAACTTAATTTAGCTTTAAGAAATGTTGATAGCAGTGTTGTTTTAAAGATAGAAAAGCCTTAAATCGAAGATATTAATGGAGTTTAGTATAACTCTAGCAAGCAAGTGTGTTACATAGGAGAGGAAAATAAAAATGATAATACTCAATATGCTTAGTAAAATATAAATTAAAATATACTTACAAATTTAATTAATGGAATAAAAGATAGAAGTAACAATCAATATGATAATTTTTAAATTGAAAGAAAAGAAATTAGTTAACAACCTAATGTAATCTCAATAAAAAGAGATTTTTTATCTAAAAAATACGAAGTTGAAAATGAGTAGATTTTTGAAGAAGAGGAGGGTTTTAAAAACAAATAATGGGGATAAATTCAATATCATAATAGCAGCACATATTTTGGAGAAAGTTAAAAATAATCAACAAAAAAGAATAATGGATTAAATTATAGTAGTTAATAAAATCTAGGGATAGAAGATAAGATTATTCATTTAGAATTGTAAATATCTCCAAAGAAAAAGTAACCTCATACAGCAAGCTCTCTTAACGAAAGAAATAGTACTGGCAATAAGAGCCATTTATATCAAATTAATTATTCTCCAAACTTCAATAATATGTATGGGCAAGGTTATGATGACGAATTTTTGTAAAGAGAAATAGGAGATGTATAATTACCTTCTTCTCCAAAATAAATTATTTAGTTTGACGATGATTATGATGAAGAATACATAGATTATTATGGTGAAATAAATTTAAATTACACTAATGGCATAGGTAGTGCAATAACTAGCTAAAATACATTAAATAAAATTAAAAAACCTTAAGCAGATATAACAAATCCATCCTCTTAAATTTTATTGCTAAATTAAAATACCACAACCCAACAGAATTTGAGTTAAAATTAAATTTTGCTTGTTGAAGCTAGTAGTAATTTTACTCAAATGTTAAGTCCTATTTACTAATAATAGGAATCTAATTTTTTAAGATAATTTAATCCAAATGAAGATTATGCACAACAACTAAATTTAATAAAAGAATAAGGTAAAAAAATAGAAGAGTCAATCAAAACAAGTGAGTAAATGCTTAATTACTACAAAGAATAGTATGAATAAATTAAAAAATCTACATCTTGCTTGGATGAAGCTGAAGAGCTGCATGAAAAAAATAAAAATAACTAAATTTTATCAGAAATATATTCTAATATTGTTTAAACTAAAAAGCAGCAATAATCAACGTAAATAAAAAACTCATCAAATTAATATGAAAGTCATAAGCCAATTATTCATAACTAATCTAAAAGTGATATAAACTTATTACATTATATATATGAAGATTAATTTTATGAAGATGTTAATTACAACCAAGAATAGGTTTGCTAATTTCCTTACCAAAATTAATATAATTCTCACAATTCAATAGAATTTAAGCTTTAGTTGAATGATAAGTTAAAAAATAAGTCTGCTCCACATTCTCCTAATACATCTATTTTAAGAGGTAATAAATTTATTAATAAAAGCGAGTAAGATGAAAATATTGCAGAAGACTCTGAAGAAGGATCAAATGACTAATTCAATAGTAGATATTGTAGAAATATGGATATTTTATCAAATAACAATCCTCATCAAAGAACTTAAACAGATTTAGCTTTAGAAGAAGAAGCAGTAGCAAATGAAAATAGTGGTGAAGAAGATGATTACTACCTAAGTGAAAAACCTAGGGAGGATAATTTTAGATCAAGTAACTGTAATGAAATAAAAGAGTCGAAATATCAATCAGGTATAAGCAACAAAACTACTAACTACTAGACATCTGAATATAAAATAGTATTAAATGAAGAATAAAAAAAATTAAATAAAGAAATGAAGGAAATTTGCAACTAAGAAAACTCACTAAAACAAATAGAAGACTTAGATTTTAAAATTTTAGATGAAATTAAAGATGAAGTTGGAAGAAATGTTTCCTAAATAAATAAACCTAATCTATTTTCAGATTAATAAAATTCGAATATTAGGAGGAGCAAAAGTGCAATATCCTAAAAGAACAATGGTACTACAAATTAAATAAAATTCAAAGCAAGAGCTTCTGTGAAGAATATTTCTCAAAGGAATATATATGATGAAGGAGAAGGAGGGGAAGATGAAAGTGAGTGTATCGACAATCCTATTGAATACTCTGAGAAGATGAATAATAAAGAAGATATTTCGAATAAATATCGCTATGAAGAAGATGAAGTTATTCAAAGTTCTAAAATAATATAAAAAGAATCAATCTAAATAGATTCGTCAGGAAATGTTATTAAATAGTTGGAATAATCTTTTTCTTAGGGATCATCGAATTCTCAGTCTGTATCTCCCTAACCTCGTAATTCACCAACTAAAATTATAAAAAAATAAGAAAACGATTAAAAAGAATTTACTTTAAGTAATTCATATAAAAAAAAGTAAATTATAGAATTATTGGAAAAAGATTTAAAGCAATCAAAAGATACTTCATCTCAAAAAACAGCTTAAAATTTCTAATAAAATGAGTTAACTTTAAAAAAATCATAAAATTTAAATTAAACAGATGTTTTCGAATTCTAAGACAACAGAATTAGCGAAGTAATATTAAATTGTAACTCAATTTATGCTTGCTTAGAAGAAATATGTTAAATGATATGGAAAAATTTTATCAGAGAAGCATAAGAATAGATTAAAATTTTAAAATAAAGATTTTCAAAAAAATAGTTTCTCATAGATATAGCTGAGCTCGAAATAGATTTGCTTATCATATCATTCAGTGGATAAGTTGAAAATCTAAATTTTGTGTGTGAAAAAGTTGATTAAATTTTGAAATCAATCAAGTTAGAGCAAAAGTAAAAATAAAACTTTTACGATTTATGCCTCTGTGATATTAATCAAGCTGAATTATTTCTTATTAAGGGCATTATTTAATATATACAAAATAAAAAACTATGAAGTGTATATCATTTGAGGGAATCTTATAAAATTTACACAAAATTCGAAACATTAGAGTCAAAACTTCTTGATTCTCTCAAAATAAACACCCTTAACTCATAGCTATCTCCTGGTTAATAGAGCTTTTTGAAAGGCAGCTAAGAAATGGCTAATAACTCCTAAAAAATACTATAGATTTTAAATAAATTTTATTTTGGAAAAGGATTTTATGCCACAGCCTTTAGCTTTCTTCCAGATGGTATTCTCTCATTCTTAAAACTCTTAGGCTATTCAAATGACACAAGCGTAAATTATATTAAACTTTTTATTTATTATCTAAATTTTATATTCAAATATTTTAAATTCAGATTGGAATCAAATGGCTAGAAAAGTGCTTGTAAGATAGGAGTTTAAGATCTAATTATGCTGCTATCCTTCTCAGTTTGATTTACGTTGAACGCAAATCTGACAACCACAAGGGATTAGAAATTATTTAATAAGCTTAAAGAGACACTAAATGGCAAGATAGCATTTGCTTATCTTGGGTGTAGAGCCTTATCTTAATGAATTTAGAAGAAGCTGAATAGGCTGAAAAGTGTCTTTTAAAAGGTATTCTTCATATTACAGAAAATATAAAGAAGAAAAACCTTTAGTAAATTAATTTAAATATAATTATGTATGAACTTTGCTGGCTTGAAATAATATAAATGAAATGGTCTTTATCACTCTCTCACTTAGAAGAGTTGATTTGTAGAAGTCTTGATATTTAAATTTTTAAGACCATTTATAAATTAGCTAAAAAATAAGATTTTTAATATATTAAATCAATTGAAGAAAAGGTTAAACAGTTGTAAAAGTAATAAGCTAAAGTACAATTACCTTTAAAAATATAAATGATATTGCATTTAGCATGCTGTTTCATAGAAGTAGGATAATAGTGTTTTGCTCGAGCATATCTTTAAATTTCTTTAGTTGAATATAACTTGATGACAAGCTAAAAAAAATAAAATGAAGACTTGATAAAACTTATTGAAAAATACTTAAATAGACCAAACCTTTTGTATGTTTAGTACGAAGTGCACTACTTGCTTAAATTAACAAGTAAGCTTTCAGATCCAACCTTACTCAAACACATGCCTTATATTAGATAACAAATGAAATAAATAGAAACACAAGAAAATTCACCATAAACAATTCCATAAAAGATAAGTATTTGCACTTTCTTAAGTGTGATTAATTGCTTTATTGGAAAATATTTTGAAAACGAAGAATTATATGAATTTTTTAAAAAAATATAAGAAAATAAACTCAAATTATATGAATATATATTATAGCACTTTTACTTCTGGTGTGCTATGTCCTTTTTTCATCGTAAAATGTATAATGAATCTCTATAAGCTTTTGAGAAAGCTAAGAAAATAAAAAATACAGAATTCTCTATTTTAGAAAAAGTAGAAAAAAATATAACACAATTACAAACCTATATTGAAAAAGAAAAATCTAGAAGAAAATCTTAGGATAGTAATGCGGTTTGATTGAAGTTTAAAATTAAATGTAACAAAAATGAATGATCTCAAAAATAACAGAAAATCCTTTAATTGTTAAAAATAAATACTTAGTCTTTCTAAATTAGAATTAATATTCAAATTCTGAAAAATTATTCTTATAGAATATTTTATAAAAAACATAATAATTAAATTAATAATCAACTCTATTACTTAAAAATGCTTTAAAAATATAAAAATCCTTTTTTTAGCAATGAATTACTAAAAAATAATAGCAATTATGTAAATTAAAGCTAGAAACAAATTGTTATTTTTAGCCATAAAAACACTTTATTACAATTAATACTTTTTAAATAAAAATACTAATAATAATATAATCAAAGCAACAAAATATCAAAATATGGAATTAAGATAAACATGATTAATATCATATTTTTTAAATTAATTAAACATAATTAATTTGTTTAGTTTAAATATTTTATTTTGTTATTTGCTTTCTGTTAATAAATAAATAGAAGATTTCTTCAAAAATGACAAAACTAATTTAATGTGATGAAAAAATTTCTTCAAAAATCTTAATTTTTTTTTATTGCAAACTAATGTTACATAATTATAAAATTATTGATGCTACTTGAATTAATATTTTTTTTTTATAATAACTTTGAAATTAAATATATTAGTAATACAATAGTTAATGAATAATAAACTATTAAATTATTTTCATAATTCAATTTCTGATAATCTATAAGGCCTAACCCCTTTTTATTTGTGAAAGCTTTTTTCTATTAAATGTATCATAGAATTATCATTCTACTTTTTAAAAGGAGTTTGAGGTGAATGCAATTCTTAGAAGCTTTTTAATGAGGGTTTTACATTAATTATAGGAGAAGAAATTGGAGAGATTTCAAAAAAATAATTTAAAGATTAGCATTAATTTCCTAGAGAATGGATAGATTAACTATTTTACTGTAATTTTCTTTTTTATTGTATATTAGTTAAGGAGTTCTATTATATATAACTTTTGTTGGTAGTACTTATTTTAGGTAAACTGAAATTTCTTGAGTGAATAGTTATAGATTAAGACTCACCATTTTTTGTTAAATCAGTCAAAGCTGTAGAACGCGAATCTTAAATATGATCATTGTTTATAGATTTTCCTCTAAAAGTAGTATTATGGTTATGGTTATCAAAAAAAGATTTATTTTAAGCTATTTTTACATTAAGAAAATGGTATTTTTATTATTTGTCAGAGAGGATATGATTTTTCAAATCTTTGATTTAATTGCAATATTTATCTATATCTATATTTTACTGATTGCTAATAAAATTTTGGAGCCTTTTCTATGGATTATATATTTACTAGTCTTATATTTTCCCTTATATTAATAACTTTTAGGTGATAGGGTCAGCTAGAATAAACTGTATAAATATATAGCTTTTAATTCGTAAGAGCTCTCCACCATCTTTGCTTTTACATACAACAAATCCAGCTCTCCTTTTATTTTCCATTATATCTTGTTGTCCAAAATGATCTAATGGTCCATATTCATGAAGCTTTTTATATTTTTAAATAAATTAAAGATTAATATTAAATTAAATAAATAAATAAATCAGTTGTATCGCACAAGTTTTAAGTAGAATGAATTTGTTAAAAATGTTTTTTTTAACTTAAATTTTTAATCTTTTTTTTAAGTTAAGACAATAAATTTAACCTTCCCTTCTTATTAAACATATCAATTTATTTGAACAAGATTGATTACAATATGCGTTATGAAATAAACATAGATATAAATTTATCTAATTATAAAATACTTCTGGAAATTTAAATAAAAATCATCTAATTTTTAAAATATTAACAATTTAAAAAATAAATTACATAAATCAGATGATTTTATTAAGAGAATTCATCTTAATAGCTTGACAAAAGGTTTTAATCTTAGTTTTCTTTTTGAATTTATTCGTTATTTTATGGTTTTTTAAAATTTGGTGGTATGTGCGAGGAAATAGAGAAGTGGTCAGTTCTTTTCTAATAAAGCTTTATTTAATTAATTTTTGGGAAATTGAATAAATAAATATTTTTTTATTTAGAAATGTAAATTTACTCCATATTAACCACTCTTTACAATGTAAAAATCTGTTGATATTTATCCTTAGTTGAATATGACTGTGTAGAGATTAACTTTTTCTATGAATGATAATAAAAGTATTTCGACCAGTTTATCGTCATTCCAATGGCTTAATATATTTATAGACCTTAGGAAATCTAGCTAAGATTCAACGAAGATTCTATCAGCATTTACTAAAGTTTTTGTATATATGTATTTGTTTATAGAAACAAATTTACATGATTCTTAACATATTGCCATACCTTTAAAAGGCTTATTGAAGTAAAGATTAAGATTTCCAATTGCTTCACCAGCTTTAAATGTTTTGATTAGCATATTTTTTTTTTTAAGATTTTCTTAGCTTTCGTGCTCTGCACTCTATAGATGATCAATATTTGGAATATAATATAAATTAACTTTTCCCTCGAGTAACACTAACATTTCATCTGCTTAACTTCCTAAAAACATAAAATGTAACAAAATTAATGAAGTATTAAAAATTTAATGGATAAAAGCAAAAAAATAAATCAAAATAATTTTTCATGGTTATTAATAAGCAATTAGAATTCTTTTTGATTAAACAAATATAGACTAATTCTGATATATTTATTATTAAAGTGTTTGATTAAGAGTAATATTAAAAATTTTTGAGCAAACAAAATGCAAAAATACCTTATCTAAACAGTATTTCATCAGAAAAAGTTTACACAGCTCTTGCATTTACAAAAGCTTACTTGAGTAGCTCATATCCTCCTTCTTCAATTATAGTTTTAAAGTATTTAAGTTTACTAAATTAATCTATTTGTTTCATAATGTCTTCTTATGTTTTATAGCTTTAGTCTTTACTTAAGCTTATCCATGCTTCCTAATATGTTATAATTATCCAAAATAAACTTATAAAATTTCAAATTAATCTCAAATCAATTACTTCTATATCAATTATTTAACCTTGTATTTCTGCATTTTCATCAATAATTTTGCTAGTTAAGCTTCTTATTTTTTATGTATACTGTCTTGTATTACTTCTTTTGATAAATGGTGAACAATTTACTCTGCTCATATATTTTTTTTTAACAATTTCTACTTAATTTTTTTTTTTAATTAATTATTAATTTTTGTGGATTTTATTTTACTGTATCTTAAACAACAAAAAAGAAATTAAGAATTATTAAATTAATATTTCATAATACTTTTGGTATCTTTTTTTTTTGAAAGATTATTTAAAATCAAAATTTTCTAAATATATAAAAATAGATAATTTAATAAATACTTTCAAACAAATACACTCAGCTCAATTAGCTCAATTGGTATTTATTTAAATTTACCAGTAAAATTTTTATAAAAGGCTTCTTTTCTATCAAAAAAATATAAACTTGTTCTTTAATTTAAAATAGGTTTATTACTCAAAATCAAAAGAATCATATTTATACATACTTAAGTATGTTTTACGCACTTATTTATTATCTTTTTCAAATTAAATATATAATTTTGAGTTTGCTATTATTTAATAAATTATGATTAATATTGATAGAGATATATTATTCTTAACTTAAAAAAATAAGTAAGAATTTATTCATTATTAAAATATTAGTAAGATTATATTTAAAAGATAATTAATAAGCTGAATTTGTATTTTAAAAATAAAATATTTTCTTAATTATTTAAAAAAAAAAAAAAATTTCAAATTAATTTATTAGTTTTTGCTTATTTAAATCAATTAAGATTTAATTAATTTTAGAGAATATGTATTATTTATTACTAAAAAAACTAAATAAGAATTTATTCATTATTTAAATATTATTAACATTAGTTTTTATTTTAAAGAGGTAGTTTTTTTAATTTATTTATTTAGTTAGTATTTTGCAATTGAAAATTTTTTATTCTATTAGTATCAACAATTATTATTTTAATAAATACTTTTTTGAGATTATTGAGAGGGTAGTAAGATTTTTGCATTTGTTGTAAAAATTGTATCCTTTTCTTCATCAAGTTCAATAGATTTTGTTTTAACAAATTAACTTTAATTTTAATAATTTAAAGTATTTTATTAGTTTTAAACATCTTTCCAATCGATTTCTTCAATTATTAATGGCTATTTTTTTTTAATCTATGTAATTTTTTTCTAATTGTGATCTGAAGGTTCCTTTGCATTTTTATTTTCTAAAGATGATGACATTTAGTCAATTTCTTTAAATTAAGTTTATTAAGGTTAATTTTCACTAAACTTTATATGATACTTTAATTTATTATTTCTTTAGCTATCACCATATGTATCTAAACTACTATTAACTTTTTGTCTATTAGAATTCTTTATAGATGTTGTTGATGAATTAGAGCTATCATCATTTTAGTTATTATATCTTCTACTCCTTTAATCTATTTATTTTACTAAATCATCTAATTTATAAGGATTATTTTTCTGATTTACACTTCCATATCTCTAGTTTCCACTTTCAAAAATTTATATATATTTATATTGAAGATGAATATAAAATAAAATATATTTACTGATTTCTAACTGAAGAAGCTATAGCTGGTAAATGTATTTCTTTAGAATTGTGCTCTGTCTCTATATTAAGTCTTTTGTTTTAACGAGGAGTATTTGGACAACTTGAAACTCTAATTAAATATTTAGATATTATTAATACTCTTAAAGAATTTAACATGTATTTATAAATTACTTAAGCATATCATTTTTGCTATAGCTATTCTATTATTGCTAGGTATTTTGATGAGAAGAAATTAAATATTTTTGATAACTATTGATACTAATTTATTTAATTAAAAAATAATGATTATTTTTTTATAAATTTTATAATTATAATTTTATTTAAATCTAAAATATATTAAAAATTAATTAATTACGAGTTCTAATTCTAATTATTATAGTCTAACTCAAGCCTATTAATATCATTTGATTTTCTTTCTATTGAAGAAGAGGCTTTTTAAGATTAACGATTTTTATGGTGGTCAAAAGACTATTGTTAAATAAAATAAATTATTTTGTCAAATAAATAAAGATGATCAATTAAAAATTACTGCTCCTCCTACTGTTATTTTTATCAGCCTAGATAGAATATTTTGATTCTGCAATTAGATGTTATTTAATCTCTCTAATAAATATTTTAAAATTATTAAAATTAGAAGAAGTTTATTTCCACTATTTAAAGTTAAGTTAATTAGCCTTTACCGATTTCTCTATTCCTTTTATGGACTTCATTTGGGTGCCCAGAGTAAGATACATTTGATAATGTTTCGTTTTTTCGCTACTTAATTTTATTCATTCTCTCTAAATGTTGAAGATAGTTTCTTTTAAAATTTATATACAAAAAATGATTATGATAAAAGATTTAATTAATCACTAATGAGTCATACTTATTCATTTCATATCTTTGCATTGGCTTTATCTAGTTTTTGTTTGCTATCATTTTATAGTTTTAATTTAGTTGCTAAATTAGACTTATTAACGAATGATATATTAACTAAAAATTGAAAATCTTTTAAAAGTTAGTATTTGTGGTTTTTATCAAAAACTAAAGTAAGTAAAGTTATTGTTAATAATTAATTTCCTGATTTATGGTATCTTCGAGTTTTATTTTTTATGTACATATAAATTTTCGTCTCCTAATTATTTTTAAAACCATAAATTTAATATAATTATAAAGTTAGAGTTGTAAATATAAAAAAAAAGTAAAATTTTTATAGGTGTTTATAATTAAAATACTATTTTTCAAAGTTATAATTTTAATTAGAACATAAATCCAATCAATTAAAATGTAATTAAAAATAAAAAAAATATTTGCTCGAAAATTCATATTTCTATAAAAACATTTATTGAATTAAAATGAATTAAAAAAATATAAAATTATATTTCTATAAAAAACATTTATTCAATTAAAATGAATAAAAAAATGTTAAATATTTGCTTTAAAATTCATAATTCTATAAAAATATTCATTTCATGTTAAAAATAAATTATTTTATTAATTTGTATTTTTAAGAATAAATATTTTTCAATTTTCTAATTTCTACAAAACCAAGTTTTCTTCATTTAATAAAATACTCTCTATGTGGCAAGTATCAGATTAGAATCAGTTTACTGAATCATAAAAAGATAACAATCTAATGTAGTGGTGTTATTTTTTGCTTAAAAATAGATAATATAAATTTTTATATGTGTCTTTTAAACCAAGAAATTAAAATGTAATTAAGAAGATATGAAGTATTTCATATTAAATTCATGTATATATATATAAATATAATATTTGTTTCATGTTAAAATAAATTATTTCAGAAGTTGGTAGTTTTTAGAATTGATTTTCATTTTTAATATTAAAAAAATAAAATTTCTTGATTTAATAAGATACTAATTTCTTTATGTGAGAAATATCTGAGTATCTAATAAGAATCAGATTACTTTATGCTTAAAAATATAACAATCAAATGCAATTATGTTATTTTTAGCTTAAAAATTGATTACCGATCAAAATTTAATTTAATATAATTAAAAAAGATTATTAATAATTTACAATTTTCATATAAAGTAAAATGAAGCTTATCGATACAAGTAGATTATAAGAATATTTAAAAGTAGAGCCAAATGAAAGAACAGAATAGCTAATAAATTAAATATATAATGAAGTATATTTTTTTGAATTTTTTAGATATCTTAATTAGTCTAGTCAAAAAAATTTTATACTTAATTATTGCTGCAAGTTTATGACATGCATCTATTAAAAAAAGAAATAAATAGGTAAATTATTAATGAAATTTTAATGATTCTCGTAAATCCTTCTTTAAGAAATTAGTTTTTGCAATTTGAATATTATTTTATTTGTTAATTTTATAGAATAAAATAGAGATAATATTTGGATTATGCTAGAGGGATAACTTAATATCTATATACCTACTTAAGCTAGTAATTAAGATGAATAATAATATGATAAACCTAAAAAAAAATATGTTAGCATGCTAACTCAAGGATAATGCCTTAATTTAACAACTGTGTGCTTTAAAAAAATTACATCTTTTTATTATGAATGTACAGATTAAGTAGTTTTGCTAAGTATTCCTTCGTTTGTTGATAGTATTTCATTAATAAAGTAGATATACCCTATTGTAAAGGCTGATTATGATTCTATTTTTGAAACATTAATCTAATTTGATTAATTTTATACTTAGCAACAAGTAAGAGACATCTTGTTTGTCAGCAAAAAATGCGTTTATAATAAAGGAAACATATAATTAAAAGGCAATGGTTTAATTATATTCATTGTTTAAGGAGAGTTTTCAGTAATACTTCCTAAATTATTAATATTAAAATATTTAATATTTATATTACTATCATAAATAGATTTTCAAAGATTTCTATAAAGAACAAGTGTAACAAAAAGAAAATTAATTCTATAATCGCTATCAAAAAAAAGAAGATGATTTAGAGAAAAATCATACATAGGATAGCGAAGATGAATACAATACAATTAATTCAAATTAAACATAAAATAGCACAGGTACTTAAGAACTCTAAAAACTTAAAATGAAATTTAAAAAAAGGAATACTCAAGTTTTCAAGAGAATCCAAGTAATCATCAATTTTTAACCAATTAAGTTAAGTGCATTATCATTATAATTATAGTTAGGTATAAAAAAGCCAGGGTCATTAGCTGTTTTAGGAAAAAAGGAAGATTCTGTAGATGGTATAGAATGTCTTGATGGTGAAGGTGTAGTTTTTATATGCACCGAAGATCAGTATAATTAAATAACAAAAGAACAAGAAAGGAAAAGCAATGCGTACTAAGCAGTTATTGCGTGTTAAAATATTTAAAATACTAATAGAGCACCAGATAATTCTTAAGATAAAAACGAATTAATTGATAAAAAAAAGAAAAGTATTTTAAATTAAAATAGTTTGATTGCAAAAATATAAACAAAACTTGCTAGTTAGTAAGATAAAAATAGCAAAAAAATTCCGTTTCAAGATCAACTAAAATAGGTCAAAAATAATGAAAGTTTTAAAGAACTGTAATAAGAAGAAGAAATAGTAAAATAATAATAAACTGATGAAAACACTACTACTACTACTATACTTGGTGCTTCTAAAGGAGATCAGCTAAGAAGCAAATATGAGCTAGACTACAGAAAATCACTAATAAATAATATTGGATAATAGCTTAACACTTTTGCAAACTTTATTTATTCTAACAAAAAAATAAAAAAAGAAGTATTAGCTAAAGAAAATATTTAAAAATAAAATGGGAATGAAAATAATTTAAATGTAGTAAATGAAAAACTGGATTTATAAATTTCGTAATCTAATGCCAATGAAAATGTTTAAAGCCCTTTAAAACTTCCTGAAAACGATGAATAAAAACTAAGTAGATATCTAATTCCTAGTTCACCAGAAAAGAGGCAAGCTAAAAAGAAAACTCTCCCTGTCAACCCATTATATCACTCATAAAAAGGAACATTAAGAGGAATGAGTTAAAATAAATTACCAAGTAGCTAAGAAAATATAGTGAATTAAACTTCTCTTACAAACAACGAGTAATCTAACTCACCTTCTGCCTTTTAAGAATAGCATTTTATCAGAGAGACTAGCATTTAAAAACGAATAGCTTAAAATGAAAACTATCATTTAAGAAATGAATCAAATAAATAAAATAGATCAAAATCACTTTTTTAAACTTAAACACCTACAGAAATCATAAATAATCCAACACCATCAACTAGATTAGGAAAATAGATGATAGCAAATAATAGTATTGAATCTCATTTCGATGTACCAAACTCACCTATAAAAATAGTATAATAAAATTCTATAAATTTCACATCTAAATACAATCAAATTATAAGTTTAAGTGGTCAAAACCACCAAAGGACAGAGTATAGTGATTCACCTACTCATTTTTTAGATTATAATTTTGTTAGTACTCCAAATAATAAAATAAATGATATTAATACTCCTAATAGTTTAAATTATTCTAATGTTTAAACAAAAAACTTTACTGAAAGATGTTAATCTGCTTTTGTAAAAAGCTAAACATCATTAAAAAAGAGTAACCACTTTATAAACTCAGAAAAAAATTTACTTAAATAGAATTTTTCTTCTACAAATAAGGATTGTAAAAAAATAGATTTAAAAGTGAGAATTAGTACTTGTGATACTTATAGCTTTATACCACACAGACAACCTGAAGTTTGTGGATCATAAAGCCATAGATAATTTACAAATCAAACTTAAGGAGACGAGTATAATACCTGCAATACGTTCAGTTCAAGTAACTTGAACTAGTATCAAAATTCAAGCATTAACAAGTTTAATAAAATGTAAAGATCTTTGAAAGAAACACCTAAAAACAATATTAATAAGTTATCTAGTAATAGTAATAGTGAAGCCTCATAAAATAAATAAATTTTTTCTAGAAGAGCTTAATCTGCTAAAAATTTAAGAGTTTAATCTAACAAAATAAATTTAGAAATATAAAAGCAAAATAATGAACAAATTTGTCTTTTTATTGGTTCTAATACAACTACGAACAAAGATAAGCTATAAGATAAGAATATAATTTAAATACTTTATCCATAGAAAGCTAGTATATCTGAAAGAAAACAAATCTCTAGGGTATAAAAATCAAAAAAGCAACAATTTAATCATCTGACAATTAATTCACCTAATAAATTAAATTAAGAAAATGGAGTTTAAAAATCATTAGAAAACGAATTTAAAATCTTTTTATAAAAAAAATTAAGACCACAGAGTGCATTAAATAGATATCAAGGAGAGTAATAAATTAATTAGCTTAATAAAAAAGTATTTGGATAGTTTATGCAATCTCTAAATAACACACCTTCAAATTAAGAAAAAAAATAGCAATAACTCTCAATATCAGCTAATAACTTTTAATCAATTAAATTAAAAACTTTTTCAAGTTTTTCTCAAATTTAGCAACAAAAAAATAAATTAATTTGAATGAAATTAAATGTGTAAATTATTTGTTGAAAAAAAATTTGTATTAAACCCATAAAATAAAATAGTTTTTATTTCAATATTCTTTTAAATTTTCAAATAAGCAAAGATAATCACAGAATTTCATAAATAATGTACAACCTTATTTATTTATTTTAAATTATTTATAAACACACAAATTTATTTTGAAATTTTCTTAAAATCTTTTATTTATATTTAAAAATCTTTCAAAATTTATTTTTGAAATGCAAAAATTTCAAGAATCTTTCTTAAGCTTGATTTCAGAAGTATCAATTCTTGAAAAAGGACCAATATCGGTGTTAAAAATGTATTCATATGCAACTCTCCAGTAACTTGTATGATGAGGGAGTCCTTCATAAAATTCAGGGGCCATAGCTCTTACTTTAGGGAGGAGTCTCCATGGGACTTGAGGGAAGTCATGATGCTCAAGATGATATCCTAAGTTAAGATTAAGTATATTTCCAGATCCAAAGTAATCGTAATTTTCTTATCCCTTAACGAATTCATAGTGTTCAGCAATGGCATGAATAGCCAAAGGATGGAAACCCATACTAAAAATACCAGAAATGAATAAATAGAGGAAAGCGTATGGACCAACATAAGTGAAAATCAAATAGTCAGTAGTCAATATGAATAATAAGTTAAATATTTCAGGAGGAGTAGGAGGCTTAGGAGCAACAACAAAAGGTCTAATGCAGTAGAAAAGAGGCATTAAGAAAATGTATAACATTTTTTTTAATGGAGTGTTGAAGAATCTAATTTCCCATTCCTTTTTTAATTATAATAAATATTTTTAATTATTTAAATTAAATTATGTGATATGAGATTATAAATATAATTAATTAATGCTACTTAAAAATAAATTTTAATCAAACACTATTTTTAATTTCATATTGAGTTTGTTTGCATGTATGTTGATAATTTGGTTAAATTTAACTTTAGTACATAGTTCTTTCTAAAATTTTAATTAATTTGAACAAATTAACTCAATTTTTGTTTGTAGGAGTAGTTTGAAAAATGATATAATTCTTTAAAAATTATTAGCAACTTAAAACGAAATATTATATTTTTATTATTAAAAAAGAGCAAAAAAAATATTTTAAAAACTATTATTTGGATGCTTACAGTTGGAAGATCTGTGTCTCTTTGAGGATGTCCAAGAGCTACGTGATGCTCTCTATGATAATAACCAAAACTCATAGCAGAAGGGACTGTAGAGGGTATGTTTGCTATACAGGCAAATAAACGATTCAAGTTAATACTTTCGAAAGCTGTATAGTGGGTTAAGTCATGAACAAGACAATGCATAGTGTGATTAAGAGAAGCACTAATAACATACATACAAGTCAAGAAAACAGGCCAGCTGCAGTTTTATACATAATATGCAAGAGTAACTTAGAAAATAGCTATTGCTGCAGCTAAAACACCACTTATAGGGTCTTTTACGTATAATTTCAGAATATCTGGGTATTTTTTTAAGATAGCATTTCTTCTGATAGTGTGAGGTTCTTCATGAGGCATTATATGGAAATAATCTTTTCTCTTTTCAAATCCAGTGTGTGTATAAATATCGTAATCCTTAGGGATACTACTTTATTTATTTTAAATAGACTCAAAGATGATTGGTGTCATAGGATCTGCTTCGAACTTTTTGTCTTCAACCTACTTAGACATTTTAGTTAACTGCGTGATTGGTTTAAAAATATCTTTATTATTAAAATTAAATGGGTATTCTTTCTTTCTTTGCTTTGCTAATTTAATTTTTGACAAAACAATTTTTTTATACTGAATAATATTATTAATTTTTTTTTATATTATGAATTATTTTTCTTATCCGTAATTTATATAGCTCAAATCATTACTACAATAATCAAGCTATTTTATGACTTCTGCCAGAATAAAAATTATAATGTAATATCTAACTGTACACTGATTCCTCTAAATTACACAAACATATTTTTAACTAAAATACAATTTTTTTCAAAAAGCTCTATGACAAGGTCATATTTTATTGAAATTTTATTATGATTTTTAGTATCGCAGCAACTAAAAATAAGGGAATTTTGTTATTTAGCTAGATTTCTAAAATTTATATTGATTGACGTAATATAATGTGTAATTATCTTTCAAAATATTAATTTTAATATTATGTTAAAATTAAAAGGGAACAACCTCATTTATAAATAGATTATTTTTAGATAAATCAGGAAAAACATGAAAATATTTTTAAAAATTGCTTAGTATAATAAAATAATGAACTTTTTTTATTTATAAAAATAATATTATAAGCTAAAAATATAATTTAATTAAGGGAAAAACTAAAGATTTGAAATCAGAAAGTGATAGATTATAATCAAGTGTTTACTTAAATCAAATCTATATGCTTAAAGAAAAGTCAATAATGATCCAAAAATTATTCAAAAATAATATTTGCTTACTAATACTTTCATAAAATTTTAGCGGGTTTTTTGAAATATAGAATGTTGTGATGGATTTGTTTTTGTCAACTAATTTTAGTATGCTCTTTTAAATAAAAATTAACATATCATCATATATATATTCTATAACAAATTTATTAGCTTTTACTCTTAATTGTTAAATTTTAAATTAAAAAAAAATTTTGAGAGCAAAATATGATATTCGCTAACTAAAGAGTATAAAATACACAATTTTTAGGTACAGAAAAAATTAAATTTTTCAATTCAAAATTACATTTAATTAAGACAGAAATATTTTGGATATACATTTGATTATGTGATCAATTTTTATTCTAAAACAATGTGACGATGTTTTTATGATGTAAGTAAGTATAATAAAAATTAGTATCTTTTCTAACGCTGAAATAAACAAACGAATATATATAAATAGGATATTATAATAATAATAATGATAATTATGTAAAAAAGCATATTTGGTACATTAAATTTATTTTTATTGAATTTTTTTAAAGAAAGGCAAGAATATAAAACATGAAATACTTTAATAGAATAATTGAGTATTTGGAAAGGCTTTGATAGGCCTTGTGATATTATAAATTGAAAATTTGTAAAGATGATATTATTTCATGTGAATAAAAATTCTTTGTCATTCTCTGTTACTTTTTTTTTTAATTTTGAAAAAAATTAATTTTGTTAATTTTTTGATACTTAGATTATTCTTATTGTTTACATTTCAAAGATTGGCTCTGTTTACTTTAAGACTAGTTTTTTAATTTTATTCAACTGTTTTACATGCTAAGCGGGAAATATGAAGATTTTGCGAAGAAATGCTTGATGAACTCATTTTTTAATTTTCTCTTTTCTTCAATCATTCCTAGATATCTCAGTTCACAAATAGCGTTATAGTAAGAAGCTAGCTGCTCATCTTCATCTAATTCAATTTTTCTTTCTCTTAAGATAGATTTGTATTCTTTAAATGACTCTGTAATTGTGAATTTTTTTCCATACTATTCTAAAATATGAATGAGATACAATCCATCAGCATTACTTTCAACTATCTCCTATTTTTTCTTTTTATTTTAACTGATATGGTTATTATACATAGGATCAATTATTTTTTTATGTATCATCAAACTGCCAAGTATATCAGGCTTACATTATGAGCTTAATTATGAAATTTCTAAAGAGAGTCGTGCAATTGCCATTATGTTAAATGTTTGATGCAAATCATAAGTTATTTACCTAACTATATTTTCTACTCTTTCCTTTTTCATTTGATTTGCTTGCTATGAAATGTCTTTTTCTGACTGAGTTTTACTAATTTATTAGGATTTTGCATACCTATCTTTTGAATGAAGATTATAACTTTTTAATTTTTATATATCATCATTTACCTATTTATTAATATCTTAAAGGTTTTGTGCATGAATTTTGAATATTTAGTTTCCTATTATATCTTCACAGAAATTTTTTAACAGCTATTAAATTGATTTGCATGAAATATTTGGATCTTTTAAAAATTCATTTTATTATGCTTCTGTCATTACATACCTTTTATCTTCATTTAAAATAATTTCTATAATTCTATGACTCTAATCAATGAGTTTTTGCGAAAAAGAGTTATCTTCATTTGATACACCATTAAAAAAATTCATACCATAAAATCTCTCTAAAAATTCAATAATTATTTATATTTCCTTTTTTTTTGTCCATAAGTCTAACTTATCAATTAATATATTGGAGCTAATCTTCTAAGATTTTCTTTATGGTTTGTTTTATCCAGCTAACTAATTTAAGGCATATTCTTTCATTTACTATAATAGTTTTATTAAATCTTCATCTTCCTGATGCTCATACACAAAATTAGAAATAGCCATTTTAACTCTCCTTACTTAATCATTATAAGTAATTGAGTACAAATCAAATTCATTTAACATATCCCTTAGTAAGTTTTTAGGAAGAGGAGGAAATTCTTCTGATTTGAGTAAAAAAAGTAAAAAATTAACAAATAAGTCTTTTTGCTTGCAAAACTCAACAGTGTATATTTGAATATCTGGAATAGAAATAAGTTAGCTTACTGGAAATAAAATGACTAATTGAATAAAATTTTAATATTGCTCATATTCTTCAAAGAAAAACTTCCCAATATCGATCATATCTTATTTGCAAATATTATAAGCTCCATCAAATACACATAATACTAAATGAGGCTAATCATATTTATTCTTCGATTTAATTTTTTAAATTATATTTTCTACCTCAAACTTAAAGTGTGTTAAAATTTTAAAAAGTTAATTGCCGCCTTAATATTTAACAATGTGTATTTCTTATGCTTAATCTTCACTCATTGTTTTTATATCACATTCTAATTATTCGTTAAATTCTAATAGTAAGTCTAAATTCGATTTATCTATCAAGAGCTAGATATAGTTTAAAAATAAAGGCAAATCCTAAATTTTACTATTAAGTATATTAAATACTTTTTATATCAAATATTTAAAGTTCTCTCTTTGTATTTCAGCCTTTTAATTGTCAATTGTGATATTATAATATTCAATTATGTCAAAAAGATGCTTAAATTTATAATTTTTATCAATAATTTGCTTTGATATATCTTTGTAATTATCCTTCAGATTTCCATATTCTTCAATTTCCATTTCTGCATTCTAATTATTTTTCTTTTTTGGTTTTTATTCTTTCTTTTCTTAGTTACAGTCCTTTTTAGTCAAACATTCAGGTATGACTACTTCAATAGTTTCTTCCCAGCCCTACTATTACTTTTTTCTTCTTCCTCTCACTCGCTTTTATTACACATTCTATTCTATATTATCATCTTCATTGTTGCTAAGAATAGCTTCTTCCCTATCTTCGTTTTCAATGTCCATTTTTTTTAAATATTTTTATATCTCAAATAATGCTAAATGTTAATATATCTTAATAGTTATATCTTTTTGGCGCAAATATTTTTAAAAGATTTATCAAAAGGTTTTTCTAATTTATATATTTATTTTAAACTAATAAAACTATACTATTTTTTATTTACTATTAGCCTATAAAATTTAAAGTTATTTAAGCACCATTTTAAATTTAATTTCTCGAAAAAAAAATTCCATTTTTTTATTTTAAAAAGTGTTTTTCATCTGTACAAAGTGTTATAACAGGAATAAATATTCTACATAGACATATTATATTAATAGAATTATGCTTTCACATAAAAATTATTGGATAAAAAAATGTTAGTAATTTCTGATTAAAGAATTTGATTATTTTTGTAAGTAATATAAAAATTATATCATTTTAGCTTTAGATAGATTTAAACTAATATAACAAATATTTTAATATTCAAAAGCTCATTTAAACTAATTCATATAGACAATATTGTTTATTTGATTAGATTAAAGATTGAATCCATTTTTAAACTAATTTTAATTAGCATTGTTATAAATGTTTGAATATTAGTTTTATAAATTATAGTTCTACATATTATTCTGCTAAGCTAGTGATGCCTAATTTTATAATGCATTAGGGGTTTAATATTAATTAAAAGGGGAAAATCCAATTTTGGATTGAATATAATTTTATTGTATGACTTCTTCGTTCTTTGAAAGGATATGAACAACTTTTGTATTTTACAAGTTTCTTATAAAATCTGGTTTAAAGGTTGGGGTTGTTGAAGACCTGTTCTTTTTTGAGTCTTCTTATACATTTAAAGTTTAGTTTAATTTATTCTCATATTGTTTGCTTAAGTTATTTATTTCAACTGTTTCGTTAAGCTTGCTATTATTACAAATTTGCTTATCTTTACTCAAATTATTGCTATTACCATTATTTTTATCTTCATTTTATTAGAATTGTAGTTAGTTTGGAGCTGTTACAAAATTATCTAAATATTATTGGTTTGAATTTTAATCTTATTTATTCATTTATGTCTAATTAAAGCAATTACCTTACTAATTATTAGTTGGGGATTTACAATCTATATCAAAGAGGTTTACTTTGACATTTGTAATATTCTTAAACATTCCACCAGAGTTATAGTTTTCTTATTAAAATGGTGAAACGTTTTCATTCTTTGTAAATTTTACTCTTTAAATTGGAACATTATTGGCGCTTCTTTTATTCTTGAAATCAAATTTGCTTTGATTTTTTTGGTGAGAGACTTTATTAATGTAATCGTTTTGGCTAAATGTTTACTAAAAATTTGAATTTTAAGGGTTTTAAGTTTAACCTGTTTAATTTGTTACTGTAGAATTTGTGTTTTTTTGAGCTGATTGTTATTTATTTTTATTTTCAACATTCTAATTTGATTGTAGAATGTTGTTTGTGTTTTACTTAGAAAATGTTTTGGAGTTACTAGACTGAATTTATGTATTGGTATTGCGATTAGAAGATGTCATGTTATTATTTGCTAATATTTAGAATTAATTGACTGTTGGATTTTAACTGTTTTATTAGTTATTATTCTTGTTCGATTTTGATTTTTAATTACTAGCACTATTGACTTTTTCACTTCCATTTTTTTGATTTGTTCCATTGTTGGTATTACTATTTTTCTTATTTCTAGGTGTAAAACAATTAAAATCATCATACTTGTTGTTATTTCCTTAATTAATTTAAGAATCTATATTTTTACTAGGGAGAGTGTTACAGTACTTTTAAGAACTTTGGCTAAGATTTTTAGAATTATTTTATTAAAAGCTTTGCTAAACTTTTCTACCTGAATTTTGTAACTGCTATTGGTTGTTGTTAGTTGATTTTGTCATGTGATGCGGAGTGGTAACACAAACTACAGGAGTGTGATTCATAGTTCCTGGTTTTTTGCTTGAACTATTGTTAATCAATAAATTCTTATTGATAATAATAGAGTCGCAGCTTATAATTGATTCATTGTCACCCTCAGCATTAGAAATTTTAGAATTTTCATTTTTGCATTCTTTATTCATTTGTTAACCAATTCTAACATAATGGTTAAAGCTTTGTGTATTATTCTATGTACTGCTATTATTGTTATTGTTAATTGTATTTTAACTGTTATTTGCAATATTAGCTAATAAATTATTGCTACTTAAATTCATCACACTACCAACGATACTTATATTATTTGTTTATCTTGGACTAACGAGTGTAGTAGTTTATTATTCATTCAAACTAACAATACTGTGATTATTTGCATTTATACTGCTTTTATTATTGTTATTCATTTAATTAATTATTTAGTTATTTCTGTTTTAATTGAAACTAGAATTAATACCAGAACCTTAATTATTTAATATAGTAGTAGTATTACCACTGCTTGCAGGTATACTATTATTATTGCTGTTTAATTCTTCTGGGACTAAAGAATTTTATTTTACTATATTTTGCTTTTAATAAGTTTATTCATTTAAATTTTATAGATTCATTTAGTTTGAAATGTTATTTTAAATGCGTGGGCGATTTATTTTATAAGTAATATTGTTTGTTGTAAATGTATTTGATTAAGGAGTCAAGCATTAATCATTCATTTATTGTTGATATTCGTTACGCTAAGGTTAAATTATATCCATTGTAGTTGCCCTAAACCTATTTTACACTTCTGAAGGATGAATGCTTGATTCAACAGATTGAGGTTATGAAAGCATTTCAAATTAAGTTTTGGAGTCTTTTTTCATATGGTTGCTGATTGTTCCATTTGTAGTTGAAACTCCGTAATTTATAGGAATTGATTTTACAATAATAGAATTCTCTCCTTAGTTACTTGCCCCTGTGACTAAGTTTTCGTTTACATTTAAGCTTTATGATTTATATAGATTATATTAATTACTGCTTTTATTATTTGAAAGGTTAGCTTATTGCATTTATTATTACTAGAATTGTTATTATTGCAAATTACCTCCATGAGGACTGCTTGATTATCTAAAGATATTATTTTAAATATTTTGTTATCTAGCTAAAGAATTGCAAGAAGGTGTAGCAGAGTTAAGAGTGCTTCCAATTTTACTTTGTCCAAAATCTATCGAAGTATCACAATTTATATTCTGATTATTATTTAATGGAGTTTATGGAGCTTAATTTTGAATATTCTTGATATTTGAATTACTTGCACTATTTTAATTATTTGAAGCGTTTGAGATTTCTTTGTAGAAATCGAGAGCACCCGTGAAGCTAGTGTTAGACCTTTCTCTTCCATAAAAAGAATTGTTTGTAATATTTCCTAAAATATTTATATGTTGCTATTAGCCAAAAACTGTAAAACTTCTTTGTTATTAATGTTAAGTGCTGTTTTGCTAAGAATTGTTATTTGTGCTTTATTCAGCTTAGTTGCTTTAAAGCTAGTTGCTTATGAATTACTACTAGGAAGGAGTATTGTTATTATCTTAAAGTAAAACAATATTTAAAGGATTGTTTGTTGTTTAAGTTGGCTAATTAAAATTAAATATGTTGCCATTTGAGTTATTGGAGTTGCTACTAACATTAGTTTAATGAAGAGAATTGATTCTGCTGCTATTTTTTTAGTCGAAGTTTTTATAGGCAAAAGTTGCAACTTATTTATTTTCAAAAGCACTTATTGCCGTTTATGGAATCATAGGAGCAGCAGGACCTGAAGTTTTTTATTCAGAACTTATAACATTATTAAATTTTCTTTCAAGATTTATCTATATATTTGGAGTAGAGGAGCGTGAATGAGCATGATGGATTGTTTGGTTAACTATGTTATTATTACTAGGTATTTATATAAGAGGCTAGCTTGAAGGTACTTGCTATACATATTAGTTGCTCTTTTATTCTTTGACACTATTGTAGAAATCGAGGTTATTATTGGAGTTGTTACCTCTTTCAACTGAAGACTAAAGGTGATTCACTAAATTGGGAGCTTACACACTTTTAATCCTTGACCTCTAAAGAGCTTACTGCTAATTAAAGGTATTATTTTATTATAATTGTTAGTGAGATTAAGTTGAACTTGTTTTTCCTTATAATGGAGAAGATTAATCAAATTATTATTGATTCAGCTATTGAGCTGCGGTTGTTTCTTATAGTTTTATTTAATTTGGAATATCACTTGTTGTGTTTTTTATAAGGTTTTATTCAAAAAAATCGCAACATTGCTTTACTAATTTGACTGGACGCTACTCGTGGTGATCTCCGTCAAAATACAAAAGCTTGTTCTCTCCTTTATAGTTCTTTTGAATTTTTTCAGTATGATGAGATTTTACAAAACTATCTTATTTACTAGCAACAAACAAGCAGGGAATAGAAGCCTTTTCTAAATTTTTTAGTACATCTAATTCTTCAATATTAAATTTTGCTTTTTCTAAGATTGTTGATTAAATAAGACTTAGTGCACCTTTGATTAAAAATTTAGGAAGACCAGTTTTCATGGCTCCAATTTCAGATGCAAGTTTCATGAAATTAGAAAAAGGAGAATCAAAACAACCACAAATGATAGATGAGTTATTTTATATATACATCAGTCCTAAATTCATTTTAATAAATTTTTTTAAAAAACTGAGAAAATAGAGTGGTTAATTAACAAATATATTAAAGTAAATTTAGTTATTTTTTTGATTTCAATCAGTTTTTTGAAAAACTTAATTCAAATATTATTACACTTGCTACTATTTGAATTTTATGTATTAAAGGTTAAATCAATAACATAATTGTCCTGCTGTTAGTTAATTTAAGTTTATAAATTAAAAGGTTTTAATACCTGTAACTGCGCCCATTGAACGACCCCAAATTCCTATTTTAGATATTTGCCAGTTTTGTTTTAAATAATTAACGACTATTTCTACATCTCCTAACTCATAATATCCAAGAGATATATACTCGCCTTCAGACTGCCCGCTTCCAGCGAAATCAAAAATGCATACTGATATACCTTTATTAATTAAGTAATCTACATATAATTAACCTTCTAAACGACTACCGCTATTACAGTGTAGATAAACTACACATGGTTAAGGAGTATTTCTCTAAATAAATTCATAATAACTACATTTAAGAGTTAATCCTAATTTATTTTTCAACTCAAAGTCCTATCTTTTTACTTTCTCTCTACTCTCTTATGTAAGCGTAATTTAAGGACCTTTTTATAAAATAAATATTAGTATTTCAATATAGCAATATATAATGAAGTTAATTGAGTGTTAATTTAGGATTAGTTTATAATGATTAACAATCATATTGAAAGTAAAGTAGTAGTTGTATGCTACTAAACTACTTACTGAATAAACAAAAAACTTAGGTAATTCCTTCAAAATTATTTTATTAAATTGATTACCTAAATCAGAGGTATTATAAGTTTATCTGGTAGGTCTTATAATGCTCTTCCAGAGACTTTCATAATTTTTAAAAATATCCATTTTGGTTTTGATAATTAAAGTTAATATTATCCTTGATTTTATTTATCAAAAATGTGTTAATAGTTTATTAAATGAATGAAAATTAATTGTTTTTAACTATAAATATTTATTTCTAATTTTACAATAATAAAATATCAAGAAAAATGAAAGAATAATTGAAAGAAAAAAAAATTGAAAAATTAGTTAAATAATTTATTAATTATTTGATTTTTAATTAAATTCTGCTTTAAATAAAATGAAATCTCAAAGAAAATAATGACTAATCACTAAAAATTCATTCTAATATCATATAGTTTTTGCTATAAAAAACTAACACACTAAATTTACTTAGAAGTACATTTATTATAATATGCCTATTAACATAAAGCAAAAAAAATTCAAATGGATTATTAATTTAATTATTAAATATCAACTGACTTTTATTCAATCTTGATAATTAATTATCTTTCTTAAATCTCATAAAAAGGTACTTTTTAACAATTAAAAATTTTAATACTAAAATTCTAAACATAGCAATAAAATATTATTTATGATTATGATTTGGCAATGGAATGTAATAGAGTATCTTACCCTTATTGTTTGAATTAGTTGGTATACTGCTAATAATTTTAATTTATTTTTTTAGAAATTATGATCATATATATACTATCTTTTATTTTTTTGCATATTATTTAATTTATATTTTGCTAATAATTTATTTTCAAAGTATTTAAATCAAATGGTAAATCAAATTAAAAGTAGGATAAATATATTTAATCACTGAAAATTTAATAAATTAAATTGTGTCTCTTTTACATAAATTTTGTATAAATTTAAAAAAATTTTTAAACGATGACACACTATATATTGTTATCTACTATATATTAGAAGTACTCATTAAAAAAAGTAGGTGTTAAGTATTTATATATATATTTTTTTTAGATAAATAAATATATTTATTTATTACTGAAATAATAATATATTTTTTAAGAGTAAATTTGAAGTAATTTGCATGGACAACTTATTTGAATATGTAAAGCAGTAGCTATTGTGTGAAAAAGAAATCATATAAAATGTATATGATTTGTTATAGTTACTCAACTCAGAGTTTGCTAGAGAACTTTTAGATAAATAATAAGGAGATTTTATTATAACATATTACTTTTCACGGTAGTCAAGGATAAAGAAATTTAATAAAGTATCAGATGAACTAATAAATTAAATTTATAAATATAGAAATTATAATTATATGATGCAAAATTAGTTTGATAAGATTATGCAGGCAATAACTATGAGTAAAACATTGCAAAATGAAGAATAAAGCTATCAATTTTCAGATATACTAGATATTGGTACTATGTTTAAATTGCTTGAGTTAGATTGGATAAAAAGGCATAATATGACAAAAATGCTTTCTTAACCTTAAACAAATAAAAAAATTGAATAGATTAATTTGAAGGAAATTAATTAAATCTCAAATAATTAAAATTATTTATTAACAGTAATTACTTAATTAAATTTATTTTTAAAATTAATTCAAATTTTATTTAGGACAAAGACTCAAGTTTGTAGCTATACTCAAATTTAAATGATTTAACTAATACTAAAAATAAGAATATTAATGAGGACCTAACTAAATTATAAAAAGATAGTTTTATTATTGAAATAGGACCACAAAAGTTTATTAATTAAGGAGAAGAAGAAATAAAAGACTCTCAATAAAATAATTTAGATTTTAATTGTGAAGAGGTTGATAAAATTATTTCAAAAAACTAGTAGAAGTGTCTTGAGTTTTTTAAATCAATTAAAGAAACTTGGAATTTTGAAGATTTAAAGTAAGGTTATTTTGAAGATATATAAGAAAAATGTATTTTCCATCATACTTTGAGTGAAGAATAAATTAAAATCTTAAATAAATATGAATAATCTATCACAAAATGCAGAAATAAAATTAAAGGTAATTAGAAAGTTTAATCTCGAAAACTTTAATCTTAAAATTATGAGAGCTAAGGTGAAAATGAATAATAAGATGAAAAATTAAATGGCAATAAATAAATTAAATTAGAAGGGTAAGATAATAATTCTTAAAAGTAATAAAATGCTAGTGATTAAAAGATAAAAAAAAAAAGAGGAGGGTTTAGAAAAAGAAGGAATCAAGTAAATCTGGATCAAAGTTAATAAGATGCTTAATAGAGCATAAAAAACGAAAACTATTAAGTTTAAAGTTAAAATTAAAATTTGAAAGAAAGCTCTAAAGATATACACAATTAAAATGAGTAGCTTAATCAAGCTATTTGCTCTGAACAAGTTGAAACTACTGATTCAAATGAAGTTAGTTAGCAAAGTTAGCTCAATTAAGATAAGATGCAAATAGAGGAAAGCTATTTTTAGAATCATAATAATAACACCGAAATTAAATCAAGCGAAGTAAAAAATAAAATTTAATCATTGTTATTTAAAATAATTTTATTTACTAAAATATAGCAACAATAAAATAGATTAGTTTAAGAGTTTAATAAAATTGAATAAGAATAGTTTGAATAAAATGAAAATAATTTACTAAATCATAAGGTTGATAGTAGTAAGATAAAATAGCTAAAGGTAGAAGAAAATAATTTTTAACTCTAAAGCCCCTTACAAATTTAATTTTAAGATAAATTTAGTAACTTTTAACCATACTCATTCATAAATTCTCCTTTTCCCTAATAATTTAATTGCAAGATTGAATAATTTTAATTAGAATAATTGAATTATCAAAATATTTAAATGAACAACTCTGAATAAGAATAACAGAAAAATGAAAAGTTAAGCTATGTATAAAATGATTATAATACCACAATAATAGATGAAGTCAAAGCAAGGGAATTAATAGATAATAATTTGTTTGAGAATATTTAATTAAATTTTGAAAATAATAACTTTGAAAATGTTTAAAAAAATGTAAGCAATTAACTAAATTATGAAGATGAATATGTAAAATAATAATTAGAATAAAATAAAATAACTCATGTTGATGATAATTAAAATATTAATGATTAAAATTTTTAGATTTCTTAAGAATTATTTAAAATAAAAGAGGAGAGCTAACTTATAAATGAAACATAAGTTCTGTTAAACAATACAAGTAATTAAAATTAGATTAAAAATAAAGATGAAAACAAATAAGAATACATGGATTTACAAAGTAACCTTAACGAAAATAAAGAATTCAGATATTAAGATTTGATAATAGAAGAAGAAGAAAGTTAAATATTAGAAAAGTTAATACAAACGGGAAAGTTAAATAAATCTCATACTCAAGTAAATGATGAAAAAGTTATTTTGGACAAAAATAAATCTAAAGAAAAAGATATCAGTGATATTTCTAACTAAGCTGAAAATGCATCAAGTCCAAAAGACTCACCAATCAAATTAAGAATGGTTGATATTTTTGAGTTAAAAAGTCAATCAAATAATAATATTTCTAATTAAAACACGTCTACTGAAAAATAATCTGAGCTTATATCTTAGAAAGTTAAATCACCTAATAAAATTTAAAAAATGAATAAGGAAAAGAGGAAAAAGAAAATAGGAAAAACATTCAAAGAGTTAACTTTGCAAGAGCTTGAAATAATCAAAAAATCTTCTCTCAAAGATGCTTCAAATTTAGCAAAATAATTGGGAATGAGCTATTAAACTATGAGGAAAGTTATTGCTAAAGTCTAAAATGGAAACAATAAATGAAAGAGCTAAATTTTTTGATATTATTTTTTTAATTAAAACAAATATTTTATTTAACTATGATAATTTATGAAAAAAAAATTATTTTAAAAATTTTTATTGTATTTTATACCAATTTGTATCAATTAATAAATAATGAACTTATTTTTCAAAGTAAAAATATCATTCAAATTGCATTTTATGTTTCAAGGACTTAGTGATTTTATCATAAATTTGTTTAAAAAATTTATATGGGATATAAATAACTATCGCTTTTATTATAATCAAACACTAATATATTTAACTTATGTTGAATTCAAAATCCTGAAATGAATACAACATGGTTTTTTATTTGTTATTAAAGAAATTAAGTATATTTATTAATTAGCAGCTTAATAATTTTAATATTTAACAAAGATTAATATAAGGCAACCATTTTCCATTATACAACTCTTACTAATACTATTTGGAATTAAAAATACTTATTGAATTAAAAAAAAACATCTAGTTTAGGAATTAATTAATTGAATTTGATCATAAAAAAGTTTACAATAATAAGATTAATACTTAATTAAGTAACAAAAAAAAATAGATACTAATTAATTTGCACTTTTCAATTAATAATCCATGTTATTTGCTTGGATTTTCATATTTTTTTATCTAGCATCCAAATCTTTTTAATAAACACAAGGTTTATGCAGCTAATTTTAGAGCATATCGCGTATATTATTCCTCAATCTCTCATTTATTACTACCTTATTTAAATTATTTGATAATATTACTCTTTAAATAAAGACTATCCTTTTTATTTTAATAATCTAAAATTAAATTAAACTATAAATATAACGAATAGCACTAGTAAACAATAACATGAAACTTATAGACTCTTTTATAATAGAAAATACTAATTTATTAGTGATGGCATTCAATGGATTTTTATCTTTAGATTAAGAATTTTAAAGTACGATTTTCTTCTACGAGATTTAGTAGAACAAATTAATGGGCACAATCAAAAGTAAATTACTTTTAAAATATGATTAAAAGTGATAAATATTCTACTAATAGACTAGAATAATGTTAAAGGAGTTTAATATAATACTTTGAATAGCTAAATAATAGTAAGTACAACTAAATTCCTTCTGTTTTATGATATACCTCAGCTGTAATTAAAATAAAAAGTATAAACGAATTTAGGAAGTTAGATATTAATAAATCAAGGTATTATTTATTTGATAAACTCTTATCAAATGAAATTAATCAACTAGTTAGATGATAACAAAATTCAAATTGTTAATTTTCTTAGGATGGGTTTTACTGAATAAAATTATTAAAATATATATCATTATTTTTCAGAATAGCCTTAGCAAATAGCTTTACTAGGTTTACCTAATGGTTAACAAATTATTCAATTTAATGTATAAAATATTGTTTTTGTTTCTGATTTAACAGGGACTAGCTTTGTTTAGCTTGTTGGAAGTAAATTAAACATTTATAAAAAGTTAATTTTTACTATTTATTTACGAATTAGATGATTTGAGTATAATAAAAAATAATGGTTAGTACATAGCTGACACATTTTTTATACCTGGTTCTTATTGTTTTGCTAGTGTAATTTCTTAATCAGCTAATCTGGATATATGGAATTTACAGGACTATGCAACTTAGCAATAGCATTACGTTAGAACAATAGGTATACATTTTTAGTGAATCTTATTACATATTTTTATAAAAATTAAATTTCAGATATTCAAGTTAATTTTCTAATATAGCTTTAAGCAATCAGTAAGGGATAATCATAGATCAAATATTTTACTTCAAATAAGGATAGATATCATACATAATTTATACCTTAAAAAGAAATTTTAATGAAACTTCAGCTAGCTCGTATTATTTGGGATAAGTATGGGCTAGTTAGTTATAACTTGATTAAAATCTATTTATAACAGGCTACACAAATAGCAACTTACTTGTGAATGCAAACTAAAACTATCTTATAAAAATAGACATATTTTATTAGCAAAATATTCTTTTTGTTTATGATGATTTTGCAAATAATAAAATTAGGCTATTTAGTTTAGATAACTTAGTAACTTAATTGTAGCAGATTCCTTAAAGTTTTCAAGGTATTTATTTTGATTTTTTAAAAATTAAAAAATATTGTAAAAATTGTAAATATAGTTGAGTAGTTTGATATGAGAACTCAAGCAAGTTGGGTAGGGCAAAATTAAAAGATCGTTTCATTATAATAAAAAAACTTATTAATTTAACAAAATAATGATCCATCTTAACCATTAGCTTATTAGATGGCTTATTATTTAAATCTCTATGATATCTCTTTTAAAATTCAATCTCAATTTCTTTTAACTGATCATTACTTTAGCTTAGGTGATCTAATTAAGGTTTAAGGAGCAAACTCATAATACCTCTTAAGAGCATAAAATAACTAAGGAAAGAAGCTCAGAATATTTGACCCTACATAAAATGTATTTATTATAAAGTCATTATTGAATAAATTAAACACTTATTTTATAGGTTATAATTGGGGAATGGGAAGTTAGTAATAACAGTTAAACTGTATTAGACTTCACAAAAAGTGATCCTAATATATAAATATCTGCTTTTTACATTAATGGGAGCTATAATGTTTGCTTTGCTATATATAGTAGATATCCGAATGTCTACTAAAATGATATTACAAAATAAAATTATGGAGTAATAAATCAATAATTAATTAATTTTTTATCATCATATTTTTACAATATTTAATTAAAAAATTTTTAGATTGAATGTGTTTCATTTTCTACTGGTGATATGAATACTGTATAATATTATGTCTTAAACAATCCTGCAAACTCCAAGAGTTAACTTTTCTAAAGCGTATTTTACTCTTAAAAATAAAAAGAAATAATAGGATTCCTTTCATCTGGTTAATATTTAAGATGGAACATCATCACTAAAACTTTGATATAAAATGACTTCTGTAAATTAAAATAATTATTCATTATTAATTTTTAGTAAATAAAAATTTAAACTTTATAATTAGATAACATTCAAAATTGCTAAAACTCACCACTTCTCTCTCCATAATACATCTAAGAAGAAGATTCTCTTTTAGTAGATTGCAGTTAAGGATTAACATTAATTTAAGTTTATAAAAATTCTGCACAAACTATTTTAGTTAATAAACCTAATTCTCAATTAATGTCTTTCTAATATCTCAATATCAATAATAATAGGATACTAATTACTTTATAAGATTACTCTATGCTAAATTTAATAGACTTAAACGTTGTCTTATCCCCAACAAATAATATATAAAATAAATACTATCCTATATTGCTATATGATACAAATAAAATTGTGAACATTCTGCTGATTCCATCAAATATTTTATACATTTTTATGAATGATAGATTAAGTAAATTGAATCTTACACCTTGTGTAAACTATTCCTTAGATTCTTGCATCAATTCATGCTTTAAATAATACAATTTTTAAGTAAGTGATTAATTATAAAATTTAAGTAGTTATGGAATTGGTTCCTCTAATAATCCTTTCTTATCTTCAAATATGTTTCTTTTTAGCAGCCTAGAAGTATGTTAGTATTTTTCATATATATCTTTTTATAAATTTTTTTATTTTAATAATGTAGATAAATACAATCATTAACATGTTCTCTCAAATTTCTTCTTTAAATAGTATTTAAGTTGAAATAAATATTTAGGGATAAAATTAATTATCTTTAAGACAGGAATATTTTGCTAGCTTTGAAAAAAATACGATTGTGTAGATTAGTTTTTAATCTTTATAGTAGAATTAATTATCTATTATTAACTTGGCTAATAATATGATTATTTAAAATTATCAGTATTTTTAAATCAAAAATTTTGATCTAAGGATTTAAGCCCCTACTGATTCATCGTTGTTCATGGACTTTTAATGCAATTTAATATTTGCAAATATCCAATCATTAAATTTAAAAAATTCATTTGCTAAATCAGTAATGACCTTATAAGATGGAAGTGTTAAGTTGATTCCTTGTACAATTTTATTTTAGAATAGCAAAGCTTTATTGTAAGATATTACCATTCAAAACATTTCATTATTCAACCCTGCCAGTTATTAAGAGTTATTCAGCTTTACTGGTAATCAATAAAATGTAAATTTATTAATTTAAATTATGCTACCTATATTAACAACACAAATAAAAAAAGGAAATTGTATTTGATACTTTAAATATTACAAGCTCGTAGCTAGACGGTATGATCATCATAAATAATAAAAGCCCTTCTTAATTAAAAATAAATAATTTGTTTATTTAAGATAACACATGCTAGAATACTAATACAATTTACAGCCTACCTATATTCCTATCAATGACTTTTTCTGTAACTAAAGTAAATATCTATAAAAATGTCTTCTGTAATGATGTTTCGCTTTTCAATTCTTATCCTATCAATGATGATTCGATATAATCTCTAATTGACTCTTAAAATCAGTTTTAAAATATAAAAATTTTAGAAAACACCATTTACTATTCAAATCTAAAGTTTTTCTTTTTAGATTTGCAGCTTTATTCAAGTGGAAATCAGTCTAATTATATAAAAATAGAAGATCTTATGATTTAAAATAACATCCATCTGTAAACTAACTTGCTAGATACATCTAAATCATACTTTTAAACATATATATTTATCAATAACTTTTCTGGATTAAATATAAGAAATTCTTATTTCTACAATTAATAAGGAACTAATTTTATTAAAACAGCTAACACTTAAAATGTAACGATTCAGAGGCTTGAGTGCATAAACGATATCTTAAATTAAACTGTAGAAAACGGAGCTTGTTTAAAATTTTTCTAAATTTAAAATACAACTATAGATTAATTAGTCATTAAGAATTAATTCTCAAATGGAATCAATTTATTTAGCTTATATAACTAGGATTATCAAGATATAGTTTTGAGTTTAACCAATTCAAATTTTACTAATAATTTAATCTAGTAAATACAACAAATTTAATTGAGTGCTAACATTATGTATATTTCTAACTAACAAGAAGGTAATATTTTACTTTCTGGTTTGATTCTTTCAGATAACACTGTAAGAGCCGTTTCTGATTTAGTAGCGTTATCTACTGCTGGGATATATATTGATAGTTTTACTTCTTCTGTAAATATATAAAATAGTAAATTTTTAAACGTTATGACAACTACGATACTATCACATTTAAGTATCAATGCTTAAAATCTCTCTATTTTCTAATGCAAGTTTTAAAAATAAAAATACAAACCTTTATCAGAAAAAGAGAGCTAATAAAGTTTAGTCCTTGGTGGTATGATGAAAGTGAATGTCTAATACCTAAAAATAAATAACAGTTCTTTTAGTGACAGTAATGCATCTCTAGGTGGATTTATATATGTCACATCTCTTACACAAGTAGTTTTATCTATATCGATATTTGACTGTGATTTTTAAAACAGTATTTCAAACGATTCAAGTATTATTCACATCATAAGCCTTAGTGTTAAAGAATAGCTTAATATTTACAATAGCAATTTCACTAATATAAAATCAACTAATACTGAATCATCAAGAGCTATTTTTCTAACAAAAGACTCTCCAACGAATTTGTAAATTAAAAAAAATTTTAATGGGAATTAATATTTTTAATTGTATAAAATTTATAGGGGTAATTCTATGGAAGTTGTATTGAAAAATGTAAAATTTACTAACATCACTGGAATAAGTGATGTTAGCATTTTTTATTTGCAAGATTGTTAAATATAAGCAGAAAAAATTGTATATTATGGAAGAGAGCAAATTTCATAAGAAATTCTTTAAGATGACTCATATTAAGACGGATGTCTATTCAATTTGTAGAATTCTTTATTGAATATTACAGGACTAGAAATGTCTAGTTTAATTTAGAGAACTTCACCTTTGTTGCTAGATTAAGATAACTCAAATAAAGCAATTATATCTAATTCTGTTATTTAAAATATTTACTTCTCAAATAAGGGCTTAATTTCAACTAATACTGATCTAGAATTGAAATACTTCTAGGTAACTAATAGCTCTTACTTTTAATATGATTCTGGGAATGGAGCTTTAATATCAATTTCATCATCTAGTTTAAAAAATTATATTAATACTTTTATTGCTTTTTAGCTATAATTTTAAAATATTTACTCCACATTAAATTAAGCAATACCTATAAACGCCATTAATTTGAATACTGTCTCAGTGTTAATAACTAATTCAAGTTTCACTAATCTAATAGTAATTTTATTTTGTAATTTTTATAATTTATCAAATTTAAATTTATTTATTTAGGGTGGAGCTGTAGCAATTTAAAATCCTCAAAAATTTTGCACTATAAAATTCTCAAATTTCTTACAGATTGGGATGTAATAATAAAGTTAATAATCATAAATTATAACATCAGCTATTTCCCTTATTCTTAGCAATGATGTAATGAAAAATGTAATTTAATTAATTCTAATATTTATAGTTATTTGAAAAAAAATAATATATTTTTAATATTTTAAAAAAGTCAACTACTCTAATTTAATTTGAAGATATAAATATAACTTAGTCTATGTCTTACTAAGGAGGAGGACTCTACATCAATTCAAACGCTTAAAATAAATCACAATCTTTAAATTTGACAAGAGTTTCTTTTAACTAAAATTATGCAATTATTGGAGGTGGATATTTCATTTAAGGGATGAAAGTATACGAAAACTATTGTACTTTTGATTAGAATAGTGTAAAATACTATGGTAGTTAGGGATTTTAATATCCTACTTTTATATAATTAGTAGAAAGTGATATCCTTAAATAATATAGCTATTAGTATAATAATGATAAACAATATCTTCACCTAAGTAATATTACAAGCGGGATGACTTTGCCTAAATTGTCATTTAAGGTTTTAGATAATAAATATGAAGTTGTAAAATTTTGCATTGATTAATTATTTTATACTATCAGTGATTACAATTAACTTAATATTGAAATAGATCCAATATTTCATAAAAACAAAACTGACTATTACTATATTTAGGGGTAAGACCAAGTTGATTAAAACTGTACAGATTTTACTTTTACTTTTGACTAACTTTAATATATAGCAATTCCAAATGCTCCTGCTTAACTAAATGTTAATCACTACATAGTTAATTTGAATTACACTGTATTTACTAATTTAACTGCAAATTTTACAATTTTTTTGGATGTAGTTGATTGCAATATGGGTTAAATTAAATTATCTACAATAGGGAAATATTAAATTTGTTAAGCTTGTAGTTCTAATACTTTTACATTTGACTTTACTAAGTGTTATAATTGTCCTGATGGTGCTACTTGCCCAGGAGGCTCATAAATGCTTATTTAAAGTGGTTATTGGAGAGAAAATTAATACTCAAGCATTGTAGTTAGCTGCGACAATAATTACAATAATTGTATAGGAGGTACTGCAGGTAATTAACTATGTTTAGAAGGACATATTGGTCCTCTTTGTGAAGAGTGTGATGTAATCTTTTTCTGTTTTTAATTTATATATTTTTTTAATAGAGTTGTATCATATCACTCATAACTCAAATATAATTATTTTAAAATTTAGTTATTCGGAGTTATAAACGGAAATAGTTATACCAGAACTGGTGTATATAATTGTTCTCCTTGCAACGGTCAAGTAACAAATATAATAATTGTGATTTTTACAAACTTAGCACTTTTGTTTTAGTAATACGTTGTACTCACTTCAGACATTACTTACAGAAAGGCTAAGAGTAGATACTACAAATCTTAAATGTAGAAAAGGACAGATACTTCTTCTTAAATGGCTACCAAAGAAGAAGAGTTAAATAAAAATTTAAGCGTTTACTTAAAAATTTTAATGAACTACTTCTAGCTGGTAGTTATAATAAAAAATTTTTAAATTAACATTCCACTACCTTTAATAAATTTGCCTTAAACTATAAGTCGCCCTGTTGACCATGCTGTGAATACTTTAGACTGCTGGGTAAAAGATTGGAGTACAGGAATACCTTATGTTTATTTTAGACTAATAATAGCTTGTATTGTTCCTGCTGTATACTTTGCTTTATCAATGCTTCTCTACTTTTTTTATATGTTTTTAAAGAAACAAAAACCTAAAAAATATATTCTCACTTCATCAATAATATTTCTCTTTTTATATCTTTAACCAGACATGATTGAGAGAACAGTAAGTGTAATAGCTTGCAGATAAATAGGTAATAAAGACTATTTGTTAGGAGATTTACTTTATCTCTGCCATACATAAGATTATAAGAAATACTCATATACTATAGGGCTTTCTCTCTTTTTCTTATTTTTAATTATCGTGCCGGCATTTCTATTCCTGTCTTTAAGAAGAAATAAAACAAGGCTTAAATCAGAGAATTTTTTATTGCAAATGGGATATTTATATAGCGAATATAAAGAATCCAAATACTATTGGGAATTTGCTAAAATGTATAAAAAAATATTGACAATCATGGTGATAAATTTTTACTATAAGGATATTACTGTAAAAGGATTTATTGTAATATTTATAATCATTATTTATCAGTAGATTTCTGATAAAGTCAAGCCTTTTAATGTTTTAGATAATAATTATTTAGATTAGTTGTCTTGCAAAATAGCTGTACTCACTATTTTAATTGGGCTATTTATAAATAACAATCCTGATCCATATCAGGTTGTTATCAGCTTGATAGTAATGGCCATATTTAATTTGCTATTTTTTTATTGGATAGGACAAAGAATAGTTTATGAATATAAAGTACTTATTTAAAAGTATTACTTTTAAGTAAAATAAATATTCAAAAGATGTAAAAGAAGATTTTTTTCTAAGTCTATTACAAATTAACAATAATAGAGCTCTTAAAACAATCCTTATGATGCTGATTTAGAAAATTAAGAAGATAACCCAAATAACATTAGCAAATACAATTTAAATGTGATTGCTGGATTAGATGAAGCAATTAAGGCTAATCCTAATATAAGATATAACATCACAGTCAGCAGGCATTTTCCTCAATCACTTTAACTTAGAAAATTTAACTCAAATATGAGTTAGTATTATCATAAAACAGAAACTTTACGAGAATAAGTGGCAATTGATTTAAAAAAATCAAAAAGTAGCTAAAGCTCTAGAACATAACATAATGAAGATTAATAAAATTGGTAGGACCAGAGTTAAGAATTTTAATTTTTTTAGAAAATCACAAACAACAACAATAATTTTTAGGTATTGTAACCTCTAAGTTTTATAAGAAAGTAAACTAGTGTCTTTTAAAATCATTAGGAAGACCCTATAAATGAAGAATAGTCATAATTGGAGCATGATCATATTTAAATCTAACAGAATGATATGTCAAATTATTAGTAAGATTCAGTAATTCATCAAACTGAAAAAACTAAGAAAAATGATAGCTCATTATCATAATTAAATCTAACAGATATATAAATAAGAGATGATAATGATTAAAACACTTAAAGTGATGAAATAAAAATTAATTTTTAATCAAAATACTTAACTAAATCACCTAAAGTTAAAAATAATGACTAATATGTAGGCAAATAGCAGAAGGAATCTTTTTTAGATAGTTCTACAATTTAAAATTTAGATTTTACAGTTAAATTTGGAGGTGCAGATACCTCAAATTTTACATCCCCAAAATTAAGTATATTTATCTTAGTTGATCAATATTAAATTTTTTTTTTAAGGTTTAGGATCATAAAAGAATTAGACCAAAGAATAGTTCATCTTTCCTATTTAGTTGATCCATAAAGATAGTGGAGAAGTAAAAACTTTAAAATCAGCAAACTCCTGCAATGATTTAGAAAATGAAAAAGCTTAAGTCCCATACTAAATTAATGAGAGCATATTTACAAAAAGTAAATTTTTTATTTTGAGTGAAAATATTTTCGTATTTATAAATTTATATTAATTAAATTAGGATAAAATAGTATATTTCAAAGAGAGAAGAAAAATACTGATAACAAAATACTTTAAAATGAAATTTGACATTATACTAATTCATACATTTTATTAAAAAATTGCATTATTTTAATTAATTAATTAAACTAAATTGATAATATTATAAATTTGTTTTTGTAATTATTAATTTATAAAATTCAGTCAATTTTTCAATTTTAATTCATTTCTTTTTTTTTAAATTTTTAATTTGAGAAGATAGGATAATCATGAACGCTCGATTAGCTCAGCTGGTTAGAGCATGCGGCTGTTAACCGCAAGGTCGTAGGTTCGATCCCTACATCGAGCGCTTTTTTAATCTATAATTATCTACATAAAAATTTATTTTTTAAAAATGTATATTTTATATGGCAATCTAAATTTGCTAATAAAATATAATAAACAAATAAATAATATAAATAAAAATATAAAGTACTAAGAATATTTTAAAATAATTATCAAATTAAAATTTTTTTTATAATTTATCCATTTAATTATTATGTTAAGTAGATATTATTTTCAGAATTGTATTGTAAAAGGACTGTTTTATTTAGAAGAATTTATATTTTTTTACTTCTTTCTAAAATAAATCGATTTATTTGAAAAATATAATAATGTATTTACAAAAAGGTTAAATTGAAATTAAATTAAATATAGTGTATGTATGATTTTCACCCTTAGCTATTTTCGAAAACGTTATTATAAACTAAGTGCATAAGTTATTCGTCAGGAAATGCAGCTTCTCTTTTAGAACAAACATATTTAATTGCATTTTTAAGAGAGTAATTTTTATAAAGACTTAAATATAATATAGCTGTTTAAGGGGCTCTAGAAATACCACCAGTACAATGTAAATAAACAATTCTTTTTTAATTTTTAAGCAAAGTATTTAGTTTTTCTACAGCGCTTAGACCTTTATGATAAAAGTCTTAAAAAGATTTATCTTTTATTGGTATATTATAATATTCTATTCCACTCTTTTTATATTATTCTTTCAATAATTTTATATCCACAGATCTTCTTTGCATATCATCATCTGTTTAAAGACTTAGAACAGTATCAATTCCAAATTTTTTTAATTGCCTAATGTCACTTATATTATTAGAAATATATGGTCCTAGATAAAGATATTCAAATATGCTATCAAATGAGAGAGAGAAATCTAATTAAACTTCATTGTTTTCGCATAAAAATACTCCTTTATTGAGAGTATTTACTTGAATTTTCCCTTAAAGACGTTTATTTATACTGTTTTTAGATTAAAAATTTCGTTTGTTATCTTGATTATTTTAAATACTCTCAATCATAAGTTTGTGATTGATAGAATTAGAATTTATTGTTCTGTTTTATGATTATATCAGAAGCTCAGTTTTAAGATCTTCAAAATCAATTTCTGACAAAGAATGTGAAGACTAAATTGAAGATTATTTACAAGATCCTATAGCTGAGGCATTAAAATTTTATTCATCATTTAGTGGTTACATATATATAAAGCGGCCGCTTCCTTTTTCCCATTCTAATTAATTATTTCCTTCTTTTTGTATATAAAAATAGCGAATATACTCAGTGCTTCTATCAACAAATATTTATAGCTCCCAGCTTTGATTTTCTGGAATATAATTCATTTTTTAAGGATTTCTTAAATTTCCAAGCTCCTTGTGGTTGCCTGTTATATAGTAAATCTTTTTGTTTTTGTTCTACTTATGTATTAAATTGTTAATTTCTTAATTTTCTAAATTTTTTTCCCCTTATTCTTCTTAAATTTTAGCAGAAGAAGAGTCAAAATATGGTGAAGAGGAACATTCTTGAATTAGATTTCTTGAATATTAATATTAATTTTCCAAAGATTGAGGATTTTATATTAAATTTTAATGACTTTCTAAGTTTTATTCTTTATTTCCTGTTTCTATGTTTTAATTATCAATTTCATAATTTTAACAAATCATATCTTTTATCCTAAAAATGATAGATTTTTTATTCCAAACATCATAAATAAATATTTAATTTGTACATTTTTTACTTTATTCTGTATTTAGTTAAGACTATAGTCTTTATTGAGGATGCTAATATCTAAGAATATTATTGCATTAGTTAAATTAATCATCAAAGATTTTGGAATTTCTAAATAGAATGTTCTCTTTTTCTTAAGACTCTGCTAATATCTAAGAATAGTAATAAAATCTATTTTAGCCTTCTTCCCATTATACTTTTTAATTTTTTTCATCTATCAATATGTATTTATACTCAAGGATTTTTTAAACATTAGAAGATCCATTTAAATTTATTATAATCTATCCATTCCAAATATTGTTGTTATTCCATTGTAAATTTAAAGCTTCTTCTTTTTTCCAATTTCCTAGTTCATGAATGTTACCAACAATCGCTAATCTTTCTCCATAGTTAGTTTAGTAACTAATCTACCAGTTGACTATACAGAGCTAATTAGTAGACGATAATCTTTAAATTGGATCAGCTCTAGCTCCATAAAGATGCTATTGTTAATGGTTAGCTGCAATATCATTATGTAAATGAATTTTATTAATATTTTGGTTACTCATTCAGCAAAAGGTTTTGCTTAATATAAAAAATAAGATAATATATTGTTTTAGCTTTTCTGTTTGCTAAAAAGTAAAGTTTTTCTTTAAATTTAATTTGTTTTTAATCGATTTTTAATAATAATAAGAAATTTAATTTTGATTAATTTTTATTCAAATTATTGTTTATGACAAATTCAGCTTATAAAATTTTTGGAATTATTCATAATAAATATTCGGTGATATTCAATGTAATTTAATATAGTAATTATTATATACCTTTACATAATTATTAATTTTACTATTCCAATTTAAATTATGGTGATTCTTTTGAACAATTTTTACTGTTTAAATGAATTTTAAAAAAATATCAAAAGTATTATTCATCATTTTTTTATATGGACCATATAAAAATAGGAGATTGATTTTTCAATATTTTTAGATAAAAGTTTCACCATAAATCCAAAAAATTATAAGTAAAATAATGTAATTTCAATTTCTATAAATTTTTTTTTGCTTGCTTTTGAAGTTTATACTTATTTATATAATTTTTTTTGTTGTAAGTTATTTAAAATATGAAAACAAAAACAACACTAAATTTTAGTTTAATATTTTTCAAACCTCATTTACTATTTTCAGTAAAAAATATATAATGCTAAAAGAAAAAATAATTCAAAATTAGGGGTTAACAAATTTAATAAATATTCGTTTTAGGTAAGTTATTTATATGAAAAAGCATAATAATTGTTAAATAGAAGGCATTTAAATTTTATAAAGACTATTTAAGATATCTCATCTTTTAACTAGCTATCTATTCCTAAAATTAATCAAATAGAAAAAATATCCAATATTATCATAAAAAAAATAGGCAATTTTAAGTGATTTTTCATTTAAATTTAAGTAAGATTCTTTAATTTTTAAGTTATGATTTTGTAAAATTATTAATGGTAGATATTATTAGTATAGTTTGAATGCTAGGCCATATCCAAATAAAGTAATTAAAATATTCCTTAATAAAAGTAATAAAGCATCGTTTCAATCAATCAAGCACTAAGAATTACTTCTATTAAAATTATATTAAGCTTATAAATATGCTTATTACAGAATTTAGCAAAATTCATAAATATGAGTAAGAAATAGACTTTTTTCTTTGTTCTAATCTATTTTTTATCTATAACCAACATAAAATTTTTAATAAAATAAATTCTTTTTTGATAAAGAATAATATAGAAAAATAAATTTTTTCATTTAATTAAAATAATTATATTAAATATTATAAACATCTTCAGCTATTTTATATAACACTCTATTTGAAAATTGAAATATTATTCACTATTTTTATATATTATTAGATTTAAAAATTAAAATCTTCAAGAAGGCTTATGTGCATTACGTATCATCATATTGGTATACTTCAATTTATGACTGTTTATATCAAATAAGTAATCATAATATATTCTGGAAAAAAAAAAAATCTTGAAACAATATTTATTAAACAAACTATATGTTTATTCAAAATGGATTACTTGCCTAAAATAATTGAATGATTGAACAAAAAAAAATTTTAATTTGAATATTTAATTAATATTAAAAAAAATCACTATTCATCATTTTTGTTACAAACATAGTTTAAATTACATAAGATACATTACCAATAAGTATATCAATCAATATTCATTTTATAAATATTTTTCAATAAATTTAATTTATTATAATTATAAAATAAAGTTCTAATTAATCTAGACAATTAATTAGATTACAATTTTAAAATAAAGTACTGATTAATCTAGATAATTAATTTATTCATTAACTAATTACCTTTTTTCTCATTCAATTGATAAATCAAAATGCTAAAAGTCTTGCTTGTAAATAAGTAATTAGCAAATTTATTTCTTATATGCCAAACATAATAATATATATTGCAAATAAGTAGTCTCTAACTTAAATCTGCATTTAAAGAAATCAAGTTTTTACTATGCTCCTATGAGTTACTACTGATTGAATTTTTATTTTAAATTAACAAAAAGTTTATTAATGCCTCTATGGATTGTTAAATATGAAGACTACCTATACAGTGCCACACATTTAGATAGTTGTTAAAGAGAAAATTAACTAAAAAATTTTTCAATACCTTCTAATAATAGTAATTCATTAGACTTAAATTCGCAGAAAGATTCCATGACCTATAAATATAACTCAGGTTTATTTTTTTCAATGTAAAATTTAGCTAGACTATTATGAGCTGAAGAGCATTTAGGATTGATTCCAATAGCTTTCCAATTATGCTAAATGAATTCTTCTCTGTCTGGAGTATACCTTACATTACCAACTTTATGAACAATTTCTGCAGATTAATTAGTATTGTGGACTAAATTGTACAATGTATTATAAAATCTTAATTAAAGTACTTCATTTCTATCAAAGGCCGCTCTTGCAACTTAATATGACATATATTCTAATTGATCACAATTTATTCTCTAAAATAAAGGATACCAAAATTCTTTTAATGAAAAGCTTAAACAATCATGTTCACTTTAACTATTAAAACTATAATAAATAGAACTAGGTAATTTTGGCATACCTGTCTTTACTATAAAATCAATACATTTATCATATGCCCTTGTCTTAAACAGAAGCATGGAGTAGTTTTATTAAAAATTAAAAGAATTTTCAAAGCCAGGATTTTTTTTCAGGAATTCTTCCAATTGAAATATCATCTTGTTGTAAGTTGCCTATATAGGATACTCATTTAGGTCCCTGTAGGTTAAATAATTTCTGCTATCCAAAGGTTCAATTATTGTTTAATATTCTAAATGTTCTGAGAAAATACAATAATATGGTACCATCTTTTCATTCAGGAGCTTATCGTTTGGGTCATAAAGGAAATATGTTACCATCAAAACAAAATGCTTTTTTCTTTGATTTAATGTATATTAACTTGGATTACCAAATAAGATTCTGTAAACATGAAATAATTTTTCTTAAAAAATCATTTCAGCTTTTTGTGTTTCTTTGATATTAGATTCAGTTTCATTGTGATGAGGGTAATCAAATTCATATAATCTTTCTTCTCTCTCAAATTCATCTTCTAATATACTTTTTCCATTATCAAATCCTTCTTATAATTTCAAATTTTCTTATGCTAATCTATTATTTCTAATTTCTTGAAAATGTTTATATCCTAATGCGTCATCATAAAATAAACTCTCGTAGTATCTAAAAGAATTATTTTTTAATTCTTGATCTCCTTGGTAGTATTTTGATTTAAATTAATATAACTTTTTAGGCATTTTATGGACTATATTACCTTTTTAATCCCTAATATACATGGTTGTTTTGAAATCAAAATCATTATCATGAAACCACTTCATTTATTTGATCGCATTAATATATGTACCATATGATAACTCGCAAAATCTGTCTTTTTCATATTTTTATTCATCTAAATATTTAAGTTCGCTTAGTTTATTTATTTTTTCTTATATAAATTTATTCATAAACCCCATAAGCATATAGCATTAATATCCATCTTCATTTCTCATCGATGAAAGAATTTAGCGGATTACTGTTTTTGGAAAAACTGGCAGATCGTAATCTGAAACTTTATTGTACTACCTTAGATTTTAGAATTCATGCTTATCGAAGTACTCTTTTATTTTCCTTCTTTATTATTCCGTATAAGTTAGTTTTTGTTAATAATCGTAATACATAGTATATCTTTATTTTTAGTATGATAGCTAACTTCTCTGTTTTTATAAATTTATTAACTACTTGATTTAAGTTTATTAATTGATATTTATAAGAAAATGATTTGAATTTTATATTTAATGTTAATTAAAAATTCTTATTTGGTCGTACTTCAATATTCTATTATGTAAAATTCAAAGATATGCTAAAATCATTATAAATGGTAGTCTTATCTGTTCTCCTAATTACAAAAAGTTATTTCATTACAAAATACACAAAAAGAAATTATTTTTTTAAATAAATGATAAAAAATACTATCAGGTACAACTTTAAAAATACCAAATATTCTTAGATTTCAATTTTAAGACTTTTACATTTTTTTAATTGCTTTTAAAAAAAATTAATTTAAAAAATTTTAATATATTTGTTTGACTATTCTTTACAGAAAATATAATAAATTTTTTATTTAAATTTGTTTAAATTATTTAAGAAGTAATTAATTATCGATTTTATCAGTATAAAATATTTGTAAATTGCTTCGGTAATGTTTTAACAAGTTATTGTAATATAAGATCACTTACAAGTTCACTGAAAAACTTTGAACTATAATAGATAAAACAAAATGATACAATAATGTCAACTTTCTTCTCATAAATTTTTTGTTTGAACAAAATAAATAAAATTTTAAGTAGCAATAAAAGTAAATAATTCTTTTAAAAATATTTTAATGAGCTACTACAAAAGATCTGCTTACTTAAAAAAATAAAATAGTTATTTTTAAAAAAATAAAATTTTTAGTTTTTTAATTAATTATTTAAAATAAAATACAAAAATGTAGATAAACACTAAAAAGTAATAAAAAATATGATTGGATAATTTATATTGTCTAAAAATAGCAAAAAAATGATAGATAGATTTTATTAAGAGATTAATATATTTTGTAATTATTTAGATTTCTATAAGCCTATAAAGTTACCACTGTTCATAATATTTCCTCATAATTTATTAAGTAATAGCATGAATTTAGATATTTTAGGGAAATTGCTCATTAAAAATATCCTAAAGAAAAATACTATTAACATTAATTTAATCAAAAGGAGTTTGATAGATTTTAATAAATTAATATTTTTACCTTTAAATTAAAAAATTATCTTATTTTTGTTATCAATCTGGGAATTAATGGAAGAGATTATTAAAAAATTGATATGAATATTATTAATTAATTAATTTCTTTTTGATTTACATTAACCTAAATGAAAAACTTAAATTAAAAAATAATTTGCATTTGTTTAGATAGATAGATTGATTGATTAATTGACTAAAAGTTTTTGCATTTGCGCATAGTTTTTGTGAGAGTTAGTAAAAAAGAAACAAGATTAAAAAGAAAAAAGAAAAAAAAAGTTGAAAAGCAAATAAAAAAATAATTGGATAGAAATATTTTCCAATTTTAGACGCCTTTGAAAATCAATTTATTTTAAATATTATCCTATAATAATTTTAATTGCAACAATATTTGTAATTTGGTTTTGACTACTTCATTTTAATTTATACTTTTAGTGCAATATCTATTTATATAATATAAAGATAAACTATACTTGTTATTAAATATTGTTAAGTTAGTATTAGCTATTTTTCTAAAATAGGCTTATAAAAATATCAATTATTGCTACTCTATTTACCACAAAAGACATCCGTCTTAGATAAATAATTTAAGATTATTAAAACAGAGAAGCTTAAATAGGTATTAACCATTCAGAAGTAAAAACGTAGCTCTAAACTGTGATTTTACCTTTAATTTTGATACCATTTCAGAACCAACAAAAATAGTTGCGATTGAAAGATAATAAAATATTAGGATTTAACTTCATATCATAAGCGAAAAGGGTACAAAAAAATTAAATTTTTTGATATTCAAGGTATGAAGGAATGTATATCCGATTAGGAATAGCAAAATTAAAAGTATAGAAAATAATTATAGCGATTTTCTCTTGAATTCAAGTAAGGGGATTTAAGAGAATTCTACCATCTGCTCTTTGAAAGATACTCATAAAATTTATTTAACACCGCTATGACGTTTAAGATTTTAATACTAGCTTCCTTTATTGTTGGGGAAATTGTTATATTAAGTGATGTGTATGTGTTCATACTATGCATTGTTTGTTTATTTCTACTTATAACATTATGGATAGCAGGCTATAAACTTAAGCATTAGATTCCTACTGTATTTAGAATAAGTCATGTTCTTATTTCAATGTTAATGTATATAATAATACTGCAAATAGATGTTAAATATGAAGAATATATTATAATAAAGGCTAAATCTTAAAATGCTCTAAAAAATACGTACTAGTTTGAATACAGCAGATAAGCAGCTTTTTATTCAATGTTATTTAGCCTCTACCAAATTGTATATATTCAAATAGAAATTAAGTGGTTCTTTAGGGTTTTTCATTTTTTGTTTATAATAGCTATCAACTGGTTTATACTAGGCATCAATTAATTGGCAATAATTAATGGAATTTGTTATTTTATTTTCATAGTTATTTTATTTTATTAACTTGAAATCTCTAAAAAAGAAGATTCTTTTTAAATGTATCGAGTCATAGAAGACTTTTAATCTTTAAAATCTCTAATTAATGATATACTACCTATGTAAATATTTATAGTTTAAAGAAATTCTCAACAATAACAGCAAAAATCTAACAATTCTAACAGTAATAACTAAGACTCTCAAGGCAATCAAATCCCAAATAATATTATTTAAGATTAGATTTAGGATGAAACAAATATTAAAAAAGAAATAAAAATCAATATTAAAAAATCATCAGTTGATAAAGAAAGCTTGAATATAAATGGAATCTCAACTGCTGTTAACTCTAACAAGCAAGAAAACTAGCAAATATAAAATTAATTTAATTTTTAAAAGAGGAAGGAAAGCTCTTAAAGTGGGAGGATGAAAGCAATAAGTACTCACAAATAGCAAGAATTATAAAACTTGGCAATTAATATAATAGCTAATAAAGGAACAGACCCTTCAAGATCACCTGTGAGGAAATCTACTCAGCCAGATAAAATGGCTATATAAATTAAGAATATGAATGTAGAAGAATTAAATCAAATGAAAATAAAATAAAATAATTTTTAACTTTAGACATAAGAAAATGAAGACAATAATATAACTGAGCACTTATAAACAAATCCTCCACTAATTAATAGATATGATGATACAATACCATAAGGCTCTGTTTATAATTAACCTTCGATAAATAGGGATATAAATGGACTTTAGTCTCAATAAGAGTAGTAATTTATATAAGCAAATCCTTTAAAAATAGCTTTTGCTAATAAACTCGTATTACAAGACTTTCATGGAAATAATTTTGAAGACATTTTAAAAGAACTTACAAATATCTAGATACCTATAACTAATAAAAATAATTGCAATAACGCATATTCTTAGAATGATTAAAAGAGAAATAGCAAAAAATTAAATACTGAAACATTATAAGATACACTACTTTCTAAGTTGTATGGTAATAATCCTATAAAATTAAATTAATTAAATCCAAATTCTAGCATTATCAATAATGGATAACCAAGTTATGTGTCAGCGTAAAGGAATATCTATAATTTGCAACACAATATAATTAATAAAGGAAATATGTCGAATAGAAAGTCTCCAGCAGATAATACAAATGAAATTCAAGCCAATTTTGCTGAAGAATTAGAAACTCAAAAAAATTAATAAATATTTTAAAGGTCAGAGTTTGTCAATAATACTGGTCGAGAATTCTAGAATACTCTTCAAATTAAATAAAATCCAGCTGCAGTAAACCACAACTATAGTAATAACGGATTACAAAATGGTTCTGAAATAGATTACAATAGCAGGGCGATAGCAATATCTGAAAGAGGAGGGAATCCAAATCAACCAAATTTAACTACCCATCATGTAAATTAATGGAATAGCATAAATAGACTGGGAAATTAAACAGGAATAAACTATGGAAATGAAAGTATTCATATTCATAATGATTCAGCAATTTTAAATTAATCTAATATCTAATAAGGTCAATGCCCTATATAAAATTATTAAAATATTTATTAAACAATAATCAACTAAAATAATTTAAATAATGATAGTCTAAACATGTATAATTATATTCCAAATAGCAAAATCAACAAAGTTTGGGAATATCTTAATTGTTATTTTAAAAGAAGTAGTAATATTGCTTTTTCTTCAAATCAAAGACGTAATAATAATATTTCTGATATACCAAGCATACCTCAATAATAACAGCAGAGTACTTAGCCATAAGTAGAAGATAAAAACTATGATATTAAACTTGTTGAGTGCAAGTGGGAAGGAGAAGAATCAATTATGGTTATAATGAATAACATAAATGAAAGGCTAATGAGAGAAAGACTGTTATAGATAGAGCAGTATAAAGATACTATGATTGATACCATAAGTCATAATTTAAAAACTCCATTAAATTGTATCTTGGCTCCTTTAGAGAGCATAAAATTTATTTTATAAGAAGAAAAAGAAAAGGAAGAAATGATCTAAAAAAATAACTAATTATTGAAAAACAAAAAAGTAAATTTAGCTAAGAATAAAAATGAAGTTAATTGCTTAGAAAACAAATAAGATTTGAACTGTGACTAGATTGCTTTATAAAATAGAGACCAAATTGAATTAAATTCTTTGATTTTGAAAAATAAATAATACTTGAGTGAAGAAATTTAAAAACAGGTTTCAATGGCTATTAATAATTGTCAATTATTATTATACATGATAAATGATATGATTGATTATAGTGAGATTATAAAAGGGGAAAATTAATTTAATTTAAACATAGATTACTTCAAGCTCAGCTATATAATTAACACATTAAACAATTTATTTTAAGATTAAATGTAAAGCAAAAAGATAGAATTCAAAATCACTTCTAAGATAGACTTAAGTGAATCTAAACTCCTTCACGACTAAAGAAGATTATTACAAATTCTTGTTAACTTGATAAGCAATTCACTTAAGTTCACATTTAAAGGAAAAATAGAACTGATAATCGATACGCCTTCAGATGAAAATAATATAAATTTAGGTTCTATGCACATGTTTTAAAATAACTAAATTTCAACTGGGAGATATTCTAACTCTCCCTCAAGTAATAAGAATAAACAACTAGATACTAGGTCTCTCTAGAGTAATTTACTTTTCAAAAACTGTAAAAACCAAGAGATTATACAATCTAATAATAATCTGATAGATAAACTTGCTGATAAGAAAAAACTATTTAAAAAAGAAAAGCATATTAGATTTACTGTTGTAGATTCTGGAATTGGGATGTCTCATTAAAAGCTATAGAAATTAAAGAGGATGCTTTTTAAAAAAGAAATATTTAACATACAAAATAGCTCAGGTCTCGGATTAACTATGTGTTATTCACTTATAAAATAAATAGGTTGCCAACACACACATTTAGAAATATAATCTGAAGAAAATATTGGAACTAAATTTTCATTTACAATACAGTAATTTTATAGAAGCTAATAACAATTAGCTGTTTTAGGAAACACAAAGAGTAAATTTTAATCTGCAAGTCCTTAACAAAAACAAAGCAATTTTGCTTTATCAATTAACACACAATCACTAAGTGCTAATACAGGCTTTTAGAAAATTCAACTAAATAACTTGGAAATAAAAGAAGAGTCAGTATAAACTAAGATATCACCTCTTATTAAATAAGACTCAAAAAAATTAAATTTGTTACCAGAGAGTGTTGGCAGTAATTAAATAATTTTAAATTCTTAATAATTATTAAAAAATGGAAAATCTTCAAACACAGGATTATCAAAAAGTCCAACATATAATTTTAGCAATCTCCACACTAAAACAACTTTAGAAAATTAAAATATGATTTAAAAAACTTTGAATACAATCTCAAATGATGAACATATACTCGATATGAGCACAGAAGAAATATAAGGAATTAATGATATTAATAAGGTAAAAGTGAATAATAAAACTCACTCTACAAATCTAAACTAAAAGTAAAATCTGAATATTTAAATAATTTCACCATAAAGTACATAAAAAGAGATATTGAAAGAATACAAAACTACTGTTAGTAATATTCAAAATAATAATCCTAATAGTTCTCCAACAGGAAATAGCGTTAACTAAGAAATTAATAACAATATAAACCATAAGAGTTTAAATATACAGAAGCAAAATAGCCTTGTAGTAAATATGAATTTATCTACTACTAGTAAAAATACCAAGTCTTAAAAGAATTAACTAGGAGTACAGAGCTTAAACTAATTTTCTATTGCTTCATTAGGAGTTAAATAAGAAGCTTAACAAAAGAGTAGAATAAATTTGAAAGAATCCAATAGCAACTACTCTAATATTAATCAACGTTATACTATGATATTTGGCAAAAGTGTAAAAAGTGATGGTATAGAAAATAACTAGAATGATTAAGAAGGAAATTTTGGAAATGATTCCATAGAAGATAGAGTAAATAGTAGTAGCTCTAGTGATCAAGAAAACTAACAGAACTTACATAACTCTAATATAAAATAAGGTAAAATGAATTACTTAAATGAACGTATTTCATATAACGCTCCCGATGAAGATTTTGTAGATGTATTAAATGAATAGAGTCTTGCTAATAAAGAAATTTAAGAAAATGAAATAGGTTTAGAAATCCCCAAAAACTAAGTAGATGATCTAGAAAGCAAATAGTCAAAGTTTACAAATATTCAAAGAAAAGCATTTCTAACTTTTGGTTAATCAGATTTTAATTAAAAACTTGCTTAAATCAATTAAGGTTTAGGATCTAGCTTTACAATTTAGTAAAAAGAAAGAAGTAAATAGCAAATAGTTTAAGATGATAAAAGCTAATTTTAAAATAGCTAGGATGGAGAATTCAGTGAACCTTTATCAGAAAATGTAGATAAAATATTAACTGTTAAATATAACTTTCAAACAATATCCAAACTAAAAGAATCTACCACTTAAAATTTTACATTCGATCACGTTATCGAAAATAAGAATATATCTCATACTGTTTTGTTATAAGAAGATTAAGACAACAACCTTTCTGATTAAGAACTAAGCAGTAATTATTTAAGTTTATATTAAAATTTAAAAATATTTTTATCTTTTATTTATTATTTTTTGCTTAAAGATAAGAGGTAAACATTTTTCAAATCATTAAACTATTATTTGAGAAAATCCTCTTTAAAATGATAATAAAATTTTTTTAAACATTTTTATAATTATACAAAATAGACAGCAACATACTTCCTCACTTACATACTGAATAAAGCATTTAGTAGACTTTAGAGATGATTTTAGAAAGTAAGCATGTGCTTGTAGTAGATGATACTATTTACAATATCATTTCGTTAAAGATATTCTTTAGAAATGTTTAAAATCTTAACATTGAAGAAGCCTATAATGGAAGAGACGCATTATAAAAATATTAAGAAAATGCAATTAATGGAATCTTTTACGATTACATATTTATGGATATTGAAATGCCAATAATGGATGGTTTAGAGTGTATCAAACACATAAGAGAGTTTGAAACAGCCAATTCTTTAAAAAAATCAATTATTATAACAGTGACTGCTTATGAAAGAGAATAACAAGAGGTTATATTAGCAGGAGCAAATGCTTTGATTGCTAAGCCAATCTAAAAAGATAAATTTTTACAAACCCTAAGAATTCTATAACTACCTAACTAATGAACTAATATAAAGATAAAGTTGAAATTAATTCAAATAAAAATATTTATTATTCAAAAATATAACTAGATATTTAATTATTGATGATCAATAGCAATTTTGAAATAAAAATAAAAAATAATTTTCAAGAAATATAAAATAAAAACTAATATAATTTTACAAATGAATAGGAGTTTATATTTTAATTAAATTTTAATTTTTTATATTATTTTTAAAAATATTGTAAATTTTTAACATTATCCTTAAGTATTGATGCAATATACTAATTAGAGTTCATAAAGTAATAAATTTTTATATAAAATTTAAATCAAAATCAATTAAATGAATATAAAATCCAATAAGTTTATGATTTGTATTAAAATATAAAAAAATGTTTTGCTATTTTAGTAAATAAGAATTCATTAATAATAAATAAAAATTTAACAAAACATAATTAATTTCTAGAAATATATCGATTAATATAATTTTAAAAAATGATGAGTAATCATGGTTAGTGTTAGTGTTATAATTGATGCACAATTTATCCCACTCTTAGTTTTAATTTTTGATGAATTTAAGAGGAACGAGTAAATATGAATTAAAAGTTTTTTTTATATGTATGAGTATATAATAATTATCAATCAAGAAAAGCAAAAGTTAATTTAAATTATGAATTACTTATTTATATTTTGTTTTAAAATGCTTTTTATTCATAATATTTTTATTTAGATTAAAAAAATTTCAACTACATAAATATGTAAAAAAAAAATATATATAAAATTAGTAAAAGTGATTATTCGCAATCTATGAGTTTAAAGAAAGATATATTATTTCATTAAAAATTATTATCATTCATTATCTTTAAAATGCTCAATTCCTCTATCAGATTTACCAATATCTTCTAAAGTGTATGGTATTCCAGGGCTTTGATTTTCACTATGACATATTTCATATTATTGTGTTAGTTGAGGATAATTATTAGATTATTCAATACAGTTTTTGAAAATATTTGAATTAGTATTAGCAATTTTAAATGGTGGAGATAATGGGAAAAATACTTCTAACTCATTAACTTCGCTTTCACATTTCATAAGAGATTGACGATGCGAGTCCAAATGTTAAAGTCTATTATCTTTAAATTATTTTTATAGTGCAAACTATGCATTGGCATTGCCCTCACTGTCAAGATTACTACTCTACTTCAATAATCTTGGTGTATTTATTTTATCCTAGATTGTTATCGCACTTTATCTATCTTGAATTAAATTTATATTAGCTTCAGGTGGCTATTTAACCATAAGTAGCTTTACCTAATCATTCTCAAACTAAGAAAATCCATTACTATTTATCAAAGATACTGACATTGATCTTCTATTTTTTCTTTGCTTATTAATTGATATCCTTGACTTTAAAAGCATATTAACTTCACTACTTTACTATTCTTACTGAAGAGTAGGACTATTTAAAATTACATCATTAGATGATTAACGTAAATTTGCATTACTTTCTTTTATCTATCTACCAATCTCCTACAATTTAGATCTGTAAGATTAAAATAGTCTGTTTTATTTTTGTTTTCTTTCAAATGAATTATCTTATGGTTATTCCTCTTATTTCTCTTATTTTAGAACATCTTTTACCATAATTCTAAGTCTTTTCCATAAAAATAAATGCCTAACATTATTTTTGTTCTCAAATTTTGTATCTTTAAAAATATTTTTTAAAGTTGGTATTTTTTAGAAAAGAGCCCTCTTTATCATATAATAAATTTAAAAATATCTTTTTTTCAGTATTTCTTTAAGAATCTATAATAAAAAGAAAATTTAAAATGTTGAACTTATTCCTATTTCATAATAGAGAAGTGTCTCTTAGCTTGATAACTCTGTTTGATTTTAAATATATATAAAAATAACCAATTTAGCAGATAGGATCAATTCTTATAGATGATCAATAACATAATGAGAATTCAAGAAATGAGGCTTGACTTTTCTAAGTAAAATCAAGAAAAGAATTTGAAGCAAAAGTGAGAAAACAAATTTGTTAACTTTTAAAGTTAAAAAATAAATTTACATTTGTAAATATGAATTAAAAAATTTACCTATAGGCTGGATGTAGAAAACTAAAATTGCGTTTAATAATAATTTTTTATAAAACTTCACAAGTTCCCAGTAGAAATATTTATGTTTATAATGATTATATAAGATTCCATATGTTTCTCTGCTTACTGCTGAGTCAGGCTATTAGATACATTTCTTCATTTTTTGATAAAAGAATGCTGGTATTATAATATTCCAAATTATAATACCAGGTATACCAATAATTTTCATGAACTTAAGGTGAGTTGGTGTAAAGCATTCATAAGATATATCTGCCAAAATATAGTAGCTATCTCCTATATATCTACAAGACATCATACTAAATAGTGTATATGTGAAATTACTTTATAGGAAGAAATATGTGTATATGGCTCCGTGATAAAATAATATTCTTTTAGATTATTTTCTGCTTAACCCGTATATAAAAAGTGAGAAAGAAATACTAAAAAAATAAATCAAGCAAATTCCAAAACTCCATAAAATTCTAATATAGATAATGGGGAAAGCACTTTTAGTTGAAAGAGAGCAATCAAGTGAATAGTATAGATCAGTTAATGGCATTCCTATATTTATAAAAGAAATTAATTGAAAAAATTTGAATAAATTTTTTGTTTTTTCTTATTAATATGGTAAGCTTAAAATGCTGAAAAAATTATGATGATTTTATATTTTTATTATTTGAAATTTACCAACTACTTGAGAGACAGACTTAGTTCCTAATGGAAATTGTTAAAACACTATTTCATAAATAACTGCAACAGTCTAAAGGAAACTTGTTAAATTTTTTAAACCGTAAGAAGCAGAATTCAAATAACATGATTTCGAAATACAAATAACTTTAAGCTTTCTTAAATAGTATGCTAGCACAATACTTTTACTGTCATATAAAGAAGCGGCTACTGAAATCCCTAAGAAAATAAATATTGCTAGTAGTTAAATAATAACTCTGGTGAAATAAAATCCCTTAAAAAGCTTTTTACAGCTATTACAACTAAGATTTCCATCAGATTGATATGACTCCTCCCAAATTTCTCCATAAACATCACATTGTTCACATAAAGGTCCATAATTCCCTTAAACGCAATACTGGTGTAAATCATCTGGGACACAGTTTTCTTATTTTCTTGAACACTCCAAAATATTATCAGATTAATTATCTGATCTCCAAAAACCCTATCTAAGGTTTATTTAATTCAATTAGCAATTCAATGCACTATTTGGGCATTAGTTACATGTTTATTATTCTTTAATTTAAAAAAAAAATTTTATTTTTTGATTATATTTTTTTATTTTACATTTATTAGGGATTTGTAAAGAATATTATCCGCTGGGACAAGGAAAACAACTGAAAACTTCGTCTAATTATTAATAAACTTCACCTAATATGCAATCTCTAAAATTAATAATAATCACTGAGTACATTTATTCTCCTAAATATAAAAATAGTTAAATAATTTTGTTTTTTATAAATATTAAAAGATTTATTACCAGGTATGAGTTCTTTAGAAGCATAAGAAGTACTATATTATATTAGTAGAATATTTTAAGATAAAGGATTAGATACAACTTTAGTGTTGATTTAAAAGGCTTTAATGGTCATATTATAGGTGGTAAAATCTGTAGTATATTATCCAAAAACTTTCAGTTAGTTATCTTAAAATGAAGCGGCTTTAACTGAAAAACTTTTTATTTCTTATATAAGAGAGGCATCATAGATATTATTTGTTACTTTTAATGAATCTATAAAAACAGGATTACCTTCTTCATCTAAAATTTGTGCATAAAGTGGTAATACATCTCCACTTCTAAAATTACTTTATAAATATACATTCATAGCACTGCTACTAAGTTTTTGAGCCCATGATTGATACTTGGTCTAAAACTGCTAAAGATTTAAAGAAGTTAAATTTTACTCCAAAATATTCAAAGAATATAAATAAGATCCTATATTTTTTCCATATACTTCTGCTGTATTATCTTGAATTATTGATTTAATTTAGTTGCTACCATGTTATAATAGTCTTAAACTTATTGGCAAATCAATATTAGGCTTTATGACTTCATATCGCAATCCTCCACCTATCATAGCTTTATTATTAACAATTTAGCTTCCTAATATAAAAACTACACTGTTAGAAGTGTAAATAGCTCCTCCTGAATAACTGGCTGAGTTTTATGTAAAAATACTTTGATTTATCTCTAAAAATCCTTAAAGGCTATCAAAAATAGCAACTGAACCTCCGTTTCTACCTTAGTTTTGCATAAATAATGCTTTTTAGATTAAATGCGTATTTCCTTTATATATTTAAACTACTGTCCCTTAACATTATTTTCCTTGAATATTAGTAAATGAACTGTTTAGCAAAGTAGAGTTATATGTATTATTAATATAAATAAAGCTTTAGGATAAGTTTGAAATATCTTAAGCTGTGATATTAGACATTAAAACCTCACTATCGTTTACTAACAACTCTTAGGCACCTTCATAGAAGTGGTTAGAGAAATTAGCAAGACTTGTTTTTATTAAGCTCAACAAAAAAATATTTGAAAATGAAATACTTCTTATTCCCATACACTAAAAAATTAAAATTTAGTCTTAATTCAATTAAAACTATACAAATTGACTGTTATTCAATTAAAAGTTGATAACGTTTTAAATGCTTATAATAAATGGTTGTAAATTAGAATTCAATTAAAAACTAACATTTTAAAATTACAAGTTATTTATTTAGACTTAAGTGACATTTTAAATGATCATTAAAGTTGGAATTTAACCACTAATTTAAAGATCTTTCACTAAAAAGTTATCAATAAAAAGTCCTTAGCTGATATTATAGAACTGTAAAAAAGGTTTATTTCTTTGAACTTATTGACCTTATATCACCCAATCCTGTAACACAACTGAATTCATATTAGCAAAGTTAAATGTAACATTAGGCGAATTAGTAATATTGTTTCCAAACTGAATAGTTATATTTTGCATAACTATCTCCTATATTTAAGAGCTAAATAAGATATTACCTTGAACGTTGCTTAAATTTATTATAAACCCATAGATTTATAATTCACTATATGGATAGCTGCTAAAATAATTATCATAAATATTAAGTATTTAATTTTATTTATTTTAATTTCTAAATCTTAGCAAATAAGTCATATTATTTCCTATTGAGTTTGTCCCAAAATCTGTTTGTTACATTTACTTTTTATAAAAAAAAATTAAGTATATTTATTATCTTCATTAATTTTAAATGTTTACCTCAAGAATTAAAAGACTTGGATTCATATTTAGTTAATTTAGAGTAAATTAAATTTGATCTAATACATTGTTAAACTTTTATTTATAATAATATATAGATGTAAAAATTTTGGTTATTGTAGAAAAAATTATGTTACTTAATATTGATATTGTGTGTTTGAATCAAAATAGCAAGATTAAATAGTGCTTAATTCAAGTTTAGGATCACTTATATAAATTTGGTCATTAAATAATTCTTCGCCACAAGATCCTATAATCTGAATACTAATTTATTAAATCATTTATGATTAGCTAAAATTATAGCTTAAGAGCTGAGGAAAAGAGCAATAACGTTAATAAATCAAATTTAAATTTGTATTGTTAACAAAATAAAATAGCTTTAAAGCATTAGGCTCTATGGTAAACATGCTGTTTTATAAAACAGGGCTATTAACTTAAATTAAATCTAACAAGTCAGTGAAATAATCAGAGTTTCTAATTAACTTAGTCTATTAAAAATTATTATTTGTTCTGGATATCCAATTTATTTAATATCCTGAAAATATTAAATAACTGTCTTATGTTATTTTTATATTCATAAATGGAAGTTTAGAGCAGCTGGAGAAGCTTCCTATATTAGAGACTCCTGTTAAAGTTGGATTATTGCCTGAGCTAAATTAATAACTAAAAATTTAAATTTGATTAATAGAGTTTGATATACTATTGATTATTAGGACTAGCCCGAGCTAACTATCTATTATAGTTTATAAAATATTACTTAGAGTTTAAGGCAAGACTTACCCACTGTTTATATTTATGTTTTTAGATTAACTGTTATTCCATGTCACTGAATCGAAAAATGAAACATTTCCATCTTTTCTTACTATTATAACAATTTATTTAGCACTATCATAAAGAATATTTAAGATCTAGACATTTGAGTTTATCCATTAGCTACTTACTCCAGTGTTTATATTGATACGGTATATTATATTAGTTTGTGATACAGCTAATATTTCAGATGTAGTTTAAATTTATATCATAAATTGTACTCTACTATCTAGATTTATAGTGTGGCTAGTTAAGGTTAAATTTGTCAATGTATATTATGATAAGGCTCCATTCATATTTGAAGTGAATATATAATTATTGGTAATAATATATTAATCAATCTCATTAAATACTGTATTAAGTTCATTTAACCAAAAGTCAAGTTGAATGATACAGTCATAAAGTATGGCATATAAATATTAATTATTAGACGATAATAATTTTACTTAAGTATTAAAAGTATTTTTTAATGTTTTTGTTATACTAAATAGTTAATTTGTTTAATTATTGTACTTCCATACCTCACTAAAAGCATCAGTGATCATAAAATTAGAGTTAAAATTAGCATCTGTATATTAAGCTATTTATTAATTACGAAGAAGAGGAATAAATTGCTTTTAATCTCCAATCCTTTATTCTATTTCATAAGCACTATTTAAAAAAAAAAAAAATTAAAAATTAAAAGTCATATTAAATAGTAATTACTAGAGTTGCTATCCTGCGACAAGTACTAAACAGTTTGTCTCTTTAATTAAGTAAACATTTTCAATTGGGAGAGTTAGAGGTATATTTGTTGCATAGATAATACCTGATGCTTATTAACTTTGAAGATTAAAAAATTGAACTATAACAGAAGCTGGATATTTTACTATTATTAGAGTATTTGTGTCTTCATCTAAAATAACTTTTAGTACTAAACCTTACTCAATATCATTATAATATGGAGTATCCATTATATAAGCACCATTAGAAAAGTTATATATTTGAACTTTTGGACTGCAAAATGATGAACAATCACTCCAAATAATTAAATTATTTTATTTAAGTGAGACAATAAAATCATTAATCTAAGGATTTACAACATCAATTTCATACAATACTTCAAACCTTAACAAATCGGTAACAATTAATTTATTTGCTTCAAAAGAAATTATTTTGTTATTTATAATTCTTAGCTAAATTGGTAACTATGAATGATTGATTGGAATAATTTTGTTTTCATTAAATGAAATGTTTCCAGATTAATCTTACTGATAATTATATATACTCATAGAAAAATCAGAGTCTTAAGATATGACAATAACGTTTTAGGACTGATTTAATACGAAAAAGCTAGCTATAACCATATATTAGTTTAAATTGACTCTGATTAGATTTTAATTAAGGTAATTTTGAATATATAAAATTCTATTTGAGTTATAACTAAAGAGTAATTTATTTATTTCATCTATTAAAATGTTATTTATACTAAAATTTGAAGAACCTTATGAATCATTTTTGTGATAATCTATTTATATCATCTTTTAATAGGTCTTTAAATTCCAAACAAATAACTAAAAGTCAACTGATGCACTTACTAGAACTTAATTAGTTCCATCTATAGATAAATAATAGACATTTGCTTGATGAAGCTATTAAAGCTACTATGGAGCATTTCCTGAATTTACAAACCAGATATAGATATTTTTCTATGAGGAGATAGCCATAATATCTGATACTTCACTAAAAGCACTAAATTAAATATTACTTACGCTTTGAATAGTAACTTATTTTTAAACTTGAAGGTTTAGAGAACTGAGTTTAGATAATTACTATTTTTAATATATAAATTTTTTTTTAAATTAGTATAAAATGCAAATTATTTACTGCTTAGTTTGAATTGATTCCTGAAGATGCTATATAATATTTTGAGGATGAATAATATAAGGCATTTAAATTTTAAATAGAAGGTGTATTTATAAAGTAGTCTAAAAATATTTTTCCAGCCTCTATATTGCCATTTGAAAAGCTAATATATAAAATAAGCTCAGATTCACTTAGATATACTCCTGTTACTTAATCTTGATAAGATTGCTAAAACACCACTTCCATATTAGGCATCTAAAATACATACACCTATTAAATAATTATTTTTAAAAACTATTATTTAATAAAAGAATTTTACAGTATTTTTCAAACTTGGAACTAGAGGCACAAGAATAAAATAGTAGAAATAGTTGGTGCTACTCATACCACAAGTTAATCCTTATATGTTACCTGCGAAAAGCACTTATTCTAAAGCGTATGCTGAATCATTTTCATTATATACCAAAGCTTTTTTATATTCTAGTTACTATAAAAAGATTTATTGTGCCTAATAATGGTAACAGAAATCACTAACTAAAGAAGCATCAACATATAAACTTGATGGAGAATTGCCATTAAAAGTTATTATAACTATTCCAATAGCAAAAGTAAATGCTAGTTTGTGAGTTTGAGGATAGTAAATAGCTTTAGTAAAATAAGTATATCTATTTGGAGATTATTGAAACAAATCGTATAAATTTAATGTAAATGTTGGGTTTTATGAATTGAAAGGAATTACTTAAACATTTTGAGAAAATATGACTATCAATTAATTTTAAGAATAAATGTTATCAAACGATGCAAAATAATAGTTCTATTAAAAATTTACCTAAACTTATCCACTTTAGAAATTTATTACCTAAATTTATTATTTATTCCCTATTAAAAACATATTATTCATAATTTGAATATTTTTAATATTCTAATATATATTTTTAAGGGAGTAATCAGCTAGATAAGTGAGTTTATTTATTCCTCTCACCCATGTACTAACATAATAAGCATTTTAACTATTTAAATAGATGAAAATGTACTAATTTTAGTTATAAGATGCATTTAATATTTATTAGCATTGATAAGCTGCATTTCCTCCGTTAGCGTTTATATTACAGCTAGGATGATAATAAACCTTAAATAGCTATAATTAATATCTCTGATTTATCAACAGTTTTTAATAAATTCGTATTGATCCATCTTAGCCATAAGTTAAAATTTAATCCAAGTAATTATTATCAATTATAACACCATTTATTTAAACACCGCTTTAAGATTACTAGGGTTTAAATTAACTCAGTTAATTTTAGAATTTTAAGGTGCACTGATTAGATCCATTATCATTATTGAACTTATAAGAAACAATTGAATCTTTGTAGACAATATAAAAGATATTTGAAAGAACCATCGTCTTAATAAATTTTTGAAAGTTATGTTTAGGAATCAATTAGCTACAACTTAAAGCTAATTAACTTTATTAAATATTTAAAGCGCTTTATAAGCCAGATTACTCTAAAACATAAATTGTCTACTAAAAGGTTTAAACAGAAACAGGATTAGATTGTAAAGAATAAATTATTGACTATAAACTATTATCTTAGGTCAGACTAATAGATATAAAAGCTACTGAATTTTAGTTTAAACTTATCAAATTAACATTCTGTTTCGCTTAGTCTATGTTTGCAAATACTAACTGAAAAGCTTAAATAGTCGGATCAATTTTAATTAATCTGCATCCTTTTACAGAATCCCATGTTCCTATATTACCTTAGGAATAAGCAAAAAATATTCTATTCTAATTATTATATTGTATTCCTAAAGGAATGCTTTATGGTAAATATGAACTACATATAGAGTACTGCTGTAATTAATTGGAACTGAACTGAAAATCGATAATTTAAAAACCATTTTTGCCAGGTATTTAATATGTAACTGTATTATTAAATACTCTAACTATATCTACTTTTCTTTACAGATTCAAGTCTGAAAATTATAAATCAGTATTTTTTTTGCTTAAATCCACAATCACAAAATTAATATAAGTTGTATCTTATATGATTGCTATTTGATTATCTAAGTAAGAAATGTATTGAGAATTACTTAAATGTGAAGCCAAATCTATAGAATTCACTTGTTTCCAGTTATTGATATCCCAAAAAGATATTTGAGAAACAGAAGAAATAATTAATTGGTTTAGGATTGAGTCAAAGAAAGTCTTCTAAAATTGCTAATTAAAGGAGAGAATATTTCCTATTATTAAAAAGCTAGTTGAGTTAAACAAGCTAAAATAAAATTAGCTCTAATCTGAAGATTTCTATGAAATAACTTGAGTGGAGCTATTTACAATAGTAGTATCTATTATTGAATTAAATTAATTTCCTAAATTGCTAAATTGAGGACACTTCACATTTTTAGAGCAAGTATAACTAGCTACGCTTTCTTAATAACCGTAAGGACACATAGGTAAGCATTCATTTTAATCAATGTAGTAGTATTGATTGAAAGTAGAACAACTTGAAATGCAAGAATTTGACTGTAAGTCAAGTTAAAAGTTAACTTAACATTAAGTACATGAATCAAAATTACATTAAGAGCAATAAGGACCACATGCACTACTTTATTGTCTGGTAATTATGATATTCTACAGCAATAATACAAAAAATATTAGCTTATATTTGTTTTACTCTAATCTTTTCATAGGTTTTTATAATATTTTTTAATTATTTATTAATTAATCAACTTTTCTATCTCCAACTGTTAGTATTTAAATCAATAACATTTAAATTATTTGCATATTATACTGCAAAAATTTTAAAACATAATTAGCAAGCTCATCTTTTAAGTTTTAAAAATTAAATTTTAAAAGAAAAATATATTTTAATATTATTTTGAACTTAGTAACAATAAAAATAATAAAAATATTACTCATAAAATTTATTCTAATTTTAAAAATAAATAAATAAATAAATTTTTGTCATTTAAAAGAATAAAATTTACTGAAGCAATTTTAAAAATATAAACTCTGGATTGATGATGAAGAAATAACAAAATTGATTGCAAATATACCTATTATTTAATTAAGAACTCTTCTTTACAATCTTATTAATTATAAAATTGATTGTAATTGAAATAAATCTAAGAATACCTGTATTAAATTTTCAAATAATTCATAAAAGTAATGTATGAATAAAGAAAGCATTATGAATGATAAATTAAGTGTCCTAAATAAAAAACTTTTTTTACTATTTCTTTATAGCTTTTAAAGACTTCAAAATAAAAGTTAGATACCTTAGATAAAACTAATTGTTATAGAAATATTAATTTTTATGAATAGGATTTTAATTACGAAAGTTAATTTTCAAGTTACTAATTTATTAATGAAATAATCTAAAATTTAAATTTTTGGAAGGAGATTGATATATAAGAATTAGAGGAGATCAAATCCTTTTTTCAATTCCGTTTAAAAAAACCTATTCAAATATCTATTAATTTAGATTTTAATATTGTATGAGCACTTTCTTAATTTATTTATCTCAACCAATAATAATTCAAATAATTATTAAAGAATTAAATGATAAGGAATTTATTAGTTTTTTAATCATGATACAATATTATAATAAATTGAAGAGATTTAAATTGAATGGAAATAAAAAATAGTAAATATTATTTTTACAAACGTAATATTAAAAAATTATTGATAAAAGTTGTGATTTTAGAACATTCAAATTCTAAATTATACATTCAAATATAAAAGTACTTATTTGCTTTTGTTTTCATGCTTATGAAAATAGTATATTTATCAATCATACAGATAAAAAAATTTGAATAATTAAACAATAGACATTGAGTCACTTTTATATTTCTTTCTTAAATATCTATTAAACAAACTTTTTCCCTTCTATTTCTCAAGCTTTGGCCTTTATAATTTGTGTAAACTAAAAATTCAGATTTATATAATTTAATGTATAATATAGATCAAATTCAAAAAATAACAATAAAATTTATTTCCTTGATGGGAGGAGAAAAATAATATGAACAAATCTTTTAATTAAAAAAAAATATGCAATTTTAAATTAGGTATTTGGCTAATTATGTATTTAAATTAATTTATTTTAAAAAGTTGATGTAAAAATAAAATTTCTTTACCTTTATTTCTAGCTGGTTTCATAGAGTTTTTTTTATTTAAAACAGGTAAAAAATTGATTCTGCTGTTAATTAACTTTTATTTTCAAACGTTTAAATTTTGATCTTTCTTCTTGCTATATATATTAAATTACTTACAGTCTACATATATTAAATCAAAATAAATTTTTATACTTCCAAGTTATTTCTTTCATTCATAAGACTATATATTGTGTAAATTTAATCTTCAATCTAATAAATTATTCAATACATTTTACTTTTTTTATTTATTTAAATGAAGCAACACATTCCTATTTTGTTAATTGGTATACTTTTAATTTCAGAGTAATATCGTTGTAAATTTAATTAGTAAAAACCATCTTATCTAATTTGATTAAAAGTAAATAAAAAAATATACTAAAACAAATAGTAAATATGATTTAAAGGGTAAGTAAATAACTAACTTGTTTAATCACAATTTCATTATGCATAAAATTTATTTTTACTTAAAGTGGGTGCAATATCAGCTATTGCTAATAATGCGATGCTTTAAATTTAAATTGCGTTTAGTGTTAAGCTGATTTTATATTAAATCCTTCAAGTAATATTTGCCAGTCTAAATGCCTTTTTGGAACTTACTACGACTTTAATCTAAGCTTATGTATTCCTATTTGTAACAATGGATAAGCTTAAGATGAAACTCACAGAGTATGTATTCAAACGTAGGCTTGTCATAGCTTATAATCGCCAAATGGTGTGGTCTATAAATATAATAAAATTGCATAAATTTACAAAAACTATGTGATAGTCAGCGGCTCTGAAGATAATACAAACAACTCAAATACTTTAAGCTTATTCTCTTATGATTTAATAACAAGTACAGTTCTTTCTCATTTAGGATACTTAAGCTAAAATGGAGGACCAATTATCTTTTTTCATATTTCAACAAATTCTTAAAATCAAGACATTATATACTCTTTTAGTAGAACATCAATTACTGCATTTGAATTAAATTCAGGAATCTAAATTAATTCTTACACTCTTTTGAATGGATTTTTTGTGGACTCTTCTACTTACTACATAGATGATAATTACTTAATTATGTTCTACTATAGAAACTAGCAATTCGCGGTCTTATAATACCAACAGTAATTAAGCAATAATTGCAGTTCCTAATAGTGCCTAATTACATTTTAGAGAGTTCACATCAATTCTATTCTAGGTTTCATACTAGATAGTTAGGGAAATATCATATCATATGCCCCAGATGGAATGATTATATAATGGAATATTTAGAATTAAACTTATCAAACTATTCTTTCAAATCAAAACTATGAAATATCAAGTCTATGTCTCTCTATAATTTAGCAAAACTAATAAATATTTTCATTTTCTACTTAATATGATAGTAAAAATTAAGTATACATAAATGCGAATAATAAAGTAAATTCCTTCTAATTAGGATTTTCATCTCCTATCCTTGAAATATTAGATTACAATCAATTAATTTAATCTAGTTCTAATAATATGAATTCGTACTCAATAATAATTATAAGAAGCTCTTCTCAACTAATGCTAGTAAAATTTTAATTTGGTTAGTAAATAACAACTTAGAATTTGTTATCAGTTTCAATTAATCCTATTATAACTAAAGCAATTAAAGGTTATTTTTATTTGGTACTTTAAGCTAATGGCATATATTCAATAAACCAAAGTAATAGCTAATACTCATTATAGTTAATAAACTCAATTTAGCTAAGTAGCTTTAATTATATTAATGATGTAGAGCTTTTTAAATTAAACAATACCTAATCTGGGTTTAGTTTTCTTTTAGTAGCAAAATAGTTAAAGATCATTATCCCATAAGCTTAATCTACCTTAGATCCATATAGTGGAATAGAATAATAAGTAAGTCCCTCTTACTAGCAACATAGCAAAGGGGTAAATGGTGTTTGGTATGATTCAACATTAAATGTATATCTAAGTTTTAGTCAAGATGGGTCATTTGCAGTTTGGGATATTTTTATGTATAATATATTTAAAATAAAACCTCTATTCTTCGTATTTCCTTCTTGGTGTTAGCAGTATTAAACCTGTTCTACAAGCATAGTCAATGCATAATTGTTTTAAACTGGAATATTTATATGCTAATATTCCAATTCTGTCATAATATCTTGGAATTACAACAGGATTTAAGCATCTGTTAGATAAACATATATTATGTAAAATAAGAATGATATTATTTAACAATTTAAGATGTTTGGCTTGAAATATCTCTACTTTTGTAATACTAATGAAATAAGAATTTATGATTTTTCATAAAGCGAAACTAATATAATTAACAGTAATTATCAATTTATTTAAGATTATCTAATTAAAATCGAATTAGGGTACGATAATAATAACCTGTACTTGATTGAATTAGCCAGATAACAAAGTGGTTAATATATATTAAGACTGAGAAAAACAGATTAATATTTTTCATAAATTAATTTAATTAACTTACCAAGAATAGCAGTAGATTTGTAATTCCATTAACAAAATTAAAGAGTCTTTGTAAATGTAGAATAGGATTTAATATGGGCATTTTACTTTCCCTCATTGTGGAGAATTAATCTGTATAGCGTTGGAAATACAAACTATTGGCTTCATACATTTTGTTATTCTTGGTAAACTGATTAGTTAATTACAATTAACTAAAATGGCTAAATGGTTCTCTGGAAATTTGGATATGATTTCTATAATTATTATGTTGTTCTACTACAACAAATCCCACTACCAAGATCAAATTATTAACTTTTAGAATAAAAATAAATTTTAGCATCAAATCAAGGGTTTGTTATGTTTTAAAACTCTGAATCTTAATTTATTGACAACCAAGTAAAATTTATAAACATTAATTTTAATAATTTAAATTTTTAAAACTAAAAGGTTATAGGTATGGATTACACTTATTTGAGGCCATGTTTTGTTTATCCATTTAAAAATGAAATTAATGCTATTTATATTTCAAATGATAATACCCTCTTTGTTTCATTCACCAGCGGAGACATATACTTTACTCAATATTCCTGCTCAATTTAGTAATATGCATATGGATAGGCTAATACTACTTAAATTATTCATAACCAATATTTAAGAAAGTCATATATATTTTAGAAAAATTAGGTAATTTATTGACTTAAATAGATTGATTTAACATTTAATATTATTTTTATTTGATTTTTGTTATTTATTAACTTATCTTTCATAAATAAATTTAACAGATGATTGTTATCGATTATTATAACTAGAATGTTAATTACATTAATTATCCTCACTAACTAAATACTTATCAAGCCCTTGAAGATACTTAAAACAATTTCCTAGTCACATATTCATAAGAATAGTCTACAAATCTATATAAATATTCCATGTAAACTAATACTTACGTTTAGTTTCTAAATGGGCATCTTTACTCAGTTAACTATGCATTTTTAGATATTAATAATGATATTCTAATCAGTTTTTCAAGTGATCCAAGAGATTTAAACTTAATTTTATGGCAATATAGCAACACTATCTAAATAATATAATTTAATGATATTAAAAAGCACATTTCTACTAACTCATAAATATAAATTGTAAATTTATTACTATACAAGTAATAAAATCTGGTTTATGCTCTATTATCTGATGGAATGATGTTTTACTTTAATTATCTTCAAAAAACAGTAAACTTCTTATAAATAGATCCAGGTGCTATAAATTTTTGGATTGACGAGACCTACGGAAACGTTTTCATTTTATTAAATTCAAACGCTTTGTAAGTTAGAACCATTAAGACATTTTAAATAATTGCATAAGTAATATTTACCTAGAATGTAAATAACCCTTAAAACATTATGTACTCAAATAATTATGTTTTTGTGTTTCTTTCAAATGCTCATTCTATTGTGAGCAGAACAAAGTTTAACCAGATCTAATAAATAGATTGCTCTTTTTAACCTTGCCTTGATGCATGCTTCTCTGAAAAATTAGACTAATTATTCCTTTATTCCTCTTATTAAAGTGATTCAATATATGTCTATTAAGCAATATCTGGATAATTACTATATTCAATATATGGAGTATCGGATCTAAACAAAGGATAAATAAGCTCGGTGATAATTGATGATGATGACTATTTGCTGATTATTGGGAAATTAGACAATTTTATATCAGTTTTTTTTAACTATTATACAAAACAAGAAGTAGGTTATTTCTATGATGCAATCGTATAATATAAATACAGTAAATTTATACAAGAGTTGAATGTTTTCTTTCTGTGTCAATTCTACAATTTTGAGTAAACGTTTTATCAATTATTCACCAATTTTTATTTTTTTATTAATTTTTAATAGGCCATTCTCTATTCAAAATATGATAACAAGTACATTTTAAACTTAGAGCTTTTACATCCTAAAATGGATAGATTACTATACAGACTCGAAAAATAACATATATTACGTTGATGGTAGCAATACTATGAGAAAGTATAATTAATAATCAAACTAAATCTCTATTATAACTCAACTTCAAAACTATAGACAGATATACTACTATAATGCAACCGTTTTTATTTTGTATTATGATTAATTAGTAAAACTTAATGATGATCTAAGTTAAATATAAGGAATAAATCCTTATAAAATGAACGGAAGCGATATTCTAGGAATATTTGGAGGATATATTTATATTCAAACATTTTAATTTTAAATACTTAAGCTAGATATAATTAATTTATCATTAAATTATACTATTCAAAATAATGCTTTGATTTAAAAATATTCGTTTGTAACATAAAAGCAAGAGCTTTTATATAGTACACAAGCTAATGGCTTCTTCCTTTACAACTATAATACTAATAAATTATTAAACTAATTTCCAGATTCATGGGGTTACTATACTTTTAACTATGATTTAGATTTTTAATTTATAGTGCTAGGATCAATCTATAAAATAGATTTTTATCCTTATCAATCAACAAACCCTGGTTTAAACACAACTAAAACGGTTTCTTTAGATTTTACAAAAAAAATTGATTATTTCTGGATGGATTTTGGTTATTTAAAATTTTATGTTATTTATAAGGCAGACAGAAAAATAGATATTTATTAAATGATTGTATAATATTAGCAAAGTAATGTTTAAATAAATTATATTTATTATATTCCAACATTCCCAAATCCGCAATCTGTATAACTTGACATTTAAGGTAATTTTACTAGAGTAATGCTACCATGGTCTATTAACTATTATAGAAGAGATAATCACACGCTTTTGATTTCTATATAGGATTAAGCATATATATAAAGTATCAGACAATTTATTAATGATCCAAATTTTCCAGAAATAGTCTTTCTACCCTAAAACAATTTTCTATCTGTTGTTTATTAGAATCAAACAACATATAAAATGAAATTACTTATAAAACTCACTTTAACATACCCAAAAATATTAAACATTTAAATATCTAAATCAAGCACTTAATATGGTATTAAATTATTGCTTTTAGCATCAGGAGATATTTGGAACTACAATTTTAATTTGGATATAAATCAAAACTAAGTTAGTGTTACAAACTAATAATAATGCTCTTTATTTATTAATGATCCCTCAATAGGCTTCTAAGTAGAAAATTAGCTTCTTTAACTATAAAACTACTTTTAGGATACAGGAAATATTTAAAGCTAACCTAACGTAGTTGTAATAAATTTTCTTTTATTTATTTAAAAATGACATATAAATTTAATATATTAATTTTTTAAATATTTTAGATTTAAGGTGCAGAATTCCTCTACTATAGTGATATTATGAAGCAATTAAAAGCATTAGTTGTTTATTAAGGTGATTAAACAGATTCTCTACTAATGCTTTATAATGATTCATTTTCTAAAAATAGTCTTTATACTATGAATATAAAAAATACTTTTATTACTATTAGTAAATAATCAACTACAATAACACTCAATCCATAAACAAATGAGATAAAGCTTTATAATGTCACAATATCTTAAGAATAGCCTAATACACCATCACAGGCTAGTATTTTAATAACATAAGTTGAAAATGCTCTTTTGTAAAACATCATAATCTAAAATATTACAATTTCTAATAGTACAACTTTTTTAAACTTTAGCTCTACTACAAACTTAAATATTTAAAATTTAATGATTAGTAATGTCTAAATGCATATCGATTCAACTTTGATTAGTTTTTAGTAAATAACTAGCTTATAAATTAACAATCTCACTTTACAAAATGTTACTATACTTACCGATAATTCAAACAACTCAAGTGCACTTACTAATTAAATATTTATTTTTGATAAAGTTAAATAGCTACAATTATTAAATACTACTTTTAACAGTATTAAAAGCTAAATAAGGAGTGTGATGTTTTAGTTGATACAAAATCTCGAATGTACTTTTTAGGGATTGTCAGTAGATCAACTTTATAATGTATAATTTATAAAAAATCAAAACTATGGTTCAAGTACTCAGCTTACTTATATTGATACATAAGACACATTTTATATAACGAACTCTAAATTCTCAAATTATTTTAGTGATTTGGATAGTTTAATATGTTATTAAGGAAGCTTACTAAATGTATAAAATACTACATTCTAAAATTCAAGCTGTAAATCTTGCACTGGAACTGTTTTGTAAATCTAAAGTAGTAGTTAGATTCTAATAAACTCCTCAACTTTTAAAAATAATAGCGGGTATAATGGAGGGGCGATCTCCATTTCAAACTGCTAAAATTCTAATATATAAATAAATTAATCGAACTTTACAAGTAACTATGCTGGATTCAGTGGAGGTGCAATATACCTGATGGATTCAGAAATTTAAATGTAATAAACTACTTTTACAAGCAACATAGCTTTTATAGGAGGAGCTATTCGATACTTGATATACAAACCACAAATCTTTTACTCTTCACTCTTAAACAGTCAAGTACAATTTATTCAAAATAAGGCTTATATTCATAGTTAAAATTGGGGATCTTATCCACAATCTGTAAATGTAATTTTTATTAATTCAACAAGTTCTAGAGTTTTAACTACTAAAGCCTATAGTTCTAAAAGAAATACTAATCAAAATAGTCATTTTGCTCTTGCAAATATATAAAGTGGTGGCTTTTTAAATTTATCATTTTAGTTACTAGATGAAGAAGGTAATATAGTAGCTTATGATTACTAAAACTGTTTAAATACAATGTATACCTAAGATTTATGTAATGAAATACAAAAAATCAACATCAATTTAATTTCATAAGATGATTCAAAAATGAGAGTGTTAGGTTCATATATCACTAAATATTCAGAATTTATAACCTAAAATAAAACTTTTTAAATTAATGGTATCTAATTAGTAGCAAACCCTCTTTCTAATTAAACTATGCTAGTTTATGTCAGTGGAATAGTAACATATAGTAGCAATATATAGATTTCAAGTATTAACCTACCTTTTTTTTATTTTCATTTATTTAATTACTATTATTTAACTAAATAACTTTAGACCCATATTATGCACAAGTTTAGGTAGAATTTAGGGATTGTTTAATTGGCGAAATAATTGAATAGTCAAATGATTTTTATGAATGTACACCATGCCCTTTTGGCACTTATTCAATATAAAAGCCAGAAATAAGTAAAATTAAATTATTTTGTAAATAATTCATTTATTCATTTATTTTACAGATTAAGCTCAAAAATGTATTAGATGCCCATAAGAAGCTTAGTTTTGCTAGGAAAATTAAATGACTTTGAGTAAAGGCTATTGGAAGAGCTCTAATTCTTCAGATATTATATACCCTTGTACTTAATCAAACAATTGCGAAGGTAATTAAACAACAAATTATTGTAGCATAGGACATACTGGGCCTTTGTGTCAATTTTGTGATGAAGAAGGAACAATTTGGGGAGGACAATATCAGTATACAGGATAAAATAAGTGTGATCTGTGTTCAGGTTAATCTCTAACTAAATCACTTGGAATAGCTTTTTTAATTTGCTTAGGTCTTATAATTTATTGTGTGATAAATATTTTTACAATGATGGCTTCAGGTGAAAAAATATCTTAATCTTATTATTTGAGAAGAATGAAATTAGCAAGTGTAAGCAATTCATGTTATAAGCAAATTTAAATAAATATGAGCATAAAATCACTAACGAACTTTATATAAATGTTAAAAATAATGTCAACTCAAACTCTTCAACTTCCTGTATCAATTACAATCGTTCCTGATTTATTTGGTATATTTATTTATTTTTTACTAATTAATTTTTTATGGAATTTTTAAAATTAAATAGGTTCTCCCTCTTCTTCTTACGTATTTTCAACATCCTGCTTTTTAGCAAATCTTTAAACAGATACTTTGAAACCACTTTTCATCAAACTGATCTCCATTTCGATATCGCCATTTATATACATTGCATCATTGATAGTTATCTACTTATTTATTAATCCATTTTTAAGAGGCTTTTAATTTTCAAAAGTAAATTTAAATTTAAAACTGTATTTTTATTAAAAAATTAACATATTTATATTAAAGTCTAAAATAATCAGCATAATAGTCTTTGTTTTCTGGTTTTTGAAACCAAGTGTAGTTTATACTTTAATTTAAGGAATTTCATGTGTGAATTTTGATGGTTAAAAATATATATAATTAGATTATACATATGAGTGTTATACTGAAACACATATAAAATTTTTATACTATCTACTAATACCTAGCTTGATATTTTACATAATAATTGTTCCTGGAATAATCTTAAAAAAGATCTCAAGCAATAAAAATAATTTAGACTATGCTACTGTAAGATAGAGATATGGCTATATTTATCAAGATTATAGTAAAGTAGGCTTTTATTGGGAGTTTATAAGATTTGCTGTTCAGTTGATTATAATTTTCTATTAAAATCTAGAAATTATATCTTCAAGTAAAAAATTTTTTTTAATAAACATTTTTTATTCACTAATTAATAATTTAAGATACAAGATGTCTTCTTATAATGGGTGTCCTGATAGTCTACTACATTGCATTATCTAAAATAAAACCTTTTATGATGAAAAAATATTAAAGAGTGGAGGAGTAAAGTACAGTAGTACTTATATTTATTTCAGTATTAAATTTAGCACTTGACAATAATAGCAGTAGTACACAGACCTTTGCCTTTTAAGTTATTCTATATGTTCCTTATTATGTGAATATAGGCTATCTAATATATTTAATAATAACGATATCACTTATCCCTTAGCTTTCAAACTGTTACAGAATATTCTTAGGAGTGATAAGTCAATAAAACAAATAGACAAACAACTCTTAATAAATGCACAATCAAATGATTAAACAAAGAGTTTAATATCTTTGGAAATAAGCTTATCTAAAGTTATTTATCTATTAAATGTATCAATCAAAGAAAATAGACTAAATTAATGAAGCTTTAGTAATTTTAGACAAGTAAAGCTCAATAACTTAGAAAAAATTTTCCATAAACTTAGTTAAAAACATAAGCAGTAAGACAAAAATAAGTAAATAAATTAGAAGCTATTTTACTTCATATTAATCTTAAATTTTTAAATTTAGACTCCTTATAACCGAGGCCAAGCAATATTAAAAGCAAATTTGGAACAGTTTTTGAAATTCAAAATAGTACTTCTAGAAAAGAATCTATTTTTTCTAATGATAGTTACATTTTAAGATAACCTTAAGGTAAGTTATTATTAAAATAAAAAAATAAATGAGTATTGTTTATGTATAGATACAATAGAAAGTGGCATGCATAATCTAATATCTAGACCTACAGAAACTTTAGAATCAGAATTAAAGAATAAGAGAAATCCATACAAGTAAAAAACTCCCAAAGGTAAACCTGAGGAATGATATAACTAACTATTGATAAATATTTATTTGTATTTTTTTGTAATATAATTATATTTTAAAATTTTTTAAACCTTTCTTAATTGTTTTGAATAATACTAAATTGATTAAAACCATAATATTTATCTAAATAAATAATTATTAAATGCAAATGTTAATTATTAAATTTATTTTGATCAAATTTTTCCCAAAAATAGCTTTTTGTAAAATTAAAAACCTGAAATACTATTTTAGCTTTCTTGATTCATTAAGCTTAAAAATTTAATAATATTTTAGTCTTTTAAATTATGAAGTATAAAATTAACTGAATATAGCACAATATGTAAAGTGCTATTTACAATACTATCATAAAAACATAGATTTTAGTGATAATATATTTGTGGACAATTTTTAAAACAAAATTTTTGACTCAAAAATAAAATTAAAATGATTGATTATACATACAATTTTAAAGCAATCCAATTAATTAAGTTGGTCAATAAATTAAATATCGCATCAAAAACTAATTAATATAGTTTTGTAAATAATTGCCATAATTCAATCTTTTATTTAATTTTTAATAAACCAAAAAAAATAAGAAGTCGTTTAGGATATCATTTTATACAATATTAATAAATATAAGCTAAATAGTTAGATTAAAAATTTTAAAATATTACTCAAAGAAGGAATTATAATTTTATTAAGTTGAATCTATTCAAATGTCAGAGTATTACATTAACAACTTCCATATTTAGTTAAATAATGATCCCTAGGTACTATAAGATATAAACAAAGTTTACTTATACATTTAGAAATAGTCAAAGCAAAATCTTATAACTTCAACTCAAATAAGGAATAATACAACTGTCTCTTTTTATAATGAAGAAGGCTTTATCTTTCACGAGTATGATTTTTCTGATAATCCTATCAGAGTAGAAATACATGAATATTTAAATGACTATTCTACTGAAAGTAATTTTAATGAATAAGAAAGCGAGTTATTCAAACGAGATTCTCTTGTAGGAGTAACTTACTTGCAGTTAAATGAATATTCATCTTTGATATTTCACCCAGCTTTGACTGATTATTCTATAGGGTAACTTTTGTACACAATAAAGCCCTGTAACATAGATTTTAGCGCGTCTCCAAATAATTTATCAGCAAATACTTTGCAAGTTAATGATTCTTAAAAAAAATATAAACAGGGAGATAAATAATTCATAGCTTTAAATAATCAAGAACAATAAATTCTGTATGAGTCTATTTCTTCAATAAGTTAATAGGGAAATGTCGAAAGTGAATGTATGAATGAATAACTTTAGATTATAGAGCCAGTAAGTTCTAAGTTAAACAACTAATTACCAAGTTTAAAAAATAATATGATATTTTTACAGCTACTCAATTAACCTCCTCTAACATAATAATAAGCGTTTAATGAAGAAGAATCTACTGAAACACCTACTTCTAAGCTTGTTTCATCTTAAGGAGACTTAACTTCTAGCTCTCAGTACATTCCTCATTTAATGTCTAAATCCACACATGTATAATCTTCTTAAAACGAGTAAAAAAAAGTTAAATCCTTCATCTCACCAAGCAAAATATTAATACATGAAAAAAAAAATAATTTTAATGAGATCCTATCACCAATATGTACAAAAAATAAAAATATATAATTTGATTAAGAGTTAAGTAATAATACTCCCAATAATGAAAAAAATTTAAATAAAGAATATAATAACCAATAGTAAAATACTTAGTAAATTTAAGTACAGTAAAATATTGTAAATAATCCTTAACAAATTTAAAACTTTACTTAATACTTAGCTTTCCAATAAAATCAAAATAATTCTATTCACTAATACAATAGATTTTAAACTTTTAATTAGTTTAATAATGCACCAATATATACTCCACCTGCATAGTAATAAATTAATAGAAATTTATAGCAGGTTCAAATAAACTCTACTCCATACTCGAATGGATATTAAAATATAATACAAACAATCCCTAACTAATAAAATAATTTTATTTATAAAAACATCAACATGACTATGAGTACTCCTTAGCACAGAATAATTTCATAGTAACCTATTCCTCAGCATATTTAAAGTCCTTAAATATCTGTTTTTAGAGGACCAGGAATGCAATCAACTCCTTTGTAATTTAAAACATCTCCGTAAATAAAATATGCATTTTGAATTTTGGTTTATTTTTATTTTCTTTTTAAAAATCCAATCAAATTAATTGTTTTTTTCTTTCTTTCTTTCATTCTTTTAAATTGATAATGTAAACTGAAAATACATTAATTAATTCCTTTTTCTTTATTTATTTATAAATTAGATTCACTATTAATCAAAGATTTTGAGGATTAAGTTAACAGCTTTAAAAAAATTGTATGATAGTAAAATTAATAAATACTCTCTATAAATACTTCATTATTCTTGCAAGAAATCAAATTATACTAAATCCCACTCATTTTCTTATTTTTTTTAGTAAATAAAAACTAAAAAATAAATATCCAAATTTAAAAATGAGGATTCTTTTAAAAATTCACGAAAATCTAATATTAAATTAAATTATGAAAAAATACACTATTAGTATTTAAAAATAATATGTAATTATACCATTTCTGTATCTATATTTTAATAATAAATTATTTTTTTAATTAATATTTTGTTTTATTTCAATATTTAATATTTTATTTTTAAAAATAAAAAATAATCTTTTAATTCTATTACAATTTTAGAGTTTTTAAATGTCTTTAGTTTTAATTTATTTGAAATAATTTTAGGCAAATTTTTTTGTAAAATTACCAGTGTGCTAAATAGTTTTAATTAACAAAAAACAAATTTTATAATATTTTATCTAAACGGTTAATAATAACTAAAAATTCTAAATATTTTTTTTAAGAGGATCAAAAAAAAAAGCATAGTATACCTCATTACATTAAAATTGTATATTATTTATTTTTTGTATTTATTTGTACTTTTCCTTTTTATTTTGTTAGTTTTTATTGTGTTTTTAAATTGTTTTTTATTGAGGATTTTTTATTTTTTTAATATTAGTTAATTTATTTTATTTAGTTAATATAATTTTTAAGATTTTTATTTTATTTTATATTTATATGTATATTTTAATCTATTTTTTTCTTTTAGTTTTTATATCAATAAGCTGGAAATCGGAAAATCAATTTAAATAATCTCAATCTTTTTCTAAGAGCAAAATTGGAAAGAGTTGGAAAGAGAAGGGAAGAGAGCGGGAATAAATATTTAACGGCAATAATAACATTTTGACAAAACAAGGCTTTGCAGCCTAAATTCTTACAATTTTAGCATCGTATTTTACGAACAATTGTAAAAATTGTATAATTTGATACGTATATTCCTGGATATAATTTTAAACCTAAAATTTAAACATATAACTAGAGATAAGAATTATATGCACAGATGGAACGGCATTGACATTTTGACATAGCAAGGTGTTTTTAAGTTCCTTGAAGTTAATCTTACAATTCTATCTTTTTAAATTTCTTTATAATTGTAAAATTTTTATTTGCGGAGTCGATTGGCCGGGATAGGAATCTTTTTTTTAATAATAAAATTAATATTTTTTCAGTTAGAAATAAAAAAAAAATAGCAAACTGATATTTCTTATTAATTCATATGAAATAAAATAGTAATAAGATTAATAAAATTATAAAAATTTTATTTAATAAAAAACTATTTATAAGATCTATTTTAGTGCTGATTTCAAAAATAATTTAATATTTATAATAGAATTTTTTTATTATTTAAAAAATTTTATGAATATTATTAAATATCTAAATTTATGATTGTTTTATGTTAGTTATTCATAAATTTTTAAGATGGTAGTAAATTTAATTGTTAATTAATTAATTAACTTATTGCTAGTTAAGAAAATTAATTTAATTAAAGATAATTAAAAAAGTAATTATTCGTTACTGATATTCAGATTCAGGGAACTAATTGAAGTGAGGCAATTTGTCAAGCTTTAGTTCATTAAGCATTACTTAATCTTATTAATTTTATGGGTTTTTTCTATTTGTATCTCTATTCTCATATGTGCCTCTGCCTACTTATTTATCTTTCTTTTTCTCTTCTTTCTCTTCATTTTTCTTGATTTTTCTTATTTTTTTTTCTTTTTGATTTGTTTTTGTTTTTCCTTTATCTTTTTATTTTAATTTTAAAATTTTATTTCATATTTTCATAAGTCTCAATTAGAAAAATTATAATATTGAATTTTGTAAATTATCGCTGTTATGTATATCTAAAAATATCATCATCATTTCATTATCTTAAAAATTTCTTTGAAAATTATATTTATAAGCTGTAATTTTAAATATTCTCCCTTTTTGGAATTTTTAAAAACTTGAAGGGGTACACTAAACTCTGACATTTTTATATGTTGGATTAAAAACTTTGGAGAATATTTAAAAACAAGCTTATGACGTGTTGGAGAAAAAAAGAAACTATATACAAATGAATTCTAAAAAATATATAATACATAACATACTAATAAGCATTTATTTAATAGATGAGCATTCAAAAACTTGATTGGGAAAGGAGAGGAAAAATCTATTTATAAATGACTTATTTGATGAAAAACTTATTATATTATAAATATTTTTGAGAATTTTTTTTGTAATTATATACCTGAATATCCTTCGTTCCATTTATCTGTGCTCTGATTTTTAGGTATATTTTAGAGACGGACTAATTCAAAAAAAGGAACCTGATCCTTTTCTATGCATCTAGATATTTTCTTATTTCTCTCTTTCAAATAGAAGTTTGTTAGATAGAATTCAAATAATCGGTTCTTTTATTAGTTTAGTTTCTTTTAGTTTTTTAGACGGTTTTACATTCTTCAAGGTCTCTCTCATAGATCAAAGAAGATTAAAATCAGATATTAACATTTTACTTAGCTCATAAATGATTAGTCAAAGAAATATTCTCATACAACTCTTTTACAATAATAATATTTTGAATTTTTGTTTTTCGTTAAAGATCCGTTAAGGTTCCTTATTAAAAACTTTTATAGAGGGGAAATGGATGGCGAAACCTTTCCTTTCTCTCTCAAAATACTATTTAATTGTGTTTTAAGAGTGAGTAATACTCAAAGATTCGTCAAATATTTTGCCTTGCTCAACATTTTTTCTCTTCATTTAGGAATCTTCTTCACATCCATAGATCAACGTTCAAAGCAAATAAGAATCAGGACCAAGTTCGTTTTAACCTCTCAATTTAGCATTCAAGATTCAGTAGACACACCTCTTAGCGCTTAGCAACACAACTTCTAATACTTAATCGAAATACTTTAAGAATCTATCTTTTCAGCTTTAGAAATAGGATCTATCCCAAGTAATTGTGAGTCTCTTTTAATTTATTTGTTTTTAATTTGGAAATTATTATAAAAATATTGATTAATTATATCAAAGAAATTCAAAATTAAATTTTTTCAAATTTTCTTAAAGGATCAAAAAATAAAAATTAGATTTATAAATTAATAAATTGATAGGATTGAAGTTATAGTAAATAAAAACAATTAACATATTAGTTCAGAATCTCATTAATAAATTTTTACAGAATCTAATATTTTTATATTAGAAGTAATTCTTTCTGATTACTAACTTATTATGAAATAATATTAAATTGAAATTTTTATTTATGTATTTTAATAATATTTCTAATAAAAATGTGAAATTATTTTGTTAAAAAATAAAAGCATCATTTTATTAGTCTATGAATATCCAATCCTTGTATTTTAAAATTAATAATACAATCTATTTCATGAGAATGTTTATTTAAAAAATAACTTCTAAAAAGACATTTTTGAATGGTTCTTGAAAATAAAATTATGATTTTGAATGAGAAGAAAATTAAAATGAGAAATTAAACAAAAATATGCAATATTTATTAATAATATTATGAATTAACTTTAACTTTATAGAAAAATATATCAACAAGATTTTATTTAAGAAATTTCTAACTTATCAAAATCAGTTAACAATAGGAGCCCATTCATGAGGAGTATCACCGTACTATATTTTTAATTTATTGCTTATTAATAAATATTGCTAATTTATTTTAACTAATTACTTGAATATTTTAAATTGTTTCGCTTATTTTATAAGTAAGGTCACCAGCTTATTTCTTAGGATTTATTGGAACTTTATAAGTAACGCCTTAATAATTAAATTCTTCAATTGGACAAACTATAACTGCAGTACCTGCACCAAAGGCTTCAATAAGCTAAATTTTAATTTTTTAAATATTAAGCTTATATTTTTTTCTAAATTAAATAATTGATATTATTACTCTTCCTTCTTTAGCTGCCTTAACTACTTCATCAATAGTAATTCTTCTTTCAGTAACCTTGAATTCCTTCCATTTTCTGGTTAAAGACTAAAAAAATATTAATTTTATATTATTTTACTTAATTTAATATTTACCAAAATAGAGTCTCTCATGACACCAGGTAAAATGGTACCTTCGTCTAAATATGGTGTAACAAGTTCCTTTTCTCCTTATTCATTAACCCAGAAGAAGAAAATGTTTGAAGTTCCAACTTCAAGAATGCTAAATTTTATTAGAGATATTCAGTAAAATATACTTGATTATGTGCTTTCAAATTTAATTTACCTATCTTGCCATAACCAAAGTACTTATTAAAATCCTTTTTATTCAGCATTTTAAGAAATAGGAATAGTAGGAGCATAGTTACCACCTACTTTCATGTTACCAGTACCACCTGGAGCAGCTCTGATTCTCTTGGTTTCAGTGAAAAGCTTAATAGGCTTGAAACCAGAGGGATAATAAGGACCAACAGGTGAGAAAACAACAAATAATTTAGCCTTATCAGCAGGTCTAACACCTAATTTATCCTTTTAAATTTTAAAATAGTTTAAATTTCCTTTCACAGAATTTTGAAAAATAATAGCAATAAGAATAAAAACATTTGTATAATGAATGTTTAAATTCTTTAGGCTGCTTGCTCAATATTCTAAAAATATTTACTTCCCATGCAATAACAGTTGGACGAATATATAAAGAGAAGCCTCTAATAGGAGGAATCCACTTTTCATCAATCTTAACGTATTCTTCAATACATTTGTAAAGTTCTTCACCATCGAAATCCTTTTAAAATATTGATATAAATTTGAGTAAATAAATATAAGGAATTAAAGATTTGGTAAGTCAAAATTAAAAATAAAAAATAAGTTAATAAATAAATTAATACAGGTAGGGCAAGAGACTTGCAAGAATTCTTCAAACGATACATGTTATTTCTAACTCTGAACATACGAATCTTACCATCAGTACCTTTGAAAGCCTTAGCACCTTCGAAGCATTACATGGCGTAGTGAATTGCAGAGTTGAAAGGATGCATTTCTAAGTTTCTAAAAGGGTGGATATAAGGTTTACCCCAACCTATACAATATACAATAATAATTATATTAAGGACTATGCTTTTTAATTTAATTTAAGATTTATAATTGCTGGTATGATATGTGGTATCATACTAGATATTTAGATTTTATATTTCTCAAAATAGATTTTTTCTATTATTCTATTAATCTATCAGCTATTATTTTTTCAAAAAAACATCCTAAAATTATATTTACCTCCTTTCTTTGAGTCAAAATCTACGCTAAGCATATGGTCAGTTCCATGAGCACCGAATCTAAGCTTTTCAGCATCAAATTCAGGCATAGGAATAGGATTCTTGGTTAATTCAATAGTGAGATCTTTTCTCTATGTTAATTTAAAAAATGAGAATTTTATAAGTCAAGCAATAAAAAAATGAAAAATTAAAATAAAAAGCTAATTTTTATAAAAATCAAGATAATTAATTACGTAGAAAGTTTGCTTAGATGATAAGTCCATGTTTGCATAGTAAGAGGTTGAGAAGGCTCTCTTTGCTAAGTTGCTAATTGACTAATTGTTTTTTTTAAATATAAATTAAAAGGGTGCTTAATTTAGTTTAGAAGGGATTTTGATTTGCAAATTCATAAAGGTAGTTTGCATTTATCAAGTTTCAATCTATCTAAAATAACTAATAAGTTATTTACCATAGCCTAGGAGCAGTTTTTGGGAACGAAAGATTTTAAGAGATGCATTTCTACTTTTTACTTAAATTAATAATGTATGTTTTTTTTTTGTTTTTTTTATTTTATTAATTAATAATTCAATTTGACTTTGCTAGGTGTATCTTATAGATTTAATGTGAATTTGGAGTATATTAAATTTGATTAATAAAATAAATCAGAAGTAAAAATAATTCGCATGTTTGATCCAGATGTAATTAAAATTTAGCATCAACTAAAGCGTAAAATGATAAAAATTAGTTTGCAGATTTTTTTCTTTTACTTGATTATGATGAATGAATTTTCAAAAAAATCCATATTTTTCTTACAAATTCTTAAGATCCTAAATAATTACTATTTTAATCTTACAACTCTAATTTTAGTTTTAAGAAATTTGTAGAGAATTTACTTAAATGCGAACACACAACTTTAAAATAAAGTTATTGATTGATATTAATTATTAACCATAAAAAATATATAAATTTTATAGCAATATATTTTTGCAACTTGAATTGTTCTGGAGACCACCTTTTAGATTTTCGAACTAAAATTTTATTTGGGCTAGAACTATTTGCTTTCTACATTAGACAGCATGTATTATTACTTTTAATATCACTATGATATTGAATATAATATTTTCAAAATATTTTTAAACATTAAATTAATCTACATTATCAATTCATATGAGTAACCACATAGAAAAACATTTTTCAAGGAGTTAAATCTATTAATTACCGCATATAAAAAATTTTTCTTCCATGATTTTGGTTTACAGCAATTTAAATTTAATAGCCTTTCAAATTTTACCTTAATTTAATTAGATATTTATTTGGTATATTATTTTAGGTTAACCTTAAGTAATAGTTCGTCATTTTTCTCTTAAATTAAAAATTCGCAAATAAATTTTTACTTTATTTGGGGGTTTTGGTTTTTAAAATTAGACTAGATATAATTATGATACTTATATATTTCTATTGAATTAAGAAATGAAATGAAAGTTTACATAAAGTAAATATCAAGTATGTCTTCTGAGTTATTTTAGATTAATCTCTTTAAATGATAAGTATGAATTAATATTTTTACAAATTCTAACAGTCTTTCAATATTTGTTAAATTTAATTTATATTTAATTTACTAAACATCCAATTTCTAGATATAAATACCAAAACAACAAAAAGAATAGAAAAATGATGATAGAATTATTTTAATAGTAATATAATGGAAAATTTGTTCTATCATTTTTTTTTCAAATTAATATATTTACATTATAAATAAACATTATAAAAAGTTATTTTTGAGAAAAGACTTGCTAATTACGTTATTTAACTACTGAGTTATTGTACCTAATAAGCATTTTTTTAATAATATTGTAGTTTTATTATTTAAAAAGTCTAAATCCAAATATTGATAATTATATTTCATCAGACTTTATGACTTTACAGAGATTTAAATTTAATAATTTGTTTAAATAACTAAGTCATAAGCATTTTTGCAACAATATTCAAGTTTTATTACTAAAAAAAATTAAATCCAAATATTGATAGTAATATTTCATCAGATTTTACAACTTTACAGAAATTAAAATTTAATAATTTGCTCGAATAACTAAGTCATTATTTGCCAATTATGTACTTTAGTGATTAGATAAAGTTTAAGATTCAGATTGAATATATTTTTTAAAAGTTAAATTAATGTTGTCATTATTTGAATGATCAAATTTTTTAGTCTTCAATATGAGAAAGCCATTTTTTACAATTTTATTAAAACTCAACTGCATAAAAGTGCATTTCTTCTATATTTGCATCTTTTTCTGAAATATTTTGAGTAAATAGCGAACTAGTGTTAGTTGAGTATGTTTGACCAATATTTTTTAAATAGTTTAAGCTACTATTGATATTTTTCAGGTAATCATTAATACCTAATTATTACTCATCTAAATTAGAATCTTATTTAGTCATGCTATTGGTTTTCTTTTAGCCTTAAGTAGTAGAGGAAGTTATATCTTTATCGTTTTAAGCTCTCCCAGATGAAAGTTCTTAGGTATTTTTTTAAGAGGAAAGCTAAACATCAGAATCTGTAAAATTGTGTAAGGCTTTTAAAGGTTGTACTTTTTCTTGTTATTAGCTATTTTAAAAATATCCTCCATAATTAGTTTAGTTTTTATTTATTTATGGATTTTTTTAGGAAGAAGACCGTTAACCTTAGTTTGTATTATTTACCTAATTATTTGGGCTTTTTGTTCCAGTAGATGTTTTCTTTATTTCTCCGCTATTATTTTATTAACTTGGATTGTGATTACTACTATCATTAGTGTTACTACTGTAACTATTTTATATATAATTTTTTAAATTGTTGATTCGAGTCTATCTTATCTAAGACTCAGTTAAATTATTTAAATTTATATTATCAATATTCATATCTACAAAACTCTAATTTTCAGCATTTTTTGAAGATTGGTTCATATTTGCTACATAGCTTATATTATTTGATATATTCCCTGAAGCTATTCCTGATAGGGATTAATTATTACCATGTAGACTTCCATTAAGGTTGTAGTGTTAGCTTTGAGATGATCTCTATATATTTTCTAAAATAGCTCCACTTCCTCCACTACCTTAAGAAGCATTTATTTTCCCTCTAAATGGTAAGTTACTTCCTCCATTACTATTATTTCTAGATTTTTTTAGAAATATTCCACTTTGAGTATGGTTTGCTTCATCTATTTCAGATAAATTAATATTATTTTTTGTGCTTGCTTGTTGAGGCATTTAAGTCCTTCCCAAAATATCTATCATATTTTTAGTCGAAGAATTTACACCTTATTTTATCCTGTATTGCTGAGATTTTTTCATATTGTTTGATTCATCCTCATTCACATTTTTAGTAGATGATTATAACTAATTCATAAGCATTTATGTATTCATTATATTTGTATTTATATTTCCTACACCGTTTTATCTCTAATCTATTCATGAAATAAAATTTAAGTCAATTTTATATATTATTGATGCATACATAATATTTAGTATTTTAAGTATTTAAATGGTTCATATAAAACAAATTCTGAACATAAATAATAAATGTATGTAAAATGATAAATCGTTTTGATAGTTTTAAGATATTTTAAATTTAAAATGTTTATTTGAATTTTGTTTCTTTTTTAATTAATAAAGATATGTGCCTTGAAATTGAATCATAATATTTTGCTTATACAGCTCTTTAATTTTTAATAATTTGAAAATCTACAATATAATTATTTTTTTTGTATTTCTTTATATTCTTATTACAGTAATTTCTTTTTATAAAGATATTCTAAATTTTTAATAATTGAGAAGTAAACATTTTGCCTATTAATACTAGGAGCTTGAATAGTACTAATATGTTATTAAAGTTGCTGATTATTGAAATATTTTTTAAGTATCTTTAATTAAAAATTTTTTATTTTTCATAATTGTTTTTAATGTTATTCACACTTAAATTAGTAAAATTATTGTTTTTATGATATAAAAATAAAGAAAAATATTTATATTACTTTGACTAATATAACGAGCACGAATGTTATTTCTTCCTGCTGATTTAGCCCTAGATTCTTTTTCTTTTGCCTGAAAATTAGATATAAAATATAATATTAAAATTCAAGCAAGATTTAGTTGAGAATTAAATAAATTAATTATTATGAAGTACTTCTTTAAGTTGATCTTAACTAGGAGAGGCATAGTTAAACTAAATTTATTGGAGTTTTATATCAGATCCAAAACTTTACTTTTAATTATATTTATAACTTTAACTTTTATCATTAGAAATTCTATTATTATTTTTATATATTCTCTAATAAAAATAAATTTACTTTTGATCTCATAGCCTAATTTTCAGATGCTGGGTTTGGACTGATATTTCTTGTATTTAATTTTGAAAAGCTGTAATTAGTAGTATTTTCAATTATATTTTATGTTGCACTGCTATTTCTTAGCAGATTTTATTGATAGAATGTTTTATTGCCATTTATTCCTTAATTTACTACATTATTTCTAGGTCCTACATTTTCATGCTAATTTTGAGAACTCATTCCTTTTATAAAAACATTAATTATGGATTGTTTAATAGGTATTCAAATAAATATAGTGCTTTTTTTTCAATTAATTAGAATTTTACTAATCGGAGATTATTTATGTGAGCTATAAATTGCTTAGCTTTTCATGTTTTTGGAGTTATACTTAGTATTATAATTTTATCAATCAAATGCAAGATGTAATTTAAGAAATATAGGTTTTTATTAATCTTTTCTTCTGTGAATACAGATATTGTATTATTTTGCTAAAAAGTAAAAACCTTCTATATATCAAATTATGTTAGAATGAAGCGCAATATTCTATTTTAGATTATTCTATTTTGTTTAGGCTTGTATCTACTAAAAAATTATCTATCTATCCTTTAATATTATTCTGTTATAAATTATTAAAAATAGGTATTTATTTTTATTAATTGCTTATAACTAACTAAACCTTTAGTTGGTGATTGATACAAATTAAATATTCTTATTTAGTTAGTGTTTGATAAAAAAGTTTAATAATCTAATAAAATGAACGATTATTAATGATTTAGATCATTTAATTATTCTTGGCTATAAATCTTAGGATTAAAGTAAAGGAAGATTAGATAAATCATATTAACTATTATTTTTACCAATTCACTAATTATAATCCGCTTTTTTCAATTTTTATAATTTTGATTTCATTCACTGCTATTGATAAATCGTATAACTAATATTTACACTTTCCTAAAACCCAACCACAAAATGTTTTTAATAGATTTTTTACAAAAATTTTTATTTACATATTTAATGAAAAGCAAAACTTATAAAGCTTTAATAATTTTTAAAATAAATTTTATTCATAGCAAACCAAGTAAATTCATATTTTGCAAACATTTTAATAAAACAATTAAATCTAATAACAATTTGAATTCTAATAATGATTTAAAAATAAACTACTGTTTTGAGTAATAAACCATTTATATTTTAAATCATATTTAATTTATAAAAAATAATTGAATTACAAATTTATTTTTTTTAATTAAAAAAAATAATTATTACTTGATAAAGAAATTAATTTTTTCAAAGTCAAAAAAAAGAAAAAATTAAGATTTAATTAAAAAAAATAAATTTATTGGTTTTTAAATGGTTTTTTGAAAATAAGCTTTTAATTAATTTAAGAGTAAATGAAATAATCAATTAGATAAAGAAATAATTTATTTTTTGTGTTAAAATCTTAAATAACAAAATATTTACTTTTTCAGATTTAAAATAATTAAGTTCAACTTTAATACATATATTTATTTTTATGATTCTGTTTTAGATGATTAAAGAACAAAAAATTAAATGTTTAAGTAAAAAATAATATTAATTTTTTAAATATAATTTTAAATTTGGAAATTAATTTTATAATTTTTAAAATATAATTAAATTTAGAAATATTCGAATAGAAATAATTCAATGATTTTTAGATAATAAATAAATAAATAAAATTCTAATTATTTTCTAAGTTTTTTCCTGATAATCAATAAATTATTATTAATTCAAAATAAATGAAAGCGTAAATCTATTAAATGATGAATAATGAAAGAGAGAAGAAGAAATAATTTGTTAAAAATGATAGAAAAAAAAGGCATACATAATTAAAATTAAATGGAACTAGGGGAAAAATGCGAAAGAAAAAGCATATTAACATTAAAAGACAGAATGGTTAATTTATTTGGGTTGGGTGAAAATTGCTGAGGACTAAATATCAAAGGCGAGTCAAAGATATTAAAAGATAATTAAAAAAAGGTAAAAAAGACTAATAAATTACATATATACAACAATATAAAGAAGAATAAAGAAAAATGGTAATTTTAAACTTATAACATTTACCTTAACATAATCTAATCTTATTGAAGGTTCTTATAGCTCAATTACGGCTTCATCCAAAGCAAATCAAGAATCATTTTTTCATTTTTCAAAAAAAAACCACTTCATATAATTATCTTCATGCTACGCAATTTTTTTTTTCCTAGTTAGTTTATCATGATGATTTTAATTGTAGGAAGCTCTAACTAAATTTTCATCGAAAGTAAAGTAAGATGAACGATAATGGGAATTGTGACCAAAACAGCAAAAGAATAGGATATATCCAGTATAAATAATAATGAAATATTACAAAAATAAAATAAATAATTTGGATGAATTTAACTTGTTGATTTGGTTGAATCTATTATGCAAATCTTAGTTTATATTGAGCTTTGATTGCTACGAATGATGTTAATTTAGCTTATAAGGATCTAAAATAAAGATGAGATAATAATATTTTAAAGCAAAATTTTATACTTTCAAGCTTACTAAAATATTTTAATTTAAAATCTTAGGCTCCCAAGAAGACTGCCCCCGTTCAAAAGGAAGTTATCTCCTATGGTCCCCCCAACGTTGGTGCTAACGAAAACGTTTTCGGTGTTTGCCACATCATGGCTACCTGGAACGATACTTTCATCCACGTTACCGATCTTTCCGGCAGAGAAACCCTCGTTAGAGTTACTGGTGGTATGAAGGTCAAGGCTGACAGAGAAGAATCCTCTCCTTACGCTGGTAATTATTCGCTTTTTATAGCAAAAACATAAATCAAACTATAGACTATCCTCCATTAAATAATAATATCAATTATTAAGCAAATATGTTATAAATATATAAATCCTAAAGATTGGTATAACTTTGCAAGCAAATTTTATTAATAAGCAAAATGCTTTTGTAAATTGGAATTATCAGTAACATGATAAAAGTCCTAGCTTTAAATTAGATTTAGGTTAAATATTGTTCTAGCAAATAAATATGAATTAGAGAAAATATACATAAATAGATTATTTAGTATTATAAGTAAATATTTCAATTACAAGATTCAAGAATGAAGATAAGTTTTACTTCATAATAGAGCCTATAAAGTAGTTTGTTTAAATTAAATTTAAAAGCAATAAATAATAAGGAAAATATAATAAATACTCAGAGCATGAAAGGTGCTGTAACAATACTTGATACAATAAAATGAGAAAAATGCAAAAATATTATAGATCAAAATAAAAACTTCTACTTACTCAACTATTTTTTTGTAAGTTATTTTAAAGCCTAATTCAATTATTATAAATTATGGCTTCAAATTTTATAACAGCTTGATAATATATTTAATGGATGAGATGATAATTTTATTGTAACCAAAGTTTTATCTGTAATTAATTAATATTTTATTTATAAAATAGCTATGCAAGCTGCTATCGATGTCGTTAACAGATGCAAGGAATTAAAGATCAACGCTTTACACATTAAGTTAAGAGCTAAGGGTGGTGTTGAAACCAAGCAACCTGGTCCCGGTGCCCAATCTGCTTTAAGAGCTTTGGCCCGTTCTGGTATGAAAATTGGCAGAATCGAAGATGTTACCCCCATCCCTACCGATTCTACCAGAAGAGAAGGTGGTCGTAGAGGTAGAAGATTGTGATCAACCTAATTTTCATATTATATAAATCAATATCTTTTTTAAATATTGCTGAAATAATACTTATAGCTATTTGTAATAATTTTAATATATTTAAGTATTTTATTCTGCTTATATATTATTTAAATCCACTTCTAAATTTATAAAAATCGTTTCTCATCATTTCAATTTAAAATATATGTGCTTCTACATTCAAATATGAATGCATACATATTCACACAAAAAAAACAATCAAACAAGCAAGCAAAAAAATCTATTTAATATTTTCATTATTTCAAATAAAAATATTTAAGAGTAAAGAAAGTGTTCAAAAGTTAAAAAAAATATACTAAGATTTTTAATTTTAGAACTGAACAAATTTAAATTGGTGTTTCGCTTGAGTGTTAATTTATCTTTTTTATTTTTAGATATTCTTTAAATGTAACTTTTAATAATATTAACAAATAAATATAATTTGAAATAAAATGGTTGTTTTTTGTTGAAGCTGAATATAATAAATAATAAAATAATTTATTTTTAGTATTAATCATGATATATTATATAATTTTTATCAAATAACCAAACTATTTTAAAATATTACATAATTTCAATTTTATGTCTATTATTTTTCAGTTAAAAAATAATTTAATTTTCAAATAAACTAAGGTAAAATTTAAAATAATTTTGATTAAATTTTTCAAAATAAAACTTTTGGCTAAAAATTTTAGCAAATAAATTAAAAATAATCTGAAACATTTTGATAACGCAAGCATTATCTATATGAAATAACTTTAGTCTTTAATTAACATGCATTTAAAATATAATCAAATAATTTTAAAAAGTAAAAAGTTTTCTAAAATAAAAATATAGAATTATATTCTATCTTTTAAAATAAGAATAAATATTATTCGTTGAATCACTATAAATTTTATATGTTTAGTTTGTGCTTGCTAATATTTTGTTATATAACGATTTTTTATTTTAGTCAGCAATTATTAAATATTCAATTAATTATGTTTTAGTATACTAAAAAACTTATAATTTGTATAAAACATAATCTATATTTTCTAAATAATAATATTTAATTATTGATACACTCTCAGTATCTAAAAAATAAATTGTTACTTTTAACTTTAAAAATAGATAGGTATCAGCAATATCAATAAAAATTTCATACAGTAGCATAGAATAATTAAAGGTTGATATACTTAAAAGCTAACAAATATTTATGAATAGTTAGGAGCAGTTTCTTGATAGCATCAATGAGCTTTTAGATAAGTAGAAATAGTTTAATTTAATTTTGGCATATATCATTACTGAAATTTCTCAAAAACAACAATCCATCTAACATAATCTAAAAAATTTACCATTATTATTTGGTTTAAATAAACTAGGTATTTTTAAAGCGATAACCAATACTAAGAGCATGATTAAATTTATATTGCTTTTCAAGATTTAGAATGGGAGGATATTTTTGAGTGGGCAAACTAGGAATTGTTGAAGCTTAATAGGATTAAAAATACTACAAGTTATTAAGATCTTAATCAAAGAGTTTACATATTATTTAAAAAAATCTAAAAGTAATTCTATAGATTTAATGAAGAGGTACATTTAATATTATTTATATATTAGAAATCCAAATTTTTTATTTTTTTCTTAATTATTTACAATAAATTATTTTTTTATTTTAGGAAAAGTAAAGCATTTAATAAATAATAATAATTCAAAGCTTAGAGTTCTTATTAAAAAATAATTATAAACAAAACATACAGCTATGTCTTGAATTGACTTAAATTGTAATTAGAATATTATTTTTTTTAAATATTTCTATCATTTTAATTGTTTATCTATTAGATTGTATAAAAGCATCCTAAGAATGTCGAAATTCTTTATTTAGTAAGCAGTATATACTATAAGGCGAAACAATATGAAGAAGCAATGTAAAATATTGAATTAAGTCTTCTTTTTGTTTGGATTTAGCTCTGTCTTTAAAACTATTTTAATATATATTAGGAAATATTTGCTGGAATGCAAAAGTGAGTGCCAAACTTAAATATAAAAGTAAAATGTAAACTAACTAGAAGCTTAAATATAAAATAAGTAATCCTAAATGTAAAATAATGATAGCAATAAGTAATAAGATTCAATAGCTTAGGATCTATTAAAAGATAGTTGTTATATAGATATTAATTGCACAAATTCTTAAGTAATTCTATTAATTTAACAATATTATAGTAATTATTTTTTAAAAAATAATTACTTTAACAGATAGATACAGAAAGAGGTTCAGTAAAATCAAAAAAAAAGAAAACTTAAAACAATTTTGCTATTGATTCTGACGATTCAAGTTATCAAGATACACCTGAAAAAAGAAAATAAATATAATAATAGAGTTCTCAATAAAAAATTTTAAAATATAATGATGAATGGGAAGAAGCTGAAAAATATGGATATTTTAAAGTATTTGTATATTCTTATAATGTGTTAAAATCGAAACTCGGAACATGTTAAAAGAGGAAAAGGGATCCTAAATAAATGTTCCCTTCAGCAACACAGCCTACTTAGTCTGGATTATCAGCTCATGAAATATCATAATAAAAAATTCATAATTAATCAGAAATGAAATCTCCTGATAAAATATATCGCAATTCAAGAACCGATATTGAGTTAAATGATAATAAAGATTATATAAAACATTAAGAACCATGAATAACTTTCCAAAATAAAGAAGGAAATCCAACAATATTAGGGTTCTTAATTTATGCACAGAATTTTTTAAAAATAAACCACATAAATACTTTAAGCTATGAAAAAATTAAAAACTCAAAATAAAAAAGCATATTACTGCTATGCCTACAATATTGTATGTCTAGCTAAATTTAGTTATAAAAGCTTACTGTTTTGATGTTATTTTTTAATTTTTTATTACAGTATAATAGTGTGTAAGTTAAAAATAAAATTTGTATTTTTATCTTGTAAAAATAAATAATTGTTATTTATCAATTAATTTAAACGATTATCTCTAAGAAAGAGATATTTTTAAAATTGAATGATCATAAAACAATTTTAACATTAAAAATTAATTATTTAATTATTTTTTTTATAAGAAAAAAAAAGTAAAAATTTAAAATACAAAAATTAATTTTAGATATTGATTAATATTTTGATAATATTTTTTTTTGAATCAATCATAATGATTTTGAAATAAATAAAAATATACATTAAGTTATGTAAAATATAAAGACATTTAGTAAATAATTTAGGTTAAGATTATTAAATAGTTTATCAATCAATTATTTCGCAGAAAAAAATCTCAAAAAATTATAATATTTCATAAAAATGACATTGATAACAACGAGTTTCCCCTTTAAGCTTTTTATAAATTTTATTATTTATATCTGTCATGTCTTATCATGAAAGAAACCTCATTCTCATTTAAAATTCTACTACCTCCTATTGAACTTTATCTCTTCTTTCTATCTCTGGATTATAAAGAGTTGTTTTTGGATTTTAATATTAAAATTATTAAAATTTTACTTATCATATATATGCATTTTTTCTTTTGTTGATGGATACAGTAGAGCTACTAATGGTGATCTAGCATTATATGAACCACAAGGAGTATTTTTAATAAACATTGGCTTGATTTCTGACTTTTCAGCATTCATTTATAACTTTATATTTAAACTTTAAAAATGGTTGGACTTTTCAATAAATGTAATTTTCTTACTTTGGAACATTAAATCTTTATTCAACCTTTTATATTATTTTTTCAGGGTTTTCTTTTTTTAGATCTCCTGCATCATTCATTTAAGGAAATTTTTTAATATATTCATCTACAATATGTCTTCTTTTTTGCATGTTAAAAGTATTCGTCCTAAATAATCTATTAATTTCTAATTTAAAAATATAAAAAAACTTAAATTAATGCTATCAATTTTATTATAAATCTCATTAATTACCTTCTTTAACTTTCTTATAATCATGTCTATCAAAAAACTCTTCCATAATTCTCTCTAGAATATATATCATACTATCAAAAAAATTTTAATCTTTATTGCGATCCCTAAGATTTCCCCAATGAAGTATGACAAGACTGTATGCTATGCTCTTAAATATAAATTTAAAATATTAGTTAAAGTAAAAATAATTTAGACAATCAATATTTTTACACATTCTTTTGCTTTTGCTGTAATTCTTTATATTTCTGAAGCTAACAGTTAAGGTGGAGCGTTAATCCTTTAATTTTTTAGAAGATTTTGTTGAAAATCTAAATTAGAGTGATACATGTCAAAATAAATTAATACCTATCTTTTGCTTCCTCCTCTAAAATACTATGTTTTTTTTCTATTTTATTCAAATCCTATCAATAAGAAAATCTTAAATTAATTTCAATTCCATTTTATGATATTAATTTTTTTTACAGTACAGTAGTCATATATTGAAACTATCAACCTTAAAAAGTCTTTACTTTTTAAAAATATTTAAAATCTTCCCTATATCATTAAATCCTTTTGTTCTTTTTTTTCTTTTTTCATCTTTGCGAATTTTTCCTCTATTTATATAGTATTTTTTTGACATTTAACTCGAAATAAAATTAAAGATATAATGTTGTTGAATTCAATTATTACTTATGACTTAAATAAACTTTTCTTCTAATTCTGTAAATTTTTCCTCAGGTCTTTTGAAGTTATAGAAAATAGAGATAATAAAAACTATTTTAATTCGTTCTAACATACTCGCTTAGATTTGCATCGTTTTTAACTTATGGTAAGTGAGAACTAAATGTTATTCTTCTCTAATTATTGCTGATATTACTTTAATTCATTTAGTCAAATTAAACAACTATATTAATCAATCAAATTATAAATTATACTTAAGAAAGTAAAATTAAAAATTTTGTTAATTTTTGATCATTCAATAAATATCTTATAAAACTATCAAAATGAACAAATAAATGTTTTTGAATTACTCAACAATTTAAAATAATTTAATATGAAAACAGCTGTGTAAAATATATTTAAATAATAATTATTTTTATAAAAATTAATTTTAAGAAATCTAAAATATTTCATTTATTTTAACTAAAATATATCTGTGCTCAAAAAATATAAAGCCCATCCCATATTTATATTTGTTTATTTAAGTGCAAAAGCTTAGTGTTATAAATGTCAACTATACTTTAAAATATTTAATTTCTTTGAACTCAATTAATTAAAAATTCAATTATAAATAAATGAAAAGAAATCTTTACATTTTGAAGGGATTCATTCATATATATTTCTTGTTTTAATAAAGAATGAAGAAAAAGAAAAAAAGAAAGAGAGAGATTTTTAAAGAAATCTTGAAATAAAGGAAAAGAAGAAAATAATAAAAAAATAAAAATAAAAGAGCTAAGAAAAAGAAAATTTAGATACGCAAAAAAGGATTAGAAATGAACGTCACTGGTATACAATTATTACATTAAAATTTAGTTTTTAAAAATTGAAATTAAGTTTCAAATAAGTAAAATTATTTTATAAAAATATGAAAAGGTGCTGGTCTTACTCACGTCAAGTAAAAAATAATTCAAAATTAGTGCAAATATTTTAAGCAACATACTATCCATAGCTTATTTCTTAATGATAATTTGATGATTAATTCATAATTATTGCAGAATTAATTTCAAAATATTTTTAGAAAATTAATAAATGGCAAATATAAGAAAGACTTTCTCAAACAAAAAGAATACAAAAACTGAATATTTTTCTTTTGTTAATGTTGTTTTTTTTCTAAAATATCATAGGGATTTCCATTCCGATGAAATGAGAGTTTTCAGAGGAGGTAATTATTTCAATATTATATTAATTAAAAATATTTTGTGTATCCAACTTTTTAAGGATGCATAAATAAATAATATAGATTTGATTGAATTTCTGATATTAAAGTTATTTTTAAATTGAATTTAGGTCTCAGACATATTGCTGATAAGCAAGGTAACTTAATCTATGGATCTGTCAATAGTTCCGTCAGATATTATCACGATAAGATGTCTTACGAAAGAGTAAATAATTATTTAAATAAAATATTGTTGCAAAGTAGCATACGAATAAAAAATAATTACAAAATTAAATTTAGCAATTAAGCTTAATGGTAAAATTATTTTTGATAAAACAATTAGGGTTTCATTTAACACTCTAGATCTCCTTCTAACTAATTCATTAACTTCCACTTTATGCTCGGTGGTTTCAGAACCTACGTTCTTGAAAGATTCTTCAAGCAAGTCTGGTACAGAAGAAATATTAGAACTTTCTGGTTCCCTGTCTTAATTTCCTACACATGTAAGAGATTTATTTAATATAAAAGGCATTTTATATTTAGTTTTAAATTATTGTCATTAAATTTTTCATAAATTATTTTAAATGTCAAAAATGATTATGACTTAAAATATAATTTGAGGTTAAAATTTCAGATATCTTTAAAGATTAATTCTGAAATATTAAATAATTTAAATGAAACTCAAATATAAATATCTTTGAAATATATAAAAAACTATTTTTAATTAAAATATTAAATAATTTTTTTTATTTTAGCTGGTTGCATCACCATGAGAATGTACGATAACAACTGTTACGATTACTTCTATTTCTCTGACTGATCTAATTATTTACCTATCTATCTTTCAAATGCAATTCTATAATTTTGTTAATACATGCTTTGAGTTGCCTAAAAGATTGATAAGAAGTTGAAAATTAAAAAGGATAAACACTTATTTTTAAGTTCTAATTTTAAGTACGAGTTATATGTGTGTATCTTTTAAAAGATTTTCTAAAATCACTCATCTATCTAATTGATAAATCGAATCTTCTTTATTTACTTTGAATTTTAATTTTTTTTTATAGCTTTAATAGTATGAAATTTAAATTAATTGTAGATTAATTGAATTAAATAATATGAACTAAATAAATGAAATAAGTAAAAATGATTTCTTTTTTTTAAATTAAAACTTTAAAAGAGAATCTTATAAATTTTTTAATAAAATTGTTAAATGTAAATTTATTTTAGTATTTATTATCAGTTTAAAAAAGTAGAGATTGATTGTTATTATTATAAAGAATTATAGGATATTATAAATAACATATTGAAAATAGAATATGGTAAAAAGGAACATATATCAAAAAGTAGAAACAAAAAGGTAAATTTAATCAAAATCTAAAAAGAATAAAATATAAGCACAAAAATTCAAACCAATAAGTGGAATAGAAGTAATTCAAAAAGAAGAAGATATTTTGATCAATCATTAAAAAATTAATTTATATCTAAAATTTTGTCACTCAATAGAATATATATTTAAACATTATCAGAAAATTTTCAATAACTCCTTATTCTTTAATAAAGAAAATACAATTATCGATATAATTTTATAGCTACTAATTTAAATAAATCAGACAGATTAAAAATAGAAATGGAAGAGTCTAAAGGTGTATAGTTTTTTGATGTTGAGAGCTTCCCTCCATAAAAGTTATTTGAGCTAGCTGAAGAAAATTTTGTTAAAGTTAATTATGCAGATGCAGAATACTACTATTAGCTATGTATTTAAAAAGATCCTGAGTAAGAAGAAGCTGTTTCTTAGTATGCTGAGTGCTTGAAGACTTAAGGCAAATTCGAGCAATCAATTGAAGTTTTGAAAAAGGCTATTGAGCGTAGATTTAATTAAACTGGAGCTCATGGAGGTGATTATAAGAAATATTTGTAATTAGCTGAGTTAATGGATGGCGAAGAAAGTATTAAGTTATATGAGTAAGGTATTAAGCTCATACAAGAAGGTGTAATGAATGGAACTCTAAATCATGAAAACAAGGATGTTAAAAGAGATTTGAGTGAAGCATTTTCTGGGCTTGCTGAAGTCTTTTAAACTGATTTCCTTCATTTAGCAGAAAGTGAGCCTAAAGTTGTTGAATGCATCTAAAAAGCTATGGAAGCAGATCCTACTGCACTTGATGCTCACCTTTAATAAACTAATTATTATCTCAATAAAGAAAATGAAGAAGAAGCAAAAAAATCAATAAAAATAGTTATAGATGGTTTAGCTAATATGAAAGAAGACGATGATAGTTATGATGACAGTTTTAAGCTAAACGCTGCTAAATTATGTGTTGAAGTCAGTGAATTTTCTCTTCCTATTCCAATTTTAGAAACACTTGTATTATCTAACGATAGTAACTACGAAGCATATTATATGTTAGCATATTGCCATTACAAGACTTAGAATTACTATACAGCTCTTGAATATACTGAGTCTCTCTTAGCTAAAAAAGATTTATAAGAAGACGAAGAAATTTTTACTGCTACTTAAGAACTTAAGGATGAGTTAGATAAATAAGATTTCAACTAGGCTAAGGATGCAAATGATATGGAAGGCTAATAAGAAGGAGAAGAAGAAGACTGGATGGATTTAGAGTGAAAAAATAATTTGTATCTCAATCCTTAAAAAGTATAAAATTTAGATGGATCTAAAGAATGTAAATATATTAAATGAGTTACATTCAAAAATGTAATAAAAATAATAAGAAATTATCATAAAAAAAATTAAATTATTGATCAATAAAGAATTCTTAAAATAATAATACCTATCTATCAACTATAATAACAGTATAATTAATAATAATTAAAGAAAATAAACTTAAAATGTAAAATGATTGTATATGATTAATATTTTAATGTAGTTAGTTATAACATTTTTAGTTAAGTAATTTAAGTTCCTAAAATATATTCATTATTAAATTTATTTTATATGAAAACATATTTTTTAAATAATTAAAAATGGATTGATATCATTAAAAAGAATATGATATTATTCAGTGTGTGTTAAATAATTTATGTTCCTAAATCAATATTCCCTCATTATAGAATTTTTAATCAAAATTCATTTTTTGAGATTATAAAAATTGATTGATATGATTAAAAAATAAATAATAATATTCAGTGTATCAATAATTTATCCCACATATTATATAAATCAAATGAAGTTGTATCTTTGAGTTTATCTTTTCACCTATTTTTATACAATTATAATATTATCTTTGTCATTAAATACTGCAATGAAAGTATGAGTTATTTATTTAGATCAAAATATTTTAAATTAACAGTAAATATTAAATTTCAATTTACTTTCTATATCAACATTAACATAATAAAATTAAATATATTTGATTTTGTCTAATTTTTTATGGATAGTATGCAACTATCTGTATGTATAATATTTTTTCAACTTTTTATTTTGATTGATTTAACTTAAAAAAAATTTATTATTAAATTCAAGCTTATTTAAAAAAAAAGAAGTATATTTGTGTCAATTAATCTTTAAAAAATTAAATATCAGAAATGAAATAAGAAGATATGCGTTAGAATGTAAGTGACTCAAAAGAGGAACCTGGCTTTTAACATGACACAAAAATTTAAACATTCAAATATATGCCTTATAGCTAAAAAAATAAAAATATGCCTGCTAAAATCATTTATTAAAAGGAGCCTGATAGATTAAAACTTTAAATTTAAGAAGATATTATAGACATTAGCAATGAATTAAAAGGAAAATAAAAACAAAATTTTGATTCGCCTTCAAAAATAATAGGCCAATAGTTTTTTAAAATTTAATAGGATGAATTAAGTGGAAATTAAATGAAAGACTTTAGATAGAAATAAGCTTCAGTTGGCTAAAACCCAAATAAGCTAAGTTAAAATTATTCAACAGGAGAATTTAATTAGAGCAAAAAGATATCATAAATTGTGGAGTAGTAAATGAGTAATTTATAAAACACATTTACTACTTAGATTATTAAAAAAAGTACGAACTTAGATTTTGATTTATCTAGATCACTCAAAAATAATTTTACTCATAGCAAAGACCAAAGCACTTAAAATTATTTAAAAAGAAAATCTGTTGTAGAAATTAAAAGCTCAGCATAGCAAAACTTGGATAACTTGGTATCACCTTCGTCTAATAAATCTAATCAGTAAGTTATTTTAATGGATTTGTTATTTTTTAATTTTATGAAAAATCAACAGGTATTCATTCTTTAAAGCAGTAGAGCCAGATTAGACAACAAAATAAACATAAGTAAGGCATTCAAGCTTAGATTCAAAACCTAGATATTAAAATAATATTTAACTACCTTCATTAGTAAATAATAATTCTAACTCACCATCAGCAACTTAGAAAGGCTATAATATTTAAAATTAAAATAATTCAAATAGTTTTTAAAATAGTAATAAATCCATCTCTTATCGAAACCATAGATCTTCATTTCTTTCTTATTTTAGTAACTAAGGCGAAACAGCAAACTCAACTCCTACTAATAACACTAACAAATATAGTTTACATATTAAAGATAATATTTATTAATAGCTAGAATAGAAGCAATTTATATAAGGAAGTGTTAATAATTATGAAAATCGAGCTTCTCCTAATAATTCAAAATTTTAATCTATTTTTAGTTAAAGTCAATAAAAATAAGATACTTACAATGCTATATTTAATAAATATGAAAAGAGCTTTTAATAGGGAGATGAATATTTAAGTAACAGAAGAAAGTCAAATTTATAAAGTAGTAAAGTATCATTATCTAACCCAACTACACCTTAAAATAGCAAATAAAATTTCAATAAGCAAAACTAAAATTCTTAATTTTATAGAATGAGTTTTTAATAGCAGTATGGAACTCCTAAAATGACAAATCTTGAAAAATTAGAAATAGATTCAGATAAATTCACTTTTGATTAATTTTAGGCAGATTAAAAAAGTTAGAATAATGCTCAATACCACTTTTAATAGTTATCAAATAGTAATAATATAAATGAAAATTATTTGTCCGATAATTAAAACATTAAAAATGATTAAAATAGCTCTGATCATTCTTTACATAATGAAAAATAAGTTTAAGTAAATTAAGGTAGTACTAATAAGCAATCTCCAAGTTTGGTTAATATTGCAAACTTATCAGAAAGCACTAATTTAACTTACAATTAAAATTAAGGAAATGCTGATAATTTATAATTAAAAATCAGTAATAATGAATTTTTTAATGAAATTAAATCTCCTGGATAATAGTCTTAATCTATAACTTTAACTTCAATAAGCTTTAAAGATTTTGAATCTATAAAAACCTAATGCCTGAAAATAATCAAAGATTAGCTTTTTTCTGAAGATTATCATAAGCATTCTTTTGAAAATGCAGCAGAAATTCCACATAATCAGTAAACAGATACTATCGTGAAGTTTGTTTCTCTTTGCTTAGAAGAATTACAACAAGATTTTTTTTATCACCAAATTGATCATTCTAATCCTTCTTTTGTTAATTTTAAAGAAATTGAAACCCCTAATTAGTTTTCTTTTAACCAGCTAAGTATTTAATCAATTAACCACAGTGTAAATTGGCCTAAACTTTCTTTTTAATACCCTTAAAAGTTTTGCTAAACTTTTGTTGAGAGAGTAACTTCTTTACTTGAATAAAATGATATATTGAAAAAAAGGATTTAGTATGTAAAAAGATTGGTTTCTTATAATTTCAGGAAATATTTTTGCTATAAAGATTTTATAAGTGAGATTAAAGGTACTTAGAATTTAAATAATATAATAGAAAAAATCATTAAAAATATATAGAAATTTTACAATAACTAGCAAATTATAGGCTACTTTTCAGACATTAAATCTGTTTCATATTGTTTACTTGAAGGAGATAAAATGGGCATTGATAAAATTATAAATAAGCATATAATTTTTCCTAATTTTGTAAATTAATTATCAATTCAACATGAAAATGAGAATGATTTATCTACCCAATAAGAAAATATAAAAATTGAGATACAATAAAATTAAAATATGTCTAACTAGTTGAAAGAAAATACAGAAAACAAATAAAATGAAAAATTATCTTCTTCTAAATTATACTAATTGACTGGGATCAAAGCAAGAAAAAATAATCACTCTTCAACTAAAGATAAAGAATTACCTGGGTAGTGGAAGTTCAATCCAGTTAGTTTTTTTGATATAAAAATAAATATTTTTAATACACTTATTGAAGAAGAGTTTGTTTCAAGTCACTCTATTATGAAGATATTAGAGTAGATTGAGACCTTGAGATATGGTACTTTTAGATGCTTTTTTGGAAATGACATAGTACTAAGCTACTCGGAACACGTAAAAAACATTCTAAATTTAATACCTGAGAATCACTTACATTTAATTCTTAATAATTCTTCTTAAGGAAATATAAAAAGAGATTTTTAGTTATTTTTTAATTAATTTTGTGAACACATCTTTGTTGAAAATAGTTCTACCTAATAGTTAAAAAGCTTATGTGTTAGCTAAAACATTAACTTGAACACTGAAACTTTCTTCCTATTAGAAAATCAAATTAATTATATAATTAATGCAATGAAAATAATACCTCTATGTTAACGTAAAGATATCAAGTATAAATTATAAAAATTAAAACGCTCGCTAAATTTATCAGATATTTTTGATAACGTTTATGATAATTTAATTGAAATAGTAAACGAGTTATAAGTCTACAGTGATAAGCAATTCGCTTAAAATAAGTAGTATACTGATGAATAAATAAAATCCATTAAATCTAATTTTAAATATTTCTAATATCTACTACATACTGTTTTATGTACTGAAGGTGCCTTTTCAAATTATGACATGGGTTTTGCGTTCTCAGAGCATAACGTAAAAGAGGATTCTTTAAATTTCTGGATTAAATACTTAAAAAGAATATTATAAAAATACAACATTAAAAATGCAGTTATTAGTAGTATAGAATAAATTCTTATTGAAATTATCTAAAATAAAGTATTTATATGATATTTTAATAATAGAATCTTATTAATATTTATTTTTAATTTTTTACAATCTATTTAATACTTATCATAAGATGAATTCTATTTTCTAAACTTAATTTTATTTAATTTTCTATCTTTATATTCATATATACTATAGAATCTCATTCATTAGCTCTTTACCCCGATGTCCATGATTGTTTTTTTGGTAAATCAAATTATTCTAATCCAAAAAATTTTTTTATACTTTTAATTTTGCACAACCATATAATATATAGTAAATTGATAACTCAGTAAATAAATTGAAATCGATTTTATGATGTAAATGTGTGGATATAAATTGAAGATTTAGTCCAAAAATTTGTGGTATTAAAATCATTGCACAAATATTGCTTTTTTACACATAGGATTAATTTTATTGAAAGTTTTCATTTATTTTATAAAATATTTTTTTAGATTTAACATCTTAATATATTTGTATTTTTATAAATTATAAAGCAAACATAAATAATTAAAAAAATAAAAAATAATATTATTGCTACTTGTTTATTTAATACTATTACTTAGTAATTTGTCATATAATTAAATCTGATTGTACATACTATCATTAAAAATCACAATAAATAATAAATTATTATAAATTAAAGATAAAATCTAAAAATTTATAAATATGAATACCATTCAACAAAAATCTAGATATTTAGACTTATAGAATAATAGTTAAATTGATACATATGACTAAAGGCCTTACATAAACTAAATGATTAGCAGTTCCTCTCAACTAGATTTGAAAGACATTTAAAAATTAAAGAGATTCAAAAGCTTTTCAAACTAAAAATCATTACATTAAAACAATGATGAACGTTATTAGTAATATATTATTAAAATTTTATATAAAATTAACTTTACTTTTAAAAACAGCTCGCCTTAAAAATAAATGATCCAAAGTTTGAAAAGGTAATAATCTCCTCTTTAGTAAATGCGCTCTATTTAATAAGAACATACTTAGTAGTTCTACTCAAAAAAAGGAAGTATGGAAGAATTTCATAGCAATAACAAAACTGAAATGATTGATAAAAAATATAAAGCAGAGAATACTAAAAATTATCAACAAGAAAACAGTAATTGTAGAAGCATTTATAACTTAGGTAATAATTCACCTGTTAAGATAGATAAAAGTTTAGTAAAGTAAGATATAGATTTACCCAAATTAAAATCTGAAAGTTAGAATACAGAAGAATAGTAGAAATCTCCACTCTCTAAAAAAAATTAAAGGTGTGATAACTAATAAGATTTAGGTTTCAAATTTATTAGAGAGAGGCATAAAAATAGCTCATTAATCGAATCAAATTTTTAAGGATATATCAAAAGAAGCTAGAATTCCTCAAGACACTTAAGCCCTTCTATATAAGACTTTTAAAATATTAAACACAGTAAGATTTAGTTGTATTAGGTGACTGATAGAGTAAATAATTCTAATACTAAAGATACCGCTAAATATTCTTTAAATTCATCAATTTTACTTAATTAACCATAAAATAAGATGATTGGAATTTCTAGTGTTATATAAGGATTGACTTAAAACTTAAACTAGAATGAGATATAAAAACAGTAATCTTATATTTAACTCTAGTTATCTACCAATAGAAGTATTAGGAAATCAATGTCATAGCTTAGATCAAATAAAAAAGTAGAGAGCCCGGAAAAACAAAACGAAAATAGCTAGTTAGATAAATCAGATTATGAAACAACGCCATTTAATTATAATTATACTTAAAAGAGAAAATCAAAACTTGGAAATATTAATCTTTTAGGGAAGCTGGATTCAAACATTTTTCCAATGTAGTAAACTTTTAAAATAAATTTATAATAAGAAGAATAGAAAAGCTAAAATGACTTTAGTCCTTAAGTTTTAAATAAGAATGATAATAATTCAGACCACAATTCACCCATTTTTAAAATCAGGAAAAGATTAAATTCATAAGAACATGGGCAATTTTCAAATTGTATTTAGTAAAATTTTTTCTCTAATCTAAAAAAGGTATAAGTTGATTAAGATTTAACTCCATAATCGTTAAACGAATTAGATAATAGTTCACCTCTACTAAAATAAGAAAATAAAAATAAATAACCTAACTAAATATCTTCGATGGAGCTAATTGCTGCATATAATTAAGATGACAGGAAAGTTTAGAAATAAATTCTATTGAGGCAGGAAATATAAAAAATAGCTGAAAAAGCTATACCTAGATTTATCAAGCTATGTATAGAAAAAAACCCTGATTGCTAAGAACTAATGATTATTTGTAATTAAGGTATGACTATTGAAAAATTTTGTGATAAATTAGGAAAGCTTGTAACTTATTGTATAAATAACTAATCTGTAAAAATAACGTCTTTTAACTAGATAAAATTATCGTTAAGTTTGAGTGAATAAATTCTTATTTTCTTACAACAATTTTTTTTGGAAAATAATTTGAATTTTTAGTTTTTTGAAGAATTTAGCTAAAAGTTCAGAAATATGCAGATGCAGCTAAGCTAAAAATAAATAAATCTTTTTCAAGAACTAGGAGGTAAAAGGAGGATAGAATATATCGTTGAAGCTATCATAAAAAAGTTAGACAAAACGTATAATCTTTAACTTCAAACAAAATTAAGCTCAATAATTGATTTTTCATTGAATCTACTGACTGTGAATTCTGTAGCAGTAGATGAGAATATAAGAGTTTTTAAAGATTATATTAATACTTTTGGAGGAGTAGCTAATAAATCTATGTATACAAGCTAGTATTTTTTTAGTGTTAAATACTAAATTTTTAGAGAAATTTTATTTGAAAGAGACATCCCTTGGAGAGTTAAGATGCTGATTATTGATGAATTTGAAAAGTTAAGATATAAATATTTTGGAGATATGCATGGGTTGGGTGAATCTGTTTCGTTTATTGAATTAGCTACAAAAATATAACAAAATATGAATGAATAACATTGGAGCAGAATAGGATATAACTAAAAAAATTAAAATAGTTAGAAGAGCTTTTTGATAGATTTATTAAGGTTAATATTAGAGGGAGAAAATGCTACGTCTTTTAAGAGATTCCTTGAAATAAATTAAGTAAATATAAATAATGAAACAATACCAATAATTGAAAGTCTAATTAAGGGAATATTAATCAAAGAAAAAATATTACCATTACTAACTAAGTTAGATTTTGATTTAAAATTTTAAAAAATAAAGAGATATTTAGGGTTTGAGTGCTCATAGAGCTATCTGATTTACAATATTGATAACATATAAATTGAGATGTAAAAATGGATTTAATAAAATAATAAAATTAATAAAATAGATGATCAAACATCTAAAAAATACGAAGACTTAGATTATTTCTTTCTGCTTTTATCTTCAGTTTTTGAAGATATTTGTACCTATCACTTAGCAGACTCTGTCTATGCCCAAGAAATTTTAAAAGTTGATCTTCATTTAATATAGTTTTAGTTAAAGGCATTAAAAAGAGTGCTTATTTAAACTTATATCACAGCAGGTAGCTCAGATTCATCAAAATACTTGGCTGATATAAATTTATTAACATCTTATATGATGAAATACTTTAATGATTTTAAATTATTTTGAAACCTCTTTTTTGAAGTTTTATTTTTATTTGAGCTCTTAAAATTATAATTTTGTTGTAAATTTCTTATCTAATAAAATAAAATTTATTCTGTATTTAAAAATATAATTTACAAACACATTTTTCATTAGTTTAAGTTGATTGCGTTAAATTGCTTTTATAATATCTTTAATAAAATTTTGCAAAACAACATATTTAATTAATTTGTTTAGATTTCTGATAAAAAAAGTAGTTTATGTTCGAAGATCAAATTTGTGAATCATGAATAGAAATCAAAAAAGAAACTTTTTGTTACTTTTTATATTTTTGATTTATTAATTTTCATTAACTCATACAAAAGAAATCAGTCAATCTATCAATCTATCAATCAATTAATCAATTAATCAATCAATCACTTATTCAGACAAATAAATAACTAAATATTATTACTCATAAATTATAATTAAGCAAAATTATAAATAACTTGAATTTTTCTAAGGTTTAAGGAATAATGTTTTCTTAAATAGAAGTACAAAAATATTATTAAGACAGATTATGGAAAGAAACAATAAATAAGCGAAAGCAGTACTATCCAAAATAGCATTTAGGTGAAAGCAAGTATAAAGAAGATTGGTATAATTAAAAGAACATAATATACCCTAAGAAATCTTTTTTAGACAAGATTAAGCTCAAATAAGAGTTATATAAATTCAGATAGAATGCAGAGAATTTATCTTAACTAAAATCTTCTATTCATGGACCTGCTAAGTAAGTCAATCTAAATGGGTATTTTGATTCTAATTCAGATAATTCAAGCAATTTAGATTCAAGGCTGCTACTAAGAGGTAGCTTAAGCAATTCTCCAAATAAATTAAATGCAATAAATAACAATTATTACTTGAAGTAAAATTCTCCTATCTCGCTTCCACCAATTAGATAAGGAAACGGGCTTGGATAAATTGCGTAAACTTTGTAAACATAAGAAAATTATCCAGTACTGACAAAAAATTTTAGTTAACCAAACATCTTGAATATGTAACAATAATAGTATTTAAATGGGTAAAGAGGTAAACATTAGCAAACAGTTCCAAATTCTTAAAGTAACCAAAGTTTATTTATTACAAAGTAATAGTAATCTGATTCTAAGCTTAATGTAGAAAGTTAAAATCATTTATAGAGTGATATTTCATCATTAAATTATGGGGAAAATATTAATGATATCTCTTAGTTTGATAACTATTATCATCAATAATAACTATATGATAAATAGTAAGCCACCTCACCTCCAAAGTAATTAAATATCCCTAGGATAGCGATAAATAATATTAATCATAGAAATAGTGCTGGAGGTATAAGCTAAAATTCAAATGATTATTAATAATAAATTCTCTAAGACTCATTAACACTTACACCTACACCTATGGGAGATGTTTCGTATGCCAAAAGAGTATAAAATTCACCATTCAGCAAATATGTTGATGGCCAAGAAGATGGTGTTTCTCAATCTCAAGTTTCATAAAATAACCAATCTAATTCTAGCCAAAAGAAAATAAAAGGTTTAAAAGGAAAAGATAAATAGTCATCTTAATAGTCAACTTAAATAAATTTTTCATAAATGAATGGTGTTGAAAAATTCTCATATTTGGTCAGTAAACTCGGAGATACACAAACTAGATTTATCACAATGGTTGAATAGGATAATGAACTTTAAATGATATTTGAGAACCTTATTGCTTTAAAATTAAATGATCTTTCTAAACTTTTCATTAAGTTTTTTAGATTTTGTTTAGAAAAGCTTGTGTTTGGTGATAACAGTAAAAATGTAAATAAAAGTTCTTTTTCTCAGTAGTAGCCTATAGTTAAAGATATTGGAAAAATTGATCCTCGTATTTTTAAAAAGATCAGCATTTCCTAAGGATTAGTTAAACCCTTAGAAAATTTTTTTGCAGAAGAGTTGGAAAAAGTAGAATTTCATAAAGAGGTAGCTAAATTTCGCTTAATTTGGAAAGAAATGTGTGAAAAGCATTTAATCGTTCATAATTTACTTTTGGAAATAGGAGGAATAAGAAGACTTAAAGTAATATTATCAAATATAGCAGATAACTTGTAAAAACACTACTCTATTAAATTTACTTCTTCGTAGCTTGAAGATATTTTTAACTTTGCTTAGGCTATTTTTTAAGATAACCAAAACATCACTTCAAGTCTTTTATTGAAATACAGGTAATAATTATTGAGGAATAGAGGAACGCTTAATTTTTAAAGAGTAACCTTTGTTGACCTCTTTATAATTAAGCATTTTGTTTTTTTAGAGCTATCGAAGGAAGAATATATTCCTTGGGAATCAAAACTAATTTTACTTTAGAGATTGGAGTCGTTTAGATTTGATAATTTTAGGGATTTGTATAATTTACCTGAATAAGCAGAAATTATTTAGCACTTAAAAAATTTTATCCCTTAAGCTTTAGTAAGTTAATTTTAATTTAATACAAAAGACGCACTTGAATAATTCTTTGTTCAATTAACAGATAATTTATTGGGTAGTGGAAATGCTTTAAAGTTTATAGAATATTTAAATCAAAGTGGATTGCCTTCCTCATATAATAATATAATAATGATGGAGCATTTAATCAAATCAAGTGTTTCACTTAGCAAAGATATTCCATAAATAATAAAAAAGATTATAGAGCACAAGTTTATTACATTAAAAAGAAATCTTTAGATATACACCAATTTTAATAGTGTAATCACAAAAGCTGATGAAATCGTTAATAAAATGCATACTATGAATATCATTCTTTTAAAATATCTTAAAATTCCAGCTTCAGAACATCAAAAATACTTAGACATGAATCTTTTTTATCAAATTCTTGTAGAAGTGTGCTCCAAATTAGATGCTTTCTCCTTATAAGATTTATAGTATGGGTTAAAGCATTACAACTTCACCTAGAAACATTACTATTTCTGGATAAAATCAATAAAAAGAGTACTTTTAGAAATGAAATACTCTATGGGTGATGTTTAAAATCTTGCTATTCACCTAGAAAAAATATACAACGATTCAACTTTGTGACTTTTTACATTAAAAAATTTATAAATTAATTTTGCTTAGAAATATGTAAAAAAATACTTTCTATTAAATTAGTTAAATTGTATTTATGTAAATATATTTTATATTAATATTTATTCAAATATTAGTGCTTTATATTATGATAATCAACAAAGATTATATTTATCAATTTGTAAACAATAAATTAATATAATTTAAATAGCTATTTGAAAAAGAAATAATCAACACGATGATATAAAATTTAATTTATTTAATATTTTACCTAAATTAAAAATATGAAAAAATAAATTTTTTACTGCTATTTTTGTATAATTGATAAAAAAAAATGTAAAAATTATTTTTATTTTATTTCCAAAATACATCACAAAAAATTTTAAAGAAAGTTAAAGAAAAGCAATTTTATTTAACTAGTCTATGATCCCTTAAATTTTCAGTAATTATTTAAAAAATATTTTCAAATTTTGTAAAAATTTTTTATAATTTCACTAATTTATTCTTTAGATAATTAAACTTTATATAACAGAGGAATTATTATTCTGACTAATCGTTTTTTCTCAAAACATGACTTTTTGAATATTTGTAAGCAAACATCTTCTGTTTTAGAAATATGGTTATTATAGTTTTCGTCTTAATATACCTTGAAAGAATCTTTACAATATTCAAAGCCTGAAACCCTTCCAATACAGTGTATTATGTTTTTAAATTTGAAGTAAAAATTAAAGAGTTTGATAGGATCATTTTAAAAAATTTATTACATTGTCAATTTAGAACATCTTTAAACCATACTACCTTACTTATATATTAGTAATCTATTTAGCTAAATAGGATTCAGCTTGAAAAAGATATACTCTTCATATTAAATATCTAAACAGAGAAATCTTAAATAAATTAACTAATTTATGACATCTGTAAATTTATTTAACTATTGCTTAGTGTAACAATTATTTCTTATTCTAATATTTAATGAAATTAAGTTGTTTATATTCTTTTGTAATATGCTTGCTAAATCAACTAAATTAGTTTCTTAATCTAATTTTAAAGTTAATTTTTTCAACGTTTTTTATTTAAGTAGAAAATTAAGGTTATTCATTACATTTATTTTTGGTATGTCTTAATTCATTTCTCTAGCAGTGTTAGAGCTTTATGTATTTATAATTTAGCTTGATTAAACTGTACTTTTATTAATTATTGCTGACAATTAAGCATCTAAGCTATTTTAATCTGAATAGTTAGAGTTTCCACCAGTGCTAAAAGCAAATTCTATAATATTTGTATAGTTTTTAAATATATCTGAAAAATATTGAACAAGATTGCTTATCTTAGAAGCATTTTCTTTTGTATGCTATTCTACATATCTAGGAAATTTTATTCTAAATTTAATTGCTGGATTAGAATTAAATAGTTATGGTAAGAACTAATTTAAATCTGTATCAAGAGGTATAAAGTCTAAACATTTTAAATTGAATGAGAATTACTTTAACTTAAACTAAATTATGCATTTTTATTTTTCTTAAATTTAATTTTCAGCATTTCCATTATTTTATGTATTATTTTCATTCCAAGCCAGTAATGATAAAATATTCAATAGAATTTTGAAACTAACTTCTCCTTCGCAATATAAACAAAATCTTTGTAAATTTGTTAAAGAAGATATTGTTTATGCAAATAAGTACTCTGTTTCTTTATCTTCTTTTCTAAATACTGATTCTAAAAATTCCAAGCTTAAATGCTAAACCTAATTACTAACTTCAGCGATACTTTTTGCTATATTTTGGTAGTCGATATTTACTTTAAATTTTAATCTTTTCATTTATTTGAACTGTTTAAATAAATTTATAATTTTTAACATTGACCTGTCATCATTATGTTCAATCCAAATAAAATGAATCATAAAATCTTAAGTAAGCATTATTTAATTTATTATTTTTTGAATCAAATTAAGAAATTCTGCTGATTAAGTATCACAGTATTTATCGAATTCCATTTTTATTTTTCTAACATTCTAAATACTTTAAAGAATTTCTAATGGTTAAAACCCTTCATCTAGAACAATTTATTCATTTTTTTTGTTTATATAAACTCTTTTCTACCCTTCTACAATTATTTTACTGTTATCTTATTCATGCACTATATGGTCTGGTATCTTGTTAAACTATCCAAAATATAATTCAAGCTTTTATCCTTTTTTTACAGGCTGAGGAATAACCTAAAATCTAATGTAATACTAACAATTTTTTTATGCACTCATTTAATATAAAATTCCTAAGATATATTCTTTAAAATTAAAATTAGGTAAATATATAGAGATATATAAAAATATATTTTAATTTGAAATTAAATTACATTTATTAAGTTTTTTCATAACATTTCAAATAAAAATATCAAAATATTTTAAAATCAAAATCAAATTTAAAGAAGTGATTGATATATGTATCTCAACCCTATTTGAAAAATTATTAATAAATAAAACTAATAAATCAGTATGCAATTTAAAATAAAGTGATTGGTGGAATTATGCCAATTATGTAATGGAATTTAAAGATAGTTTATAAGATTGAAGTAAATCATCAAAAAATATTAAAAAAAAGAGATAAAATACTACAAAAATGAATGATAAAGCTATAAAATAATCGAATAGAAATAACTGTAATAATTATATTTTAAATAAATTAACTTGAATAAATATTTTAATAATATCATGTATATTGTATTAGAATTTGATGTAAGTTACCATTTAAAATAGATATGATGTAAGAATTTATAAAAAAAGATTAAAAAAAGAATGTTTTGTAAAATTTCTTTTATTTTCTAACATTCATTTTTCTATGAAAAGTTTTAATTTTTTAGATATAAAAAAAGTAACAAAGAAACATTGGAATATTTTTGGGATTAAATAGAATTGCCATGGAAAAATAAAACACATCATTGATATGTAAAGTCTTATACTTATTTTTACAAAAAGAAAATGTTATTTGGCAGAATGAAATTCAATGATGTTAAACAATTGAAAAAATTTTGTTGAATTAATTTTTTGTGAGATGAATCCATGAATTTTTTTTAAAAAAAAAGAGAAAGAATATCATAATTTTGATTGATTTATACAGTATCTATATTTTATTAAATTTCATTAATAAATAAATCAAAAATAACTTAAGAATATTTATTAACACTTTCAAAAAATTAGACAAAGTTATATTCTCAGAGCTAGGTTTTAGAAATGAGCTTCAATCTTGATCGTTTTAACATTTAGCCAGTTCCATACTTGAAGTTAAAAAGAGAAGAAGCAGAATATTATATTGCATACCATAAAGAAAAGAGGCAAGATAGGTATTTGCTGAAAATATATACTGTAAGAGATAAAATTTCAGAATAAAGAATAAATAATGAGATCTATATGAACTAATAAGCTCAAGGCGTTAACCAAAATATAATAAAAGTCAAGGGAGTTGTTAAATAATAAAGCATAGATGATTTAACTAAGCAAAAATAAGAAAAGTTTATTATACTTTTATCGTATGTAAGCTAGAACTTAAGAGAGGTTATTGAATTTAAGAAGATTGCAAAAGAGAATCAATACTTCACTCCTTAAGAATTAAAAGCTCAAATGAAATCATTAATTAAAACTTTTGCTGATCTTTAGCGCAACAATATAGCTCATAGAAGAATTGAGCTAGAATCTATTTATTTTTTAAATTAGAATTCATCATTTTAGCTAGGAGACTTTTATTATTCTAAAAATTTGATAGGATAAGAAGACTCCGAGATAAGATAAATAGATTAAACTGAACTATTTCAAATGAAATTCCCTGATGAAAAATCATTGGAGTGCCTTTCTAATGGTATGCCAGAACTGAAATCAAATTACTACAAAATGGATGTATTTAGTTTAGGCATTGTTTTTTTACAATTGGCTTAGCTAGAGATCTACGAAGGTGTATTTAATTTCAAGTAATCTAAAGACTTTGCAATATAGAAAGTGGGAGAGATGTAAGTCCAATATTCTTTATAATACATTTTAATTTTTAACTTACATAAAGTGATTCAATTTTAATATTTTTACTTAAGCAAGGCATCAAGTATTCATTGATACTTAAGACTAATTAAAGATTTGTTTTTTTCAAAATTATTTTTTACAATTTGACAAGAGTTAGTTATAAACAACAAAAAAGCTTTTCAATCTTTTTTGCTAAAACATAATTTGATAAATATAACTTTTAAGATAAACTCTTCAAACCAAAAATTATCTGATCACATACATGAATAGCTAGAAGATTTATAAATAAGTAGATTAAATCAAAAAACAAAATTTTAAATGTAGATTTTATAAATATCATTTGACCATAACATATTTTGTAAATATTTTTGTGTTTCTTAGGAGACCAAATAATTTAATCTATTTGCTGATTTAAGATTATTCTATTTAAAGACTAAGTTTTTAAAAAAAAATAAATGAAATTAATTTAAATTAATCACTTTAAATAATTCTTTAAACATAAATTAATTATTTTTTATATAGAAAAATAAGATTCTAATATTTTATTGTATTTAATTAGATATGGAAGAAACATAAAAGAATTTATCAGTTTAATGTTAGCACCAAGAGAAGAAAGAAAAGATTTTATAGCTCTAGAAGAAATCATGAATTAAATATTGGACCAAGATAATATAGATGAACAAAATATTAGATGCTCCATTTTTCCTGAAGATAGGAATAACTTAGCCACAATACCAGAAAACAACAGTCTTAGAGAAGATTTTACAAGCAGCAGTTCTAATGACACATTTAAAAGAGATGAAGATGATTCAAACTAGAATATACTCTTTGATTAGAGTGGCTCGATCCCACAAAGAGTTCTATAAGACACTTATTAAGAAAATTATCGAACATAGACAATGATTGATAAAAATTAAATTAAATAAACAAATTAAACATTACCAGCTGAATAAAATAAAGATTAAAACCATACTCAAAAATCAAAGTTTCTTCATTAGGATTACAAAATGCATCAAAATTTTAATCTTACTTCTCCAACTAAATTATAGCTAAATAGATAAAATAATTAGACTTCTTAGTCAGCTAGATCCTTATAATAAAATGGTTTTGATCAATAACTCTAAATAGCCATAGATGAATCTATTCCGTATTCTCCATAATATCCTACTATCCAGCAATATATATAAAATGAATATGTGCAGTAGCAATTTCCAACTTAAGCCACTTAACCTATGATATAAGATAATTATTCAGCTAGCTACTTTATGAGATCAACATAAATCAAAAAATAAGAAAATCTAAAATACAATGATTTAGTTCAGAAAGCTCAAAAGTAAATAAGCTTAAAATGGTTTGACAAAAAGTCTATTAAAATTCAAAATTCTATTGGCAGAGGATAACGCAGTGAAGTAAGAGGGTGTGAAACAAAAGAAAGAAATTGTTGTATTGCAAAAATGTATTATAAAACTAAAAATACCGATGTTTGGGAAATGCTGGAGTCCTTAAATAAATTTTATTAATGTGTCTAAAACAAAAATATTTTAGTAATTTAAATTGAAGGCTATTACATTAACCCTGTAAAAGAAAACGAATATGAGTCTGAACTTTGGCTGATTTAAAAGCAAAAGAAATATAATTTAATAACAATTCAGCTTAGGCATAACCTGACATTTTTAGAGAGATTGTCTATAGTTAAAAAATTAATTTTAACTATAACAGACATTCACAATTTAAATATTGCTCACGGTGAAATAAAGCCTTAAAACATTCTTCTCGATTTATAAAAAAACCCTTTCCTGACTGATTTTGTAGTATGTGATAAAATGATAGGACCCTCATAGTTGATCAAGAGTAGAGGCTTCGAGACAGGATATTCTGCCCCAGAGCAGTATAATGACATGCAATTTTGCAAAAACAGTGACATTTGGAGTCTTGGTGTTATTATATCAGAATTTCTTACAGGTCTAAAAGTAGATTCTTATATTGTTGAAAAATTTGGTCTATATGATCCCACAAGATAAGGTAGTTTAGACCTTTAACAATATGGATATTTTGATAATTATAACATTTCAATGCTTATTAAATAAATGACATAATATAATCCAGATAACAGGTTACCATTAAATTAAGTTCTTGAGCATATTAATTTTCTAGAAAATACCATAAAATAAGATTAAGGATAGTATAGATTAAATAGAGCTAGATAAAGTGTACCATAAATTCCTACTTACCAATAAGATCCCTCGCCAACTCGTTTCTAAAACTGCTAATTATAAATATGTACCTAATAATAAAAATAAATGTAAAAAAAGTCAGCGGCCTTAAGGTATAAAATGTATAAAGTATGATAAAATATTAAAGATTTTGCTAATTGAAACAAATAAAGATAAAGGAATTAATTAATTAATTTTCATATAATCTATTTATTATCTAAAATTTAATCAATGTTAACAATATAATTAATCACAAAGATACTCTTGTTTTAAAAACTTTTATATTCTATATATTTTTATAACTTTAAATATAATTTTTATATACTAAAATATTAATTTTAAATTTGATTGATTAAATATATACAATGTTAGATATATTATTTTAATGAAATAGGTTTTATTCTATTTATCTGAGCCTTAAAAATCGTTTTTTTGATTATAAGTACGATAATTTAATTATTTTGATGAAGTTTAAATTAAAAATATTTTTTAGGTGATTTCTTTGTTTCAATTTATATGATTTAATTGTTTACTTCTTTTATAATATAAAATGTATTTTAAATAATTAATATAGCTGTTGAAAATTTTTTAGGAAAGATTTTTTAGAAAATTCTTTTTTAGATATATAAGATTTGATTTGATAAGTGATTTTTTTTTTTGTTTATATTATAAAAAACTTTATTAAAAATATTGATTAAGGTTTTATTTTATTAGTTCTTATTAAATTGGTAAAAGTTATTGAAAGATATTCATTTTCAAACCAAATAAATTAAATTTATTGTTATTAAATAAGTCAAGGCTTTAAAAAATACTTTAAAATTCACAACAAGCATAGCTATAGTAATATTTTTAAAAAATCAAATAGAAGTTTCTATTTGTTAAATAAGAAAAAAAGGTTAAGGCATAAATGATAAGACAATTATTTAGGGCAGTACACTGCAACTTTATTTAAAAAGATGTAAGAAATATGCTGATGGTGCCAAGTTATTTTGTTAGGACTCGTAGTCCTTTCAATTTCTACTCATTCGAAGAAGAAATACATAAAATGAAGCTATTATAAGAACAGCAGAAAAATAAATAGCATAATTATCGTAAAGGAATTTCACCATTAGTTAAGTAGAGTATTGAAGATTTAAATAATCTCTATAGAGGACATAATATGCTCAATTTTGAAGTTGACTATAATTTCTAGTCAAAAAAAAATAATTCACAATTTAGATAGAAGGTTAAGAATAGAGAGGATTTACAAAGTTTCTCGCACCTCAAAATTCAAAATGCTATTAAAATTGCATATATAATTCTAGATAACTAAAATAGAGCCAAAGAGAATTAATTAAATAGCTATGAATAGGCTATGGTCTTGGAAGTTTTCTTCTATAACATATTATTATCTTTCCTCTGTGAGTAGCCAGAAGTATTTTAAAAAATTCTAAACAAGTAGGAGAACGGTCCTTTAATTGATGAAATCTATGTCATTAAAAGTTTTATGTCTTATTTTTTTTCACTACCTAACTGCATCGATATCGTTTCAGAAAGCCCTTAATTATTCAAATTTATAGTAAAGACAGCAGAAATTTTATAGATAAACTAAGAAATTGTTATTCCTTTCATCCAGTAGTTTTTGAATAAAACTTCTTAAGAAGGAATATATTATAAGTCCTTGTATGACATTACTATGATATTTTTACCTATTTCAGATTATATGGCTGAAAGTAGATTTAATTTGCTCAAAATAGGCTAATTAGATAATTCAAAGGCTCTTGATATAGGAAACATATCACTGATAATACGCCAATTACTCAACATAAAAGAATCTAATAACTACAATAATAAAAGAAATGTAAGCAGAGAGGAGATAGGAATTCTTTGCAAGTTATTCTTTTGCTTAGTTAGAGTAAATTAAGGGCGTGGAAAGGTTTGCTTAGACCTTTCTGAGGCTATTCTTACTAGTAACTTTGAATACCTAACTGAAATCGAAATGACAAGTGTTATTTATTCTATTATAAAGTTAGAGTACAACAAAAATTCTGAAGTAGCTTTCGAACGTAAAATAAAAAGAGAAATGCCTAATTTAATATTTGATTACGAGACTAAAATTGAGAAAATGCTGCAAACAGGTTATTTTAACCATGCCCGTATTCCCTACATTTTATATTGTCTGTAAAAAACATCCAAATTTAGACCTTAGTATAGAAAAAATTAGGTGTTGTACATTTGTTAAAACTTATTTCAAATTGTAATGAAAAACTATGAAAAATATTAAGCACAAGAAATTGTGACTATTATTTATTCTCTCAAAGTTATTAGTACTTCATTCTAAAAAGAAATAGAAGACCTTTACAGGGCTTACTTCCTTAAGCTTGCCATCGAGTAATAGAAAAGAGAGGTAAGTTAAAGATAGTAGTAGGATCCTATTAAGAGCTCAGATGATGAAGAGGAAGAGTCGAAGAATTTAGATAATCAAGGGAATGTATAAAAGTAATAATAAAAAAAAATTAAAAGTGAAGCTAATAGTAAAACCGATAAAGAAACTACTTTAGAGTAAAAAGAGGAAGAACAAGACGATGCTTAGTTTTTGAACAATTATTTGAATTAAGAGTATTTAACACAAGAAGTTCAAGATGTATAAATCAGTAAACTTGTAAAAGATCAAAGCTCAGAGTTAAAAAGTTAAAATAATAACTAATTAAAGAAAGAAAAATAGAATAATACTTAATTGACAAACTCTAAATAATAAAAAATATAAGGATACAATATCAAAATGCAAAAAATGAGAAATACATTTTAATATTTTTAGCAACTTTAAGGATTGGATATTTTGTGTCTTTTTATTGGAATAAGAAACTTTAATAAAAACTAAAATAAACATACAAAAGAGAAGCTTAATTCTATTTTTATTATAAATCAACAACTCTTTAAGTTGTTTCTTTCGAAATTAAATAATATAAATGATCACTTGAAAATAAAAATACTTTATGAAGTTTCTTACAATCATCCTGAATTACTTGACTCATATTTATTTGAAAAGAATTTCTAGGATTGGGTTATATAAATTTAAGATAACCTCCATAAATTAAATAATTTTGATTTTATTGCTCTCGGATTTATTTTAAAAAAATATGCTCGTCTCTTTGCATACCACATTGAATTCTGGATGAAATATGCAGATGAATCCAGTAAGAGAAAGTTTTAAGGTACTTTAGAAAATCAAAGAATCAAAGTAGTCCATCAAAATATGAAAGATTTCTACTAAAAATGTCTCAACAGTTCTTCTGCTAACTAAAGATAAGAAGTAATGAGAGTTAATAAAGTTCGTACAGCCTATGAAAAAATAAATTATTTCCTAGAAAACTAAGAAAGTATAGAATATGATAGTGAGCAATCATTTCAAAATGAAGATCTAGATATAGATAGCTTTGATTAATATAGATGAATAATTTCAATCAAATTTATTTAATTAATTCCTGTTTTATTTTATTTTCAAAATTAACCAATTAGTTAGATTTAGATTTTATACTATGAATATTATTTATATTTATTTACATTCCTATTTTGAAAGTAACTTAAATAAATTCACCTATTTATCTTCTCACTTTAAGTAAATTAATAATGTAAGATATTTATCGTATAAATGTAAAATCAAAACTTTTCTGTGTTTTAATTTTGTTTCTTTTATTTCACTAATTAAATTAAAATAAATTTTAGATAATCACTCATTTTTAATAAATTAAACCATATCATTTACATATAAATTTAAGAATAACTCTCCTCCCTGAATAACTTGTGAAAAAATATTCGTTTTGCTATCTTTAAAATCTTAAATAAATTTGATGATCATTAAAGTTTGTTATTTATTTAAATGCTACTCGATATATCTAAAATCTGTAAAAATTTAATAAAAAATATAATTAATAAAAAAAAAATTCATAAAAATAATCTTAGAATGACAAAAAATATTTTGATTTTAGCTGGCGATTTTGTAGAAGATTACGAAATCATGGTTCCATTCTAATCTCTTCTTTTATTAGGTTTTTAGGTCCACGTTGTTTGCCCTGATAAAAAGTCTGGAGATAAAGTAAAAACTGCAATCCACGACTTTGAAGGAGATTAAACTTATACTGAAAAGCCAGGACATAATTTCGCCTTAAATTACACTTTTGATGAAGTAAAACCTGAAAATTACCATGGATTAGTTTTACCTGGTGGAAGAGCTCCTGAATATTTAAGATTAAATTAAAAAGTTCTTCAAATCACCTAGCATTTTGTTGATACCAAAAAACCAATCTTATCTATATGTCATGGTATTTAAATTTTAACAGCTCTTAAAGGTTCTTTAACTGGCCACAATGTAACTGCATACTATGCTTGCCAAACTGAAGTTGAACTTGCAGGAGGTAAATATTAAAATGTTGCTGCAGATTAGGCTGTTACTGATCACAACATTGTTTCTACACCTGCTTGGCCTGGACACCAAGAATCAATCAAGGCTTTTGCTGCTTTACTTGGTGTAAAAATTACTCATAGTTGAGTTTAATAATATCAAAAATTGTAAACTTAAATACTCAAAAGTCTTTTTATTCATATACATATAAAATGGTTGTTTTATATTTTATTTGAGTAAGCTATAATCTATTAAAAAATACTTAGCTTCATTTACTTTCTTTGTATCTATTCTACTTATCTTATCTTACTTATTTACTTAATTAATTATTAATTAATTTCGTCAATTTTAATATTATTTAAGATAAAATGATGAAATCAAAAGATATCAGATAAATTAATAAAATATTGCATCAAAAATCTATGCAATAATATATTATTTGATAAGTAAATAAAGTAAATTTAAATCTCTACAATGTTTGACGATGACTGATAACAAGTTTTCACATAACTGCAATTTGTTCTTTGAATTAAATTTATTTTTTTTAGTAATTTTTTTGAAACAATAAATTATGAAATATTTTAAAAAGGTTATTTATAAATTAAATTATAACTTAAAAAAACAAATTTTTTTTTATTATTTATCTATAAGCAAACATACTAAGAAAATGACAACAATCTTTTTTAAGATTTAGAGGATATATAAGATTATAAGACCAAAAAAGTTTGAATTTTTAAATCATTTCATGGGTGAATTTTTATTCGCTTAATCCAAAGCAGATAACATTTCTTACCAAAAAAGTTCTTTGTTTATTTCACATGCTACATAGCAATTTGGTTATCTTCCAGTTACACTGTATTCATCTACAACAGTTCTTCCTAAACAAAGTGGGCTTACAGTGTCAATTTCTACATTTCTAAACTTTGTAGAAAAGGCATCAGGATTTATAATATAAAAAACAGATACAGGATCATGCAAAGGTGCATAGTCCCACCCATATCTTTATTTATATCTTCCCATATAGTAGGTCAGAAATCCAATAACATTTTTGCCAAACTCAGATTTATATAACTCTATTTTCTGAATTATTTCTTAAGTTACTCCTACTTTATGAGTCAAATCAATTGGCACCAAGGTTACTCTCAATCCTGACTAAAAAACAATTTAAGCAGCTTCTGGGTCAGACACTTTATATTATATTTCAAAAGTAAACATTAAAAAATAGAAAAGTAATAAAATATACTAATATTAAACTCTGCAGCAGGAGTTTGGTTACCAAGGAAAACAGAACCTCCCATTAAAGATATTTACTCAATATAATTTTTAATATCAGGATATATTGTTAGCAGTATAGCTAAATTAGAGTAAGCACCAGTTGCTACAAAATGCACTTTCTATGACTGATTCTTAAGTGTATGATAAATTTTATGAAATACGTCATCTTCAATTGCCTCCTATTCAGTATCAGGCAAAACACATCCATCAATTCCGCTCTCTCCGTGGAATTGAATATTAATTTTATCTCTTCTAACTATAGCTTATTCTAATCCTCTATAAACTGGAATTCCTTAAATTCCACCCATTTTTAGAACTTTCAATGCATTGTTAGTCACTTTTTCTATTGAGCTGTTTCCATGTACAGTTGAAATACCTATTTTGAATTTTTATATGATTTTGTATAAATGGTTGCTAGCATTATATTTTAAATACCTAATAGTTATATTTTATCACTGTATGCTGCCAAAAATATAGCCATAGCATCATCAGCTCCAGGATCGCAATCTAACCAAACTAATTTTTTATCTTATCCTTACATTTTACTTATTTTTACAAACTTAATAAAAAGATATCAAAAACAATCCCTAAATATCAAAATAAAATTCAACAAATTACTTTAAATCATAGATATTATATTTCAATTAAACAGATTAATATTAAATCAGTATAAATATACTACTTTTACACTTTTTCAAAATTAAAAACAATAATAATTTTATTTTATAAAAAATATTTGATTGTATATCATAAAAAGATAAACATAATTTAACAATTATATTAATTTCTCTTAAAATAATAAATACTCAAGATATATCACTGATAGAGTAAATCCAAGTTTAATTGTGGCTAAATACAAATCTTTCTATTTATTCATTTATATTTAGAAGAAAAGTTTAAAAAGACTTTAAAGCGTCTGTCCTAAAATTATTATTATTGGTAAAACTCAAATAAATTTAATTGATGCATTTAAGTGTTGAAATAGATTTTCCTAAATTAACTAAAAACTAGGTATCTCCATTTTAATTATACAAGAAGTCAAGCTTTAAGCACTTCAAAATTTTTAAGCTTTGTATTATGTTGCACAATAATAAAAAATTATTTTAATCAATTTTTAGATTTTGAGGTAAATATATGCTTAGATTTTCTAAACTTTCTAACTTTTATATAGAATTAAAAAAATCTTTTATTTTATTTGAACTAAATTTGCTATTCCCTTCATTAAAAAACTCAAATTTTTTTAATAAGAGTTAACTATTTATGATATCAATAATTATTTAAAGAGAATCATCATCTAAATTTTGATAATGCAAATTAATGATTAAAGAAATTAAATTTTATTGCAAAACCTATTTTTTTATATTTAAAAAATCTGATAAAACTATATTTTCATTTTCTTTTATGTCAATAAAAATATTTGAAATGTTTTATTTTTAAATTGTCCATTTTAAGCTACAAATAAATGTATAATTTTCCTAATAATTTGTTTCATTTTGTTAGATTAAATAATCCTTTTTTTCACTTTGTTAAATATATTTTAGTTAACTGTATTAACATTAAAAGTTTTAATAAAATTCTAATGTCATTATTTTCTCTTTGTTTTAACTTATTATAAATTTTAACTCTTCAAATGCTATTCTTCTTTCTTGAGGACATGTTGATATTAATTTTTAGGAAACTTTAAAATAAAATGATTTTCTTTCTAAATTTAATTCATCTGGAATAATTCCTTTTCTTAAATCAAGCCAATATTTATTTAAGTTTTAATTAGATTCATAGTTAAACGTGATTGGATTATCCACCATTAATATTATTATTCCAAGAGAAAACAAATCTGCTTCAAAAGAAAAATAGCTACTCTTTTCAGGAGAGCATAATGTGGGTTATCCGCAATAAAAGTCAGAATAAGTACTATTATTTAATATAGATAATCCAAAATCTGCTAATTTAATTTAGTCATTGCTAATCAGTATATTAGAAGCTTTGAGATCACAATGGATAATTTTCATACTTTATAAACTACATAAAGCATTAATAATAGATTTTAAAATGTTTAATTTATATTCTTCTGAAAAAGGTTACTAAAGTATTTTCTGTTAATTTATTAAGTAGAGTAAATCATATTAACATAACTCTAACTCAAAAATTATGTAATTTATTTTGTTAATCCCTATTTCCTATATTTTAAAACACTTCACTATGTTTTCTGCATTTTATATTAACTTAAAGACTCTCTTTTCATTTTCTATAATCTACTTGCCCCATTTATTTCCATCATCTTCTATTATTTTTAAGGCTACTTCATTTTAATTTTCTTTATTAATTGCTTTAAATATTTATCCAAAATAACCTTAGCCAATTAAAGTAATAATTTGGTATAAGCTCTATTTGTTGAGATAAGCACTTAAACTATCAAACCTATTTTACTTGAAATCTGTTTTATACATGATACTATTATCTGCTTTCATTTCAACTTTTCAATCACTATTTATCAATTCTTTAACTAAATTAATCTAAAAAAATACTTTTTAATTATTAAATTCTGTTTTTTAATATCTAAATTAAGCTAAATATTCTAAAAGCTGTAAACACCAATAAAATTAATAGAATATTTAATTCTTTTACATAATATAAACAATATTTATTTAATATTTAATTTTTCTAAATACTCCTTATTATTGTTTAATAATGTACTTTGGGCAAAGATAATAAATAAATAAAATATATTAAAAATATTATTCATATTTCAAGTGATTAAGTGATTGAAATATTATTTTACAGTTTATCTTTATTGTAAAATAAGAATTAAATTTTATAATTTGTTATTCTGTAATCTAAAATAACAAAATAATTTAGTCAATTTGAAGATTAAATTAATTTTTTGTATTATTTTATGAATTTTATAAAATTATTTTATAAAAAAAGCTAATTTTGATTATTTGATAATTGAAATGGATGTAAAAATGTAAAGTAAATAAAAGAAAACGAAAAAAATTATAAAATACATCAATTAATACAGAGTAAATATAACTTAAATTAATGATATTCTTGAATATGAAGATGTTCAAAAATCATAATCTATTATGCATCTTTTTCAGTTTATTTTATTTAAATAAATAATATCTTGATTTTTGGAATTATTCATCAAAAAAAAAATCAACAAATTTTAGAGAATTTAAATTATTATGATAAAGAATTATTTTAAAATTATTTTTATTATAGTGTAAATTTAGTTTATTTGCTAATTAAAAAGCATAAAAATGTAAACAAATAATTGTAACTAAAAGGGAAGGGTGTATATAAGATATTAAGTTAAAAAAGTTTTAAAATTTATTTATTAGTTTTTAATTAAGATAAATTAATAAGGTCCTCAAATATGAAGGTTGGCAAAATCCTTAACTAATTGTGCAGCAGGGTCTTCTTCTTCTTCATCATCACTTTCGAAGTTGCTAAGACCTGATTTATCACCAAACTTTTCCTTGTAGTATTTTTGAGTTGCAGAGTTAAAGTCATTACCCTTAATATCTAATCTCTATTTATTTTAAAATTAAAATTAATTTATTTTTATTAATTTAGGTTTTTCAAATATAAAATTATAATGTGTGTATTTATGTAATGAATGTGTGATAATATATATAATTTACCTTTAATTCACTGTTTCTTGAAAATAGAATATCAATTAATTTTTTAGCTTAGTTAGAATTTAATTCAGCATAGTTGTATCCAAGTTTTTCAAGCTTAACTTCAGATTCTTCAAGAGCTTAAATAATAATATCATTTTCATCTTCTTCAATATTGCAATCAGAAATGTTGAGGGCTCTGAGCTTCTTGCAAACCTTAATGAGATTGGCCATTTCTTAGATAGTTTCTTCTTTAAGGAAGTTATCTCTAATATCTAATAATTCAAGGTCTGGGCAGTTTGTTGCAAGTGACTTAAGTAATGCTAACATACCGTCTTTTTTAATAACATCTTAAAATACAATTAATTCTTTTAATTTAGTAAGCTTAGGTAAAGCTTCAGCAATAGCAATAGCTCCTGGATTTTCAGCTCTATTACGAGTAATAGCAAACTTTTCTAGATTAGGAGTACCCTTGGCGAGAGCAGCAGATATAGTCTTAACACCATCAATACCTAAACCAGCATTGTTAATCAAAAAGACCTTAAGGCTAGTAGCTTATTCTAAGAAAGGACTTAAAGCAATAGCACCAAATGGATTGACAGCATTATCAGAAATATCTAACTCGATAATATTCTTACCAATTAAACCATTTCCTAAAAATCCAATAGCTTCAGGTAATTCAGTTTTAAGTCTGGAAACAAAAGTGTCGTGAACATCAACTCTCTAATTTAAATTTTAAAAATAAATTTATTAATAATTCTATTTATTTATTTTTTATGAAGTGAAATGAATTTGTATATGGTTTGGCGGAATTTTTGATACTAAGCATCAAAATTAGAAAAATTCCTAAAAATAAAATTTATATTTATCATTTTAGATATATTTTGAAGATTTTTGTGTGGAAATTCTTAATATTTTATAAGTGAATAATAAAATATCTTTAAATAATATTATATTTACAGTTAATTTTGTTGACTTCTTGAATAATTCACCAATTTGTTCACAGAACTTTTTAGAGTAAGAATTACCAGTTAAAACGATGTGTTCAATATTGTTTTCAATATTCTTTTCTAAAGTTTCAACTTCTTCCTTATCAAGATTGCTTAATTCTTCAATCTTTTTTTCCTTATCAGGGCGAACTCTAACGACGTACTTGCTAATATTGCCTTCCATTTCTTAAATTTAATTTATTATTGGTGATGCTATTTATTTATTTACTAATTTTTAGATTTTTTCTTTTAAATTAATAATTTATTAATCTTGGTGACTTAGTACGCGAAAAATTTCAAGCAAAAATCAACTAAAGTTTTACATAAATTAAAGAGCTAACTAATTCAGTTTTTCTAAATTTAGTTTAAAAATCAAGATATTTAAAAGGAAATTAGTAGCACCAGCATGTTAAAAAATAAAGAGATAAATCGAAAATAAATTAACATGATAGATATCGTCTACAATAATAAATTAAATTTATTAATTCAATAAATCATTAAATTTGTCAAGTTTTAATTTATCTTTTTTAGCTTCTTCCTTATCATGCATTTTTAAATAAAAATTGATATTTAATTTATGTAATAAAAGAAAAAATGATTATGCAAAAGTTATTTTTGCAATAAATTTATTTATAAAAAACTCTCTTGCATTCTTAAAATATTTTTTAAATAATTTCTATTACATTTTAAATAATATTTTTTTCAAAATTTAATTTTTTAATAGTTCAATTAAATTGTTATTTATTTTAGATATAAGTTAAAACATTAAGATTAATGATTGAAACCCAGATTCAGAAATTGTTTTTTTATCTTAATTAATTAAACGAAAAAGAAGCAAGATTTATTTAAAGTTAACAAATTTATTAATTTATGTTAAAAATAAAATTAAATTTGATAAAACAAAATAATTTTTAGTTATTTAAAAAAAAAAATTTTATTTGAAAATAATTTTTTGGTTTTTTGGAGAAAAATTTTAAAATTAAAATATTTATTTTGAAAAACAGTAATTTGTTATTAATTTATATTAGTCTGTTTTAATTGATGTTTAAATTTATTTACTTAAATTTCAATCTTGTTAAAAGTGTATTAAATTTGCGCGTAAAATTTAATATTTTTAAAGTATTGATTGGAAGTGGAAGTAGCGCAAAAACTTATCATAATATAATTATTTTAAGGTCAATTGTAAACATAATTAAGTATAAAAGAAAATGATTTAAATTATATTTTTAAAACATTTTAAAACGTTTAACAAACATCTTGTTTGAAAGACTCAAATGTAAAAATTAATTTTTTTAACAAGGGCGCGCTTAAATTTGTTAAAGAAAGCCATGAAAATTGTAATTATACATTTTAATAAATCAACTATTTAAGCAAGCCCAGCTAAGAAATAAATTAAAGCCAAAAAATACTATTTAATTAAATAAATTAAAAAATCTTAATAAATTCTTTTGATTTTTGAAACTCAAACAAAGTGATATAAGAATAATAGAAAGAAGTGTGAATATGTAAACAGAATAAACAAGTAAAGACAGTAAAAAAGTTGACACGCATGAACCTTCTCTCAAGAAAATGATGAAAAAGGATTTAAGCGAAGGACCAAAAGTAACTGAACAAATTAATAAATAGGGAAATAATGTAAACGGCTAGTCTACTCAAAATTAATAAATTGTGAAAATCAAAGACAATAATGATGATAGTAGCAGCAGCGATCATATTGTTTTGAAGCGTAAGGAAGGTTACTAAACAGCAGATTTATAGAATAGTGCTCCTTAAAATATTTCTAATAAACCCGAAAGCGATGATGATGATGTCCAAATTATTTCTGTTAGTAAAAAATTTATATTAAAATTATTTAAATCAGATATGTTGAGAGCTTGCCAAAGTTATTAACACGTTCAAGCCTTTTGAGGAGGAAAATAACATATTTATAAATATAAACTTAAAAGGTAACCCTACTAAAAACAATAATGCTGTTCCTTAGAGAAAGGAATCAGGTAATGGTAATGGGTCTAATTCTAAGCAGAAGAAAAAGAACACAAATAGATGCAAAGTTTGTAAGAAGGGTGGCTCTACTTCTAGCTTTAAGCCATGCAAAGATTGTGCAAGACTCTTTCACTACGAATGCATAGGAATGAAAAAAGACCTCGATAAAGATAAGAAGTATATTTGTGATCAGTGCAAGTAAATTTATTTATTCATCAAATTAACATACTATGCATATTTATTTAACAATTCGAGTATTTTTTTACTGCTATCTTAGCTTTCCTTCTTGCTAGCTATCCAGATAAAGTCGAGATAAGGTTATTAGAGAGGTTTTGAAATGCCAATAAAATTAAACCAAGCTATATAAATAACTAGAGCAGTCTTAGACGTTGAGACTTTTATTTTTAACAAATATTAAATAAATTATTCATTTACTCAAATATTCTACTATACTATAAGAGTAACCTTCAGTATTATAAAAGATGTTGGATTTAAATGTAGCATGCATGCATGGATTAATTTTAAACTCGTGCAATAAAATTGTAAACTTGTTTAGTAGTATATGAAGATCAGACTGGAAAAAGAAAGAATAATTAAAATAAGTTTAACAAAGAGACAGATTTGCTATAAGGTTAAATTAGATAGATAATAAATATGAGATTGATTAATGGAAGGGAAGAAAGGGGAAGATAAAAGATATTAGATTGTTTTTAATAAATATGAAAATTTTTTGTTTTTTGCGTATATTTAAAGATTTAAATAAAAATATAGGGATAAACAAAAATAAAAGAGGGCAGTAGAGAGAGAAAAAGAGAAGAAAAAAAAGCAAAAGGAGAAAGAGAAAGAAAAAGAGAGATAATTAAAACTAGAATCTATATTAGCTGAGGCAAAAAAGAAGTTAGAAAAGCCAAAGGATAGCAAGAAAGAAGAAACACTCAAGTTCATTGAAGAATTTTAAGCAAAATAGTAAAAATTTATCAAAAAACTTTCTAAAATTATATTTAATTCAAATTTGATTAATTTAGTAAAATATTTTTCTCTTCAAAAATTCTAATAAATAAGCTTAAAATTTATTTTGTAAAGCAGAGCATTTATTCAATTAAATATTCAGATTAAATAAAATAAGAATATGCCAAAGAGAATTCTTAATCTAAAAAATATTTTTATTTAAAAATAAAAGAACAAAGTTGATTTTAAATTAATAGAATATATTATTCTTTCAAAAACACATCTTTATTTAATAAAAATAATTTAAAAAACTTTTTAATAAAGCCCTTAATTAGTTGAAAATAAAAAAATAAAATTCCCTATCGAAGATACACTTCTTACTATTTATGGAGAAAAGTTCTAAGATAATTAAAATTTAGCAAAGGTATTTATTTACTTGAATTTAAAGCGAATTACATTACATTTTCATTTGTTTTTAAAAAATTATTTTATAGAGACCTCGCCCATAATAATCAAAAATTATTCCTTAAGAGTACATGAACGATATTTTAATGATTTGGAATTTCCTTAATTCATTTTCAGAGCATTTAGAAAATATGAAATTTACTAAAGAATAGTTATATATAGCTATGGTAAAATTTTATTTTTATAGTTTCTTGCAATTAAAATATAATAATTTGATTAAAGGACCATAAGGGAGAAGAATCTCATGCCTTACTTAATCACATTTTCAGGAATTTAGTTAGGTTTCCTGTACTTGACATTTATTATACTCACAAAATAGATAATCATAAAGAGTTGAGTGATCAACCTTTTTTTATCATCACAAGAGTAGCAAAAGAAATAGATTAACTTGATACTGTTATGCAAGTCATATGGCCAGAATTTATTAGGCATTTATCATACTTCTAACAATACTCAATCAATGTATATTTATCTTTAAATTTAAAAAGATTTATTTTATACTTATTATATTTTATAATAGTTTAAGGATGATTAAAATATAAATGAAATACTTGAAATTATGAAAAATAAAGACTTTTCAAGTTTTTATGATTTAGACACTAAGCATAGGATTAAAGTATATTTTTTAAAATAAGAATTTAAACAAACAGGATAATTTTTTATGTTAGTTTATGGCTCTGCTCATAGCATGTGTTGATGACAGTGACAGCTTTCATGATGGTGTTATAGGATTTAAATAAGAGTAAGTTCATGAAATGACAAAAGAAAGAAATGACTTGCAAGTAGAAATCAAGAAAGACGAGCTCGAGTTTTAAGCTCTAGATGCTAAAGTAAAAGCTTTAGAATAAGTTTAAAAAGAATAATCAGCAGCAATCCTTGAGACACTTTCAAGAGCTGAATCTCTTAAAAAATCAAAAGAATTAGAAAAGGAAAAGAAGGAATTATAAAAAATTAAAAATTAAGCAAGCAAATTAGAATAGGCTTTAATAAAAAAGAAGAATAAATGCTAATAGCTTACTTACGATTTACCTCATTACATAAATACAGCACAATTACTTGGTTATGACCACAATAAATCTGAATTCTGGGTAATTAATTCACTACTTTTAGTGTTAATTTATATTTACAAATTTCTAAAAATAGTTTTTCCATAATGATAGAAAAACTATCTATTTAAGATACAAAGAGAGTATTATAGATGATGACAGAACTTGGTGCTACTACAATACTAAAGAAGATATAACTAATTTAATAAAAAGTTTAAATAAAAAAGGAATTAGAGAGAAGAATTTATATGATAATCTTATGTATCTTGTCAAAAATGGATATCTCTAATATAAATTTGAAGATTTTGAAAAGAAACCTAATAATTAAGCTAACTAGGCTAACACAAATGGAACATCACAAAAAGTAGAAGGCTAACAGACAGGAGGTATTCAAACTACCTTGCAATTTAATGCAAAAGAAGGTTTAACTATTACTTAAAATGGAGAAAATCCTTAAGAAGAGAAGAAGGATATGGAAATCGAAGAAATTAAAAAACCAGAGGATGCAGAATAAAAAAGTGCTGAATAAAATGGGGAAGCTTAAAAAAATATGGAAGATGAAGCTGAAGTAGAAGAAACTAAAGAATAAATAATTTAATACTTATCCAACTATGATCCTCAAGCTATAATTTCAAAAACAGCTTAGACTTCTACAGTATAATTTATTAATTTGCATTTATTTTTATATTAAAAAAATTTTCATAATAGAAAAAGAAGGCCAAAGGATCTCAGTAAAATGATAAAGATCTATCAGTATTTTAAAGAGCTAAAAGTAATTATAAAGATATAGGCATGATTATTTTAGAAACCGAAAAGAATTTTACAGATTACTTAGAAAAAAGAAGGTGTAGATGGGCAAACAAAAATAATAGAGAATCTTTTGTAAAACTTTTAATTAAAAATAAATGTTTTAATATAGCAAATAATTTTTATAATTAAGAGAGAAAGAGTAAAAAATGTTTCAGATCCATAAGAGATATTTGCTTTACTCGAGTAGTTAAATGAGGGTTTCTCTGCAGTAGATCATATGTTTATAAAAGAAAATGCAAAAATATTAGAAAATGAAGAAGAGTCTTAAAAAATGGAATAAGAAGATAACGAAGAAGACAACTAATCTGTTGACAGTGACGATGAGTCATTCTAAGGTTTATAAAAAAACAAAAATGGTAAAAATTCAAATCAAAATCAATCTGATAAAGCTCTATTTACACTTGAATTCTTCGAAAGTCACCCACAAATGAGAAGCAAAAAGTTACCAAGTAATCAATTTTTTCTCATTCAAAATACTTAATTAAAAATGATTTTATAAAACTTTAATTTATTTTGTATATTTAGTGAGAATTTGGGGAATATATAGTGAAAAATGCAAGAAAAATTGGTAAAATATGCCAATGATTAACATAATGAGTGCTTATCTCTCAAGTTACTTGTTTTGCTCAATAGTTTAAAGATTTTTACAAAGAAAGAAAGAATAATATCAAGAAAAACTTCTTTAAGAGCAGAATAACTAATTACCATCGTTTTATGTAGCCGATGATAAAAAGAGCTCAGGTTTAGCAGCTTCAGCAAATCAAAAAAAGAAAAATATAAATTATAATGATTTTGATAGCTATAAATATACTGATAATAGTTTAAGAAGAAGTGACAGATAAAAGTACCGTAAAGACTTATCTGAGCCTAATTATGATTTAGAAGATTTTGAAGAGGAAGAATAAGAAGAGAGCCGTTAAAAAGAAGATTAAGATAATGAAGATTAAGAAGAAGAATATAGACAAAAGTCTACTAAGGTTAAAAAAAATAGTAGATTTAGTAAGAACAAAGATACTGATGAATATGATGAAGAGGAAGAAAATGAAGAATAATAGGAAGATGAAGAAGAGGAGTATGATGCAAGTAAAATTGAAGAAGAGGAATAATTAGAAGAAAGCCGCTAATCAGAAGAAGATAAAGACGAAAACGGTGATGAAGATGATGAAGAATAAGAGGATAATAAAAAATCATCAAAAAAATAAGCTAAACGTAAACTTACAAAGTCAAAAGATTTAAAGAAGTAGAACAAAAAAAATGAGAATGAGGAAGATAATTAAGAATAAGATGAGGAAGATGAACAAGCAGTGAAGCCAAAAATTTTAAAGAAAGGAAAAGCAAAACTAAACAAAAATGCATAAAAGATATAAGATTCCGATGAAGAGGAAGAGTTTTAGTTCTATAAATAAAAAGATGAGAAAAATGATAAAAAACAAAAGCATTTAGAGTCTAATGATGAGCCAGATAATGAAGAAGAAGAAGAATTTTCTTTTAACAAAAATAAAAATTCAACAAAATTAAATTCTAAAAAATAACAAATGAAAAATGTAAGCTAAAATAAAGTAAGTATATAATTTTCTATTTTATTTATTAAAATTAAAAATAAAGAATTAAGATTGGGATGAATAATGCAAAGTATGTGGCTAACATGGTGAAGTGCTTATGTGCGATACATGTCCTTCAGTATTCCACCTCAAATGTATTGGGCTTAAGGTAAACAAATACCATACAATGAATTATTAAAATTAATTGTTATTTTAATAAATAGAGTCTTCCTGATGGAGATTGGAGTTGTCTTGAATGCTAATAAAAGCTCCTAAAATAAAGATAAACAAGGAGCTCAGTCAAAAGAAATTAAAAAAATTGAAAAGAAATAAAAATTTAATTTTGATCTTCTTTGGCTTTGAAAAAAATAGAAATTAAAGCTAAAATATTTTACTACCATAAATAAGATTAATCAATAAATAAATAATTTGTTTATAACCCTTATTAAAAACTAATAAAATTAGGTTTTTCAATAAATATTAAAAATAAATAAAATTAATAAACTAAAAAATACATTTAAAATTTGTTTATAAGTTAATTATATCTATTGTAACAAGTTCAAAGAGTATTTATTCTTTTGCTGCTGTTCTTTATCTTAAATCTTCCTTTAAATAAAAATTTGTATTATATTTTTATAGATTAAATTAGCCTTAATACATACTTAAAAATATTAAAAATACAATCAAAAGAAAATGTTTTTTTAAGTATTCTCAAAATGACTATGTTAAAATATAATATTCATAATAGATTCATTCATTTAAAAAAAAATTTAAAAAGAAGAAAGAATACATGGTTATTTCAATTTTATCAGCTTTAAGTTTTTTAAAATTAAAAAAATAATCTATAGGCTACTTTAAACCTTTACATTTTAAGTATAAATATTTTTAAAAAGTTTCAAATAAGCTAACCATATTATTACAAAACCATTAAAAGTTTTATTAAAAATTTAAAAGTATGTTACAAAATTTGAAAAATAACTAAATATCATCTCATATGAATAAATGTTTTAACTCACTTAGAGAATTTATAGTTAATTAATAGAAAAAATAAATGACAAAATATAAATTTATTTTTTGGATTTATAAATAAAACAGAATAGTTGGTTTAAGCGTTTGTATATGAAGAAGATATTATAAGTTAGTATTAAGAGAATTAATTACGCTTTATAAAGATATAAAATTTAAAACGAGACAAGTAATATATTATAACTAAAATTGTTTTGATAACAAGTTAATTTTAAAAAAAAGACTGACTGAATGACTAATCAACAGTTTAAGAAATACTCTAATTATTTGATAAAAAAAAAAATGTTTAAGATTTTATATTTCATTGAAAAAAATATTATTGAAATTAAAAAGATTAATTAATAAATTAAGTAATTACTTGGAGTTTGAATTCCTGATTTTATAGTGCAACCTGCTTGATGGAGAAGAGATACTGCAGCATAAATAGGACCTTTTTTTAAGGCATCATTTGTATAAGCAACTCCAAAGAATTCTCCGTTAAGAGCAAAGCTGAGAGTACCTTTATTCATATTCAAATAAATACCAAGGACACCTTCCTTTTTAAATCTTTTTCCATATTAAGGACCAGATGCATTAGATCCATGTCTTAATTGTCCTAGTCCATAATAAGCCCAACCATAGTCGAAATCACAAAAAGCACTATTGTAGTTAAAATCTTTTTTGCTGCTAACACCTATTTTAAGTTCATTTTCAGTCTTATCATCAGCATGAATTTCCCAATAGTAAGTACCTGTAGTCATTGGCTATTTATAATATAAAAATAATTATTAATTATTTGAAAGTAAATTCCAAAAAAATTTGCAATTTCAAATCATTAAGCTTTTTTAATAATCTAGATAGAATAAATAAATTAATTTGTTAATTCTTTAGGTTATTAATTAAACTTTTCTTAGAAATTAATCTTTAGAATTATTAATTCTTTTTCAATCTAAAAATTCTTTAGAATAAAAAAATTTCTTTAAAAGTATTTATCTCAATTTTTATATACTCATTTTTAACTAATTATTATAAAAGGAATCATTTTTTAAATTAATTTTTTTTTACTGTATCAGACAAGACTGTTCTGAACATGTAAGCAGATTCTGTAAGGAAACAGTTTGTACCATTATTTGTAATTCTTATTCCTGTACCTGCACACTGTGGGTCCCATCTCCACATAATAGAATTTATTTAACCAGGAATGGGTGCATTAACTTAGATTATTTATGAGGGTAAAACTTGTACAGAGGATGAATTAGATGATATTTTTTTTGTGTAGTCTTAAATGAGCTATAAGACTTCAGTTTATTTTACTGCTTTGAGAATTTCTTAATGCAATTCGCATTCCAAGCTGCAGATTTATTTAGGGCTAAAAGAATTATTTACTTTTTTTTAGCAATTATCAAAATTTATACAATTAGGACTACAGCAATCTTATTCATGCTTTTCTAAATCGCAGAGTTTAACAATTTTGTTACATTTTTAATTTTTACATCTTATTTCTAAATTATTATACATTCTTTATAAAGCTCTTGAAATAGGTGTAATTGAGTGCTAGGCCATAGAACATCTGTTTGGACAATCTCTATTAATTTTTTTAAATATTTTTAAAAAATAAATAAAGGGTTTTAATAAAAAATTAAAATGATTTTTTCCCCGAGAGACTTTTGAATCTTTTGTCTATTGAAAAAATTTGATTAATGATAAAATTTGGTTTATTTTTTAATACCAAATTGTGTTTTTCTTTTAATTTTTAAAAATTATTGATGAAATTTACTTGCTTTTTTATTGCCAGTCTTCTATACATTTTTTACAATAAAGATGACCACATCCATTACATTCTTTTGGATCACGCACAATTGTAGAGCAAATCAAACATTCAAATTAGTCATCTACTTATACAAATCTTTCGCGATCGTAACCAATTTCGTTAGACATGACAGCTGCTATTTATATGTATTTTATATATTTATTATGTTGTTTATTACTTTTTTGAGTAAAGAAATTTTATTAATATCAAAAGTATTAATTTTTGTTATTTAATTAACTATTATTTTTGAACTTCTAATTGCTTTTTAAATGGCGTTCTTGTAAATTTTGTTGAACTTTCTAATTAATTAATAAATATTATTTTAATTTTAAACTAAAAGTTTTTTTTAATAAGCCTTCAATTTTGAAAATAATATAGAAACAATGAAGGAACTATCTAGATATGCCAGCAAATATTTTAGAAATTTGACTTTTCTATATGATTGATTGTGAGAACTTTATCCATTGCTATTTATTATTCTCACAAATTAAAATAATTTATAGTACATTCGCAAAAAATTCAATTGTTATTTATGTCATAGTCTATCAATAAATGCATGTAAAATAGTGTTTCTTTATCAGAAATTGATGATTTCTTTTTAGCAGCGTCTATTTTAATAATGATTCTTCAAATTTCTAAAAAAGATAATAATTGAAAGCAATCATATCATAAATTTGTAAAATTCTAAAATAGCTAAATTAAAAAGTGTCTATACCAATATCTCACCTTCTTCTACTTTAATTTAAATTAACTATTAGTTTGTAGCACCATTATCTTCAAAGCAGATAATATCAAAAATAAATTGATCTAATCAAACTGATATTAACTAGATGTTATTTTTATCTACCCTTACCAAAAATTCTTTTCAGCAAAAAAAAAATAAATTTTAAATATGTTGAAAAGAATTTTAGCTTGATTAAAAATAATACAAATTATTTATATTAGTCAATAAATAGATCTAAGAATATTGGTTAACAATATTTTATTGAAATATTCTAATTTATAATGAAAAGTAAAAAAAAAAAGGAATTTAATATTTAATTATTTTATATAGGATTTTATTTACATATGAACAGATAAAATAAAAAATATTGTATATACATATTCAAATGAACAAGATTATAGATTGTGAGTGATATTTATCTTAAAGCTAATATTTTACAATATAATCCCAAATTGAGATAAAAAATAAATTAATTTAATCTAACTATAGTTATTCAATATAAAATGAAAGAAAGTTCCTTCCCTACTCCAAAGCATATTTGATTTATTTTATTGATAATATTTGTAATATTTCATTTTTCTATTTATCTATCTACCTATCTAGTTGAATTGAATGGCATGCAGCCTTGATTTGTTATCTATTTATCTGACTGAATATAATGTGTATCAATCAAGTCATTCATTCATTCATTCATTCATTCATTCATTAAATATGGGGAGTATAGTTAAATCATAATCATGAATCAATCAATAAAAATGATTTTCATAAATTACGTAAACAGAAAAACTACCCATAATATGAAACATTAAAAAATGTTCATTTTATTAGAATATTTTAGGGATTGCTTTTTAGAATTTAATAGAATATTTTTCTCTTTTTTTGTTATTAGAATTTCTATTAAATTCGTACGAACTATTTATTATAACAAATTATTTATTAAAAGGTAATTGTTAAGTTAAAGGATTACTTGTTTTTATTTTAGTAATATTTACAAATCATTATCATTTTGTGTATGAGAGTAATAGTTAGTTAGTTTAGTTTGTTTGTTAGTTGGTTGGTTTTTTTGTATGTTTGTCTGTCTTTCTCTTAGTTTATTTGTTTGTTTAATTTCTTTGATAATTCTTTTTTTTGTTTTATTTGATTTTTATTATTGTAAATTTGCTACAAAAACTACATTTCAAATAGTTTATTCAACATGTCTAAGTAAATCGATAAAAGTTTCCAGAATAAAAGACCTTCTGATCTCATAGAGCTCCTATTTTCTTTTTAAAGCTGAAGAATGGCATTCGATTTCCATTTCATTTCCACTGCTTTCTTAATTGGAAATTCCATTTTTTTGTTTCAAAAGTTCTTGTTCGTATTATTCTTCTGATTCTATTTACAATTTTTCCTTTTCTGAGTTTTTGTCGTTATTAAGATTGTCTTTCTATTTTTATTCTTCTTCTTCAATCATTTCTTTCTTTTCTTCTTCTATTTTCATTTAACCTTCTTGCTCCTCACTATTAATCTTATCTCCTTCTTTTTATCTGTCTTAATTTAGATTTTAAATGTTATTAGAATCGGATTTTTAAGAGAAGCTTTTTGATTTATTTATAGACGACGTTACAGCTGTTGACTCTGTCTATGATTCATTATTATCCTTATTTATTGATGAAAGTTCACTATCCTTGAGCAATGTCTCATTTTGAACTTTAACTAAACTATTATCACCCTCATCTTCTTTATGAAGATGATTTTATTTGTTCTATACTATATCTTCTTCTTCATCCATATTCTTTAAAAAATAAAAATAATTCAATTAAATTTGTAATTACAAAATAAAAAAATAATTCTCAATATTTAAATCTTTTTGAAAATAAATTAAATAAATACTTCATCTTAACATGCTAAATCAATATCGCAGCTTGTATCTTTATTATAGTGGTCTCCACTCTTTTATCCCTCTTCTTCTCCCATAGTCCCTTCTGGTCTCTTAGATTTTTATGGAGGAGTTTTGAGAATTCTATCTTCTTTTTTCAAAGAAGTGATGTTTTCCATTTAAGACTCTTCTTTTAAATTGGAATGATTAAGATTTTTATTGAATTTTTCCAATATTAATTAATCCCTACGCCTAAAAATATCTTCATCTGGTAAGTGTAATATTTATAGTAATTTCATGCAAGATTCCTCAATAAATTCAGTTTTTATTGGTATTCCCTTTTTATAGAATCCTAATTCTCCTCCTCCATTATTCTCACCTAAAATACTGGTTAGATGTTCTTCATTATGGGCTAATAAAAATTTATCTACATTTTAATAAAATAAATTCATAAAATTTTATTTTGCATTTATCTTAAAATAATATTTTTTTACGTAAAATCTAATTTTAAGAATTGTAGGAATCATCATCTCTAAATTATCTTAGCAAATTTCCATGAGAAACAAATCCTGTATTTTAGCTTTATTTTTAAAATAATTAATGAAACTGTTTAAAAAATCTTTTAAATAAATAAATTTAACAAAAAAAATATTTAAAAGAGTGTTTATTCTTAAATAAATCATACCAGTCAGTGCATTTGCAATTTTCAGAGCAAGGTACTCCAGCTTAAAAACACTCACAATACTTTTTCATACAGCCACTACGTTTGCATGCACAACCCTAAATATTTTCGAAAAGAGTAAATTAAAATATAAAGTTGAAAAGTATAAATGAAGACATCATTGACTCCTTGTCTTGTTTGTTTGAATATAGGTTAAATAAAATTTAAATTTAATTGTTAAAGAAAACAAATTAAGAATTCAAAAAAATTTAGGATTTGTAATCTTGCGGAAATTTGTTAAAATTTTAAAAAGTTGAATGATTTGATAAAAAATATCTTCAATATGCATGTCATAAATTGTGTTATTGACTAAAAAATCTATTTTTAATACTTCTGCAATAAACCTAAATCAACTTAAATTAATCATATTTGATTCACTTAAATAAAAATAAAACTTATAAAAGCATGTTTTATTATTTTATTGAAAAGATTTTATTCCTTCTATTTAAAATGTTTAGTATTTCTTATATAAATGAAATGAATTTTAATAATTATGAATTCTTTTTACTTTGTTATGTTTGCCTAAATTTAAAGGATCAACAACTTTTGATGCGGTCTCTTGCTTTTAACTAATTTTAGGTAGAAAGGCTGTAGGATTCTTTACGAGAGTATTTTATATTGCTTAATTACGCCATCCCTTTTGAGATTATTCAAAATTAATTTTAATCAAATATTCTCATTTATTTTGATTTTAAAAAATTTTATAAGTTAGACTATCATCTATTTGTAAAAATGGCAAAATGAATTTATTTTACTTCTGATTAATCATTATTCTTGCAGCTAACACAATGGCATCCATTACAATAAACTCCAGCAGCATAACATTCACAATACAATTTGATGCATTAAGACTGTTTACAATTACACTTTTTCGATGTATAACCAGGTTTTTATTATTGGGAGCTAAAATTGCTATTAACTAAAGAACCGCTATTCTGCTAATACTACTATTATTAATTTTAAACCCTTTATTTTTCAAGCAACTGCTATGGCAGATTATCTAACTACAATTGCTATAAAAAATCTTCTCCTACTATTTATTTATAAAAGTATAATTTATAAGAAATGGATCATACCAAATAGGATAAGTTAGTAAAAATATCTTTTGTTCAATCAAAAAAGGTTGCTCATTTACAAAATGGTATAACTAATAATAATTAAATTTTATACTTGGATTTTTGCTTATAAAATTTCTACCTTATGAACTTTGCATATATTATTGAAAATAGTGCCAATATGTTAGTTATTCTTCTTTTATTTTTCCTTTTAAATTACTTTTTATAAAGGAGTGTATTATCAAAAAGGATAAAACTGTGTATGTGTGAGTGTTTAAGTATGTATTTATGTATTTATGAATGTATATATGTATGATTGATTATGATTATTTTTAAATGAATCAATCAGGTTAGTAAAAATTAATTAAAATGTAAAATTGTATGAATAAACTAATTTTTTGTATGTCTTTTAGCTTCTTTTCATGACTAATCAATTATCTCAAATAATAAGTTTTTTTCTGTTGCTTAGCAGTCAATCTCAATTTTAAAAAGTAAATTTCAAACTCAATAACAATATGTGATGCATAATTTTTGGTGATGTTTTTTATCATGAATAAAATTTTTAATTTTTCTAAATTTTTCTCCCCTCCTTAAAATCTATTATTCTTTTTCCGCTAATTATTAACTTTTTTTAAATATAATTTTTTAAAATGCAAACAAAAAATAGGTCAGAAGACAACACAGACGACATAGAGAATTCAAAAATAAGATTTTGTACAATTTTATCTAAGTTTTGAAAAATGAAATATCTTTTTTTATTTTATTTTTTATTTAAAAATTAATAAATTTAAAATGATGAATTATAAAACGATAACTAACTTTTTAATATAAATTTAGATTAAAATTCTATTTATTTGTCTTATTTGTAAATAAAAAGGCATAGTCGAATTAACTAAAATAAGTTTTCAAAAAGTTAATTTTAATTTTTTTAATTTTAAAATATGAGAAAGCAGCTTTTCTCTGAAGTTTTACTGTGAGTGAATTAATTATTTTAAAACTTAAATTATTATATTCAATTTGAAAAAATTAATTTATTATTTTAATTCAATTTAAATTTATTACTGATAAGAATTAATAACTTTATTATGATTTTAAATGCTTTTTTTAATAGATTTGTAATTTTTCATTCTTGATCGGAATTTTCTGAATTTTCTTCTCCAGATTCATCTGAATTTTATCCAACTCTATTTCTATTACCCTTTCTTCTAGCATTTGGAGGATTTAAGCTTTTATGTCTCTCTAAAACTTTTTGCTTTAATATGTCCAACTAATTTAATTGATTTTATTATAATAAATAAATATTAATATTAGCTTTCAAGATTTTAACTGAATAGTAAAGCCTATGGTCAGTAAAATTAAATTCTTACTTTAAAAAATCTGAAAACCATATTGAATATATTAGTTGATATTCAGGTTTTTGTTAAAATAATTAAAAGAAATATTAAAGTTAAATATTTTTTAAAACTTTTTTATAAAATTTGAAAAACTCATCTATAAAAATAATTAATTTTTAATTGTTAAAATAAAATAAAATTAAATAAATAAAGTTGTATGCATTTATTTAGGTTTTTTTAGATTGAAATATTTATTGAATTTAAATATTTACTGGGTTAGCTCCTGTGCTTGTAAGTTTGATGCTTCCTGGATCATCTGATTTACCTTTACCAGGGTTTAATCCTCCTTTCACAACTGTAACGGTCTTTCTTAGCCTAATTTTAGGATTTCTAATTTCATCCAGGAGTGCACCTTAAATATAAATTAAAAATAGTTTTTTTAAATAGAAAACTCAAGTATAAGCAATAAAAATATTTATTTTTTAAATTACCTCTACCACCTGATGAAGTAGTAGCCTATTAAGGTTCCTGCTAAGGTACTGCAGGCATTTATCCCATAGGTGGGGGTGGTGGAATACCAACAGATGGTGCTTGTGGGATACTCATAGTAGGAGCAGGTGGTATATTTACTGAAGGAGCCTGTGGAATATTCATTGAAGGAGCTTATGGTACATTCATTTGAGGAGCAGGAGGAACATTATTATTTTGATATTGTTAATATTACTGATTTTATTAATTATTTTGATTAGGAGCCTGTTGATAATTATTTTATTATGATTATTATTGGTTATTTTAATTTTAAGATTAGCTGCTTGGTTGAGCATTTGCATATGGATCAGGAAGTGTGGGGTTTTATATCAACCAAGCTGATGGTTAAATCAAATCTTAACCTCCATAATCAATATCAAAATCTTCTGCAACTCCATCCAATCCGAAATCTAAAGGAATGGAAACAGCATTATCAACTTTTTTAGTTTCAGGAACATAAGTAAGCTCTGATCTTTAATATGCAGTTAGTTAATTGCTGATACCTACAGGAGCTACTTGTAAATTAATTTGATTAGTGTCATCAGGCTTGACACGCTGCTACTACTTACTTTCGTCAATAATGAGGTTATCTATTTGCTAGTATTTCTATATATATTTATACAAATGTTTATTGATAAGAATTAAACAGAAATCATATTATTTTAAGGCAATTTTTCAATTTGTATTAAAATATAGTTAATACTCTATAAGGATTGATATTTGTGTTCAAAACCAACAAACTTTCAGCGCACTTAATTTTCTTAGGATAAGTTCCTACTCCGAAGAATTTTTCCTGTTTAAGTTAAATTAAATTAAGAATCTTTTTTTATTAACTTTAATTTAATTCTACCTTTAAAGGAAGTTTTCTGTTTTCTACTGGATTTTTTTCTCTAGACTTGAATTTTCCGTATGAAATGTTCAATATTTAATAAAGATCATCTGGTCTACTCTATTATAAAAAATTGGCTACATAAATACTTAAGACAGACAAACAAAATGAAAATCAATTCGGTTTTAAAAAATAAAATATTCATTTCAAATATTTAGTCAGTCATCAAAAATAAAATTCAATTACATTGTCAATGATAGGTCCTACTTATTCAGGATCATTTTTTAGCTAATATCCGAATTAGGTCTCAAATTTAGAGATATTATGCTTTTGTTTATAATCTTATAATATTGATTTTTTATTTTCATGAGTAAACTTGTACTTTTGTACAAAAGACGAAGGACTAACAAAAGTAATAGCTTTCTTCTATTCTTATAAAGCTGCAATCTTTTTTTGGCAGATATGAATTCTGTCTAAATATTATTAGATCTTGTTTTTATACTAATTTTGTTGATTATCAAATCTCTAAATAACATAACTAAGAGTCTCGTCTAACATAGAAAGATTCGAAAGAGTCTTTTCTAAACCTTCGTATTAACTCATGTCTGTATTAGACATTGTTATTTTATTATGCTAAATACTATTTCCAACAGATACCATTTTTAGAATATTAACTTGAGGTAATTTTACTTTCTAAATTACTAATAAGCAAAATATGTATCTTTTGATATTTATTTCTATTAATGTTTTATTGTCTCAATTAATTAATTGATTAATGAATTCTTGTTTTTTTCTTAAAATTTTAGATTTATCAAAATCATCTATCAAATAAGCAAGCAAATAATTACCTCCCTAATCATCAAAATTTTACTTTCAAGATGATCATACATCAAAAAAGCTCATCCAAACAATGAAATAATCTTATTGTTATTATAAATCTATTTAATTTTGTAATATTTCTTTTACATTTCTAAAAGAACATGTCTTAGTATTTCTAAAGATAAATTGTAAAGGAAGAAAGCAAAATAATAAGTTTAAAATATTAATCGAAATAAATAAAATATAATTTAAATTAAATTAAATTAACTTGAATAATTAAATTTTGCTTGAATTTTGAATAAAATTATTTTATAGCAAAAAGTAAATTTTAATATTACTTTAATAAAAGGCACAAAATAAATCATAAAATATAAAAAAACCAAAATAATTTAACAAGCTAAAAAAAGTATTATTAGAAGATGACCTCTTTCATATTTTTCTGAAAGCTAAAAAAATATTTTAATTTAATCCTTTGCTTGTTTGCTTGTTGGATTTTCTATTCAAAGTGTTAAAGTCTTTCCTTAGCTGATCAAAATCTTGATTTAATTATTCATCTATAATATTTAAATGGTTAGCTAATGATTATTATAAGGGTGATGATGTAGATTAAGTATTTTTTTTAGTTTTGATTAGTATAATTAAAAATAGATTTACTTTTCTTCAAATAAATTCAAATATTATAAAGATTTTAATTTAATTTTATTAATTATATTTATTTAATCTTTTATAAAATATCTTGATATAAAATTAATCTAAGCTTACTCTTAATCAAACTGTAAATATGTTTTTAAGCTAATTTAAAATATATATTAATATTTTATGTTTTTTATAATTTTCAATTTAAATATTAAATTTGTAAATAATATGTTTCAAGTCTAATTTTAGTAATTTTTTTATTATTTATCACTTAAAAAGACATTATAAAATAACTTAATAAATATATCATTTGAAAATAAAAATAAATAAATAAATAAATAATTAAAGTAATTAACAGTAAAAGCTTTTAAAAAAGTTGATTTATTTTGATAGTATAGAACATACAATATTTTTACTATAAAGGAAAGTATATTTTATGTAAAATTAATATATTATTGGGAATGATTGATTGATTGATTATATTTGATTTATCTGTTTGTAGAAAATTATTCTTAATCAAGCCGTAAAACTATCTTTTAATTACTTACTATATATTTTGAATTAGTTATTATCTTAATTTATGTATTTATTTATTTATATAATTAGTTATTATAATTAACTAAGAAAGTAAATGCTAAATTAATTAATCAATTAATAGATTTAAGCCAAATTGAGTGAGATATAATTGCAGTAATTAAACTTTATTTAAACTCTACTAGGGCAATTTAGCAAACTTACTTCATTAATATATAATTGAATATTTCACTATTCATCTCCTTATTTTTTGATCCATTTAACTCTTTTTCCTTCTTACCATTCACCTTCTCTTTCTTATCCATTAGATCCAATATAAATACCTTTACCATGTTATTTACCATTTTCCCAATTTCCTTAATATTTTCTACCATCTGGCCATTCAAAAACACCATAGCCATGTTTCCTGTTATTTAAAAAATATCAATCAGTTTTTATACTAAATATAAGTCAAGTCAAATCAAATCAAATTAGATAATTGAATAAAATATAAAAATATTCATTACTTATCTTCTAAGTATTAGCCTGTATATTTTCTTCCATCTGCCCATTAAAATTCTCCGTTACCATCCCTTTATTATGTAAAATATTTTTAACAAACCAAACTAAACTAAGTCAAGTATAATTTATTACATTTTATTATTTTTCCATTCGCCTACGAATTTTCTTCCATCAGCCCATTCATAAGTACCATGTCCATGAATCTAGTAATTATTATTTCAAATATAATAAATAAATAAATAAATTAACAACTCAAAAACTAAATATACAATCTAAATTAAAAAATTACATTATTGTTCCAGAATTAGCCTTCATATGTTGAACCATCAGCCCAGTTAAATTTACCCTTTCCGTGCTTCTTACCCATTTCATATTCACCAGCATATTTAGCTCCATCTGGCCATGTTTCAACACCATATCCATGTTGTTTATCTTCATACCATGAACCATCATAACGGGCACCATCAGTATGGTTGTAAAAACCTTTTCCATGAGCTTTATCATCTTTCCATTCTCCTTCGTAGACGTCACCATCTGCATGAATAAGTCTTCCTTTTCCATTAGCCATATTATCTCTCCAATAGCCTTTAAATTAAGAAATATAGTTAATGTACCATTTAAGAAAACTTAATAAAAATAGAGTAGGAAAATAAATGATTTTAGTTTAAAAATATTTATCAAAAATAACAAAATTAATATTAAATTTAACATAGTTATTTTAACGCTTTTTTTAATTTAAATAAAAAATTATGAACATTTTTTAAAATTTTTGATGAAATGGAATAATTTCAAGTTATGATGTTGATAAAGGATTTATGGATAAAATCGATGATAAAGAAAGAAAGATAGATAAATAATTTTACCTTCATAGAATGAACCGTCGTTCCAATATTACTTACCTCTTCCGTGTCTATTTTAATAAATAAGAATTAATAAAAATAATTTTATTTCAAAAGAAAAAATGAAATGATCCTATAAATTAAAAATAAAAATTCCTATTTGATTTTCAAGCTTGAGATTTGGTATTAATATCATAATTATTATTTTTAACAAATCAATATAACTATCTATTATTAGTTAATTAGAGGTTTATTATTTTTTTGACTTTGTTTGTAAATAGTAATTTAAATATCAAACACTAATTATTCTCTAGTTAAAAAATATATCATAACTCTAAAAATTCTTTGTCAATTTAATAATAAAGTTTCTTTCTTTCATTCATTTATTATTTACTAATTTATTGATTTACCTTTATCCATTCTTCCATTACCCAATGTAAACAGCTGCATTTTCAAATTCAAATGGACCTAGGAATGGCAAATTCTTATCTTCATCCTAATCTTTATCGTAAATAAATGGTCCTTATCTTTCGTAAGTTTTTTTTGTTGAAGAGTTTTCGTATTAAGGAACTTCTTATATACGTCTTGCAGTTGCTTAGCTAGGAGAGTGAAGTTCAATCAGCTTAACTTATTCCTTATCAGTAACATTTTTTAAATCCCACTAATGTGCATTCGATGTTTATTATTGCTAGGTGTTATCATCAAAATTTTCCTTTTCAGATTTAGCATCTAATTGAGCATCAGAGCTAGGCTTTTATTTAATTTCAGTTTAACTAGAATTTGCATTATGGACAACATGATTTTTATTTTTGTTTTCTGGTAGGGCAGTTGTATCATCACCACCTTCGTTTTCTTCAAATATCTTTTCAGCAGGGGTAGCTGGCTAATTGCGGTTTAAATCTACTTCTTCAGCGTTCTATCCACCTGGTCCTCCACTGCAACAATTTCCCATAATTTTGCTTTTAAATAATTTTCTTTAAAAAAGTTTGCTGTTGTTTATTATTTGATTTTAATTGCTAACTTCTAAGTTATTTTCTTATTTTTCTTTTTAATTTCTTAAATTTTTTTATATAGTTTTCTTTATTTTCTTATCCAATTTTTTTCTGTTTGATGATTAAAATTAAATAAACACTGAGAAAGCAAACAAACAAACAAACAAACTAACTAACAAATAAACCCTTACTATTTTTCAAATAATTCCTGTTATCGATTATAAATTGTTAGCCTTAACATTTCTATTTTTATTTTTCAGTTTTTTGTTTGAATTAAAAAATGACAAATAAATTACAAAATTATACAAACTTAAAGAATTAGTAGCTTAAATACCTATTTCATAATTAGCTTCGAACAGACAAGGGTTCTTTGTTATTTTTAACGCAACTTTTTAAGACTCTAAAATATGAAAATAGACAGAAAGCTAGCTCTCTCTAAGTAGCATAAAAAACCAAACAAATATTTCTATTAAAAATTTATTTTTGAAGTCAAACTGTAAACATATTTGCAACATAATTATGCAATTCATATTCAAAGCAGCAGATAAATTTTATTTATTTATTTATTTTTTCTAAAAAAAAAGTTTAAAATAATTAATAAACTTTACTTCTTATCCATTGATTTGATAAAAATTTGAAATAACTAATTAATTTTATACAATCTTATTATTATAAAATTGAATTTATTTAATAATTTATTAAAATAAATACTATCTAAAACAAATTTAGTGTAATAATTTTAATCTAATTTTTTTAAAGATTTCTTATTAATAAATTAAATAAATGTTTTTGTTAATTTGTACAAATCAAGAAGAAATAATTTCTTTTTCTTTGATTTTCAATAAATTATCTAATTCAGCAACGAATTTATTGTGAATATTATCAACTTCTTTTTCAGCTTCTTTAATGAAATCCTCGCTTTCGAATTTCTTATATCCCTTGATCTATTTATTTATTTATTTAGTTAAAAAATTTTTAATTTTTAATACAAAATCCCATTTAAATAATATATTTTCAATAACTTACCATATCCTGACCAGTTTAACGGTGTTTTCTGAGTAAATTTTTAGCTTTATCAACAACACTCTTAGCAGCTTTAATAGTTGCATCTTTAATTTCCTTGGTATTTCCTCCTACCATTGTGCAGGTTATTATTTTGCCTTCTCTCTTCAATTAGAGATTCAAATCAGAATTTTCTAAAATCTTGATTAATATTATTTTAAAGTTAATAAACAAGTATTTATAACTATATTAATTCATTCATTATTTATTCAAAGTAAGAAATATTTAACTTACTTTGTGAATAGCACCTACTAAGGCATCATCATAGATATTTAATTAAACTGTAGTAACAGCCTTAGATACTATTTAACATAGCTCAGTTAAAGGAGTTTTTTCGCCATAAGCAACAACAGATAACTTTTCGAACATATCTGGAGTCAGTCTACCAGTTTTAAGTTTAGCTAATTCAGCCTTATTTATAATATATTTAATAAACTTAATTGAAAAATATATAATAATAGATTAATAAATAAGCTATTTATGTATCTAACAATAAAAACGGCAAATTTTCTTTGAGTTAAAATATTTATAATAAGTATGTCTGCTAATAGCATTAAATTAAAATTTTATTTTATAATAACAAATTCTTAAAAAAATATGAAGTTGTTCATACTTTAGTATGATCTAATTATGCCTTCATGGTTTCTTCAACAGGAGTTAAATCAATAGTGCCTTAAGGAGTTTCTCTAGTTTCCTTTTCTTTTTGCTTTTCAATCTTTTCTTATTTTTTCTTGCCAACTTTTGTAGAAAAATCAAATTGAGCTATGCTTAAAAAGTTTTATTGTTTGTTAATCTTCTACAAAACAAAAAAGTTCTGTCTTCTTTAATTTATCAAGCCATTTTTAAAGAATGCAAGAGCTCTACTTTTTAGCATTCCTTTACTTGCTTCTACTAGTTTGTTCATTTCTAACTTTGCTTAAAAGAATTTTTATTTTATTAAATATTTATTAAATTATTAAATGACTGATTTGAAAAGGATATATTTAATAGATAAATTTTTATTTTAAATAAGGTCTATTTAAAGTATAATTAAAATTTTCTATTCATAGTAAGTACATTTTATTATAAATTTATTATAGAAGTATTCTATAAGTAGATCTTTTTATTTTTAAGAATTAAGCTAATCAATAATTAAGATAAAATACCATTTTTTAATAGTTATTATGAATTAATCAACTTTCTTTGCAAAAAATAAAATGTATAAAAGTCTTCATTAATCAAAATTTAATTTTTTAAAATTAGCAATTTCATTAAATTATTAAATTGATAAAATAAATTATAATTTTTATTTAATTAAAAAAATTTTTCCATATTTTTTATTTTTTTAGTTGAATTAAATAATGGTTAAAATTTAATATTAATATCTAATATAAAATACTCATTTACATTCTTAATGTTTTAGAGCAAGAATTTTAAAGAAATAGCATAAATTATTTTAAATAATAGATAAATAAGTAAACTAAAATACATAGTTTCTATATGAAATTTTAATTAAAAAAGAGTAGAAAAATAAGTAAGTATCTAAAATCAACAAATCAAATATTGAAGTTTTAAATTTTTTTATTTTTGAGTAGAATTTATTTTATCTGATATAAACAGTAAATACTAATATATTTTTTGAGGATGTAATGCATTAATAAATATCTCAATATTAAATTTTATTATTATTTGATAGTTTTTCAAATGTGTTTAGATGCTTACTTTTATTAATTTTAATTAGAAATAGCATTAATTATATCTTATTAATTTTTTTAATGAATTCTAAGCTTTTCTTAAGTTTTTTAATAATTTTATTAAATTTAAATAACCATATTTGATATAAAATCAGTAAATTGCTATTGAGTTTATATTTCTTATATTCTTTGCTACTTAAGTTATTCAATTGCAATTTAGTTTCTTTATTTTCTTTCTTGCTCCTCTACAGTTTATTTTGCTTCTAAATAAAGCTCCTCTATTTCATGTAATTCATTAACTAAAAAGTGACCATGATATATAAACTCCAGCCAATCAGCTATTTCTATCAATAGCTCTCCTATTTTTGGGTCTTCAAGATAACTTCTTAATTCATTACTATCTTTATTTTTTTTAATATTATCCAATTATGCTTGGTTTAGCTATCTATTAAAGGAAATAATTAATTAATTATATATTTATTTATTTTAAAAAAGTTTCAATATACTTCATGTCAAAATTGGCTAAGCGATAAAGAAAATCAGCTGACCCATCTTCACTTAGAAGTGCTGTGTATTTGAATTCCTTCCATTAAAACTTTTCTCTTTTTTTAAAAGTATATTTTTACTTCATCTTTTTAATAAATATTTATAAATTTCAAATGCCTTTGTTAAAATAATTAAAAAATTCATTTACTTTGGCTCACTATATAGTATTTCAAAAAGAAGCTCAAATAGCTCTTCTAAAGGTTGTTTACCTTTAACATTTAAAATACCTAGCTCATAAGGATTAATTTTAGAGACTATTTCTCTAATACTGTTTTATAAGGAGTCAACTAATTTATTTTATGTTTATAGAAGCTATTTAATTTTAGATAGATTCATATCAGAATTTTTAACAACTTTTTTTATAAGCTTAGGTAATTCTCCAGCTACTTCTATTATCTGGGATGTTTGATACTCTTTTTCTATTTTAGGTTTGCTGGTAGGATCATCTTCAACCTTTTCATAATCTAAGTGTAACTCTTCTATATATTATCTTATTTACTCAGTCCTATCTTTAAGTTTAAGACTATGATTTTGTAGATTCTTCATAAATTCTCTAAAGTTAGTTGTTGACTCAAATACAATCTAGTCTAAATTAGCTAAATGCATCTAATCAATAAGCTGAAATACTTCCTTATTATCATCTTCAAAATACTACAACTTTTCTTCATCGTTCATTTTTTTAAGCTTTTTCATTAGTTTTTATTTATGCTTAAGTTCATGCATTTCAATATTTTGATTTTATTATTTTTAATTATCTTGCTAAAATCCTAATCGGCTAGATTAGCTTTCCATTTCCAATGATTTTTATTGGGGGATCTCTTTATTTTAAATCATTGACACCACAATTCTACTACTTATTTTCTAATTAATACCTTTGTAATTATTTTATTTTAAACTAACTGTTTGATAGTTTGCTTTTATGAAGCAATCAATATTCTAAAAAATAAATAGAGTTGATTATAAAATTTAAGTTTTTTAATTGAAAGTAGATATTAATTCAAGTAAATCTTATCTTTATTATTTATTACACATTTATTATTAAACAATAACCATAACCAAAACAAATGGTAGTATAAACAATACATTCAATTTATATTTAATAATAACAATAATGTTTGAATTCAGCTGAAGAATCCTAAAAGGGAAGCAACGAGGAGAATGATTGTTAAAGGAAGGTAAGTTTGGATAAGTTTCCACCAACTATTTTTAAATAATTATTTAAAAAAGAAATAAGGAAAAAAAAAATATAAATTAAGAACAAACCTAACATATTAACTAGACCAAAGACAAATAAACCAAACAGAGACCATATTCCAATTAGTTTTACCTAAGTAACCCATATTATTCAATGCATCTGCAACATGACTATGGCAGTTGTTACTAATTAAACAATTATTAATTTAAGAAAAACATGGTGCAATTTATAATTAATTCATAAAGCTAAAGCTAGAATTTTCAAATAAAATCAATACCAAAAGAGATTATGCTAATTTATAAAAAATATTTAATTAAATATAATATATATTTGCATGTTTATATGTAAGTATGAATAATTTTTAAAGCTGGAGTATTTTAAATATTAACAAATTCTATTTAATATGTTACCATCATTTAGCAAAATTTGTTATCTGCCTTAATAATCGCGTTATCATATTTTTCTTTAGTAATATTGTCATGCTTTATCTTCACATACCTATTATTTTTTTTATTTTTTATAATATTGTTAATTTTTTAGACACTAATTTTTGCCATTTTTAATCTTACTTTAATGGTTTTCCAAATGCAAAGTTATCAACTGATATATAGTAAGGGCCTGCGAAATCATGAATCACTCCATTAGATCTAAATGTTTTATTATTGTAATAAATTTAATAAAACTTTTATAGATAAAAATACAGTGCTATTCCTGTGTGTCCAATAATAGGAATGATCCATGTTATAAAAGGTAATGCAGTCCAAACAATACAATATGGGAATCTATCGTTTTCTGGACTAATTTTATCCTCATTCATGCTAATATTTAAATTTTCTATTTAAACTGCACTCTCTTCTTGATGATTGTTAGAGTTTTCATCCTAATAAACAGGATTGAATTGCTTTTAATCAATAACTTTTTGCATACTTGTATTTATTCTAAATTTCTATTAGATATTATCATATAAATTTGTTTAAAATTTATCTGAATTTACTTCATACATTTATTTAAAAAATCTTTTATATTTTCAATAACTTAAAAAAAAATTCTATTCTATAAAAATAAATAATAAATAATTTAAAAAATTTTAAGATTGTATTATTAGAGAAATTCTATCCAAAGTACTTACTTCTTTCAACATTTTAGAATAAATTAGTCTTTTGTTTATTAGTTTATTTAAATTTACCACATCTTAAAATATTCAAATGACATTTTGTATTTTTAAAGAACAAATTAACAAAAAATGATTTTAAAATTTCAAATATTGTTATAAATCTTATTCGATTTTAGCGTATTGCTATAAATTTAAAGCTGTTTAAATACTGAATTTAAATAATAGTCTTATTTTATTTAGAAAATTTTAAAAATCAAATAAAATTTTTTTGAATTTATTATTGGATGTAAAAGTGTAATTAAATAAATTTATTTTTAAATATACATCTTTATATATTTTAAAACTGTTTTATTATGGATGGATGAATAAGTATAATTCATTTTTACATTTTTTCAAGCACACACAATAAATAAGTTTTGTTAAGCGATTTGTAAAAACTGAAATTATTAAAGATGGTTTTGAAAGATTGATTTCTGAAAATGGGTTTTATGAGTTAAACCAATGAGTGAGTTAATTTAATAATCCATTAAACTAATTAAAAAAATAAGATGAATAGGCATTAACTATGAATGAAATGGTAAATTGATAGTTATTAAAAAATGCATAGAGAGAATGATGATAATAATTAAAAATCTAAATAATTCTTTGAAAAATAAAAAATAAAATACAATTCACTGTCAATTTTTAATTGCAAGATAGATTAAGTCAAGATAAAGAAGCAGCAGCAAGCAAATTAAACTGATAAAATAAGAAAGATAATTAAAATAAATTAAAATAAATGTCAAAGAAAGTAGTGGAAAACAAGACAGGTTTAGCCTTCAATCAGCTTATAGATGATTTGAAGAACGAAGACATAAGGAAAAGATTAAATTCAGTTTAAAATCTTCACGTTATAGCAAACGCATTAGGACCAGAGCGCACTCGTCTAGAGTTGATTCCTTTCTTGAATGGTAGAAAATTGAAAATATAACTTTCCCTAAAACCCATGATTTTAAAACAAATTTATCTATTTCTTAACATACTTACTAAAAGCTTTATTTGAAGAATTTTATCCACATAAGGAAGTGCAATCGTTTAATGTTTTTTGAGTTTTCATCAAAAATTCTTGAAACATTTTAGTTTTAAATTTTTTTAGTTTAAAAGCATTTTTTTACATACAAGATCTAATTACTTGAGAACTTTATTTTTTAGTTATCGCTTTTTTATATTGCTTCAATAAAACTTTAGAATTAATGGACGATGAAGATGAAATATTAGCAGCTCTTGTTGAGAGTCTTTCTAATTTTTTAGATTTTATTGGAGGTAATTAACATGCTGTAATTTTATTTTCACCTATGGAAGCTTTATGCAAAGCTGATGAATCGAGTGTTCGTGATAAGGTATTAAATTTGCTTCTTGAAATTTAACTAACTCCTCTTTATTTTGTTTAGCGCAATCAGCATTCATTTATTAATCAATTAATAATTTATGATGTACAAAGTTAAGTAGTACTAATAATGTAATTTAAAGTTATAAAAGTCATCAATTTTATTAATCGCTATACCCAACTGAAGCTGATGAGATATTAGCTTGCATGTTAGCGCTAGCTATTGCAGAATTATTTTAAATTTATTTATTTAAGAATTTTTAAACTAGCTTGATTTGATTTAATGAAAATTTTTGAAACACAAAAATATTTTAGAAGGGTTATGAATACTTTAAAATATAATTAAAATATTATTTATAGGCAGCCTAGTCCTTGAAAAAGTTAATTTAGCTAATAGACGTTAAGAAAAACGAAGAAATGCTCATAAATTTATCAAAAAGACTAAACGAGTCAGGCTATTACCTAACCAAAGGGCCATTGAGTGCAATAATTCCTTCGTTTTATGAAAAATCATCACCTTAATTCTAATAAGAAATGAATAAGTAATTTAATTGATCATATTTCTAAAAATATTTTGTTAAACTATGCAGTAATTTAATATTTTGCAGATTTAAGATTTAAAAAAATGAATTTTAGTGTAAGAGAGCATTTCATAAAGTAGGGTTTATTTATTTAATTGAGTTAATGAATGAACTAATGAATCAATGAATACTAATTTTAATTTATTATTGTTTCGTCTACATTAAACGAATAAACTATCTATTAATCAATCAAATAATAATTGGTATTGAAAATTAAAGCGAGTGCTTGATTAGATTGATTAATTGATTTATTTATTTATCAAAAATTAAAATAAAAATGCAATAAAATTTTCAATACTAATTTATTTTTCGTTTTTTTTTTTAAATTAATTTCTTCTCCTGTTTATTAACTAACATTAATTATTTTTTTTGCTGCCAAAACTGTTTAAATAATAAAAAGAAATTTAACATATATAAATAGTGAGAGAGTTTTTGTAAGTAAATAAATATATAATCTTTATTATAAAATAGTTACTATTTAAAATTCGCTTAGGATGATGTCCCATATGTTAGAAAATAAGCTTCTATAAATTTAAAGGTAAAATTATTTTTTAAATATCAATATTCAACTAAAAAATTATTTTATTGTAAAATAAACTAGGATTTTGTTAAATCTGGTGCTGGTAAAAATGAATAAGTTGTAATTTAGATAATAAACACCTTAATCAAGGATGAATAAGACTTAGTACGTCTTTACATAGTTGATGCAGTTGTTGCATTCATTATTAAAGATACAGACAAAGTACACTCACTTTTTTATTGAATGCAAAAAAATAAAAAATATTTTCATATTTAAATTATTAGAAATACTATAGTTAACTTTTACAATTTTTGTAAGCTCTCTCAACTGATGTTTCTTGGAGAATTAAGTATTATTTTTGTGAAAAATTGGCTGATGTAAAATTTCTTTTTGAAAGTGTTTTCTTTTTTTAAATATATAACAATTTTTATAGGTCAGCAAAGCTATCGGAAAGTCTGAATTCAAAAAAAATTTCACAAAAATATATCTAGGTTTTTTGGATGATGCTGAACCTGAAGTAAAATTATATGAAAACATGCGACAGTAAAATCTAATTGTTAATTAAAATTTAAATAATAGCTTAGAGCAATTGCAGCTTCCAAGTTAGATGTCGCTGGTTTTAATATGGAATAAGATGAAATAATTAGGGACCTTATCCCAATAGTAAAAAAGCTCTCTAGCGATCCTTAAAATTATGTCAGAAGTAATTCTTAAATGTATTCAATAATATATATTTTATAAAAATATTTATGAATAGCTTCATTATCTTCAAGCTTCATGGGTTTGAGCCAATTCCTTGGAAAGAAAAATACTACTGAATTAATTCTTCCAGTATTTGTTCAGTTGCTTTCTGATACTGACAGTGATGTAAGAATCAGTCTCTTCAAATCCTTAAACCAAATTACTAGCGTGTTAGGTATTGAAAGTCTTTCCTAATAAATTGTTCCTGCTTTAACAGAGTTGGCTCAAGATAAAAACTGGAGAATAAGGTCTTCTTCAATTGAAATTATTTCCTTCTTCGCCAAAGAAATAGTAAAAAATATTATTTTGAAAATGTTTTAATAATATTATTTTTAAATAAGGGATAAGAATTTTTGAATGATAAAATTTTAAAGATTTTAATGGAATGGTTATCAGATAAAGTTTTTGGAGTTAGGTATATTAAGATTAATTCAATTTTTTGATCATATTCTTATAATTTAATTTATAAAAAAGAGAGGCAGCTGTATAGTGTGTCAAAGTTTTAGTTTAATATTTGGGATCTTCATGGGCTGAAAAGAATATTATGTCTAAAATTTTAAATATAGTTAATTCTCCAAACTATCTTCATCGTGAGACTGTTTTGTTTTTGATAATAGTAATTAATTCTTTAATTAATATAAATTAAATAGCTCGATTTTATATATATTAACGTCATCTAAAATTAAATAATAGTAAATAGCTAAAACTCTCTCCCCTGAATATTTAAGTAAGACTATTGTTCCACTTTTAACAACCTTGAGCAAAGATCCTGTTGCAAATATTAGATTTAACGTCTCCAAAGCATTTAAAGCCATATTACCTTTTGTTAAAGAAAAAGTACATTTTTAAATAAAAGAATCAAAATTAATTATTTTTTATACAACTAGGAATAATTGAAAACTGTTTTAAATACTTTATGTGAAGACAGTGATTCAGATGTTAAATTCTATGCAAAATAAGCAATAGACTCTATGTGATGTCTTTAAGCAAGTTTCTGAAACAAGCATATATTACTTTTTTTTGGTTAATACTTTCCTCTCTCTCTTTCTTTCTTTCATTTAAAAATAAGAAAAAGAAAAGTGTTGTTATAAATTATTAGATCTGTAAATTATGAAGATTATTGTAAATGAAATTTTTTAAATAATTTTATATTTTCTATGTCTGTATATGTATTAAGTGCTACAATTTATTATGTATGAAAAAAAGAGCTTTCAAATTAAAATGCTTTTGATAATTAACTGCCTAAACATTCAAATTGCTTTTTTAATTATTCTTTTTAATATTATTTAACTAAGTAGTAAAGACAAAAAAAATAAGCAATCAATCATATTTAAATTTTATTTAATTTTTAAAATAAATAGTTTAAAAGGTTAATCCAATTTTTAATCAGCTTTTTTCAACATCTTTTGCTTCTACAATAGGAATAAATATTAATTTAATTAAGAAAGAATTATAAATACTTAATTATCTAATTAAAATAATCTTTTATCTAATATTTTAAGTATTAATCAAATAATTTAAAATTTATTTTTTTCTGTTTAGTTAAAGTATCATTTTTTAATTTAAAATTTTAATTTGTTGGGGTTGGGGGTTGGGGTTGGGGTTGGGGTTGGG